AGTTCAAATTTGGATAGGGAAAATGGATACAGGAATAGGGAAAATAACGAAAGAGTTGGGCTGGTCTCGATACGATCTCTGTGGGTATATTACTATCATCAGGGCGATCGTATTGACTAGGCTTGATACACTTAATGCCGCTTTACAGAATCGATCACTTCCTCTCTGGTTCCAAGTATACTTGAACACTCTTTACCGATTTCCTGTGATTGATCCCGAAGAATGACCTCACATCTTTGCGTGGGTCTTGAAGTGTGTCAATACTTCTTTTTCTATATAAGCAGCAAGAAAGCTCACCTTTACCTCTTCATTCTCTATTCAACTGTCAAGCCTTGCAACTCCCGCAACACACTTTCGCATTCAATACCAATCTTTGTTGATCAGACAAACCTTCAACTGCAATGGCTCCTACAAACAACACCAAGTCGCAAGCTCCGAAGAAGGGGAAGGAGTTCCCCGTAGAGCAACGGTTCCGATGCTCGAAGCCAAAATTTGAATTGAAGCTGAGGCAACCCCGCCTACGACTACCTCAAATTTTGAGACGTGCACATCGTAAGTGATTCTATAATTCAACCTTCGAATTTGCATCTAACGGTGCCAGTTACGTCACAATATCTCACAAATATGCTGTAAGATCCTGCAGAAAGCTCTTTTTTTAACCTACCTGGAATTTTACTGGATATTCCGGAGGATGGTTCAATTGATACGGAAGAGAGTGAAGACCATTTCGTATCATACTTCGCAGGATTGGCTGATGATGTAAAGATTACAATGGCAAAAAACAGAGTCAAGTATAACTCACTAACATTGTCATAGACCGATCGCATAAAAACGTTCAGAGATAGACTCGGTCCGAATCTCCAATCTTTGGTCGCCAAAGGGGCTGCGGAAGTGTTAATCGCTCTAGAGTTTGAGAAAAAAAGGGACCAGAAGGTAATGCAAAAAGTCAAATATCTCTTATCTCTCTCTCACTGACATTTGGCGTAGCCCCTCCAGTTTGTAACCCCTCAACAATTGCATGGGGAAGCATGTCAGACACTTTTCCCTTGCTATGAGGAAAAGCGGATGACGCTGGAGGCACCTCCACCGAAGGGATACGATATGTCGCCCCCATTTAGCTACTCACCTAGCACAGGCAGCAAGTGGTAGTTTGGTTCAAATATTGGAAAGCGTCACATGCAGTAGTTTAGTCTGGGATACCCCGCGAGTATATCCGCATGTTTAATAATAATATTCATATTCATCCACTTCATCATTGCTTGCTATTGAGTCCTGTCAGGTAAAGTGACTGCATTATAAAATCTCTTCATCGCACACCCGAAGAACCACGTTATCGCCTGATCTCCATAATGCTTTAATTCCCCGTAATACATCAACCATATCGTACCTTCCTTCCGGTTGCCTCAAGCCTGGCCTCAAATCAATCAACTATTTCTTGGTATCGGGTTTATCACGTTACCAGACTTCATGACTTAATGTGATCATTATATAATATGACGACAAAAGGTGTCAGTGTTCTACTGCAGTGACGAAATATTCTCTTTCTTGTTGCATGTCGTATTTGCTTGCAGGGGTAATAGTTTATGAACCAATTACTTAGGTTTCTTTAGTGCTCCTTCCCAATACAATTGCTCGGCTCGTACAACTGACGTGAAGCTCTTTCTAGAAATAACTTTATTTGTTGCATTTCGATGAGACTTGCAGGGGATATAGTGTGTGCATTAGTGTGAACCATTTAGTTCCATGTTTCTACTCAAACGATGGAACCATCGAGCTTGACACCTTCATGTGAGAGGTTTAGTCTTTTGTTGCACGTCGAGTAGATCTGCAGGGACCATAGTGCGAATCTTTGTGACCCTATGTAATCCACTTTCCGCTCGCTCAAGTCTCTTTGTGACTTTCACCATATTTTATTGATGTAAGACGATGGCACCTCTAGGGACAACTCTGAATCATCTTGTTCCAAAACTAATTCAAGGGGTTGAGCTCATAGAATGATAAAACAACACTGTGAAGTTGGTCCTACTTCCACTTAGCTGGAAATGTGTTTGGGGGACGGACGCAACAAAGAACAATGCACAGAGCCGAGTAAGCCTTCTCAAGTCCCACACTAGCTACTTCCATGAGAAAGTAACTTGTTTCAAGTTCCTTTCGGGGTGACGATCTTGTTCGAATTTGCCGAGTGGTTTGTTGCACATCGAAGGCCACTTGTAGGGGTGATAGCGAGGTTAGCTCTGAGTGACCCTGTCTAACTATCGACCTCATCGTATCTCCACACTTCTTAAACCTTTTTTGATACTCTTCAGAATTCTGTTGGAAGTCGTATAAGCTTGCAGGGGTGTATAGCGTCACCAAGATGAGCCAGACTTACCCAATTCACAACAAGCCGTCATTTTAAGCATTGTTACTTTGAAGTTAATCCACATCAAGCCTTCCAATCAGAATTTACTTATCACATGTTGCAAATCGCAAAAGATTACAGGGATTTATAGGTGTTCTAAGTTGCAATGAATCTATCTAGTGGCTAAACTGCTTTACAGTTCGTTCCATTGGACTTCTTTCTTGACGACGGAACCTTTTCTGGCGTGTCAATACAAGTTCTCTTTCATCTCAAAGGATTAATGGCTTCTCAAGACACGACTTCAAGTTTGTTAGGAAATGTCTTCTTTTTGCTGGCTCGACATCCACTTGTATGGAAGACACTCCGTGAAGAAATAATGTCTGTGGTTCCCACACGAGACTACGACACACTCATGAGGATGACTTATTTGCAGAAAGTCCTGAAGGAGGAGAAGAACTTTATCAAATGGCTTTACTGGTGGTAAATCTGACTGACCGTATCTTTTTTTATCTGCGACTTTATCCTGTCCTACCTGGGTTTAAACGAATAGCACTTCGCGATACTGTACTACCAGTCGGTGGGGGACCGGATGGTCGTTCCCCGAGATATTGCACTACTGGCACTCGTTTCGATACCTCATTATACGTCCTTCATCATCAATCAAAGATATGGGATGACGATGTTGAAGAGTTTAAACCCGAACACTGGGATACTTTTCGACCAAAATTTTGGGAGTATGTGCCCTTCGCCGGTGGGCCAAGGATGTGCGCTGGTCTTCAGAAAGAGACTCTAGAAGCGTCATATTTTGTCGTAAGAATGCTTCAAACATTTGAGAGCATTGAAAGTCGCGACAGCAGACTTTAGGCTGGCCAATTTAGGCTCACCTTCAGAAACGCCAATGGCTGTTTGTTGTCTTCTGGCACAGGACACTAATCCAGTCCGTCCATTAAGTTTGGAAGCAATGAAATATCATAAAAATTAAGACCTTCCTTCGTATGATTATTACATATTACCCTAAAGACTAGCAAACTTCCGCCGAGATATTATTGATTTGGCTTACTATAACGGTTCTTTCGTTGTTAAAAGCAACCCAGAAGCTATGAGATTCATTCTCAAACGATAGAAGCATACTATAAAGGTCGTTCACCAAACCTAGCATAGGTTCTAGGACAGTTCACTCAAGCGACTTCTTTTGGTCGAAAAGTCTTGCCCAAACCACAACTCGGTTCCGCAATACAAGCAGCTTGTCTATCTTTTACCGGCTGAAACCCCCTACACTTTTGTATTATATTTTCTTGGATGTTAAAATGTATGGAAGCAGTGCTTTCTGGAATTTCTAGAATCAGTAGCTTGAGGTATGATGAGTTTCTCACAGAAGAAGAAGGATGGCAGCAAAGCGAATAAATTTCAAGTATCGAAATTCTGCAATACGTGTTCTACTAGGGTATGTTTGTTTTTTGCTGAAACCTATATTGTCACATCGCTCAATCTAAGATAAACAAGTTGCAAGATGAATCAAGTCCAAGTCATGGACACGATCTCAGTCCCTCATATCTCCGAATTAAGCGAGCCCCCCCATAAAATCCGAAAATACACATTTTCCCCCCATAAAATATACAAGGTCAAGAAACCCCAGTATTTTACGTATTCAATGAATTCAACACCCAAAGTCTACCAATGACTGGTCCAAAGCGCAATGTTGGCTCCATGGAGAAACCCATCTCCATGCCGGAGATATCGTAAAAGCCGTAAAGTTGCCCGATTCGGTCATCATTTTAAGCGAGTGCGTTACCGCGGCCACTTTCGCCGTCGCTTTCGGCCACTTTTGCATTGTATATACTAATTGTCTGGAATATTTATGTCTCGGAGTGGATTTTTCATTTTGACTAAGCTGTATCTGAGAGTGTTGTTTCCGATGAGGAGGTGAAGAGGACATAAATAGTCGCCTGTCTCCCTGTGGATTGTTCAACATCAACTTGCTCTTCATTCATCTTCAAAGTCTCGTCACTTCAATCACATCAGCCAAAGACACCCAAGACACTGATTCTCAACCAAAAGAAGTCATGACTTCCTACCTCATCACCGGCTGCTCTCGCGGTCTCGGCCTCTCCATGGTTGAGACACTCGCCTCAATGCCAAAATCGGAGGTCGGCACCATTTTCGCAACTTCTCGCAGCGAATCTGCTGCTCTTAAGGACCTTGCTAGCAAGCATAATGATAGAGTTGTGACTGTACTACTGGATGTACTCAGCTTAGATAGCATCAATGCTGCCGTCACTACAGTGGAAGGAAAATTGAACGGCAAAGGTTTGGATGTCTTGATCAACAACGCTGGAATCATGGGCACAGCTCCCGGAGGAGCTCCCGCTATGTAAGTGAGTTCCAAAAATGTATGTTTCCTGGTTCTGATATATATTATAGGAAGGACCTTGAGTCTCACTTCGAAATGAATGTTCTTGCTCCGCACCGCATTACTGTTGCATTTCTACCACTCCTCAAAGCCGGAAATCTTAAGAAAATCGCCAATATGTAAGAATGTGCCATCTACCCTTGCCCAACACACCACTAAAATCAGACTAGCACAACAACACTAGGTTCCATAACCCAAGTACGAAAATACACATGGGGAAGCTCACCCGCCTACAAAGTGACCAAAGCAGCCCTCAACATGCTAACAGCCCAATACGCGATCGACCTCGAAAGCGAAGGGTTTACCGTTTTCTGTGTCAGTCCTGGAGTAAGCTACCCCACCACTGTTTTCAAACAAAGTATGCTGATTTTATTAGTGGCTCAAAACTGATTTGGGTGGTGTTGAATATGCTGATCTTTCAGTGGAAGTCGGTGCCAAGGCGACGCTTGACAAGATTATTGGGGCGACAGCGAAGGATAATGGGGGGTTTCTCAATATTCTGGTGAAGGGATGGGAGAAGACTGACGGACCTAACCAGTATGATGGGCTTAATCCACCTTGGTAAATGGCGGATCGTAGGGGGGGGGAAGTTCTGGTAACTAGGATCCAAGTATGTAGAGTCATTGTGGACCCAGCGCTTAGGTGGAAAGTGGCTTGATCAGATCTGCCAGGGAACACAAAATAAAAGTGACTTCACACAGCTACATATGAGATGACTGATTATGTACGTGTTATGCTTTTCTCAAGCCAATTTCAAATTTTGGAGGGTTTGTCACTCCTACCATTTTCTTTGTTCAAGTTCTTTGTTGCATTTCCAAGATGTCGTAAGCGAGGATGAAAATACCTTACCTACCTACCTAGGTAGGTATTCCATCGACAGATGCTTTCAATTGATGAAATCACAACACTTTTCACTTGCTTCAAGATTCAAAGTCACTCAAATATTTGAAACACATTATTCTTGTCAATTTAGTTGAATTAATTCAAACTGACTAGAGCCCAGCTCCATATTCCAACTTACCTGCGTCTATCAAAACCGAGATCAAACTTATCTATTACCATTTAAAATACACCCAAGATGAAAGCCCCACCACGTGGAAGCTCTAATACCCATCATATCTAGGACGATGCTCCCTCGTTGCAGGACGAAGTGGAATATCAAACGACGGCCTTTCGTGATACGAACCACGATAGCTCTCCGGCTCCGGCTCATAATCTTCATAACGTGACGAGGAACTTCTTTTCGGGAGCGGAGTATCTTCATATCTCGAACTTCGTTTAGGAAGGGGAGAGCCATATTTAGCTTCGGAACGTCTACGACGTGGTTCCTCGTCTGGTATCACGGTGATCTTGATACCCTCGCGAGTCTCATAGACATGCTTGGGTTTACCTTCTGCGTGACGTTGGTAGAAATCGTCAAATGTGTCGCGTTCGCTGCGAGATCGGGATGGCTCGTACTCTTCTTCTCGTCTGTGAGTTCTGGTTCGACGCGGTGGAGAGGGAGAACGAGCTCGTGAGCTTCGGTGGTGGTCTCGCTCAGCTCGAGCTCTCTCGGCACGGGGGTATGAGGTGCTTTCTTTTGCCCATGAAGGTTCGCGGTCGACGTGATGTACTCGAGGTTCCTCGCTTGTTGAGTGACTTTTCCGTGGACGTGCCTCGCGGTATTTATCGGATGCAGAATGGGAAGAGGGAAACTCATCTGGGTAGTATCTAGTACCATAAGTCTTCTTCTCGTAGTCTTGAGGATGAGAACGTGACTTGTGTACATCTGAGCGCTTATGATCTTCTGGGTAGTATGGTTTGCTGTACTCCCGGTCACTGTCGGAAGGACTGTAGCCTCGACTATAGGACTTTTCATCGTTGACGATGTTATTAGCCGCCTCCCATACTTGTGCTTTGATTCGACTAGCTTCCGAATGGTGTCGTCCACCTGCGATATTATAGTCTGAAGGCCCAGCGACGTTGGCTCCCCATAGCCCGTAGTTTGGGGCGCGTGCTTCGAATTCTAGATCGGCCTTCTTTATGGCTTGCTTACGGCTGCAGCCCTCCGAGATATAAAACTCTGTTAGGTCGTCACGGGTGACATGGGTCTTACCTCCGAAATCCCTGGGGTTGTCAACCTCTATGGTGTCAGGTTCGTCATCGTCTACAGTGTAAAGAGCAGGTTGCTCTGGGATTGGTGGGTATCTTGGCATTTTGATGTCGTCGGATTTGACTTTGTGTAAGTCGGGTGAAAATTGTTGGAGAGTGTTTGGTATTGAAATTTAGGTATCAATTTAGATTTGCTTGACAAGAACTTCCAATCACGGCGACCCGCTAGAAATACAAAACACCAAACTGTTGTTCCGGATCTCAACCAACAAAGGATGATATTTTTAGGGTGCCTCTTTTTGACATTTTCAAAGAACCACAAAGTAAATGCTGAACCTTTTGTCGTTTCTTTGTACTTTCCATATTCGTAAAAAAAGCCGCTTCTCGCCGCTGGCGAATCTTCTTTCAGGCCTTTTGAGAATTATACCGAGAGTACTTACAATGTATTGTGCTCTCTTTGTATTTAATATGGCATGAATCCCATGTAGATGGAAAGAAAGTAGGTTGTTGTGTACGTCATCGACTGAATGGAAGCTTTAGAAGTCGATTTTCAAGTTGCTATTTGTGTAATACTCACTCTACTTACAGTTGCAACGGCTTAAATTATATTACAAGAAGAAACTCTTGATTAACACGAAGAATGAAGGCGGCATTTTATTTTTCCATAGACAATCAAGCCCCGTTTCATAATCACAAGGGCTGCATTTGTCCGTAGACCATCATGCTCTTTCAGGAATACAATTGGATAGTCCTCTTAACATCCAGCACAATTTGAAGGGCCTAACAGAATTTGCATATTTTGTGAGTAACAGGAACACAGAAATCTTTAAAAGGGGTTGTAGCGGAGGTTATTTCTTTTGTCTAAGACTTGACACACATTTTCCAGTGAAGTTAAGATGTTGAGATTTTAGAGAGGAGTGATCGCATACTTTCTCGCACCATAACCAGTTTAGCTTTCGTTATGTCACGTCACTTTAACTGGTTGTATAGATATCGCAGTTATCAAATGTCTGAGTGAAATAGCATGAGGAAGCATGTTCGTTTTAAACAATAACAGTTGTGATCATTACAAAAACTCGAAAATCTATCAACACCTCAACTACCCCACTTAGCATTCAGCGCTGCGTACTGATCCTGCTTAATTCCAAGTACACTCCCATGTCTCAAATTCTTAGGAAAATTCGTCCTACTTGCATCAACCCACGCATTCGCATTCAAATTCGTGCTCGTAAACGGCCGATACCCATCACTTCCATAGTAATCGAGAAGCAGGTTCACTTTGCCAGGCGTTATGTTATCCGCATATGCGTATGGCCCTTCGACTCCACTATGAATAAAGGTTGTGCCGCCCCCAGGTCGCGTCCATGTCCCGAACAAGCCAGTGTCCGATCGTTCCATGAAGACGTTCGTAGCGGTTTCATTCTTGATGAAGCGCGCAAAGCTGTTTTCGCTGAGTTGGATGAGCGAAAGATCGATTATTGACGTGGGCGATTTGTCGATGAGTGTCTGGGGTTTGCTGAAAGTTTTGAAGTCGCTGGTGTAGGCGTAGCGGATTACGTCTGCGCCTGGTTTGCCGCTGTGGGCGGTGTCTGAAGCTGCGTACTGTTTTGGGTGAGTAGATTGTTCGGTCATGAGTTGAGATTTGCTGGGGTTTGGCCTACGAATTTAGATGCCCAGTGGACGAGGTATTGGCCTTTCGCCGGGTCCCAGATCGCATCGGGTGCCCATACCATCCCAGCGTCTGAGTTCTCGACTGTGACTAGTCTTTCGGTGCCCCAGTTGACTAGATCGGTGCTTTCCCAGACGTAGATTTTAAGCGAGCCTTTTCGTTGAGATGCATCCCATGTTGTCTACACTCATTAGTCTCTTGATCATTCAAGCCTCCCTGAAACTCACTGTAGCTATATTCAAATCAGTCCCAATTATGTACCATTTTTTCCCAGCTTCGGCCCCGGCTCCATTGATAATACTTGGATCTCTAACACCCTTTGTCCCGAGCTTCGGCACCAAGATTGGATTTCCTTTGTTCAATGCCTTGAATGAAAGAGCATTATTCCCGTTGCTGAGGTAGAAATAGATGTTTGGTGCATCGCCGAGGAAGAATACTCCCAAATAGCCTGTGAGACTGGTGTCTGCGCGGGGAGCTAGATCGCGCGAAGTTGGGGAGGCGAGGACCGTGGTTAGGGGGAGGACGAGGGAGAGAAGTGCTGAGAACTTCATCTTGACGAGGAGAAGAGGGTTGAAAAATCAGAGAACGAGCAGGAACATTCCAACTTTATCCCCGCGGCAGTAATATGATATATATCATCAAGTCTACTCATATTAGAGCCATCACTACCCCCGACATCCCCGCTGGATTCTTCCACCAGAAATAAACCTCTTTAGGTTGTTCCGCCACCATCGACCTTGACGGCTTCCCGTTCGTGGATCATCTCTTTGCTCTTGTTCTCATGACACGCGGGGTAATTATCGTATTTCGCGTCCGGCACTTGGATAATTATGTCGTGAGCCCGGAATCTGGGGAAGTATGGGGAAAATGGTGGGTTATGATTGGTGCGCTTGGGGATAGGGGAGCTAGCCACGGGGTGGGGTCTCTAGTGGTGGGATACGGGAACCCTTAATTCAGTCGACAGAAATCCAAGTCGTAACCCATCCTCCTCAGCTAATTGATCCTGAGTCATCCCATTGTTCAATTTATCGATATAGACGTCAAATGCCCCAGAGATCGCAATAATTTCTTTTAAGATCCCGAAATTCAAAATCCTCTTTTCCTTCGCGTGTTTCCAAGACACATATTGTCGCGATGTCTGAATTGCATTCCGAATCTGCCGTCCGTTGAGCTTGAAATCCGCCAACTACCAACGATGGTCTTCTAGATCCGCAAAGTCAACTTGCGTCTCTCCGAGCCCTCGAAGCCGCGTAATGAACATAGTCCAGATCTCGTAGCGCTTACCTTTCGTCAACAATGGATAGTGGAGTGCGAGTTGAGTGCGCGACTTGAAAGCCTTCGTCAAAGGTACCGACAAGATTGCTTGTATGGATTATGATTCCATCGTGGTATTCCAGTACACGCAAAAAAAAACTGATACAAGTGCATTTCGCTTAACATCACTCATGCTTCGCTCCTCCAGGAAGACGTTAGTCTCATCGAGCAGGACGACGTAGCTCCAGATTTTCCCCAAGCCCAGCACGGAGTTGAGATATTGCTCTACTTCTTCCGGTTCTAATCCAATATCCCCACAAGTGACTCTATATAGTGGCTTCTCGGCAATCTCAGCAACGCTCTCCGCAGTCAAGTTCTTGCCCGTACCTGGCCCTCCGTGCAGTAGCAATATGAGGCCATTTCCCTTCCCGCTGATGAGATCCGTGGACTTTTCTGCTGAAATCTGACTGACAATCAAAGCTTCAATCAAGTCCTTTGTCTTCTGTTCTAGTACCAACTTTTGGAACGCCTTCTTATCCCAGATTACCTTAGACAGCCAGTCAGCATTGAGTTTAACCCATTTTCTGCGCCGCATGTTGTAGCCGATAATCTTTTGAGGAAGTAAGTACAAGAAACTCGGGTCGGGGGGACGTTCTTGTGCCATGGCATTTTTATCGAAAGATTCCGAAAAAGAAACATTCTCGTCAAACTTATTCTTCTCCTCTTCCGGGTGCAAGTCACGGAATGTTTTCAGGTCAATCATGAATCTTTCCTCACTGGAGCTTGCGCTGTGAAGATCCCCACGGCCACGCTCCTGATATGATACAAAATGCCTCTCTCGACATTTCCAAAACATTTCACCGCGCTTTTGCAGGGTTTTAACATCCTCTCTACTGGCGTATTTGATTGGTCTGATATTCAGTTCTTTGATGGCATGCTCTATCTTGTCGGAATCATCGACTGATAAAGTAAGCCGACTATTGATGCGCTTGAACGAACCGTTGAATGACCAGGAGGAAACCTCCAAGCTCCATTCTGACTGACGATTGTCCTTCCCAGTTGCTTTGAGACCTTCTTCACCCAGCGAATTCAAGCGCGGCCAAGTCTTGAGCATATATCCGTTTCTATCAGCACCTATGCCTTGCACAAGCACGTCTCCGGGCTTAAAAAGGTACTTGATATAAGGCCCAGAAACGCAGGACCTCTGGAATGAAGCGTCTGCTGAGTCGTACTCAAGTCCGTAGTTCTCGTAAATGTAATCGATCATGAGCTTCAGCTGTTGAGCGGCGCTGGGATCGGATTATTTATTGATCAACTCTTGGATAACAGCTCGCGAGTGGTAGATGAACACAAAAGGCGACGGTAGTTCTGCCCCAGCCGATTCAAACAAGTCTAGCAAATCTGCGAATTCTGATTTCGATTTCAATATCATTCTTATCGCTTCCGTGAGGCGTTCGGACACCACGAGCAATTTTTCTTCCTCGTGCACGGGAGACATCGTGATACCCGTGTCTATGTCTGCTGTTGCTGCACTCATCTCTGGGCTAGTTGAGGTGGTATTATCCACATAATCGCGAAAAACAATGAAGCTTAAGTCGCTGTGTTTTCGAGATAATGGGACAAGTTAGACAGTGGCAGCCTCGACCTCAAAATTCTTGTATGATCTTGTCCCACAACCCATTCTGGAGAATCAAAGTATATCTGTGGTTTTTTCGTACCGTTGATACGGTACAGGACAAGATACCTGTTGTGTTTCGTAACCCGGATTTTCTCTTCAAATGTAGTTATCTTCTGTTGCGTCTGCAACAGATATTCTTGAAGAGCTGGATGTTACTCAATGACTCTGTTGGAAATCCAAAGGCAATAAGATCAATTCCCAAAGCTGAGAACAGATAAATAATGGGATCCTCTTCTCGAGGTCTCGAATGTTGCCTTCGAATGGAAGGGTAATTACTGTGGGAAAATGCTTGTGGGTTGGCATCGCACTCGTTTGAATTCTCTTTTGATAGTGGGGAACGATTGACCGGGTTCAGCTGAAGAATGAGAACGGGTGATCGTTTTGGAGGCATCAGCAATCGAAAACTGCGATCCGACGCGGAAATTATCAATGGGTAATGCATCGACTGGATCAGTATAACAGTCAACTTGCTGACGGGCTGGGGCTGTTCGGTTTGGGATAACTTGTATCCATTGTTGTGCTAATTGTTGCTGATATATGGCGGCCTGTTGTGGTTGCTCTTTTAGTGTCCTGTCATATGAAGTAGGTGAAGGGGACAGGAAAGAGGCTCCGTGGAATTAACAGTCTCCATTGGCTTAGTGTGGATAAAGTGTTGATGGTGTAATAGGTATATGCTTGAGCCGCTTCCACCGCCTGGTAAACTTAAATTTGCACTGCCACTGGATCAAACACTAGATTCCTGTTCGAGAAGCGGCAATGAATAACCAGCACTGTATGAGGATGGAGGATAGTGCCTCTTCAGTCGATCACTAGCGCTTGGAGATGTACAACTATGGCGAAAGACGGACGTTGCTGGAAGGCGACTGTTTAACGTCGCGTTGTTTTGTTATTGCCTGGCGAGTATAAACCTTTTTTGTTCTGTGCCTCTAGAAGTGCCAATTGTGTTTGGTAATCATGCACGGCCGCTGATATTGGTTGCCCGTCGGGTCCTAGTGTAATTCCTTCCAAATCTTGAAGAGAAGGGAGATTGCCTATCATAAGATATAGTTAGAATCATTGGGTAGTACGAAAAGTGCCAAATAACTGACTAAATACGCGAGATGTTGATGCAGAAATCGGTTTAACTATTTTAGGCTTCAAAGCCAAGAGCCGCCGGTCTTTCTTGTTGTTATCTGTGCTTAGATTATCAGATATTGTAATGTGAGTCTTCTCAACTTTCTGCGGTGTAGCTGACGATTTCGCGTCTTCAAGTTTTGGTCTAGGTTCTGTGGAGGATGAAGGAGTATCTTTTTCTTTCAACTGATATGAACTATGTTTCGCTGAAGAGTGTCCGCCAGGCTTGGTGTCAAAATACTGGGCTCGATGTGCCCTCGTGCTTCCGGTGTCGTTTCCATATGTATTTTGCTTCTCGTTCTTTTCGTATTGCTTGGATTTTGGGAACTTTCCGTCGGGTTTGTAATATTCGTTGTAGTTCTTGAACCCGTCCTCGTATTTTGTTTCGTCGCCGTCGTCAGAAATTCCACGACCGTTGCCGCTGTCCTAGTGGATTTACAAACTCCTTCTTAATATTGCCGATACTGAGTTCTTTTGCTTTGTTCAACCGCGGAGAGCGAATTTTGGACTGTAAAGTCGTCCATATGCTAATATGTTTGGAGAAGAAACGGTACTCAGGAGGCAGGGCAACCACCATTACCTTTTAAATTGGCAGAGATGGTTACGTGTCACGGCAATTGCTGTCTCGATTTTATTGCAAGTTTTTCGAGGCGTAGAAACGGTGTGGTAATACGAGGATTGCCCCGTACATAGCCATCAATATGTACACAAGCCCCTTGGCTCAAATGCATGTATCCGTGGACCTAGCAAGTATCTGCGATAGTACACGAAGCTTTGGTGGCCTGAAACGGGTTTGGATTTCATGAACCCTCACCAGCTTGTTAGACACTTGGCGTCTTACCTTTCGAACCATGGACTCGAGAACTCAAGATGTCTAAAGTTGCAAACTATGCTTTCGCATTACAATGGAGCCAACCAGTAGGTCAGGTGGAGTCCAAACTTCTATAGCGTGCTGATTATCTTAGCGGCGCGGATTGGGCTGATAATGTCTTCAAAGAAGCAGTGGCCGAGTTTACTGCTACTATTCCCAAAAAGTCCTCAAAATCAGAATCGGTTTCTGACCTCCAACCTAGTAGGCTCGAGTACATTATCACTTGTCTATCAAGAGCACAATTGCAGTACCAAGATCTACGAGGCAATCCAAAGATCCGAAAGTGTCTCACAGCGTTCGCTCAAAAGGTACATTATTATGGCGCTGTCACGGACGCGTTAGCACAAGGCTCACCACAGTATGTGTCATTTGTATATGGTGCCATGAAGCTAGTGTTTGTTGTAAGCGAGTCCCATAACACTTTACTTAAAATGATCTGACGACACGATATAGGGTGCTGTAAATCACGAAAAGTCTCTTGCAATAATCGTAGATGGTTATGCCAAATAGCAGACGTCCTTCCTCGCATGGCAAGTACGGCGAATCTATTCCCCACGGAGGATAGTCGGAGAATCATGATCATGCTGTATGCTCAGGTTCTCCAATTCCTCACCATGTCACTCTCATGGTTTAAAGAAAGAAGGATACTTCGCATCCTCCATTCAGTCACAAGACCTCCGGAGCTTTGCTATGATGGAATTGTTCAGAAAATCGGACTTCTGTCGAAAAGTATCTCGGATACAGCTCAAGTCGGTAGCTTTGCCGAACAGCGAGATATGCACTCCATCATGAAGATTATAATGCTGAAGTTAGAGAGAATTGAGGAGGTTGATGAAAACTTTGAAAAGACTTCTCAAGTACTCTTTGATCTCAAAACCACAATGATAACCTTCCCAAGTCTCAACTCAAGTGGACAGGTCCCAACACAGCAACAACTCTCTCAGCTGCAACTGCTCAACTTCATCCAAAAGCTCCAATCAAACGCCTCCCTAGATCCAACAAAAAGTCTCCAAACATTACTTTTCACATGCAAACGACAACACCTCCACCAACCCAAAGGTCTCTCATTCTGGCTTGCTCCAAAAATGCACACCTGGAATATCAGCCCAACATAATCCTTAATAATGATAAAAGGCAGCCACAGACTCCCCAAAACCATTCAAACCTTCAGCGTATCAACCATCAGCCTTCTTCACAAGGCCTATATTCCCGTCATCTGGGCGCTGAAAACGCGCGAACCGCAGACATCCACAGCAAGTGAGCATACCAGCACCATTGACATCCTCAAAAGCCTCGTCCTTCAAGCCATCGCGTTCAACTCAACTATCCACACAGATTCTGTTCTCTGTCCACGTCTCCGCATGTATCTCACATCCGCAAGCGAAGACGAGTGGTTCACGCTCCTCGTATCCGTTCTACACGGTGTTCCTCTCATATACATCATAATCGACATCCAACTCCTACACTCTTCATCTTCCCAGTCTGCGCCTGACTTTCGCTGGTCCGCAACTATCTCTAGGATTTTCAAAGAGCTCTCGGAGCGGAGTAGCAAGACTGTCGTACGTGTTATGATGGTGAGTTATGGCTCATCAGCTTTCTCGCAGGAGGTTGCCAGAGGATCTGGTAGAGATGTGCTTGCTGTGGGGAATATGAAGCAAATGGCGCAGAAAATGAAAAGTGGAGCGGAGGCCTGGAGGGGAGAGCTGAGAGGAGGTTTGGAACTTGGGGAGATTTCGAATGGGAGATTGAAACGATGAGGATACTTTATGAGACTGAATTGAGTGCTTTAATCCATCAACAGTTTCAGAAAGTCAGATTGGTAACGTACACCACGATCTCCTAGATATCTATAAAGGGCCATCCTGAAATATTTTCCTAATGATATACCAACTTGCGTGCAGCTTAAAGAAAAGCATGTTAAACATCGAAAGGAGTGGTGGAGGATTGAAAATTTGCTCGGGATAATAATCAAATCTTTTTAATAAACGCCTATTTGATTCCACTGTAAACTGTGAAGGCCCATTAATGAAATGATGTCTAATGATTAATGATTAATGAAGATCTAAAAACTCATCTCTGAAATTTTAATCAGAGAAACGATGTTTGTGCTAAGAAAAGGTTGTTGTTTGATGACAGCTAGAAGGCTCGGATTTGACAAAAATATATAGAAGCGCACCATATGGAAAAGTAAGATAATTAGATAACCATTCATACTCAACATCAAACCATCAAACCCTCTATATACGGGTACTCCGTACATAATTTTTTGAAGCTGTCGATACCCAAACCCGTCTCGCTTCCACCTCCCATGAACCCTACTCCACACCTACGTCACCACCCCACTCCCGAATTTACCCAATCACCAAATGGGACACCCCAGCGCGTCTTCCTCCAATCACTCACCGTCGCTGAAAGGAAATTGAATGGACAACACCCCCAATCTGGTCGTGGCTGCACACGGGTTGTCGCTTCCAAGATATACTGGTATGACGATAACCAATGCCAGGTATATAGTGAGGTAGGTGCTGTCGTGAATAGAGTTTTTCTCTTTCTTTTGTCTGCGCGCGAGTTTGTGATTCTATTGTCCTTCGCATCTGAAGATAAAGAGTAAAGACGTTTGCGCAAAGAAAGGAGAAACGCGACAACAACAAAAGAACGCGATAACAGAAACACGACCGCAAAAATGGGATTCAAACCCAACCTCGAGTTCTCCGCCGCCTACATCGCACACTCCGCTTTCCGCATCATCCAGATCGTCCTCGCGCTCACGGTTGTCGGGCTTTATGGCGTTGACTTGCATAAAGCGAATCGCGAACATAAGTACTCGGATGGGAAATGGGTATGTCTTCCTCTCCCCTCCTCCCCCTTAATCCCGCAAAAGTCTCACCCATCTAACACTCCCCAGGTCTACGCCGTCGTAACAGCCTCCCTATCCGCGCCCACCGCGCTCGCCTACCTGATCCCGTTCATCCACCGCATCCCGTTCCTCTTCGTCTGGGACAGTATCTTATTTGTGTTGTGGATCGCGCTGTTTGGGATCTTCGGCAAGATGTATATCCACGAGAACCCCGAGGGGAATGGCGGGATCAAGAGGATGAAGAATGCGGTGTGGGTGGATTTGGTTAATGCGCTGTTGTGGTTGGTGAGTGCGGTGGGCATGGCGGGGTATTGGTGGAGGTCGAGGGGGACGAGGACGAAGTGGACGGGGAGGGCGAGGGTTTAGGGTGAGAGAGGGGAGTTGAGATTAGAAGGGTGGCGGGGGAGGGGGGATGTGGAGAGCGGTGATAATGAGGGTGGTAGTGGGTGTCAAGGGGAGAAGGATGGTTATTTGCTATGCGCTCAGCGCGATAATATGAGAAGAGAAGCGGTGGAGGATGTTTTCTTGATTTCTTTTATTCGATACCACTTTCGCGACGAGTTTGGAGATACCAATATTGCTTAGCTACGAAGACGTTAGCCATAATGAACTTTTTATCAGCCTGACAATATTCTTGACCTGTGATCGAGGTAGCGCGGTCCTTTTTCAAATATTATCAAACCCATAAAACCTAGTTCCCCTGAATTCGAACAGCATGAGTATATCCTACTCAATGATACACCGCTGACTAGCTCCTTATAATTCCAACCGCAAACAGAATTTGTAATCATCAACAACCCCCCATTTACTTCTCCCTAGCCTACGGAACATCAAAGCTCTTAAAATCTAGTTGTATAGCAAAAAAATCACGTCCCACTCACGAATCCAACATCTGCCTCGCAAAGCAAGGGCAAAAGATTTATAAGCAAAATGTCTTCTACTTTGGAAAACACATAACTCACTTCCATCCATCTCCTCTCAAAACCACCAACCCTACTTAAAATCGCTCCTCTAAATCTCGCTTCCTCGTCACTCTATACTCATTTGTTGACTTGTTATGCTATTCCCAGCATATCAATCTTTTCGTCCGTTTCCGCGTGCTCATCGCGCAGTGTAATGCTAGATAAGCAACCTGTACAGTACACTCATATACTTCAACGTGTGATATTCCCGATGTGAAACATGGGGGTTGCAAGGGGGGCTTTCACTGTGGGATTTGAAGATTGTATTCTGTTATTTTCTGTCAAGCTGATGAGATATGAGAGGTGAGTTACTACTTCGGTGTACAAGTTTAATTCTAGGTGTGACTTGAATTTGAGCTAGTTTTATAAAGAGGTCACTGGATTCAGTCGGTGGGTGGTTTGTTCGTGTTGTTCTATGTTACGAAGTAGATTCAGGATCCTTAAAATTTATACAACATGATTCATATTGATAGAACACCTACTTAGGTACCTGTGCCATTTTGCTATGAGATAAGAAAGGCTTTCTCATCTTGCTAGCTAAGTGAGTAGTAAGAACAGTTCGTAGATAGCCCACGCCTTCCATTAAAAAGAATTGAGAGAGCAAAATACTTACCGTAACAGCAAACCATGGACTCTCCAACCACTTACCCACCTACCTTTTCCATCCCGCGACTTACTCTCCAACTCTTTAGCCCATCCAACCCCTCACACTACACATCCCAACTCCAGCTCGTCACCACCCTACTCCCCAAATCCCGGCCCGACCACATTCCACTCACCAACAAAGAAGCACTTGACGCCAAATGCGCGCGCCACCAGCCTAAAAAATCAATCTGAACAAAAGTCTCAGATCCACCAAGCCATCCCTACCATCTAATACACTTGCGCGAAACAAGGAGTATATAGGCAGTATATCCTTTTTCCACCGTACGAAGACGGCGGATATAGGATGGGGTTTAGTGGGGAAGGAGTTTGAGGGGAAGGGGTATGGGACGGAAGCTGCTAGGGCGGTTTTGGAGTTTTGGAGAGATGAGGTTGGGGTTAATGAGATTTGGGCGTTGACGGACGTGAAAAATGTGGGTTCGAGACGGGTTTGTGAGAAAATTGGATTGGTGGAGGGAAGGGGGTTGAGGTTGAGATTGGTGGATGGGCTGTTTCTGGAGGTTGTAACATATAATTTGCCTGGGATGGAAAGACTTGAGGTTGTTTTCGAGATGGATATGAGGGATTTGGCGTAATGCTCCGCTGCTGCTTGCAAGGAAAGCTTCCGTCCACGAGTGAACCGACTATTAGAATATTCTTTATCATTCGTTCTTGGAGAGCTGAGCGGGACGGCTCGAAGTTGGGGTAGGTGGAGAAGTGGACACGAGTTCTGAGTTTTTGCTAAACACTTGACGAGAGAGCGCGGATTATTGGTTGAAATGAAACTGGTCCAATTATCAGCAAGCCGCCAGAACCGTTTTCAAATATAAACAATGATTGGAGGCATGATTGGAGGCATCCTCGACTGGATCGTGGAGGTAAAAGATATCTTGATCGCCTGCATATTTGACCGATCGCTTAACGGAATAGCAGAGCAGATCGTTGCAGTGTCATTTGTGGATTTCCTTTTGTGCTTGAAGAGTGTGGACGACTGCTTCGTTCAACGAGACTGTACCAGCTGCAAATCTTTCGCAAGATTAATGATCCTCTGCATTGCACCTTGATGTAGTCGTGAAGTGTTGAGTTGTGGTGTCATCCATAGTCGCTTCCACAGAATAAGGTTGTCGTGGTTGGCTTCAGCCGCAAGAGTAGAAATGATCATAGCCATCGGCATGCACCTTATGCCTGTCGTACATCGACTGCTTCCAAAATGTTTCGACGATAGGGTATAGCCCGTCCCTTTTGTGATAAAACTGGACTGCTGCAGCAGTCAGTCCCAAGAAAGGAGATCTTCAGATTATCTTCCGCAGACATGTACAATGATTATTATTGTCGTATGCTGGTAAGACTGCGAAAGAGCGACAGAGATGAATATCTCGAATTCTATTTGAAGCTCAAGATCCAGTATCTTCGATGTAAAAGATCTAGCGACTGAGAAGCGTGGTATAAATGGGAATTGATGTAAAATCCCGCGAACCCGGCGGATCTGAATCTGAATCCTCGTGTTCCTCACGGAAGACCCATACGCAAGGAAGCGATATCATGTTTACGACGAACCAGTGAAGAGTAAGTTGAAGCGATCAACCGCAGGTTGCGGGTCTTGGAAGGATGAAGTTGGAAATAATCAGCGTTGGTGGCAGTACGAGTGCTTGGTATGGTCTTATCTGACTGCATTCCAAGGTTGGTTGTGCAGCGGTCAAGGATGCGGTGAAATGTGAGGAAAACTTGTAGGATTGAATAGAAAAAGAGACATTGGGAAGAACAAAATCTCGAAAGTATATGTACATGATGAGGAGCGTGTTTTGGTGTTTTCGAAGTTGAGAAAGAGAAGTTCTCGCGCCACAATTTTGGAGAAGAATGGACAAGCGACCGGATGACCAAAAAATCCCCAATTATTTCTGAGCCACAGCAAACCCGCACCGCCACGGATCTGTGTTCCGAAAATTGCCCAGGTGCTCGTCATATCGAATCCGTTTGTCGCTCCTCCTTTGGCAACTTTCACGCATACTCGAGTACGTACCCAGGTATTGGAATCCCACCGTCTTGAATCTCTAAAAGCCACTTGCACTGGACTCGTGATCACATCTCCTGTTGGATTCGACACAATTTCGAAGGTTGGACCTTCTGTGAACGAACACCGGACAGCGCGAAATAATTTCCTCCCACGGCTACAGTTCCTATTGTTCGTCATTGAGGGATCCTTAGTGGGGAATAGTCGCCGTGGGTCATAGGATTCTGCGACAACTGACTCTGACCGACTAAGGTTAAGGACCATTTGAAATCACCAACAACAAAAACTTGCCTTCCACCAGTTTCAAAACCAGAGGAATTTCAAAGAAAAGATTACTATTCGACACGTACCTCTGATCGTATACGCTCCGATTACACAATTTTTCCATCAACAACTTCGTTTTCAACACAATAATTGCGTCAGAGTCTCGGTCTCGACCCTCCAGACTCCACGAACAAAGCCATTAACCTTAGCACCTCCCGAGGTCACAAACAAGACAAACTCTTCGATTCGAAACCTTATTGCGGCAATATCCTCGCGGTAACCTACTTTGGCCACTACTCTGTTCATCGATTACCCGTACCTACCTCGTTCGCGGTACGCACTTTACCCACGGAACATCCCTTGCGGTCCTGAGCGTCCGTCTCGCGCAAAATCCAGTCAGCTGGATTCTTTGGATAGTTTCGTTGTTCCATTACCAGCCATAGTGTGGCTGATCGAGGGTGCACCAGGTACGCCAGAAGACGCTACGGAGAGTCCAGAGCAGTAGTCGTGTCAAGTCGCGACTCATTCACAAAATGGCGAGTCGATCGTTCCAAAAGCCGGCGTCATACTTGGCGAGTGCAGCACAACAGAAGCCCAGTCGAAGTCCGAGGCCATCTTTCAATCGCACCGGGTCTGCATCCTCCACGGCGTCTACGAGGAGTGAAGATGGATTTGTCGCTACATTACGCTCGTTGAATATCAGAGACAGCAGTGATGGAGAAGGGGAACACCTGGCCTCACGAGGTCGAACTACTGGTACGTTGCACCGTTTATCCACCAACTACTCTCCCGCCCAGGGCCCTCGTGGTTGGAAACCACCAAAACCCTCGCAATCCGCGGTGCGAGTACGCCATCGTGGGGGAGGTGCATGAAACTGCATTGAGGACGGGAGTAGTGGTTAGACCCAAGCTACCCCGCCGCCACCCACGCACACTGTCCCATAGTCCAATCCACCTGCACACCACACACCCTCATTTTGCGATGCATTATCATATCGATATTGGACAATATCGTAGACTTTCTGGTGCTGATCTTGGGTTCTTCTTCACAGGCAATACTAGCAGCCCCGTATTACGGCCAAGACAGCCGGTCCAAGGCACCCCGTCTAAAAAGAGGAGCAAACCCATATCAATCGAAGTCCCCAAGAGAAATACTCCTTCAAGCTACACACCATTAACAGGACGAGGAGAAAACGTAAAAGGGTACGTTGGTACAAACACTTTCGCTTAAGCATTTTGCTTCAATTAGGAAGCACTCATAGATGATTGCGTGCAGTTGTTTGATTACAAAGCTGATGTGATTTTTAGAGGCTACTTCCCCGAATTCGACGATATTCAGCAAAAGTACCGACATAATCCGTTTGCACACATAAGTGGCTTTCCAGGTCCAGTTCCTCCTGTTCCACAACCCTCACCAGGCGCCTCAACTCCAATGTCTCCTTCAAATATGTCTGCTAGCTCTTCACAGGCGTCTCCCTCAGAGGCAACCCCCAAAGCTCCCGGCCTCGCTCTGAGTCCTTTCAACTTCCGACCTTCACCGACTCTCGACGGTTTTGCTATTCCAAAGGGAAAGTATTATCCTTCGAATTATGTATCACCAGAAGCTTCTCGTACCACCACGCCAGGGCTATCAAGTGCACCGGCGCCACCAACAACCTTACAAATCCCGGCCTTGGCCTCTCAAAACAAGAAGAACAGAAATGCTATGCAGGACCGCACAAGTGACGATGTCAAGAGGAAGGTTCAGAAATACCAAAGGGACATGCTTGCCCAGGCTCAACACCGTACGCCTCGTGATCCCACCAAACAAGTCGTCGTTCCAGAACCTACCAGTGCCAGACTTTTACCAATAGGTAGTCCAGGGCCGATTAATACTCCACTGGAGTTGGATGAATCTGATGGTTATCTCGTTGCTGGAAGTCGTGCCCACGGAGATGGTTTCATGACGCAAGGCCGTGATCGACAACAAAATATGGTTGATGCCATGATCATTATGGAGCGTAGTCGTACGCACAGCAGTGGTCTATGATTATTTGACAGAAGCGTCTACCGTTGCTCGCTGGTCGGGCTTATATCTGTATCACAGTCGGCCGGGCGCCGCTGAAGTTCACATTATACCCTCAAAATTAGCACGACAACTGATATTGTTATCATCGATGAAAGCGATCTTCTCGTCTCCCTTTTATCAACTGTTGTACCAGCACCAATCCAATACCACCAAAAGGCCACTGTCACTCATCATCGCTCATAAAAAAAAGAGAAATGAACCGATTTGGGAAAAATCAAAGGCCGTACCAAGTGCTGGTGCTGGATCTTATATACGTTTTATCATTTGTTTGGTTGAAAAACCCATGGACTCCGACCTGTTTTGTTTAAACATAAACATGAAGACTCTCGTTTGCATCATCTGGGCGCCGGAATGGAATACCTTTGGGAATCTTTTAGGAGTATTGAAATTATTGATAGAGATGAAAATACCCCCTCTGACGGATTGAGATTGAGAATGAGAATTGCAGGATATGACTAGGGTAGTCAAGCATTACAGGATTACGTTCGTTAGCTTAGTTTTTAGCAAGTGAGGATGAACGGATGCGTGTCTATTTTTATAATCGTTTGGTTGACTGAGTTGGTGACATACTTAGAGATGAATTCCCCTGAAGCTATATAGGAGTAGCTTCGACTCTTGAAGAAGATTGCACATTCAACAAACTGTTCATTATTTCTGTTTTGTGCACCGGAAATTGTATACATGTGCGTATTGGTAATGTTGGGATACTACTATTTTGCATATCTGAAGGTTGACTAGGTATAATGAGAAAGAAAATTGACTGCGCAACGTATGCTACCACCGCGCACGAAATCTCCCCCTCGGATCAGAGAGATATCAAAGACTAGAGTTTCTGTTGCCCCAGGTAATGATGGTCTGAAGACGAATTTCGGGAAAGCGGGTTTGGGAAGTATAGAGGGCGGTATTTTTTTATCTCGTGGTGGGAAAATCTTTGAGCATGGGGATTTTCTGATGGGAGGTATGGGAATGATGGATGAGAAGGGGGAGGCTGGGATGGATGGGATTCTGGGCGTGGGGCGATTCGGAATTGTGAATGATTGAGGGGAGGAGCGGTGAGGTGTTTAGATGGTGGATTGTGGTGGGTTGTGAAGTATGTGATGGGTTGAATTAGCATGGAAAGTATTCTTGAAATGGAAGATGGGAGTGAAGGGTGGGAATTCGGTGGTGCGTCCAAAATCGGTGATAACATACCAATAATCGAAAGTTTAAAGGCGTCATTATCGGTTTGGGGAGTATTCCGGAGAGAGGAGGTTTGCGGGATTTCGTGGTGGCGTCAAGGGAGAGTATCAGGGAGTTGTAATTACTGAGATGTTGGAGGGGAGCGAGAGGGGACGATAATTTGTTGAAACAAGTTTGGTTTGTCGGATGGTGATAAGGGAGAGGGGTTTTTTGATGTTTTATTGGTGGTTTGGAAGGGTTTTGGTGTGTGGGGAAGGGGATGAAGGAGGTGAGGTGGGAGTGTGATTTGGCGGTATATATCAATTGCGTGGACACATTCGGGAGGCTTGGGTTGTGTTTTGTCTATAATATCAAATTACTAAACTCAGCAGTAAAATTTGAGATAACAATCTTCGAAGCCCACGCCAGAGTCTGCTGATTATTAGGAAAGAGCACAATTCCTTCCAAACCATCCGAAAGAAATTCAAACTCCTAAACCACCATCGTGGCCATCACCACAAGAGCTAAAATAGGCTTACCCATAGAATCACGTCAACGTCGTGGTTTCCATGTTGTCTTAGCATATATTCCGGGATATCGATCGGGTTCGTGGAGACGTATACATCTCATCTTCTTCTTTTCTTTTTCATCTGGATGACGTCGAGAACTCTGTGACTTGGAAACTTGTAGGGAATTAATTTTGGTTTTCGTTGGGAGATGTTTTGAGAGTCTGAGATTCAAGGTTTGTCGTGCTCAAGATCCTTTTATCAATGTGAGACAGCTTTCGGTGATGAAGCGAAATTCGGTGGTGACTTCTGAGGTGGGAGAGGTGGGGATTGGAAGAATAGTTGGGGATTGCTAGGTCTTTGTGGTGAGAACCGTGTGATGTCGGGTTATTGTATAGATAAATCTTACGAGATAGGTGGAAAGAGGGGCATGAAAGAGGAGCGAGGAATGTACGCGAAATTCTTTGAGGCAATTAATCTCTAATCCAGAGTTGGTCGTCATGGATTTATAAGATGAGAGGAGTGGGAAATATGAGATGTTTTAGAGGGAGGGAGTTGTTTAAATAAACTGGGAAGTTTGGGATTGGGAGTTTGTTTCGAGCTTTGGGTTTTATGTGTATATTGACATTGTGTAAATAAGGTCATGACATAAATTCTTTTTCGATATTAATTAGTATCTAGTCTTCCACTTTATTCCCAGCACTTAGACCCCTTTAACATTACATTCAACACTTCGGCGATAGCTCTCAAGAATGACTTCTTACTCACCCTCTAACTACAGTACGTCTTATTACAGAATTCAACGCTTGTCATTAAGATGCCTAACACTCTAGAAGTGTCACAAAATAGACTCACGCTAGTGAAAGGTTATGTCGATGGGACTATTGCAAGAGTACATTCAGAGAGTTTGACCTTAGCAATTGATACTCGATGTTAAAGGTTATAAGATTTAGAGGTCCAGCCCTTGGTTATTTAGGTACATTAAGCGTTAAATCTTGTAAGCTGAGATTTTATGTGGCAATAACCTAATAGACACTAAAGTTTCTTGTTTTATATTATAATTTTCTTTTAAGGGGGACAAGAATATAATCACTATAAATATAATACTTTATAATTTAATTCGAAAAACTACATCTACCTTTTATAGCCTTTACGTAATAGTAGAATAATATTCCTTGAAAGAGTATAACAAGTTTCCTTTCTAGTTTTAGTATATATTGTTAATAAATAGAAGTACTATAATATTTATACGGGACTGTATATACTCGCTCCTAAACTACTAAACGAGAAAGTATAGCATTAAAGCCTCTAAGTAGTCTAGAGTCCTTAATTTGGGAAGAGTGAAAAGGTGTAAATCATTAGGTGTTAGCAAGAGATATTATTTCAATAGTGGCTTGGAAAACGGTGACAGTTCTATAACTCGGTTCTAGAGACTATAAAATATCTATTAATGTTTCTCTCGTAGTATAATATGATGAATAATCAACATTATAGTTTCAATAAATCCAACTGGGATGTGAAAGGAATAATCATTGCGAAAAAACAATCTCATAAAGCATCGCACTGTCATGATAACAACCGTATCTCCCCTTCCCAGTTCCTCATCCTTTCCTTTGTGCATCCTCGCCATTCCGTAAAAGACAACCCCTTGATGCAGTTTTACGACTTGCTTCGGTCGAACGTTTGATTCGAAAAGTTCGAGATCCGACAACAAGTTTAACCCCCGACCGGTCGGGGATTTTTTTGGTGTTAAGCTCTACATCTTTGCGTTTTGGTATATATGTATTGATATCATGATAAGTAGGGAAATGATTCCAATGTCCATATTTTTCAAGGAAGAGAGATGCAAAACATATTGGATTTGTGATTGTGTGGATGGAGCGACTCTAAAACTGTGGAATCTGGGATAAAAAGATTTCTCGAATTTCTACTTAGAGTAAGCAATGAAACATGCCTAACATGGCAGGTCTGGACTTGGAAATTAGAACCAAAAACTTTGCCGTATTATAAAGTCACTTTGTAGATACAGGCACAATGGCATTAAAGCTTGCATGCAAATTTGTGTGACTAAGTACAAGCTTTTAGGGATACTCAGAATTAGGTGTCCTGCTGTTCTGAAGAGGAAACATGCCGTTTTCCACAGGGAAACCCAGGTCTGGAAGTAGATTTCCAAACTCAAATATCGAGAAACAGCGTATTAAGAATAAGGATCCAAGTTTATAATTTCTTTCATTTTTTTCATTACTCAGTACCATAATTATTTGGTATTAAGTGGCTTTAGAGAGACACAGTTGTTAAAAAAAGCATTATCCGACTAACTGGTGGTAAGGTCACTACAAAGACAACACTATCAGAGAGATCAGAGATAGCTATAGTATATCGTAAAATGAATATTTTACTGTAATATTCGTTGTAATGTGTATTCTAAAAAAAACAGATACGCTGGCTATAGATGTAATGACACTAGAATAGATTTGAGCAGAACGTCTTCGGCAGCAGGTTCAAATTCAATGACAGTTTGAAACCTTGTATTATAGAACTTGCTGTGAAAGTTTCAATATAGAGCGAGTCACAATTGCAGCCTACTACAAGAAATCTTTGTGTAGTATTTGAGCAATTTCGAAAATGGTTATTTGCTTACTTGTAGGAGATAGATAATTGGCAGTACAGAATAGTTTATATGAGTTTAGAGCTTCAATTAGACAATAGAGTGTATAACCCATGTAGATGCAAGATTCTTAAGTATATTTCAAGATATGTTTATCCTTCTAATAATGAAACCCTTCTGGATCTATCGTCCGAGGATAAGCATCAAACGACTAACATGTTTGATAGTTTAAAATGAGGATATAGAGGTCTGGTTTCGACTTTGTTAAATTAGAATCCACAACCGAGTGTATAGGGAAAAGGCGTAATCCTTAATCTATATTTTGTTTATAAAATAATATTTCCCTTTTTTTTAACATTAGTTTTTTTAGATAAAGAAAGATAAAAGAAATACATATTAGAATCTCTATTATAATATCGATAGACAGCTTAGTAAAATTAGTATAATCTCTGCGAATAAGGTAGAATAGAATATAAAACACTTTAATATATATCTTCTAATAATCTAGAAAGGAAAAGCCAGAAATCTTTGTTACAAGTAATAAAAAGTTAAAGCATACTTTATAAGCCTAATTAGTAGCTGTGAATTCCCTCTCTCAACTAGAAATTGCCTTATTGCGTAAGTAAGAACCGTAACAGTACGTTATATATTCGCTTTTACAGCCGTCAAATACTTTAACCCCGCTCTACGCTTAGGGCTCTTGCAGTGTTGAGACGCGGCTGGGAGCCTGGCCAAAAATATCTGGTTACATATGCTGTAAAGATCTTATTAATTTGGCAATTTTAAAGACGAGAGAGAACCATCCACGGAGGCAAAGTCAGATGAGGATTTTGATGAATATAGAGACTGACGTTGTTGGCATGGCGCTTACGCAAATGTTGTTCACGGACAATTAAGAAGGAAACATTTGCTAGATTTGTGAGAGTGGGTGCATCGAAGCTTCTGGCTATAGTAGAGAATGGAGTTAAATGAGCCAAACTTATGTAAAAAAAAAACGAAATTTGAGATAGATGAAGGTCTTGTACGGAAACAATAGTTGTCAAAATGTTAGAAGGGTTCTTTGGAAGTTCTTCCAAATCTGGAAATCGGATAGGCTTTTTCGGTGACAAGTCAGATTTCGGTGACACTTAACTTTTTAATATTCATTGGACACTGTTTGAGAGTAGGTCAGTAATGCATTTTTTGATATATTATTCACATTCCCATATAGGTAGCTTAGTGATCACACAATTTCTTCAACAAAAGGATTTAACCAAGAAGATAGAGGCTGAAGCTGCTTCAGTTCTGTCCCTATCACTCAACGTTCCTTCCGAAAGGAATCTCCATTTTAAAAGCGGTTGTTAGGGAAATTCCAGCGTGTGTATATGAGAAGTACTTGTCGCTAGAATTTTAGACTTACTCGGGTTGACAACAACATGAAACCAACAATCGACGTATACTATGATGACGCCTAAAGCTGGACGAATTCTATTTTAATTATAAATTTCAATGTTTCTCTTGATTGCAAATCGAATATGGTTTGAGAATTCAGAAGCAAAGTAAGTTGCTTTTAATATATCTTGCAGTTATGTCCTGAATACTCTTTACCCAAGTCTCATAAGTATATTTCAAATCCCTTATTTGCTCAACTCTACAATGTTAAAGTACCTCATTTCCATCATCTTAATTCCGAATCCCATTGAAACTCAAATCCCTGAAACGCCTATCGCTATGCCAAATCCACACTTCCAACCCTCAAAAATCCATATCAAGACCCCGTCCCGCTCCCTTCGCCACCCTGCTGCTCCCTCAACCTCTTCATCCTCTCCTCCGCCGCCTTAGCAAGCACCTCTCTCCTACTCAACCCTCCACCACCACCCGCAACACTGCCTCCAACCACAAACTCCCCACCAGTCCACCCCCCATGATCGTCCACATCCTCACCATGTCCACCATCATAATATTCTTCCCTTTCCCCAATAGTCCTTCCCGAAGAAGTAGCCAGATCAACCTCCTTCTCAATCTGCTTACACAGATCCCAGAATTTCCGGTCATGCGGACCGTGGACGTTATGAGCAAGCTCATGGCAAAGTGTGTTTCTGATTGTCTTATAATCTCGATATCCATCATACGCATCTGTTCGAAGCCGCAACTCGATAACCTCCCCTTGATTCCTATTGAGCCCAAGTGTTCTTGATGTACCTTCATGGTTGCTCTGCGTATGCTCAACAGGATTCATTTCCGTCAACAAGCCAACTGTAAATTGGTGGTCTCGCATGGTCTTTTTAATTCCGACATCATTCTTTAGGCGCTCGAGAAACTGGAGAGATTTTGAAGGGTTTGGGAGGTAGGGCAGCGGTTTGAGGGTTTGGAACGTGTATAATGCTTCTTCATGGGCTTTCTTATGGTCGACTGTCTTGTATGCTGAGACTTTCTGTTGATTCGACCGGCCAGCTCTCGGGTTGACTCGGCGTGAAGCCTCTTCTTGGGCGGTAGATATTGAAGCAGCTTCCTTTGCAGTACTGCCCATAAGCTTTACTATGTATCCTGGCGTAGGCGAAAGAGGTAGATTGGGGTCTTTAAAAGGGAATTTGAGCATCGGGGTTTTGGGAATGGTGATTTTCTGATTCGCAGGTGGAACATTGAGCTCATCGTTTATGGCTTCAGATAGGTCCGTAATAGTCGCATCTTTAGGAAGAGAAAGCGTATGCTGTTTTCCGAGATGGGCGACGGTAATGGAGACTAAATCCTGCGCGTCAGTTGACATTGTGGAATCTTGATCAGTTGCCATGCTGTTTGATCACAGAAGTCGAGATAAATAGGGGAAATAGAGTGCGAATTTGAATAGCATATAATGGTAGAGTAGTTGTATTCAATTAAGTATATGTACAAAGAGCTTCTATTCAGCGCAACCAACTCGATCACATAGAACTTTCCAGGCAATCCCGCTTCGTAATCATGAAAGACCTCGGAAGCGCATTGCCACCCGCCGGAGAATAAGCTTCGCGCTTGTGCGCCTAACCTTATGCACAGCGGCTGTGGTCGGCAAAACGCCTCGTCCCGGCGCGCAGTTCGATCCTAGCAGCAATCGCGTTGCGTGTCCTCAACAGGAAGGAGAATCCAATTTATTGGGACACAACACCGTCAAGCCATTGACTTTCGACACTGAACACTTCATAGCAGAATCATAGCTGCGATCGCCCTCCAAATTGACCACTGCAAAACCTGTCTTGAACGCCTGGGGAACGTCCTCAGCTAAGTCGCAAACATGAATATTTTCAGGATTACGGGTAAGCTTGAATAGCTTCATTCTATAAGAAGTATAGAGCTAATTCATCTGCGAAAATCAGGAGATCTCTCCCATCTTATCTCAATCCTGATTCTCCTCCACAAAATGCACCAAACAAACGTACATTGTTCCACCACCAAGACCAATTCAAACCACTAACACAAGTCCAGTCCTGCTCCGGAATATCATTCAAATCGCAAGCCCTATACTTCATAGTCTACATAACGCGCTACCTAGACATCTTCACCACCTTCACCCACTCCGCCTACAACACAATTTTCAAGATCCTCTTCATAGGGTCCTCAGGATACACAATCTACCTCATGACAACCGCCTACAAACCAACCCACGACCCAGGACTCGACACATTCAAAGTGCAATATCTCCTAGTCGCCTCCCTCGTCCTCGCGCTTATCTGGCCCTACGAATACACCGTCTCCGAAATTCTCTGGGCATTCTCAATCTGGCTCGAATCCGTAGCCATAATGCCGCAATTGCTGATGCTGCAGCGAACCGGCGAGGCGGAGACGATCACCACGCACTATCTATTTGCGCTGGGATTGTACAGAGCGCTTTATATTCCAAATTGGATCTGGAGGTACTGGACAGAGATTGATAAGAACACTGGGAAACCGCATTTCGATAGCATCGCTGTGGTGGCTGGGATTATACAGACAGTTTTGTATTCTGATTTCTTCTGGATTTATTATACCAAGGTTATGAAGGGGAAGAAGTTTGCGTTGCCAGTTTAGGCGATCGTACATGCAAGTTCTTGGGCTCTATAAGAAGAGTCGAAGTCTAGACTAAGAAACAATCAAAGATACCGGAGGTCGAGAAACTCAACGGTAGAGTTGGAGATAAATATGTGAAGCTGCAGAGAAATTGGGGGGAGTGCAAGGAAACGGGTGTTTGATTAGCATGGCTGGCGTTATGGTGGGTTAGGACTTTGATCCAAAAAGCAACGATCAGTCCTCTTGTCATATTACTGTAAAATGCATCAAATTTTGCTATATCGAGCATAGAGGAATCGTGAAGTGGCCGTTTCACCCTGACTTAGATTTTACGTAATTCCAGAGTTGAACAGGATCGACCGTCAATGGGGACGTTTATTTTCAAGCCTCAAAAGACCAGGCAAAGGCTTTAGAAACGCTTTATTCTTTTTACTACGGAGACACAAGACCCATATATACATCCATCCGAGAACAAACACCCCTATGCAGCACAAATGAAATCTTCAAATACAAGTGGGTGTCAAATTACGCTCCATAAGCCACCTGACCATGTGGCGCATCAGTCGAATAGCCTGGAGCCATGAAATTTGTCTCCGAGTTATTCTGCTCCTTTGCTGCTGAACATCTTGCCATTGTTGGGGAACTATTAGAAATGTTAGTTTGATTACTTAGCGGAGGGGAAGCAAAGGGAATCTGTACCTTCTTGAGATGACATCTGTGAAATAGAAGTTCTCAACAATCTTCTTCAGTGGTGTGTTGCTTGGCTTGCTGCCCTTATTCTGGTCAACCAACTGAACCTTACTTAATTGCTTCAATGCAACTGGCTCGACGACATCGTAGCTAGCGAGAGCGGGGCTGATTTCGACCATACGGTCTCGGAGCTGAGCGACATCATCATATGGTAATGGTGCGCCGAGGAATTCTGAGACGGCTCGGATAATTTTCCAATCTGTTCTTGAGGCACCCGGCAATGAAACGGCAGCTCTTGTCATCTGGACTCTACCCTCGGTGTTGACATATGTACCGGCCTTCTCAGTATAAGCCGCTCCAGGAAGAACAACATCAGCGATCTGAGCCCCACGATCACCGTGATGGCCTTGATAGACGACGAAAGCATCCTTTGGAATATCCGCAGCGTCAAACTCATCAGCACCAAGAAGCCAGATGAATTTAGGCTTTGTCTCGGCAACAGCAGTGGAAGGTGTTGTGAAGCCAATCTCGTAAGCACCAGCTCTTGATGCGGCACGTTGAAGGACATTGTAACCATTCCACTCCTCTGTTGAGAAGTTGGCAGCGTTCTTCTCAACGAAAGCTCCAACCATCTCGTAGATTGCCTTTGCATCTGGGTGGTCCGTGACACCAGATCCAACGATGATCATAGGTCTCTGAGCCGCTGCAAGTTTCTTGCCAAAGGGTCCGGCAAGTGCTTTCTTCAGCGCAGCAGCATCTAAACCCAAGTGCTCAAACTCAAATGTGGAATCCCAGGTCTCACCGACAACACCGATCTCAAGATCAGATCGTAACCACTGCTTGCGAATACGGGCGTTCAGACCAGCAGCTTCATGTCTTGTGTTTGTACCGACAATGAGCATGGCATCGGCTTCCTCAACTCCCCAAATCTTTGAGTTGAAAAGGAAGTTGGAGCGAACATCGATTCCGTGTGCAAGTGGCTTGCTACCGGATGGTTGATCCAGGGCCAAGTTCTCTGAGCCGAGTTTGTTGGCCAAATCCTTCAAGGCAACCATTGATTCGGTCTCTACAAGTTCTCCAGCGATTGCCTTGAACTCGTTACCCTTTGGCGCAAAGTCCTTGTATGCAGCTGCAATCTCGCTAAGGGCCTGTTCCCAGGTGGCGGGAAGGAACTGATCCTTCTTTCGAATAAGAGGTGTGGTAAGTCGTTGTGTTTTGAGACCATCGCAAGCAAAGCGTGTTTTATCGTTAATCCACTCCTCATTTACATCGTCATTGAGACGAGGAAGAATTCGCATAACTTCCAACCCCCTCGAGTCAACTCTGATATTTGATCCTAAACCGTCCAATACATCAACCGACTCAGTGTGCTTCAGTTCCCACGGTCTCGCTCTGAAGGCGTACGGTTTTGAGGTGAGAGCTCCGACAGGGCACAAATCGATGACATTTCCAGACATTTCCGAATCCAAAGTCTTCTCAATGTAGGTTCCAATTTGCATATCGTTTCCTCGTCCAGTTGATCCAAACTCTGGGGCTCCAGCAACATCGTTAGAGAATCGAATACATCTCGTGCAGTGGATACATCGGTTCATCGAGGTCTTGATCAAAGGTCCGACATTCTTGTCCTCCACAGCTCGTTTTCCGCCAACCTCGTGGAATCGTCCTCTATCGGCTCCATATCTCATCGACTGATCCTGCAAATCACACTCTCCACCTTGGTCGCAAATTGGGCAATCGAGAGGATGGTTGGCCAGCAGAAATTCCATCACTCCTTCTCGGGCTTTATGTGCAAGTGGCGAATTTGTCTTTACCACCATACCAGGCTGTACTGGCCACGCGCATGATGCCACAGGTTTTGGTGCCCTCTCTACCTCTACCAAGCACATTCGACAATTTCCAGCAATCATAAGTTTCCTGTTTTGTAATCAGTCGGGGGTTTCGCAGGCTTATCGAGGGACTCACTCATGATAGCAATATCTAAGTATCAGTTAGCAAACAGTAAATATAATTTCACAAGAATCCACTCACCTGGGTATTACAACTCCGGCCTTCTCGCAAGCTTGAATCAAAGCAGAACCAGCTGTGGCAACCATCAGTATATTCCTCGCCATTCGTTCCACTCTCGAGCATACCTTCGATTGAGACTTGCTTGCCATCTAAACTCCATGTTAGTCAAGATTCGCCGGTACCCGTATCCCTATGCGCCTTACCAATAGTTAACTGGACCTCCGCCTGTCTCCTGCTCGATGTCGCAAAAGTTCTGGAGGCGTTACATGTTTGTCTAGTCGTCCGTAGCGCAGAACGCGCAAGAGTCTGCCTCAGCATCGTGTCCTATTATTGTCTAGACAAAAAGAAAAAGGAACGACACTGTACAGGTGGCGGGGTTGAGGCAATTGAACGTCTAAATCTGAACGTTCTGGTAGCTCGAGGTTGTTCGGCAACGGTGCTAGCGAGGTATAGTGGGTCTGGCGTAATCCAGTAATGCCACCATTTAATTGGTCCAAGCTTAGCGCGTCTTTCGGTTCCTTAAGGAAATTTTCTGTCGCTCTGAATCCTTTTCTTCTTCAAATTAAATTGTATTGAGCACGCTTTATTGTGGGTGTACTTGGGCAACATATCGCGCTTCGGTGTGTATGTCTGCCACTATCGAGTTTTCCTCTATCTTGTGCTCTAGAGCACACCTTTTCGGGCGCTGGAATGGATGCAAATTAGAGCTTTTGCTCAATGAACGCGCAACTTACCGCCGGCTGCTACATCTATATCTTTATACTAAACATTTTCACGGATAGATCTCTTCTCATTTATCTGGCACGCAGATATATACGGCGTCGGACCATAAAGGTGGTCATGGTTAGATTGTCACAGTTTGATGTGGCATGAGCTGATATACGTGTATTTGCCCGCTCAGCTGAAAAGTACAGGGATTCAACATCTCATGTCGTACATAATATACGCACAATCCATCTTTGTGTGACATCTCTCACAGATTTCATTGATATGCCAATGACACTCTGCTCCCATCACGGAATTTCATCAAGAAGAATCCATGAAGCCTCCCGTGAATGAAACTGAAATTGAGAAAGGTCTTCCTAAGACCAACACGTTAAAGGAAGCCATTACTAGATCACGATACCCGATACCTAATTTCGCGGAGCCACTTCCCCAACACTACTTAGAAGGATTGCAAGGCTACGCAAAATCTCTTTCCGATGCGGACCTGAACAATCCTGCAATTTCATATCATGGCACTCTTCGACTCTACAGTCTCCAGCACACAGCCCAAGAGTTGAATGCTCTCAGCAATAAAGCCCTGAAAGCAGGAAATCCGACATGGCATGACCTTGAGCGTTTAAGGCTGCTGCTTCATGATCATGGTAAAATCTTAGAAAGAAAGGCTTAAAATACTCAAGTACTAACCAGAGAATCAAGCCACTGCGCTGAAAGACCTCGAATACATCAACGAACACCTCGTAGGTGTCTCCGAAAAGGGTGTTTTCAACTACAACCAAAAAGTCCACCAAAATAACCTCTCAACCGACACTTCAGCAGGTTGGCTCTACGGAATCCCTCACAGTGATAGGACGCCGTCTCGTCTACACACTTTTCTTCAATCTCATTTACCGAGATTCCTTTCCTGGTCCGTTACAGAAAAGTTGTCGCAGCCTTATTATTATGATACAGGTCATTTACCGAACGAGATTTCTACACCTATCCGGATCATCGCTGGGTTACTTGTAAGTCTAGCGAGTGCGTGCTGTATCATTGTTCCTGTAGTTGTGATGAGTTTCAACCCGGGAAAGGCGAAGAATCTTATTACTGTCGGGATTTGCGTGGTGAGTCGAAGCCTATCTCTCACAAATAGTCTGCCTGTCCAGCTAATCGATCTCCTGGTTTGTAGCCGCTATTTGGATTTGTACTTGCAGCTTTTGTTAGAGTGAGAAGTGAAGCTGTTTTTGTAGCTACAGCAACTTATGCGGCGGTACTGGTAGTCTTCGTGGGTGCTAGTGGACCGAGTAGTGGGACGAATTGAACTCCAGCTAGAGTCTCTTCTTGACCTTTTGAACCAAAAATAACGTTGTTGTTCAAGCCGTCGAATTCCAAGCGCAAAACATGGTCATATCATGCCAACTTTACTTGCTATCACACAGCTTTCAAGGTATAATCCAATTGATCACTGACGAATCCTGGGAGTAGGACTTACGATCGTTTCGTATCTGTGGGTGCTTTCAATGTATTCGGATAAAAATAAAAATCCGAACAGTCTGGACTGTTCAAAATGCAGCTATTGGATTGTACAACAGAAAGGAATCGCTAGGATCTTGACAACTTGAACTCTAGTGGCACTTCTGCCAAGCGTAAGCTAATAACAGAGTGATAATGCAAATTCTTCTACCACGCCTCTCGAAATCTTACATGTGATTAGGTTGAAGAGAGTGACTGAATACACCACCAGAAGTAGCAGCAGCGCTTGCTGCATTGTCACTACCACTGCCTACATAAATCAATCAGAGCAAAAATACCAACGATTACTGCATGATCTAGCAACTTCCCCATCATGGGAAACGAAACAACACTCGATGGATAATTTGAGCATTAATTGTCCTTAAATCCACGGAACTTCTTCGCCTGCTATAGCCTCCATTCACTGCACTTCTCGGAATGGAGCTGTTTTTCCCCCGAGATTTGTGGCAGAACTTGTGAGATAATATGCATAATATGTGACACAGCTCCTTCGGTTTTCAAGTATTGTAATTCCATTTCAAAAACGCCCAGGTATGTACAAGCTCCCCTCATTCAAATACACCCAATGCCAAATACAACTTTCTAATCATCGTAGCCTGAGATATTCGTATTTCTCGGCGTTGTAGGAACTGTAAACCCTCGGGTTAGCAACTATCTTATCCACCTCAGCGAAGTCATACTTGGATATGTGTATGGTATTTCCGGTCTCTTGTAATCTCCGAATCTCGCGCGAATAGGTGGTGCAGCAAATGCAAAGACTGGTCCCATGGATCCGACCAGTATCGAATAGAAGATCGCGGGCTTTTGGACGTGTGCCCATCGTAGGTACCGGAGGGGTTGCGAGAAGAATTGTGGTTTGGCCGACATGATGTCTGGGGGTGTTAGAGTGTCTTCCTAGATTGGAAAAAGAGTTACTTACCCAATTGATTCGATATCACCTCTTCAAGAGACTTTCTACTATTGCGCGACTAGAATGCTTGATTTAAGTCTCGTATGATTCCTGTGAGGTTGGAAATGAAGCTCCCCCGGATACCGGCGAAACGTTGTTCCCAATCATGAATCTTGGCATTGCATACGTTTCCTAAAGCTCCACCACGCGACAAGAGCTGTGAAAGTAACAACACCACATAACATAACGACGATGCGGTGGTTTTCTTCTTTCTTGCTGCTGGTAGCAGCTGCCGTGGTGCAGGCAGTTAGCTCAAGTGGAAATAAACTCTTGGTTGTGCTGGAGGAATTGGCTGACAAGTCCAAATATTCGAGATACTTGAGCAACCTTGAAGGTATGTATCAGCCCTGTGGAAATTTGAAGATTTTCAATTGGAATATACTAACTTAAGGGAATTAAAGCCAGAGGTTTCTCAATTGCCTATGAATCACCGAAGAGCGACAAAGTATCTCTCTTTACTCTCGGCGAAAGAGCCTACGACCACCTACTACTTCTCCCCGCCAAATCCAAAGGTATGTCTTTGAATTAAACACAACTTGAACACCATTTTAACTAGTTTCAAGGACTTGGACCACACTTAACTCCAAAGCTGATGCTCGATTTTATCAATGCTGGCGGAAACATCCTCTTAACGCTCTCCCCCTCCAATCCTACCCCAACTGCGATTGTCTCACTCCTTCTCGAACTCGATATCCACCTCCCAGCGGACCGATCCTCCATTGTTATAGATCACTTCAACCACGATACCATTAGCGCAGGAGAGAAGCACGATGTTGTTTTGGTCCCAAGACCAGATGCTATTCGGCCAGATGTAAAGAACTTCTTCAGGGGAGATGGCAAGGGTGGAGAGGCAATTGCGTTCCCACGAGGTGTTGGACAGAGTCTTGGAAATACTAGCCCTCTGTTGACGCCTCTACTCCGAGCACCACGCTCGGCATATGTATACAATGCACAAGAAGATACCGATTCTACTGAGGATGCGTTCGCTGCAGGACAGCAATTATCTTTGATCACCACAATGCAAGCCAGAAACTCTGCTCGTTTTACTGTGGTTGGATCTGCTGAGATGCTCGAGGATGCTTGGTTTGACGCAAAAGTCAAGCGCAGTGCTGGTATGACCGGGGCTCCAGTCGGCAAGGAACTCAAGACCTCCAACCAAGCATTTGCAACTGAGGTTACTGGGTGGACTTTCAAGGAGATTGGAGTTTTGAAGACCGTTAATATCGAGCACCATTTGAATGAAGCTGTTTCCCAGAACATTAGCAACCCAAAGATTTATAGAGTCAAGAACGATGTGGTAAGTAGATATCCTCTGTGGTGTATACAAATAGCTAATTTATCTTGCAGACATACTCCATCGAGCTCTCCGAGTACTCATGGGATAAGTGGGTTCCATTCACTCCTCCTGCCGGAGATTTTGTTCAGCTCGAATTCTCTATGCTTTCGCCATTCCACCGTCTGCCATTAAAGGCCGTTAAGACCACCTCGACGGGTACTGTCTATACCACAAGCTTCAAACTCCCAGATCAACATGGTATTTTCAACTTCAAGGTCAACTACAAGCGTCCATTCTATACCAATGTGGAGGAGAAGAACACTGTAACAGTTCGCCATTTTGCACACGATGAATGGCCAAGGAGTTGGGTTATTACTGGTGCCTGGCCATGGATCGCGGGTATCGGCGCCACCGTTACAGGATGGGTAGCATTTGTTGCACTATGGTTGTGGAGTAAGCCAGTGCCATTAAAGTTGAGCAAGAGTGGGAAAAAGCTACAGTGATTTGACCAAAATGGGGTTAGGTATTTTGTATGATACAAACAAAAGTGTACAAGCTATAGATGGCAATCTGTGGCAAGCTGAATGAAAGCACATTTATATATCCATTATTTTGGCGGTAGGCAATTCAAAATCACTTCGAAGATGTTTTGTTGTATTCCGTTTGCTCGGACTGCTGTAGCTGACCAAGAAAATGACGAGTCGCATCTTGGGGAAGTTTTGTTGCAACTCGAAGCGTAAAATCTGGTTCACTACCAATTTCGCGGAGATTATTGTACCAGACTTTGAGATTCGAAATGCAACAAAACGTTCTCTTCTCAATTTTTCTGTATATGAACCCGAAAATACAGTCGAAATAAACAATAAATTTAATGGATCTCTGCCATCGAGCAATCTATTTCCCGAGACATTAATTTGTCTCGTGCAACAAACGGCAAACGAGAAACTTTGTCTCGAAATCTGCCCTTGCGTTGGCGATGCGATTTGCAACAAGATTTGAACATGGGATTGTGGAATGGTGTTCATACAGTACAGTACTGCAAATAGATCACGCTTTGAGGCTCTGCCATTTACGGAACAACGGTCGTTACATTGTAGGCCGTACCCGTCAAACGGGCCGAGGGTACGTATAGAAAGTGTTTTCACTGGTTGAGAAAGCGCTCGTATCTGAAGCTTTTCTACGCCAATTAGGAATGGTCCAATTTAGCGTGCGCCTTTTGCTGGAGATGTTGGTGGGTTTTGATTCGACATGAATACGAAGAGTAAGATTGATACGAGTAGCAGCTGCGCTAAGGCATGGATGTGGCAAGTCTTGTTGTTGAATCAAGCATTACCGAGCGCTCACATCGGAGATAGATTCCTTGGAGAGATCATGATCGCAATTGCTGGGCAAGAACAATTACTCTACTCATTCCGAAAAAAAGGCAAAAGGAAATCCAAAGTGTTAGCTATCTGGCATACATCATCCACGCATACCTCTAGGCATCTACACGTCAAAGAGTAAGCAACAAGCGCAACCATCAACCCGTGTCCTAGGGAACCTGCTCAATGCAGCAAAGCGTCGGTGAAAAGACCGCCCGCAGAAACCGTTTCTTCATCAAATCAGATGTGGGATTCGTCATCCGTGCGGGTTGCATCTGAGTGGCTTCTGTTTGATCCGAAGAATAGTCAGAGTGTCATCGGGAGCGCTAAGGTGGGTTTTGGTAAATATACGTTCTCGCCTCCCCCCCTTTGGTTTTCTGGTTGTTTTGTTTGTTTGTGTGTAGACTTTAAGAGGAGTTGTATTGAGATCTTGAGAAGATCTTTGGAGTTTTAAATCGACGAGTGTTAGAGGATTGATATCTTATTACTATTTTATATTTCTTCAGTTTAATTATTTATATCTTTCTATTCGACCTCGATTTACCCTCAAGAGGACGTCAAGTCTATCCAATACCCTCAATCCAAAGCCCAACATGGCTTCCCTAATCAATACCGCCCTCCAGCTCGTCGCTCGGGAAAATCCCAAGCAGTACGAAGATTGCACCGTGGAAACCTGTCCCATCGACACCTCATACTACTTCTACCGCGTATCTCTCGGCGCAAACGCAACCTTCATCGCCCTCTTCTCCCTCTCATTCATCGGCTTCGTCGCCGTCTATGGCTTCACCCGCCGAGCCACAGCCTTCACAGTCGCCATGTTATGCGGTGTAATACTCGAAGTAATCGGCTACGCAGGACGAATCATGAGCTGGCAAAACCAATGGAAAGAGCCTGGATTCCTGATGCAAATCGTCTGCTTGACAATCGCGCCCGCCTTCATGGCTGGTGGGATTTACCTTTGTCTACGTCGAATCGTCTACGCATTCGGCCCCGAGAACTCTCGAATCAAACCCGAATCTTACACCCGAATCGTAAGCCCCCCTCTCCCCTCCTCTAGTAATCCCGACTAACAACCCCCAGTTTATCCCCTGCGATCTCCTATCCCTCCTCCTCCAAGCCGCCGGTGGCGGTATCGCATCTGCGAAATCTCACGCCCACGAAGACCCCGCCCTCGGCGACAACATCATGGTAGCCGGCCTCTCGTTCCAAGTCTTCACGCTCCTCGTCTTCATGGTCCTCTGCGCCGACTTCGCCCTGCGCACATTCCGCCGCTACAAATCCATGGGCGAATCCGCGTTCGACCAAAACCCGCAGTTCATCGCGGCCCGCAACTCGATTAAATTCAAGGGTTTCCTCGTGGCGCTCACACTGGCCACCATCTGTATTTTCTGGAGAAGTGTGTACCGTGTTGCGGAGCTAGCCGAGGGCTGGGAGGGTCATCTGATCAAACAGCAATGGCTTTTCGTAGGCTTCGAGGGCGTGATGGTTATTGTTGCGTGTGCTGCGTTGAATGTTTTCAACCCCGCTTTTGCGTTCCCAGGGGGGATGGAGGGCGCTGGTGGTTTGGGTACGAGTAAGAAGATGAGGAGGGAGAGGGAGGCGGAGAAGGTTGTTGAGAGAAGTGAGAGTGATGATAATGGGAAGATTTCTACTGTTGTTTAGAGTGGTTCTTGGTTTGGATAGATTACGGCTATGGGTAGAATGGATGGTAGTAGATTATTTAGAGATACCAAAGTAGAATACAAGTACATTTTTTGTCAAGTTTAATCTTCTTCTAGGATAATAACCATCTGGTGCTGTGCTTACAACCAAAAAAAAACTTACCAATCAAACTATCTATAATTTGGACTCGATCGCCCGATTTCAGCACCTCGAATCATACATTAGTAGAGAGTCAAACATTAACACCTGTATTGCCTCAACTATATGCAGTGTAACATACCTAGGTTGCTAGTACCACAAAAGCGGTTATCCGCATATCATCCTAATCATGTGGTTATCCGCTTGTTTGCTGTCTAGGTTAGATGTGTTTGCTATGTGACACAAATATCGTATTTGTGTTCCGTGTAATAAGAGTTCGGAGTTTCGAGGTGGGGGTGGTTTTGTCCGTTGGGGGGATGAATGTTATACAGTTAATAGGTTAGACTGATTTTTGTTTTTAGGACTTGCAGTGACCTGTTATTATTGATGTTAGGGTAGACTAGGGAGTTTCAAGGTAGATGTTAATTAAATAAGTTGAGTTAGTAGACCCTCATCTATGCTGGTATAAGAAAACTGGATTTATTTAGATGAGGAGTGTATCGACTCAAATGAACATTATGAACTTATTGACTTCCTCTCCATTTCGTGTGGAATTATCGTCACTATCTCAAACAGAGACACATCTCCATCTCATCTATGTTGACTACCCAAGATCTGATTCAGAGCGCTCTACATTACATGTTATGAAAAGCTTTCCAAACATATAACCCTACGTATGCTCAATTAATACCGAATCCGCTTACCTCTTCACTCGTACCTCACACCGTCAACTCTCAATTACTAACAGGCCAACAACTCCCCACCCCACCTCCCTCAAAACTCACAACAACATCCGCCCCAAACTCCAGCGGATCCCCCTCCCAAACCACCACCCCCGCCTTATTCAACCCCAGAATCCCCTCCACGTTCCCCGCCACCAACCCCACCGCCTCCCCTCGACTCAACCCCGCCAACTTCCCCGCCCACGACGCCTCAACCATCAGATTATGAATATGACTATCATTCTCGCCTGCCGACGCGAGCCCAACCTTCACGCCCGCTGCCGTTAACACTCTAACCGGCGACTGCGAAAGCGGCGGCCCAGGCAGCGCAGAGCGTTTGGAGAATGAATCGGGTGCCGGGCGCGGATGGGAGAGAAGCACGGGGATGGATGCTGCGGCGAGGTGCGTCGCGACGAGGTGTGCAGAGGCGCCGCCGTGGAGGATGAGGTTTGTGGTGTTGAATGCGTGTTTTAGGGAGATGAGTTGAGATATGTCGTACTAGACAGCTTGTTAGTTGAGGTTTGGTATAGGGAGGGGAGAGGGTAGGTACTTCATCGTTTGCGTGGACGACGAGAGGGATTTCGCCGCGGGACGCGCGGCCGTAGATGTTCGTTTTGTTGGTGTTTTGGTGGAGAAGCTGGCGGAGTTTGTGGACGGATGAGGAGATTGTTGGGAGAGATGCGGCTAGGTGGTGTTAGTTTCGTGGGTTTGAAAAGGAGGAGAAGACGGACACTTAGCGTTTTGTCCGATTCTGAAATGCAAGGCGACGTCTTCTTGGAAGATTCCTCCGTCTAGGATAGTTTTCTTTCCGCTGGTTAGAATTCCAACACTCACGCCATCTGCAAATCCATTCGATAACGGTGCGGAAACAGCCCTCGTCACGCCTCCAATTCGAGCTCGAGCAAATCCTCGACCGTCGAAATGAATTCCGTATTTTGCGTATACTACATTTTCTGGGTCGACAGAGGATGGGGACTTCCCAACTATTCCATCGCTGGTACCGCTATCAAGGGCAATCTCTGAAAGTCCGAGACTTACGGATACAGCTGTGAGACCTGGAAGGACATGGCCATTTTTGAGGTTAATAATCGGACCTGAAGTGATGTGAGAAGAACAGGCCTCATGGGAAGCGAAGCACAAGATTTCTCCGTTTTTAATAACCATTGTTGCGTTTCCGTCTTTTGTGGCTGGGTATTCGTCATTGAGGTAAGATTTTCTGATGCCCGTAATAGTGATTCGTGCTCCATCTTTCTCGACTTGATCGCAAATTTCTTGCCTCTCTGTTGAGGAAATTGTCGATTTCTGCACGAGTGTTTTCTGTTCTTCACCTTGCTCAATGACAGCTCCAGATTCTGCAACCGTCTTTGGGTCTAGAGTAGCTCTTCCATCAATATAGACCTGAATTGCTGTGGCACCAACAGATAACGGATGAGAGTTCCAAACCACAATATCTGCATCATATCCTGGTCTGACATAGCCAACTCGGTGGTCGACTTCAAGAGACTTCGCTGGCACACTGGTGACAGATTGAAGGGCTAGTTCCTCTGAAAGTTGGAAAGCATGCGCAGTTGCCGCTTGATGGAGCAAGTATTTTGCGCTCGTCTCTTCACCAACATGGTCCTGCTCAACTCGTCAGATAGGTCGCTGAACAGTCAGATACTAACGAGTACTGACCGACTTATACGCAACAGGCACGCCATGCTCTGCCAATATTCTTCCAGCCCAAAGATTGGCTTCATATGCTTCCTTCTTATATAATCCCATCTCCGCAAAAGTAGCGATGGTAATGTTATCACCACTAGCCTTGAGCATCTCAGGAACTTCCCAAGCATCAAGCGCATGATGAAAAGCCTGGATACGAAACCCAAACTCCTTACTATGTTTCATCATATCCTCCATATCTTCCGTCTCATAGCAATGAACGTTAACCCCAATCTGGCCTTTCAACATCGCAATACTAGAATCATACTCCAAGTAATCTCTCGCTAGATCTTCGCTGTCGGTTTTTTGAACGAAAGCAGCAATTTTCTCGGCATCGCTAGAAGACTGGAGAGATTGTGCTGTGAGACACCACTCATCCTGTTTCAACATCAACTCACGAGCACGCGCCATATGTTTACGAAAGATCCAAGCCGTACCCATCCGCGTATGATCATACACAGCACGAGGATTCGTTCCACAAGCCATTTTCATGTATCTCCTTCTGTCATTCAGCGGAATGCCGTGCTCTAACAAGATCTCCTCAACAACCTCCTCGCCATTCGGTCCAGAACACAGTAGATTCTTGACGATCACGGCTTCACCACCCATGATATTGGCACTTCCAGGGAGAATAAGACTTGTCGTTACACCACCAGATGCGATGATTGTAGTGGCGATATCATATGCTTTGATAGAGTCGATGACCCGGACTTGGGGTGTCAAAGGTCCTGTCTCGGGATTGACTTCATTGCTATCATCGGTTTCCAGTAGGATTGGCCAGCTTATTGCTAGATGATGAGAATGCATGTCCACCAGCCCCGGTGTCACATATGCACCTCTCAAATCCGAGCTCTGATACTCATCTGGGAAAACAGTCTTCCCAGAATTCGTAACGGAGTCAATGATCCCATATTTGAAGACGATATCAACTGGCTTTTCCAGGAATTTCTCGCCATCGAAAAGGGTCGCGTTCTTCAGGACCAAAGTCGTGTTCTGTCCTGTTACAGGATTCCATCTCGGATTGTGTCTCGAACCAGCTTTCGTCTCTGGGTATTTAATTGGTGATCTCTGGCTTTCGGCGCACCTCTGGAGACCGACTTCAAGTTTTGAGGTGTAGAATTGTTGGAGTCTGAGCTCGTCAGGTGAGGGGTCGGAGATGGCCCATCGTGCGGATGAGATGATTATATATAAGATAATCGCGCATATGAGAAGAAAATTGGCTGTTGGTTTAGCCCATGATAATCTGGTGGTTTTGGCAACGAATTGATCTAGTTTTGGCTGTTCATCAGACGTCTTGTGGTCTTGGGTTGGGTTCGCAGGGATTGAAGCTTCGTAAGCATGATTGAGACTCGCCATTGCTCCTCGCAAAATACAGACACCAAAATCAGAATTAAAGCATCATCATGTAGATTCAGATGAAAATGTACGAAAGTACAATTGTTGTGCCTAGTGATGTATGCATGGATGCACGCGTTGCGCTAACCTTAGTTACAGACTTGTCACAATGAACCCCATTTATGCTCCTTGATTGGCATCCCACTCTCTGACTTCATTAGGCACAAAGATTTCTATGTCAATTGTTAGAGGGAATATGTAATAAAATAAGTTAACAGAACCTTGAGTTTTTAATTCTGAATAGAAGTCGTCTAGCAGAATCGATTTCTCTTAATTAGTGTTCACGAAGGTCAATTTTTCGCACCAGTTTGTGTTTGACTGGATCTAAAAATTATATTTTATTCTTCGTTTATATACATTCTATGTATTTTTTATACTAAAAGATGTCTTTCATCGCTCAATTTACAATTGTCACCTATAGACGTCCCCTCCTAGTTCATATACAGGCTGAGGCTGCCCGTCCTGCACCAGATGACCTTTCAAGGGTGCTTGGCTATTCAATTCCGCCGGCTTAGAAGCGCTATTCAATTCGGCCGCTTGTTCATGGGTGTTCAACTCGGCCGGGACGTAACCAACATCGCTATATTTCTCAGGTGTTGAATCGCCCTTCGAATGCGATTTCTTCTTCCGGAGGTACAGAAAGATAAAAACACCAAAGGCAATAATCCCGAGAACAAGAACAGCAATACCAGCACCAATACCTGCCTTGGCGCCGGTTGTGAGCCTACTCGTTGGCTTTTCGGTATCTGAAGACGATGTCGTATTCGTTGCTGTTGAATTCGTTGTTGCTGTGCCGGCTGAATCCACAGTGAGTGGTACCAAGACACTCTTCCAACTAGCTACCCAATCGTTTGAAGAAGGCGAGATTGTTGCATCTTGATCCTTTATAGTCTGAACGCTAGTCTGGGACCCAATGTTGGGACCCGGGGCTTGTGCAAGCCACCATACGCCCTGATTGTTGTTGGCATTCCAATTCGCTCCCACAAATGCCGCCTGGAGAAAGGCACGACCTAAAGAATATTTGCCATTCGATTGTGCATTGCAAGGAAAATACGGGACCGTCGACGTAACCAGAGGTGCTTCGAGAGTCAGGTTGAGGAGCGTGAAAGGTACATTGATCGTAATGTTCTGCGAATTGCTCTGGTCTTTGCGGAAGATAAAACCGAGAACGGACGGAGACGATACGATCTGCGTGTACCGTGGGTCGTCGGTGTTCCATGTATAGAGACCAAGGTCGGTATTGTAGGTCACCGGAAGCCAAGCAGCAATGGCATCGCAACTGCTTTTTGGCAGATTTAGATATGGAGCTTCCGGAAGCATGGGGACTGACAAAGCAGATCCAATCGAAGAGTTACCAGTAGCAAGAAGATTGCTTATTGCCGACGTATTGAAAGGTGAAGACCCGTCGACTACATTAATTGCGATGTCGAGCAAATCGATGAGGCCTTTCGTTCCGTCATCATCGGGTTCAATTCCAGCAAAAGCTCCTTGTTGTGTTGAAACAGTACCACAAATTCGTGATTGATCGTATCCACCAAAATAAAGCGAACCTTTGATCTTCGATTTGACCGAACCAATCTGCAATCCGAAAGAGTTTGAAGGCGCCAAATTTGCGGCTTGTAAATAACCAGGTATCAAACTTCCGTTGATCAAAGGCTCGTCAGGAAAAGTAAAGCTTTGGTTTACCGTGCCCAAATAACCCAAGCCCAATGTACCTACTTGTAATGCTGCAATAGAGCCGCTTGGATAGATGGCAGCAATACTGTCATACATGGCAATAGTTACATTTGGCACCGTGATGGTTTTTCGAGTGAGATCAGACGTCCCAAGAACCATCTGATCTAATGCACCTATTCCTGCTGTTCCCTCAATCCGGAGGCCGCCATGTGTAAAATCGGTCGCGGCAGGAAAACCTATAATATCGTCCAAGGCGGTATTTGAGCTTTCGGAGGCGTAAAGACCACCAGCTGAGGCAAAACAAGCAGTCGGTGATAGGGTCGTATTGGAACAGATTCTTGGTGTTAGAAAGTGGGAGCGAAAGGTTCCTCCAGGATAGAGAGCAACTTGTTGTATAGGATATCCAACGCCAATTTGCACCGCTTGCCATGGTCCGTCCGGTCCAAAGGTTTTGTTTGACCAACTCATACCAAATGGTGGTAGTGAGTCTGCTGCGGACACTCGAACGACGAGGGTGCCGAGGACGAACAGCCAACACAACCGCGTCATAACTGCTCTATCGACTTGAAGCAACAACATGATGAGATGGAATGTGTCGAAGAGAGCAAGGAAAAGAATGAAAGATGAAAAACTGTTGCCCTCTGGGGTCGATAGCAGCTACCTACGTACAATTGATTTCATGTCAGGACAAGTGCTTACGGTACTGGTTTCTGATACTGGGATGAAGCAATTCAAGCTGATTTGACTGCAGAGAGGCTGAGTACAATGAGTAGCCAATAGGGAAACACGATCTCCGATTAAATCCGTTTGATTGGGAGGCAGCTTGTCCTTGATCGGAAGAAATCAGAATGAGCTGGTGTTTTAGAACAAGGGACATTGCGGCGCGTAGACCTAAGCGCGAAGTTAGGCTTGCCACGCCGCCTCCTTGCATTTATTTATGCGTTGCGGGTACTCGATTATCAAAGTCAGGGGTGGTCATAGGCAACTTCTTCGCCGTTGGGAAAGCACGTAAAGTGTTTTGTTTGCTTATTTGACACCCTAGAATATTAATTACACATCCCTTGAATTACCTAAACAGGTTGGCGTCCCGTCTTCTCAGTCCAATCCACTCCAGGTTATCATTCTTCTCTCTTGCTTTCTTGATTATGAGTACATCAACCGTCTTAGAGCTACTGGAATCGCTCCCTTGGACTGGCAAGATGTGTCCTACTGGTATTCCTCTTCTAACAGACTTGTAACCTCGTTTTCTGCTCCATTCTTTTCAAGATACAATGATTGGGAAGCATTCCAAATTGCTATTTTGATTGGCCAAGAACAAGTGTATACAGGGGAAGTGTGCGGGTTTCGGGAGTTCATCCGAGAAGTTTAAGCTTTTAGGGCTTTGATTGTGGCGCCTGAATTCGGATCACTCCATCCCATGTCCACAAGCACTCAATCCTGCGCCTCAAAAGCGCTTTCTCGATTCTTGGCTTTTCTCACAAGCCAAGATACGAGTAGCAAAGCGTCAAACAGTGAGGAGTCCATCACCGAACAATCTAGAGTTGCAAAGAGAGCCCCAATAAAGTCTAATTACACACGGCACGGGAGAGGTCGGAGTTGAGCACAGCGTGCTTTCGAAGCTGTCCCTCGAATTTAAGACACATAGCTAAGTTTACGACATACAAAGCCGTTGAAGACCTAGAAAAGTTTGAATTGAGCTTTAAAGTAGTCGTGTAACTGCTTTTATAGAGGTGCAGCTAGATAGGTAGTTTGCTATTTCAAGTATATCCCACGCACTATGTCCCCTGGAGCCTTGGGCAGTAGGAAAAAGAAGAGCTTTTATCAACAGAGAGCTACTTTTATCGATTGTCGCAATTTCAATCCTAAAGGATAAAGCAACAGAATTACTGCAGCTTGGAAGTTACTGTCGGGTAGAAAATAATCTAGAAGAAGTAGGAGCATAGCATAAGTTGACAAGAGTCTCAGGTGTCAGTAACACTTTATCTTTTTACTTTGTGGTGGAAGAGATTTCTAAGAAGACTATAATAGTTTCTCATTTGCCAGATTTATTGGGGAGGTTTTGATGTCAAAATGTAAGTCTTGTCTTCTATTCCTCCGAACAACATATCTGAGGTACTTTCTGCTTCAATATCGTCAATTTTAGATGCTGACATCTTACATAGCTATCTTTCATCACCCAACATCCTCTATTGAACTAACTATGGCAAAGTTCAAGACCTCAACTCTTTCAAAATACCTACAAAACATGTCAACAACCTTTAAGCAGCCACTTCCACGAGTTAAAATCCAGTAAAAACACTAGACACCAACTTCACCTTGTTGATCTCCACATCACCCTCCTTTCGATGACCTCTTCGATGATACGGCCCACATCGAGCAGCATGTTATGATACCTATATCTTCTTCTGGTGGGTGCCAGACATTATAATCTCCACGTTTTTACCTCCGCACAAAATCACGAAAACTTGTAGCGGGAGAAATCCCAGACATGCGTCGTTCCTCATATCTTCTGCAGCTTCGACGCCAAAATCCTGCGTAATAGAATCATATATCTTTGTGTGGACAGCCTTTAGTAAGCGATAGGCGCGTATACTCAGCGAAAAATAGTCAACATTGTGCAAAAACGTTTCTTGGTGCATGATGGACTCGAGCGCTTTCAAGAGTTGTATTGTAGAGAATCCAACGGTCTTCGACCGTGTAGTGGGATCGGCATTTTCAACCCGATTTTGCACCAAGCCAGTTTCGAGACCTTCGTCCGGGCTCCTCTTGTCATTGTCGCTCTTAACAGTGTGGGCCCTCAGCGCTGTTGCCGTTGTTGCTAGTAGTTTTTCCAGACTTTCCAAACTAAGCGCATTACGACCAACGTTGCAACCGCCTATACTGGAATGCCTCAGTGCAAGGCGGCCCCTATCTTTACTCTTCCACTGGAATTTACGGTTTCGAGGTTCAGCAGCGAAACTGGTGGCAGAATATCCCGCACCAAGCATCGCGCGCCTAAGACACTACATTCATTTTGAGATTAGTTACACTCTCAGTACGAAACAATCGTGTGTGCATTATATGATCTTTCTATCGTAAGACAAATTCTCTCAAGATGGTAACACTTACCTCGTGAATGTTTCTTGGGCGTTCCCCTAGAAACATTTTTTTTGCAGTGTCAGTTGCAATGACTGCTTCCAGATCCTTCCTGTACGAAATTTTCATTTAGCCAATTACCCAACACACTCTCTGGGAAAATCAAACCCTTACTTCATGTAATTAACCTGGAGAGAGTGACTTACCATGACTTTTTGACAACCTCTTCCATCAGACATGCGTTGTAAAGTTGTAGGATAGCAATCAACCACCCCCAACGATTGGCAAAATTCAGCCCCCTCATTTGCACATCTAAGTCTATTCTTAAACGTAGCATTCCACAAAGTACAGGGTGCGACTTTAGAAGTAAATAACTCTCATCTACCCGTGGGTGATCGTACTCGCACAGGGTTGCGCCTCTTGCACGCCAGAGTCGGTCCTCTATTATTAATAGATCAATGCCATCGATCAATTGTTGAGCTGTGTCGGTTATCGGTTTGTCTCTCGTCTTATTCATGTCCTCAATAAAAGCTAGGTGGTTTTCAAGGGTGTTTTTTGAACGTAAGCCGGCAGCCATTAGTTCAGCTTGAGGCCGAGTAATATCGTCGAAAAGGATATACTGAATATCGAGCCTGTTAGGATGCACAGTTAGTATGCGAAAAACGGAGATCGCTCGAAGATGAAAGATGCGTGATACAATGACCCTTCTCTGTCGAAAAGCTATTTGTTCAAAAGAAATATACTGTAGAAGTCTAAGCTTTCTCCTCAAAGATAGCTAGAATACGGTGCAATTTTGAAGGTCTCTTATTCAACTTACTGTACTTGTAAAGCTAGGACAAGCCAGGTCGGAATATGGTTGTCAACTATCATTTTGAGGACTCCTGAAGTAAGTTCATCGTTTCCAAAAACCTTGTAGGCGGCATGCAAGTCGCCTGCGGTCTGATGTAACCTATTACGAAAGCGTTCAAATTAGCAACCACTCAACACAGCTTCTTGCTATGGATAGGTAACTTTCAAAGAAGGAATTGAAAGATGTTCTTACAAAAAGACAAACTCTGGCAAATGGGTGCTTAGCAAGATAGAAACGTCACAATCCCACTTGCAATCAGGATTCAATAAATCTGTACTGGAGTCGAACTTGACATTTTTGTAATCAAAGGCGATGGGTGCTGGATAATTTTTCATGGCAGCCTTGACTTTCTTTCTTTGTATCTTCCAAGCCGCGGGCATATTGCCCTCTATACGTTTTCTCTTAATCTCATCGAGGAAAATCGAAAGAATCAAGTAGACGGGGAGTCCAGTCCAATCTGCGATGTCGAACATATCGTGATTGTATACATGTGACTCGCTTTTCCTATAATCGATATCCTGTCCTCTACACTCGGCCGTAGCACCGTAGATAAGATCCTGGATCAGCTCGTAATCCCACATTGCGGGATCTTTTCTATCTTTTCGATGCAATCTTAATTGTAGTTGTTTTACCAATTCTTCTTCAGAGCGTCTGAAAAGCTCAAATGCTATGTTTGTTGATAATGCGGCTGTAGTCAAATCTACACGACCATTCTTGTAAGATGTCCACAATGCCTTTAGATGTTGGCGGGTTATATTGAAATCTTCGAAAAAGCAGTATACTAGACGTTGTGATCAGCTCGTTACAAGCGTATGGATTCCGATAGTGGTTTTTGTAAAGTGGGATATAGGGATAGAGGAGGTCTGGCCGTGACTGGTACTTACTTAGCCATAGTTCGTCCTCATAACTCAGGAATTCAATTTTCACGTTGACCTTCTCACATCGAGACTCTTTCGCAGGCCCAGGTTCTGTCATAGTATGCTCTGTATCGGGTTCCATCTCTAAATACTCAAATATGTTAGTTATTTCTTCGATTGGATCTTCTGGGGTTTCAGGTTTCTTCGTCCTTGGTTTCGTGGTACTCCCTTGGAGGCTAATCAGGATGTTGCGTATTGTCTCTAGAACTTCAATGAAGTATTGATGGCTTATATTGCTCTCGTGGGCTTGTTCATGGGCACTGCTAGTAGTCTGACGAGCAAACCATCGAGCACTCTTCTTGCGCCCAGCAATAACTTGTTCGATCATGTTGGTGACCCATAGTGGAACTCGGACCTTAGGGATAAAACTAGCAACTGCGACATATGTCAGGAAAGACGAGAAGGACTCATAGGAATGACTAACTTGATTCCGCAAGGGATATGTACTCATTTACCGTAATAAATATTGTTGTGGCATCTGCTGCCATATTTTTCTTCTTCGATTTTGCCTTCCCGCTTCCCTTGGCTTTACTTCCCTTTCCATTCTTCCGTTTGGGGGTAAGTTTGGACTTTTTATTTTGTCCGCCCCTTCGCTCGCCTTCTTCTTCTGTTTTGATGTCGACATTCTCTTGCTCCAAGCAATGTCCACATTCCACCGCGTTCTCATACAGCCAGTTTAAGACCTTTTCGGTTCCCGCCTTGTAGGTTTGGTAGGTTCCTGGTACAATGTTCGATGCCATCGTGGAAAGTTGCGAGGTCGAAAAACAAAGCTCGAAAACTAATTAGGGGTCTTAATATGGTTCTTTCGCTTGAGGTGAATGCAAGCCAAAATCAACATTTGATTCACTCGTCGCTTTACTACGAGCTCGTTTCGCTTGATAGCTTCCGTGACCTTTTTTTCACTACATACTTTAAACCTCGAATATATCATTCACTAGTGACCGAGAAATACCGAAAGATTCCGAAATGTCTCCTATAATTAGGAACGGAGAAAGGCACAGCAAAAAAGGCAGAATTCCTACCAACAACAGTTGTCTACAACTAGCAGGGGAAAAAGACACTCTATGCAGTAAAAGTTGCAAAGGGTGTAAGAGTAAGCCACCCATATTGCGGGAAGTAAGTCGTTGAAAGCAAACATTAGTATATGGAATTGAAATCTCTGATACGTAAGAAGTGTGTCGAAAATGCTGCCAAGACTGATGTATTAGTGGTATGTCAACAGTGGTTCTATAAGGATAGATCAGGCAATCACGATTACAAAAAATATGAGTTGATTGCCCTATTGCAACAGATAATGTTCGTCGCATAAACTTGCATCTCGAAAATCTAGTACTGCTTATCGCAGAACAAAAAGACGATAAACGCATTTATTCCAGCACGGATTCACGGAAGCTACATATATATTAGTAGGCTCACAATCGCATAGATTTTGGGCATCGGAGGGATTCTATACCGATATTTGCAGCGAATATCGTAGCTGATGCCGTAGCTGAACACAGCCAGGCATCTAAGACATCATCCTCCCCTACTCACACCTCGCTTAGACATTGGCAATCCTTATGAACAACTTCATCTGTTATCATGATATGGTGTGATATCTAGCAAGTACCGAATAGGGAGTTGGGTTCGCAGATATCAGAACCAAGTGATCAGAGTTCAGAACTATCTAGGACAGGAATCCTTCGAACTGAATACGAACGGCACGCAATCCGACTCTCTGCATGTGCCAAGGTGGCGAACCTAGCTTTGGCATCACTTGACAAGATTGAAGGCACGAAAGAGAATAAATTATGTCTTTCGACAAGTTGTCCATAGAATTAGATCATTACTAAAATAGCCTGAGGATAAAGCCCAACTGTAAGTTACTTCCAGTTTTTAATTTTATAAAATCTCCACACTCCGCCAAGATGAGATCCACACTTCTTTCACTTACCATTCTCTCGCTGAATCTCCTAGCAGTACTCTCCCAAGAAGACCCAGAACTACCAGAAATCCCAGACGCCCCAGACGGCGATATCGACATCATAATAGACTTTAACACCGGCATCGTAGATGGCATTCCCCTCCCAGGCGACCTAGCAGACCTCAACTTCACAACCTCTACCAGCCTCACAATCGCACAAATTCTAATGCTCAACACCACAGCTCAAGGTGGTACAGACCTATTCAATTCCAATGATCTATTCCATCCATGCTACAAATGGTAAGCCTGCGTCTCCACTTGCCACCCAAAACTAACCGCGACAGGACGCTGATTACCCCTATTCTGACCGAGCTCTTCAAAAACAATCAAACACAAGAGTGTAATGATAATGCGCGAGCGGCTGTCAGGGCTGGATTTCATGATGCAGGCACTTGGTCGCGTAAGCTTGCTGCGCGGAATATTACGCAAGGTGGTGCGGATGGTTCGCTTTATCTTTTTGATGAGGCGAAGACGAGAGCTGAAAATCGGGGTCTGGAAACTATCACTGAGATATTGGGGCAATTAGCCAGACAGTATCAACTCAGCGTTGCTGATATGTTTCAGTTCGCAGCTGCACATGCTACGGTGACTTGCCCACTGGGTCCTCGAATGCGCACCTTCGTTGGCAGACCAGAAGCGACATCCGCATCCCCAGATGGTCTTTTGCCAAGTTCCAACGACGATGCAAATACTCAGATTGAACTGTTCCGGGACAAGGGTATTGGACAGCTGGATCTAGTGGCACTTGTGGGTGCTCACTCCGTCTCGAAACAACGACATGTGGATGAATCGCGTCCCAACACCTCACAAGATAGTACACCAGGAGTTTGGGATACTGAGTTTTACGGCAATACATTGAACAGCGATTCTGAGCCATTGTCTTCGAATATGACAACCTTTCCTAGCGATAAAGCATTAAGTCAACATCCATCGCTGGTAAAGGAATGGAACGGCTATGTTGCACGGCAGAATGATTGGGTTGAGCATTTTTCAAGAGCGTATCTGAGATTGAGTTTGGTGGGTGTACAAAATATACAGAAAATGGTTGAATGTAAGTGAGACATCTTGTGTGTACACTCTGTAACTAAGCTTGTTGAATAGGTACGAATGCTTTGCCGCTACATCGATCGACATTTCCGTGAAGAAACGTGGGCTTGCTCGATGATTCAAAAATTTGTTTGATGAAGCTCTGACTTGTCTAGCCTTTTCTTCAAATCTATAGAGATTGCAGACTAACACGTTTCCCTACCGCGAGGTTTGGTTCAATTCGATATTAGTTTCCTGCAACCATTTTAATATTACATTTGTCTTCTACTACATTTTCAATGGATCTATATCTTGAGTTTGAAATCTTGCTCGAAGCTTCGAATCGAGTAGTGAAACTTGATAATTCAGGAAGTCTTTTTAAAACCAGAAGCAAAGTGCTTTGCAGATGGCGAATTGATATAGCAAGCTGAGCTATTCGGAACAAGTCAGTGTTATTCAAGTAACAGATCTCTCTCGTTGGAGTTTCTCATACCTGATGTCTTACTCAGTACGCTTTTGAAACAACTCAATCTCGTCATCAGATTTTCTCTCCGTGGCAAGTTGAAATCTATAGCAATCGTTGGGACCTGGGCGTAGCACTAATTTCTCAATTCGCTGCAGTGGATGAACTGCATCTTTGCCGGCTCGTCTATGAGCAAAACCTGGGGCACTAGTGAAAGCAACACCAAAGGCATCCTGAGAATCAGTGAAGTCCACCACAAGATTCATGCGGACCATGAAATAGCAAAGACAGAACGCGTTTGCAAGGCAAGTTATAGCCAGTACAGTGTAAAACATCCCATGCCAATCAAGCATTGGCCCGGAAGCATATTGCTGGAGCCGCAGCGTCGCATTGAACTTCTGATATTGACCATGAATTAGGTTGTCATCCTTGCTTAGCGGTGTACTGAGTGTATACGCTATTAGCATATCTGCGATGAGAACAGAGATTACCTCTGCCGTAGATGGTGACATAGTACTTAGTAGCTGTGTACTGTTGGATTTATCAAATGGACTGAATTGAGAAATCATTCTCGCAATCGAAGAGTTGCCGTTCCTTGGACTCGGATTCACAGCCCAAGGAGAATACGGGCTCTCTTTGTAATTTGGGAAAAGAAGATTTTGAATTGTTCCAAGCACAATCTCATCAAGCGTATGTTTGCCATCATCGGTCTTTTCCTCGTCGTTTGTTTGTCTATCATATACCTTACTGGTTGGTGCAGAATGAGCTCCATGCAGGCATTCAGCATCGAGAGTGTGACTTCCTACAGTAACGACATGGGTTGCAGAGCAGGTGGTGGAAAGATAGCTTTGAATCCGGCAGATTGTATACTCTTCTGTCCCGAGCGATTTCATAAGTATCGCCCGATTTGCAGAAGAGTGCAACTTGCCCTCGCTCAGAATCACATTGTTGTCCAGCGGCCACTAATGTCATGGCAGCTTAGCAATTTTTAATATAGAGGAATATCAGGGATCGTACTTACCACCGGGAAGACAGGAGCATTTGTGTTATAAGCTTTGCCCCATTCGAAAATTGAGTTGATCGGAGTCTCGTTATAAAAACCACCATCGTTGTTAAGCCAACTTATTGGGTCATATTTAGTTTCTAACTCTTCTAAGTGTTCGCAGTCTGCATAAGGAAATTCGCTATAGACTAGTGGCGCTAACTCGGTCGCGTTGGCGTTGACACACAGAACGTTGGTCGTTGGAGAGGGAAGCGTCGCATTAATGACATGCTCGCCAAACCCAGACACCCCTGATGGTTGGGGAATTTGATTGATCTTGTCTTGCGCGGCAAAATGCAACATAACGTGTGGCATAGTATTCGTGACATTGTTGATAAGACGCCCGTGCTTTTTGAGACTTGAAGATTTGTTGGTCCACGGGGATTCACTCCAGGCGCCATGGATTATCATGTCGGGGACCACAGAGCTAGGAACCCGCGGACGGTCATGAAGTAACGAAGGAATCTGCTGACTGGAGTTTAGAGCAAGTGCCCACATATTGAGGTAATTGTGAAAATCGTGGAACAACATTGTCCTTCCAATGATGTCTGTACATGCATCTTGATCCGCATTTGCATTTTCGACATCATCCCGGAGAGGACTCAGACACCGATTGGAATGATCAGAAACCGGATCTCCCATCAGGCTATCTGTATTGCCGAGAAGTACAACAGGATGAGCAAGGCCATAGGACAGCCTTGGGGAGACCAATGTATCTGAAGCGGATGTAAAGAAGAGAACGGAAACAGCCGCAAGAATCGAAAACATTCCCAGAAACGTCGTACTCGCATACATCGTGTCTTTCCAACGTGTAAGCAAAAACCCAGGCTGAACGATCGAGTTACGTAAAGACATGTCAGCGAGAGTGATACCCTTGGATCCTAACGACCGTCGACTCAACGTTTGACCTAGGAAATTGACGAATGTAGCAACAGACGCGATCTCGACGCTTTTCGCAACCAAAGCACAGAGAGTGGAAGCCGTCGAAGGGGGAATGGGACCACCAGGTCGGATCCAAATACCATAATAAGGTTTCAGTACAGCGATGAACAGCCAAAGTGCGGAGAGACTGGTGGAATAGATCGCCAAGAGGAGATTGCTGATTGAACGCCAATTTGTCTTGCTCCATTCGATGTGATTTCTATTTGTATTTGGGAGCAAAGATTCTAAGAGGTATTCAGCTCAAATACCGTGCTTTTCAAAGAAACGCGACTGACCTTCATCTGAATTGCCAGGATATAGATTGTATTTTGTTGAGATTGAACTGGGGGTTTTCGCTCGACTCGCGTCGTGGAGCCCATCATCAACAACTTCCGCACCCATTTTGCTTTTTGAAACTTAGAATCGCCTTTCTCGCGAGGACTATGTTCAGGAAATCTATCGTATGACCTTATCGTCGAGACAATCGAATGTCGGGCGACCTTTCACTGAAGTTGTCGCGTCGGAACATGCATTTTTAGAATATCCCGAAGATTTGAGCCAGTGACAATAGGCACCAGTGGCAACGGCTCAAGCTTTTCGTTGCTAGTACCAGTACAGATTTCTATAGTGAATGCTCTTGTCCAGGTACGTGCGGCGTCGAGTTGAATAGTGAATAGTCCATATTGCCTGACGCAATTGCTGCCGGTCAAATGTGAGCCTGCGCTCTACAAGTTCGAGGTGCGCCATACGAAAAAAAGCGCCCTACGAGAACTCCACGGCTTGATTTATCTGGGGGAAGTGCTGATGCAATAATTCGTAGTCTTTTCACCGATTTCTGAGCATGTTACTCATTGCATGTGTCCTGTTCAGAGAGGGTACCGAAATCAAACATTTCTGGAGCTCCAATATTGAACACACCCTAAGAATTAAAACACGAAGAAAATCGATGTATAACTGTGGTGGATCACATTTCCAACAGGTAGAGATCCGCAAGTAACGATATGGCGTCGCGCCCTTGGCAGGTTGACTTGCTTTCGACTCAACCACCCGTCTGAAACATGCCCAAGATAATAGATAGAATGACTTGTGAAACGACTCATACAACGAAGAGGTAACACCAATTAAAGAACGCATCTTCTCGGCTTCAATATAAAACAGGAGCCAAGAAACGCTCTTCGTTTAAACGACGCCAAACGAGGTCGAGGATGGTGTTATTACCACAAAGCAGCAACTTCGCCATCTACAATATCGAGTAGTGCCAATATGCCAGTCAAGTATTATCCCCTCTATGGTGATGCGGTACTTTTCCTGGTCGGTAAGAGAGGCATAAAAGATACACGCTTCCTGACAGAATAGGATTCTTTCGTGATGTATTCCTACTGGTAATTACCATGTAGTATTCACCCCGCAAGGAACCGCATCACCATAGATAGAAGCGTTTTTTGAAATGAGACATTTTCTAATCGTTGGTGGTGTTGTCCTGAAAGAAAGAGATGAGATGGATATTCGATCGTCGTCGTCGTCGATATCGGCCAACGCAAAGCACAAGCCACATCTCCTTCCTCTTTTGTGGCTGATGCATGCACCATCTCCCGCCCCCTTTAATTCGCCAACGACGACATTGAGGCTTGCCGCCCAGCAACCCACGTCCAACGGCCTGCCAGACATTCGCCAATCCCGGATAGTGTAAACTCTCTTTAAAGTAACTCTAGTCATGTCAAACTTAACCTTATTGCGGTCGATGAATGATTAAAGACCGCATATTCGCCACTTCAAGATGTGATATCTCGTGCGATGTTACATTGCATTTTTTGCGTTGGAGGGAGTATGAGATAAGACGACATCATGGCGGAAGGTGTGATTTCGAGATTCAGACGCTTTTCGGGGCTTGATAAGGCGCAGATGGAACATGCTGAGAATGTGGTGAGCGTGGAGAGTAATGCTGCTTCTGATGCTGTGTTGGTTGGAGGTGAGAGGGTTGAGGTCACGGAGGAGGATGTAAGTGATACAAATTGCAGGAATATTAAACGTCAGAACTGATAAGGAGAATTTCAGGATATCAGAATCCGGAAGAAGACTGATAAAAATATTTTGACAATCCTCGTCTGGGTCTACTTCCTCCAGGTAAGTAATTCAATCATCCTAATCCACTATCAATACTAAAACATTCCAGATCCTCGACAAATCAGTCCTAGGCTACGGCTCCATCTTTGGTCTCCAAAAAGACGTAGGTCTAGTAGGAAACCAATACTCCCTCATCGGCTCCATTGCCCCCATCGCCCAATTAATATGGCAACCATTCTCCTCGATCCTAATCGTCAAAGTCCCTCATCGGATCCTAATGCCATGTCTAGTCCTCGGTTGGGGAATAGCTCAAACTGCAATGGCAGGATGTAGAACCTATCACAGCCTCCTCGCTGCCCGGTTCTTCTTAGGACTCTTCGAAGCGGGATGTCTCCCTCTCTTCAGCGTCATCACGAATCAATGGTATCGAAGAGCCGAACAGCCCATCAGAGTTGCGGCTTGGTACAGCACAAATGGAGCAGCTACCATCGTCGCAGCATTTCTATCCTACGGACTAGCTTACATCCCATCCGAGCACTTACGACCGTGGCAAATGTAAATACCCCTCCCGAAATCTACCGTAGCATCACTAACAAATCCAGCATCTTCCTCTTCGTCGGCCTCCTCACAATCATCTCCGCACCCCTCGTCTACTGGAGACTCTCCAGCACAATCCCCACCGCCCGCTTCCTCACGCCCCACGAACGCCTCCAAGCAATCGAACGGCTCCGCGCAAACCAAACTGGTATCGGCTCCTCCAAATTCGAATGGTCGCACATCTACGAGCTGCTCCTCGAACCAAAAACCTATCTCTGGATAAGCATGGCCCTACTCGTCAACGTTGGCGCTTCCGTAACCGTAAGCTCCTTCCCCATCCACCTACCCCGAATAAAACCCTCTTACTGTACCGTCCCGCTTACCCACAAGCTAACCACCCCTCCAACACCATAGAACACATTCGGCCCTCTAATCCTCTCCACCCTCCCCTACCCCCCAAAACTAACCTCCCTCCTAACAACCCCCTTCGGTTTTCTCCAACTTGCCATCATCCTCCTCTCCTCCCTCCTCGCCACTCGCACGCGTCTCAAATCACCCATCCTCATCCTTCTAACCCTCCCCGTCCTAACCGGCCTCTCCCTCCTCCTAACCCTGCCGCGCACGCCCCAAAACCGCGGTCCGCTGCTCCTAGCATACTACCTGCTCTCCTTCCTCTTCGGCAGTCAACCGCTCATCATAAGCTGGCTCATCGCCAACACAGGCGGCACGACGAAGAAATCCGCGCTCACCTCTTTATACAACGCCGCGTCTGCGGCAGGAAACATAATCGGTCCGCTCCTGTACACGGCCGATGATGCACCAGGGTATAAACCCGGATTACAGGCGACGCTGGGGATGTTCATGGGGATGGCGGTTGTAGTAGTCGCGCAAGTGGGCGTGTTGTGGGTGTTGAATCGGCGGCAGGAAGCGCGGCGGGTGGCGGCGGGGAAGGGGGCGGTGGTGAGGGACTTGAGTATGGAGAGGCGCTATGTGGGGACGGGAGATGGGGTTGGGGAACACGCGTTCGAAGGAACGGATGGGGGGAATGAGGAGTTTGTTTATGTTTATTAGGGGGGTGTGGGGTTTTTGCCTATGACTACACGAATCGATCAAAGGTATACGAATCAATGAACACGAAGCCGAAGCTACATTTCCGAGCTCTAAAAAGTTCCAACTCAACTCCTTCAAACAACACTAAAAGTCTAACATTTCCAAATCCATTCCCTTCCATGCATGCTTCTCGCCTCTCCATCGGTGGTCAAATAGTAACCAAACCCACTAACCTAAGATGCCAAACCCAGATATCTCGTCCGCAATTCCTATTCTCCCGAGTCTTACTGCACTCATACAATTGATCACTTCTTGACGTACCTTCGTCCTCTTTCAACGGTCCACCACGCCCAGCTGTTAATTGAAAACACCACCAGCAACGGCAAACCTTCGAATTCACATTTCATAACTTACCCACTCTTCCCACACCAAACAATCATGTCACCAAGAGCTCCTAACAAAGACACAAAACTCTATTACCCTATGGTATTACACTACTACCCAATTCTCCACCCACCCACAACTATGTATAACTCCATAATCCATAATCCATAATTAATACACATCATTTCCAGCTCCCACTCAAGCTATCCCAGGGCCTGATCTATTCCTATTCGAGTCTAACAGTCATGTACCCCGGGTCTTCTCTACATGTTGATCCAACCTAACGTAAGCCGACTCCCTAATCAAAGAAAAGCACCTCCACCCCCACCACCACTCCCATCCTCTTCACTCCCGCCAATCCTCCTCCGTCGACTACTAAGAAAAAGCTCCACCATCTTTCGACTTCCTACAGCTTGCGCGTCACTCTCGGATAATTCTCCCATGGACAAACCCATGCCAATACACATATCTGGACCCAATAGTCCCGCCCCATCTATGCTATAGACATCCTCTTCATCCCTTCCTTGCACATTCATGTCCTCCTCGCTCCATCTGCCCGCCCCGTCACAATATCTTCTAGGCGTCACCGAACCTGTAGATCCATCAACAAACCCAGGACTCGGCCCGCCAACAACACCAGGCGTCAACCTTCCCGATTTCTTAACAAGTTTCGCCGGCGTCTCAGTGCTGTGGAAGCTCTTCACGCTTCGCAGCGTCGCCGAAGAATGGTATTTCTTGTGAAGAACGTTACGTCCAGTGACGCTTGATGCTTTGACGATAGAATTACCCGGTGTGATAGTATGAACCGAGCGAAGAGAAGCTCTAGATTGTTTCGATCGCAGCGGTGAACGAGCGGGAATAGGCGGAGGTAATGGAATGTGGATGTTTGAAGTGCTAAAATGTCTAGGATCATGGTTTTCGTTGAGTGACACTTGTGATGCTTTCTTTAGGATTGGTTTTGGGTGAGGTGGTTGTTGAATGTTGATGTTCTGTGGATGAACCATACCCAGCGGCAGCTTCACAGCAACAGCCTTTCTCTCCGCTAATTGGACTTCCTCGTCATCATACTGAGCGTTTTCCCGAACGTGGCCCACGGGAAACGATTTTGGCATGGTTGGAAGAGCGTAGTTGACATATGGTCTGCTCACTCTGGTATCTTTGGCTCTCTCAAGTTTTGCAACTTCGGAAGACATCCAACTTTTCCATTCGTTAGAGCCAATAGAACTGTTTTTGCTATGATGAGAGCTGATGCTTGCCGGCATCGAAGGACGATATGTCTTCCTATCAATGATTACGGCGTCCCCGGTATTGGAGTTTCTTAGCGAATCCGTCTCAGATTTCGTTTGTTGTTCATTGATAAGCAAGGAGAGTGCGCTGTTAGCGGCCATAGCATGCCCACTGGTAGTTCTAGAGTATAGACTTTCAGTATCAGCCTTACTTGCTACTGGATTTTCGACATGATCGACCACAGTTGAAATGTTATCTGACCCAGGTAAAAGTGGATTATTGATATTTGAGGCACAAGTAGCTTGCGCTTCGGTATTGGGGTTTTTGACGCTCGATTGTCTTTCTGCTAGTGCTCGACGGTAGGGGCTAGTGGTTTTCGATACCGTGATTGAAGTTCCTCCAAAGAATGTCGATCGTGACTCGCGGATCCTCTTCGGTTCAACAATGACTGGTTCATTTAAAATAGCGAGCTCTTGTGGTGTACGGCCATTCTCTTCCGGCACTGTATAAAAAGTTGTGGTGTTGCTAGGTTGATCAATAGAAACGATTGATCTTCTCGCATTAGATATAGCTCGCCCGAGATTATGATCGGCTGGTGCCTCTCCTCCATAGAAAACATCGTCGGCGTCTTCACTTCTCATTCTGGCTTCACGAAGAGGGTCAGCTGGGACCCATTGATGGGTATGTTCTCCAGTAAATCCAAAGATATTCTCTGCGCGTGCCGCATGAACAGAATCTGATTTGACCCAATGATGGCCATGATGATAATTCTCTTTATTTGCTTCCGACTCATCTATACTGTCTTCATAAGGCACATGTCTTATTGTTGGGTATTTCTGGGGCTGTCGCCCGCGTTTGACAGATGCACTCCTGCGAGGTGCGTACTTTGCTGTTTGCATGCTGTCTACACTAGATCTGGTCGAGAGAGGCGGGACTGCTTTGGGGCTATTTTCATCCAGACGCTTCATTAAGGCCGAGTAAACCCTAGCGCTATCAACTGTAGGAGGTTGTGGCAGCGGGTTTAGTACTTCAGTGGAATTTCTATTCTGTGAATTAAATGTAGGATACGCCGAGAGTCGGCTTCTCGCGCCACCTTTGAAAGAAGATGAAGAATTATGTGTACCATTTTCGTTGATGATGGAAAGACGCTGTTGTTCTCTTTCTGAAAGTGTTTTCAATGCCTGACTGTTGATGGTGTTGACAGCGGTGCTTGTCCAACTGGTAACTCGAGAACCGTCATCACTCTGTTCGCTCTTACCACTCCGAGCACTTCGCACGCTTCCGACTTGAGATTGTAGATACTCTGCTGAGCCTGGTTTGTGAAGCGATGGAACGCGAGACATAACTCGAGAAAGTTCTTGGTCTTCAGGATAAGGAACTCCCACAAAAGTATCTTCAACAACATCAGGTCCGCCCGAATGATGCCGTACATGAGTCTCCCGAGCGTCCACTTGTTGATTTGGGACGGCAACTGGCTCTTCTTTTGAGCGGCCGAAAACACGTTTGAATGTAAGTTTGAGAGTCTTGGAAGCTTTTCGCGCCTTGTCTCTTAGCTTTGAGTCTTTTTGGGAGATTTCCTGGCTAGCGTAGCCAACTAGTAAAGCATCGCTGTTACCACTACTGCTTCGAACCGATTTTCGAAACCCTTTTTCAGATTTTTGTGTCCTTGAACGGAAGATGAACGAAGGTTGTGATCGCAGGCGTTCTTGAGTTGCCTGCTGGAAAAACCTGTCTCGAGCCATTTGAACTGCTTCGTCATTTGAGTGTCGAATACCTCCCCCCGGGCCCCCTCGCAGAAAGCTCATGGATTTAGGAGCTCGTAGTTTGCCTTGTTGAGCTGGAGTTTGTGATGCCTCAGTCATGCTTTCCCGATTTGTAAAGCTCGAACATGTATCCCTATCTGGAGTGCCATTGGAGTAAAAAACATGAGGAGCGGCTTTGAGAGGACTGAACATTGATTTTGATTTGCGGAGACGTCTGTAGGAAGAGGGGGTAGAAGGTATCTCGGATTCCTGTGTGTAATATTCATCGTATGCTTGCAACGCAGTAGCGAAACTCTCGGCGGTGGGATTTCCCATGGACGTTCGACCGATCGACGATGAACGGCTGGGCGGTCTATATATTGCTGGGACAGGTGCGGATGTTGTCATTGCAACTGGCCGTAGAGTAGATGTGCTTGCCCTATGCTGGATTGGACCTTGGCTTGCTCTGTTATTGTGTGACGGCTTCTTTGGCACTGCATTGGGTCCCGCGAACCGGACACTCTGTTGACGTTTAACCACATGTTCCCCGTTGGTTGAGTACTCGGGTTGTTGTGAATACGGCTGTCGTTCCCAACTTCCCCCCTCGTTTCTTGTTCTGCTCTGAATGCGTCTGTGGCCCATATCAGTGCTGCTCCGTTCTTGTGCTCGTGTGTAGGCTAACTGTGCTGCGACATGGGCGTGTTGACGAGCGATATGAGGATTCATGGCTTCATGCTTGCTGTGGGCTGATGATGTTGATTTGCTTCGACTGAGCTTGCTAGAGCTACTGCGTCGAAACATGATTTGTGATGTTTGAGGTGTTTGCGATGTTTTCCGAAATACAGTAATGAGTTGAACAGGTAGAATGCGATACAAGTTTCTGCAGATACTCTGTTTCGCAGAGATACTAACCAAAAGTGAGGAAAACGAATTGCGCGAAGATGGAACAACCGTAAGAAGATGCGAGGAAGGACTTGATACATTTTGGCAAGAGCAACGACAGACTGTAGACACAAATATATGGGAAGGAGCGACTTGTCAAGACCATCCTCACCGCAGCCAAGCAACTCCAACAGATACACGAACGGACACTGGAAGAAAAATAAGTCACAAAGCAGTGAAGGAGATAATGGGAACACATAGTAATTGTATTTGGTCTATTGAATAATACAACAGGACCCGTGCGAGTCGGAGGCAATGAAACCGATAATCCAAATGCAGACAGAAAGAAACCGAGCCACCACTCCGCTAGGACCGACTAAAGTTATGATTTAATTGTGATTCCTAAAAGGAAATCTATCCCTGAATACACCAATATACCTTATCAAAGGTAACAATAAAAGTGACATGTTTACATGTTCAACTCCTCCATGAAGTGAGAGAGTTCCTCCTCAACCATCTTCTCAATCTTCTTTGAGACTTTGCCCGCCTTGGAGACGACAGTCTTAGTGTCTTTGACGATCTCGCCTGAAATGACATTGAAGTCGTTCTCAATGGCCTCTTCCAAAAGCTCAATGGTAGTTGGGAGCTCGGTCTTGGCCGCCTTCTTGACGGTGTATGAACCAGCCTTGATGATAGAAGAGTAGTTGGATGAACCACCTCCGTTCCAAGCCAAGACGTTCTCGGTGTTTGAGGGAACATCAGACAAAGCACCCTTGGTGGCAATGCTGATAACGCTCTCCTTGAGCTTCTTTGGTGTGATTTCGGCAACGGCATATGCGGAGTCGGATGCAGGCTGGAGAGACAAGTAGTAGGCCAAGAGACCAGCAATATGAGGAGAGGCCATGGAGGTACCGGAGATGGTGTTGACGGCATATTTGCTGCCAATCCAGGTAGATTGAATGCTCAATCCTGGGGCGAAGATATCGTTGCAAGGTCCGTAGTTGGAGAAGTATGCTCGGGAGTCATCGAGAGCAGATGCACCAACAGTGATGGCGTTCTCAGCAGCAGCTGGAGAGTAGTTGCAAGAATCGGCATTGTCATTTCCAGCTGCGACAGCAAAGTGAATACCAGCGGCAACAGCACCATTAACGGCACGATCAAGAGCTGGAGATTTACCACCACCGAGACTCATGTTGGCAGCAGATCCCTTGAAGCCCTTCTTTCCCTTCTTAGCCTTGTCAGTGTGAGCGTTGGCGGCCCACTCAACACCCTTAACAACATCGGCCATGGTTCCAGAACCGTTGGACTTGAGGACCTTGACGGCGTAGACGTTGGCCTTCTTGGCAACACCATACTTGTGACCAGCAACAGTACCAGAGCAGTGAGTTCCGTGTCCGTTTCCATCCTCATCAGCGTCGTTGGCTGGGATAGTCTTGCCCCAGTGTGCTCTGCCCTCGAAGTCTACGTGCTCAGTGTTGGTTCCGGTGTCGATAACGTAAACGTCGACTCCCTCACCCGCATCAGCGGCGTATAGATATTTGTTATAGTCTGAGAAGGTCAAGCCTTTTCGGTGAGAGATACGGGCCAAACCCCATGGGGCGTTCCTCTCAAGCTCTCCCTCATCATCACCAAGAGTGTGAACAACGGAGTCTTTCTCAACGTACTCAACCTGGAATGTAAATGTCAGTAAGATTCTCAAGATGATGGGTAACACAAGCGCTCAGCGGAGACTGTTGATTATCACGTGGGCATCAAAACGACTGCAAGCATCAATTTGCAGATTGTTTTATGATTCCACTCGAATGTGAAATCTAGCAGGGAACACAGGGGTTCTGCACACGGCAGGATAAAGGGTGCAGGATAGAAGAGACGAAAGTACTTACATCAGGGTGCCTTCGGACCTTCTCGATGACTTCGTCATCAAAGTGTCCGGAGTATCCCAAGAAGTCGCCAGCGATGTTGTATGTGTGCTTCAGACCCTCGAAGATGTCTGTTGTGATTGGGAATTGAGATCGCTTCTTGAGCTCTGATCGGACGTTCTCGCTCTCCGAGTGGATGTTCTGCACCCAACTGTGGTGATCTGAGGCAGAGGCCTCAGTGACGTGCTTCTTGAAGACGACGATATATGAGTCTGGGATAGCCTCTGAGTTCGAAGATGTGAGGAGAGGAGCTGCATCACCGTGAATGGTCTCTGTGTTGAAGGTTGGTGCCGATGACGCCAGCAGCGGCAATAGCGACAAGCTGATAAGCCCACGCATGATGGCTGGGTTGATGAAGCTGTGAAAGAGAAATAGGAATGAAGTCTGCCTGCGACTCTGAACAAACTAATAAGATGATTGATAGGAGGTGTTGTGTTCAGTGGTGTTGATGGGAGATGGAGAGAGATGGAAGGAGGACGAGCTGTTTAAAGGTGGTGGTAACGAGGCGAGCTTGGTTGCTGGCCGCCTAATCACATCGAGCTCCGCCCCCAGTATGACAGGGGGTAACCGCTCGCCTGATTCGGCTTATCAGCGTCAAGATAAAGCGCAGATGGTGCAAGAAGTGAGTGAAGCTATTGTTATGAGCGGTACAGTGAGAATCCTCTCTATATTAACTGCTAGATTTCATTGTATATCATGGACACTTATACGTTTGTGATATGTGTATTGCTATAAGTCCAATACATGTACAGTAGATGTTGTTCTCTAGTATGATGTAACCCGGTCTTCAATCCAAGGCTTCGTGGAACGGCTGAACGCGGTGTGTGGGGACGGGAGCTTTGAGCTCGAATGCTCCACCTCAGGTCCCTCTCCACAAGCTGGCCAAAAGGTCACATGAGCATTCAGGAACAGATCTAACTCGGTTGTGCATCAAAGGTGGAGGGCATATGGGAGCATCACATTCTGTCTCTTGATACGCTTTTATTAAGTCTATTCAACCTCGATATCCAAGGAAAAACTGCCTCGTTCACGGGTCGCATGACAACTGTCTCTAAAGCTATGAATAAGCTATACCGAAGCGGGATGAAGGTGAGAATGAGGAGGCATTGGTAGTCGATGGCGTATGACTCGGAGCCTCGCGAAACAAACAATCAAGGTGCCCTGGTTCGCGCATTGAAAGAGACCCTGCTTCTTCACGTGAGGGCGATTCACATTTTCGTGAGACCTCGAGGCTACTTTGATGTCCGGACTAGAGTGAAATAGAATATGATCGACATGTACAAATAGTAGCTGATAGAGTCATCCTACGAGCATCTCTACTAGTCGGGGGGCAAGAGGTGACGAAGCTTGTAGCCTTAAACTCAAAGCGAATCGTCTGCTAGTTGTCTATCAAATCCAAGATTCATACCCATGAGCTAGCTCACCTACACTATCTATCCGCGGAGGTCGGTCCATGAGACTTGTGAGAGCCTACAGAGTCTGGCAGATCCATATTACACTTCTAAGTAGTTTGGTCTCGGAGTGTTGAAATGATAATTCAGGACAAGTGCAAGAAGACTTCGAGTCCCTTTGCAGGGGCACTCGAAACACGATATTTCTTCGACTAAGTTGACGAAATATCGTATATTTATTGGATTATTTTGGAACAATATTACACATTTTGTCAATTATTTTAAGAAAGTATAAGACTTTCTTAGGCTCTCTTCGCAGTGGACCCATTCCAGGTGACTGACACTTGTACTTGTTTCGAGCCATGATAGATGCATTGGAACCGGGGTGCTCTTAGGCTATGGGAGTAAGTCTAATATAATATAAGCTTCAAATCGTGCTTTAAGACTACTAGCCTAGCTCTGTAGATGTCAAATTGTTTAGACTTAATGTGTTCAGTGAATCCTGTTGTGCCTAGCTATGCTATCAGTTCGCTCTGCGCGGCGGATACCTCACAAGGCAACATTGTCAAATCGCACCGCAACAAAAGAGCTGCTCAGCCTCGCCAATCCCCACAAGCCATCCAGGCATCTTACAAGCACCAAACTGCTTCGAAGTGCTACGTGTAATATCCAAACGATATTTTACCCTCCAACAGTCGCCGGGCCCGGATTCCTCAAACCTTGTGAATCAATTGCCCAGAATACTCGATTCGATGCACCCGGACCTACCGATTTTCTAGGACCTCACGCGGGTGTAGATTCCAATGCGGCCCATGAAGGACGATAAGGGGATTTGAATATACTTGGGAGATAGGAAAGGAGGAAAAGAACTATGTCGACTCGTTCACGGCGGCATCGTTCATCGACCGTAGCATCATCTGCCCCCGAGAGTACGAAAGCTACTGTTGAGCTCCAGCTCCTAATCGACAACCTCTCCAATACAGTCTCTGCGCATCGAGATGCCTTCGCAGACGCGTATCCGGATATTCCGGCCTTGATCGATCAGACACAGTCCTTGCGACAGTATCTGATAGCGTCAGCCGCGGGTTCCAAAGTCAATGATGATTTCCGGCATCTCTCTGGCTTCAACACCCTCCTCGATACGCTTCGCGCATTCTCAGGCTTCTACCATCCTACAAAACGAGATACAAAGACCAAAGGCCAGTTATTTCAGCTTATAGGGGTTATACTGGGGGTTTTGGCACAAACGTTTCGGGATCATTATGGAAATAGAAGATACTTTCAGCGCCGGGTAGAAGGAGGGGGGTGGTCTGCTCTGGAGCAGGCCATTGCCAGTATAGGGATTGGGGGCAGTGAGTCCGACATATGGGGAGAAGGACAGCTATTTGGGCGATTACTGGCCTTTGCCCTTGACGACAAGAGATTCGAGTTGTTATGTCAAAAAGCGGCCGAGCTACATCCATCTATTAAACCGGAGGACAAGACCGCAGGCGAGAAAGGCAAGCCCGAGTACTTCCCCCAGACGGAAAGCGACCTTACAGAGAGCTCCTCAGTCGAAATTGTGGGAAATGATGACCAAGTCGTAAAAACGGTGGAAAACAAGCTGCAATTGATTATAAGCGAAAGTGCTTTGCTTTACAATGCAGACATTGTACCAACCATCATCGACTTTTGGAAAACCATACCCCGCGAACCAGGCACATCTGTCAACCCAGCAGCTCTCGTTGTCATTCTGACCTTGATCAAGATTGCATCGGTATCAAGCCACAATCTGCTTGCTCTACATGGTACTGGTATTCTATCAACACTTCTGCCCTTAGCCTTCGATAATGATTCTCCTCTCGCTGTTTCAGAGAAGCGCTGTGTGGAACGTCTATGCAGTTCTTTGATAAATCTCGGCGTCAGTACTCTTAGCGATGCCCAATATCTAATTTGTAGCAAATCATCCTCTGCGAAAGATTTTCTTCTCAAATCGCTCAAGGCCTCAGATCGCCCTGCCTATATTCAATTTGATCTCTCCTTGAATGGATATGCGTCTGTCGAACTACCCACACTGGGCAGGTCCTTCCCTCCTCCGTCTTCAGCAGCCGGGTATACTTTCACAGCTTGGGTTTATGTGGATCATTTTGATCCGAATGCCCATACTACTATATTTGGCGCCTTTGATTCAACCCAAACCTGTTTTGTGCTTGCGTATCTTGAAAAAGATACTCGGAACTTCATTCTCCAAACTTCGGTGACCTCGTCTCGACCAAGTGTCCGATTCAAATCTACCGTGTTTGAAGACCGTCGTTGGTATCATCTTGCGCTTGTACATCGAAGACCAAGGACTATGTCATCAAGTAAGGCCGCTTTGTATGTGGATGGAGAGTTTGTAGAACAAGTCAAGTGCCAATACCCGACGCCACCTCCTCCAGCCCATGCTGGTAATGAGAGCTTCTCCGCTTTTACCTCATCAAATACCAAAACGAATCCGGTGCAGGCTTTTATTGGAACACCTCAAGACTTATCAGCACGTCTGGGTCCCGGGGTGGTCTTTTCGCGTTGGTCTTTGGCATCAGCTCATCTGTTTGAAGATGCCCTTAGTGACGATCTCGTTGCTGTCTACTTCCGTCTTGGACCAAGATACAACGGTAATTTCCAGGACTGTCTAGGCTCTTTCCAGACATACGAAGCTTCTGCTGCGCTGGGAATGCGCAATGAGCTCATGCATCCAGGAAAGGACGAGAGTTCAGACATAATAAGTGCGATACGAGAAAAGGCAAGCAATCTTGTTCCCGAAAGTCGAATACTCCTCAGTATTTTGCCGTCCGCGGTCATATCAGACGATGACAGGCACAAGATCCATGAAAGTCAATTACTTCGTGGTTTAAATCGCATGGCATCAAACAATCTGTTCCAGCTGACACACAATAATGGCACGCATCTAGCGATCAATGCGGCTATTCCATCTATCAACGAGGCCTTGTCTCGATCTCAAGGCGTGGCTGTTTTGACAGGCGATCCTGTTGTGATTATTCCACAATCTTTAGACAGCACACTGTGGCAATTGAGCGGTCTCGCTGGTATCTCCTTGAAGCTGGTCGAGGATGCTACAACAAGAGATGAGATCACCCGAGCTGTAGAAATACTATTCGAGACAATCAAGGGCAGTTGGAGGAATAGCGAGGCTATGGAGCGAGAAAATGGCTACGCCATGCTTGGTGCCCTACTTCGTGGCAAAATGGGTGCCGGTGTGGTTGTCTCGACTCGAGGAAACGATAATACAGCCTCTCAATTATCTAGCGAGGAGCGAGATCAATTGGGCTTTCAATTGCTGAGTCTTGTTCTTGGCTTTGTTGGATATGACCATGAGAGACCCGAAGAATCGTTCATCATCAATCCGTTAGCATATCGTATTCTGCTCGTAGATTTCGATATGTGGCGCAAGACCGCCCTGATCACACAGAAACTCTATTACAAACAATTCATTGTTTTTGGTGTTAATAGCAAATTCCACCAGTTCAACTCGAGAAGGCTATTTAGAATGCGTAAGCCAACAAGCATCAGCTCTTATTTGCATTTTACTGACTATAGTAGGGATCGTCAAAAGATTTCTCGATGCCTTGAAAGCGGAGACTTTTCCTCGAGAAGTTTTTCCATCTTTCGTTGATGCGTTAACCAGTTTAGTAAAGAGCAACATGACATCTGAGGTCTTTCGATCTCTTTCGTTATTTATAACATATGCATACCACAAGGCCCCTACTTCTGCAACTCGAACCCCCAAAGGTAAAGGTGGTACTTTACCTGGTCGGAGTACATCTATCTCCAGTGGCCCACGACGGTCGACAGTCAACGTCTTGTTTGATGGTAAAGACGTGATATCCACGTCCATGACTAAAAGAGAGCTGGGCAACAAGATTCTTGAGATGTACGCTGAGCTTCTGTGCGAAAAGGGTAGCAATGCCAACATCAAGAAATTTGCAAGGACGGTGACAAACAAGGTATTCTTTCCTTATGCTCTTATGAGCTTGGCGACTAACCCTTGTAGTGGTTACTACATCTCTTGAACGAGGACGACCCGGAAGTGGTAGTATTGGGAACGAAGATATTATCGCGTTTGCTAGTCGTGCATGGATCAAGTTATGTGAATAAGTTTGCACAGAAAACTGGGGGCTACGCTATACTTCGGCATAGGCTCAAGAGATGGTGGGATATCTCTACGTTATGGCCAATATGTTTTAGCATTCTCTTTGCGAAAGACGTTGCAGATATTGATTTTGAGCGACCATTTGAGCTATTCAGCCTTTTAGAAACATTTGGCAATAGCAAGGTCGTTTACCCTGCTGTTTTCCCCGTCATCGCGGCCATGCTGCAAAATGGACTGAAAGATGTTCTCCGTCATCAAGATGACCCAGATTCGCCCCTGACGGAGAGAAATGGCAAAGAAAATCACGATTCAAGCTTGAGTGTTCCACCTGGTCAATCTCGTCGCCGCTCAATGTCCTTGACCAAAGAGCTAGAATCCCGACGTAAGTAATGGCACAGAGAAAGTCCCACATCAAAGCCTGCTAACGCATTGCAGAAACACAACAAACAAGAGAAGTGCGGGTCGGTGGACAAGCAAGTGTGCTGAACACGGTGATTAGGTTCTTCGCCGACCTTCACTCAAAGTCTTCTGAATTTAGAGATTTTGCGGTCTCTTCCGACTACATAAGGCTCTTGCTCACGGTCCTCTTCCCAGTCATTGTGAGCTCTGATGCTGTCAGCGCCGAAACAGAACTGAACTCACGAGACTCTGCTTTGACATTTGAAGGAGATGATGTGATAATTCGGCCAATGTCTCGAGCCACAACCACCCCTGCGCCGGTGGTGCGGACATCAACAGTAGAAACAATGCTTCCACCTAGCCCGACGACACCAAGAGCGAGACCCCTCCGGAGAGGATCTTCTTTCATCTTACTAACCGCAAGACCATCGGAATTCAGTCCATCTGCTGCTAGACTTAGCCTAGTCATGTCACCAAAGAAGAAAGTAGCAGCGCAAAAGGTCAGCAGTTCAGTTGTGGAATCGCTCTTAGAAGTAGTGATCAATGTCTTTATTGATCAAGTCATGACCCGAAAGGATTTTTCGGGCTTTGGGCTGTTTCTCAAAACTCCGCCGGGGTTTCAAGAACACCAAGCATATTTCGAATCTTACTTACTGCGAAATACTATCTCGCAGCTATCAAATACAATCCAGCTGGACCAAAAGTCTCTATGGGAGCCAAAGGTCCTACAAAATCTGGCACGATTTACGACACATATGGGCGAGGCAATCTTTGAGGGTTGGTTTTTAAGTGGTGCAGAACCATTGCTTGATTTCACAGGTGCTGTACTAGAGTATTTGCAGAGACCAGAGATCTGGAAAATCAAAAGCGTGAGGCTTTGCAGCCAGGCTATTCTCACAATGAAAAGTGTGTTTCTAAGGGTCGTTCTGCTGCAATTATCAGATTTGGATAACGAACAAGTCTCGGAAGAAGAGGCTGTAACCTTCATGGATAAGCTTCTATATTGGCAAACTGTCATGCTTTCTTCCGATGGTAGCGAAGATGAGCACCTCAAACTCATTTGTTATCAACTCTACATAAAGCTTGTGGACTCGCGACCTCGAGTGCGGCTAGTCGCTGCAGATCTCTGGCGTATTATGTTGGTGCAAAAGCCAGAAGAGACGTCGATGATGTTTCAGCAAGCAATGTCTTCAGAGCACAAAACACTAGCCACAGGCTTCAAGAAGCTGATGGAACTGGACAACGAAACCTTTGTGGCTTGGGTCGATGACCAACGCGCAGAACTTGATGCTCTATTCTTTGGTGCCATGTCTAGATCCTGGGAAGATTTCGTGGATGCAGAAAACAAGAAGACGGAAGAGACAGCTAAGAATCGGGTTGCCAAACGTCGCGATCGACTGCGTCACTGGCATGAAGACGATACCACTAATGAGAGATTCATATTCTCCCACGATCTTGCAACTTCATCATGGATGAAGAATATCTACGCCTCTGAACATCTCAAGCACCAGAGAGCACAACAAGACCAGCAAGACAACTTTAGTTTCCTGGCCTCCGCTTACACAAAAATGAACCGCGAACTTTCAAGACCTTGTGGCGTATTTGACAGTGGAGCGACGACGAAGTGGAAGTTAGATAGGACTGAAGGGCGAAATCGTATGCGTCTCCGACTGCTGCCAGATCGAACTGGGCCAATTTATGACTATCAACCTAAGAGACGAATCACTGATGCTAGTGCCAACGGGTCTATCAGGATCAATACCAAACAGCCGTTACAGCAGTTGAATGATCTCGGATCAACCCCTATCTCAGCCCATCCAGCTACCAATTTTGATGGATCTCCTCAACCTGAGACTCTCTTCAGTCTTCAGAACGAAACAAATGTCGATAATGATGGGAATGCTATTCCCGAAGAAGAATTCGAGCTTGTGGAAGGTCCCAACGATCCAGGAGATGGTGAGGACATGTATGAAGACAAAAATCGAAAGGTCATGCGCAGTCTCCAGAGGGGTGATCAAGTTCAGCAGGTCTTCAATATCTCTAGAATCATAGGCCTAGAAGCTGGGGAAGGTCTTTTGATCATTGGTAAGGATTCACTTTACCTTATTGATAATGTCTTCCAGAGGTCTGATGGAGAGATTGTACATGTTTCTCAAGCTCCACCAGAAGAAAGAGATCCCTACTTACAAATGATCGCCGGTCCACCTCCACCAAAAGGAGAGCCTAAAAATTCTACACAACCAAGTCGAGCCGACCAAGAGTCCAGAAGTTGGAAATGGAACGATGTTATCAGCATTTCTAAAAGACGCTTCCTCTTCCGCGACGTTGCAATTGAAGTATTTTTCACCGATGGCCGGAGCTACCTACTCACTGCCAACCTCCCTCAAGTAAGAGATGATCTGTTTGCCAAGCTATCTCACAAAGCACCACACACGAACGGGAGCTCGAATCTCCCAAATCCAGAAGATGCTTGGCGGTTAGAGTCTCTGAGAGTCACCGAAGAGGCACCAGCAACATTCGGTTCGAAGTTTGGTAGTATCTTTAATTCCTCTGCGTGGAATCCCGCTATGAGAAGATGGGCGAGGGGAGAAATTTCCAATTTCCATTACCTTATGCTTGTCAATACAATGGCTGGCCGCACCTTCAACGATCTGACTCAGTATCCTGTATTTCCATGGATCCTGGCCGATTACACTAGCGAAGAACTCGATCTAAACAACCCGGCTTCTTACAGAGACTTATCTAAGCCCATGGGAGCTCAGCATAACTCCCGTGCGAACGATTTTGTTGAGAGATACAAGACGTTTGCAGATATGGGTGATTCAAACCTCCCAGCTTTCCATTATGGTACTCATTACTCGTCGGCTATGATCGTCACGTCTTACCTCATTCGACTGCAACCATTTGTGAAATCTTTTCTCCTACTTCAAGGTGGAAACTTTGATCATGCAGATCGGATGTTCTACTCGATTCAGAAAGCTTGGCAGTCAGCTTCGAAGGATAATATGACGGATGTCAGAGAACTCATACCAGAGTTCTTTTACTTGCCAGAATTCCTCAGCAATCATAATGGATTTAACTTTGGTACTCGGCAGAGTGATGGTGGCTCCGTAGATTCGGTAGCACTTCCTCCATGGGCTAAAGGAGATCCAAAGATCTTCATCGCCAAACACAGAGAAGCACTTGAGAGTCCTTATGTTAGCAAACATCTTCATCAGTGGATCGATCTCATTTTTGGAAGTAAGCAAAGAGGAGAGGCAGCCGTGGAAAGTGTGAATGTCTTTCATCATCTTTCGTACCACGGCGCAACCAACCTTGATGATATTCCGGATGAAGAAGACCGAAAGAGGACAATCAGTATTATCCATAACTTTGGCCAAACACCATACCAAGTCTTTTCCCGGCCACATCAACCTCGTGATGAACGAAACCGTCCGAGGAGGCTGGATACATCAGCCGAAGCTCTTACACGACTTCCTTTCCCTCTTTTCGAAAGTAACGAACGAGTCGTTTCCCTCGTCTATTCTCCAAAACTAGACCGTCTTCTATGCGCTACAGCATTCGAACTAAATCTCCCACCACAATTTGACAAAGTCTTCAAATGGGGTTTCGCAGACTGCAGTGTCCGTTTCTACTTCTCCGAAAGCAAAAAGCTGGCAGGCCTATTCGAAAACCTTCACCAAGGACAATTATCATGCGCCATCTTCGCCTCCTCCCAAATGCTCATCACCGCCGGAGAAGACTGCGTCCTCTCCGCCCACACAATTGTAACTTCGCAATCCAAACCCGTCGAACTCCAACCCCGCGCCTCCCTCTTCGGCCACAAAACCCCGGTCACAACCCTCGCTGTCTCCAAATCCTTTTCCACTCTCCTCTCCGCCTCCCTCGACGGCACCGTCATCCTCTGGGACCTCAACCGTCTCGAATTCGTCCGCAAACTCACCAGTGGTCGCCAGGTCGAATGCGCAAAGATAAACGATGTCACGGGCGATATCCTCATCTGTCGCGGTCAGAAAGTCTCCCTCTTTACCCTCAATGGCGAGACGATTCTAGAGCAGAACGTCTGTCCGGAACATCATGATGATTATATATCCGCTTGTGCATGGTATGAGGGGACGGGGAACGAGTGGCTTGAGAATACCCTTCTTTTCACTGGTCACCGTCGCGGGATTGTGAATGTGTGGCGTAAGGTCGTGGGTGTCAAGGGGTGGAAACTGGAATTGGCTAAGAGACTCAATCATGGTGATGGGGGTGGGAATGAGGGGACTGCGCTCGGTGGTGGGAAGAGCGGCGCGGGGGATGCGGCGATTAGCTGTATTACCCCTATGCCGCAAATGTTATATACCGGGGATGAGGATGGGAGAGTTGTAAGTTTCAGTGTCTCCTAATTTACTTGTGGTGTGAAGGTTGCTAACAGACGTTAGTATGAATGGGATTTAGTACAACGTGAAAGGTGATGAAATGAAGATTTAAGTATATGGGTGGGAGTAGGTTAGATCGGGCATTGTTGGCGTTTGGGTATTTTCATGGGCTGGGAATGCTGGGCAAGGTTAGCTGCTTAACCTCGAGGAAAATCATAGGTCGACCTAGAAATATCAAAATCAGGAACTGGATTTAGCGACGCCCTAAAATATCGAACAACTTAGACCAGCTTCACAACTCTCCTTAGAGCCTTATTTTTCATCCATCAAGTACTATGGGCTGGTGATAGCCACATCTCTTCTTGAGCGAAAGAAGCGGTGGTGGAAGCTACAAAATGAAAAGCGTTGTGAGACATGAAACTTGACACAAAGGAAACTTTGAGGGGATCAACAAAGGAGAGGAGATGTTTATCAGTCAGTGGCTCTCACATCTCTCTTCAGCTTTCTTTGTTTCTAAGATCGAAGAGGAGGCTAATGTGGTAGCTCTGGAATATTGTCAATGTCTTGAAACATGAGAAAAGTTTCTTCATCTTGTTCTAGAACATTTTTCAATATCCCAAACATTACGAAATGTCACATAAGGGAAAGTTTGAATCTAAGGAAATCGTATGTGACAGGACAATTGAAAGGATGCTAAAAGGGTATGGATAGAGTGAGCAAGCAGCGACAGTCTGAAAACGACTCATACACACTCTCAATCGCTTCAGTCCCATCAACACCAACATTAGCACCGTCAGCCATTCTACATCCACTGTCATAATTCTGAACTCTCACACCCTCACACTTTCACACTCTTCTATATTGTCAGCATTTATTCCTGTAGGACAGTGGCACAAATCTTCCCAGTCAGAAACCTCTTCTGTTGATTCTGCAACTTCAACACAACCTCTCATGAGAAATGTCTTTACTGTTCCGGAGCGACAATGCCGACGCTCAGGGGAGGGTCGGAAATTCGATGGGAGCCGCGCCAATGCTACGATCGCCAAAGACTCAACTTGGAAACCCTGATTCGCACACTCACCTCATTCCCTACCGGTAAAGCCTTTGCTGTATGCGTGCGCAATCTCAACAACTCAGCTCTTCTCATCGTATACCCCAACAGGGAGATGATGTTCTCCATTCGATTCGGTACGGACGAAGTGATAACCCGCGAGAAGGAGAGCGACATCACGACGTCAGACATGGTCTCTTTTGATGGAATTGCCAATTCAAGGATCACAAGGGAGGAATGGAAGGCGATTATATTGTAGGCTTGGCATCTATTAGAGGATGGGACTGAAGGCTTTATAAGTTACGGGTACAGAGGTGGAATGAGAGGGGTTCAAAGGGTGTGTTCTTGAGAATAGATATTATATCTCAATATTTCGTAAAGGAATGGGATTGAGCATTGAAAATAGATATGGGAGTTTGGTGTCAATTTACTGTTAGTTTCGGGAAAATAAATGCTCGTATTTCCGTTTGACAGTGAGGTTGTTCCGAGTTTACTTTATCAAGTTATTAACAAATGCTTAACAAACGAAACTTGCGCCATGCGAACCCAAATAATGTTTCCTCCCAGGCAAAGTCCTTTTCGCCCGATTAAAACACGTCACAAACCAGTCTTCCAGTAGTAAGATTACCTACGTATCCTCAGGCTTCGATTACGTGCTTTCTCTCCGACACACCACCCAGAGCGCCCGTCTATGAGGTTACAAGTCAGACATATTTTATCACAATAATAAGGGCGCTTACCATAAAGGAACCCGCTCAAGGTGAGCCTTTCGAGAAGGGTGGACGTTGCCAACCGTCGTAGTTACCTGGATGTTCTTTCTTACATGCGTTCCACGCCTCGCGAACCGGCGCCAATTTATAAAGCACTGCTTTTCGGAATTCCACATCGCTCATGCAGGGCTCTAGACGTGGCAGAGCTGAAAGCGTGATGGCTGAGCTGCGTAGACCGGTAGCTATATAGCGCTCGACCCACCAGGGATAGTAACCCGCATGTTCCCAGTCGATGATGGCCGAGATCTTCCCATCCTTGATGATGATATTACCCTCCGTCAAGTCGCAGTGGGTAAGCACATAGGGCTCTGGCTTAGGGAAATTGTCCTTGAGTTTTTGAAACTCCTTGTCGATGATGAGAGGATCGCTGGTCTTATGGATCTTTGACAATCCCATACGTAGCTCCTCGGCAATATTCTCAAACCACTCGTCAGTCGTGAACCCGATGCGTTTGCAAACCGGTCTGTAGCCAATCCCTTCACAAGCGCCCAGAATCCGATCTTCGAGTTTCCCGCCGTCGACCTTCTGAGCGCCGAGCGCGGTAAACCGTCTAATCTGCCGCAAGAACTGGAAGAGCTGCTCGCTCAAATCATCCGACGCCTTTTTCGAGAGCAGATGTAGAATCTCAGCAAGCGGCTACCCCTCGGCGCGACTCATCAACAAAAAGTACGTCTTCTTGTTGGGCTTGTTGACGAGCTGCATGTCGCTGATGAGGGGAGCCTCGGGGCCAAGCTGGCTACGCAAGAACTTGTGCGTGATATAATCGTTTCCGGGAGAGCAGCCGTCGTTGGGGAAATCCTTAAGTAGCCAATTTGAACCCATGGCCCAAAGCCCGGAATTCGCTTTCGTGCTAAGGATTTTGAGAGGAGGTGAGTAGGAGGTGAAGACCTGTTGGTAGGCGGTCAACCCACAATGCCAGCACAGTTCATTTTCAATCAGTTGGCGATCTTCCGTAAACAGATTATTCGTGTGATCTAAATCCCGCCGGCTTTCTTTGGCCCAGTCCGGTGGGACGCGGCCTACGCCGAAGATGAGTCCCTTATTGCTGTTCTCGGGATGTGTGAAGCCTTCTGATTTCATGACGAAGTCTTCAGTTTTCAGAACAAAGTAGTCTGGCGGCGGCGCCCATGGGACCTCGTCTGCACTTTCGTCATCGTCGGGATAGTAACTCATGGCTATGTTCGTTGTTAATAGTATGGTGGTTAGATACTTATGTAACTAATTGTTAAAAATTAGTAAGGGGACGGGGAAAGATTACAAAGGACTAACATAGTTTATAAATTATGGGGCCATTGTGCATCAGCGAGACTTCCGCAAACAGCTTGCAAATGGCTCCTTCTAAATAACAACAAAGAATTATTCAGAAAAGTCGACAAAGTAACGTGATCGTCAATACCGGAGAAATATATATATCTAGAGGTTACTTAAGTAGTTTAAGAAGTTGGTTATAATAAAGAATAAGTTGAGACTATTATAAATGGAAGTTAGTGACTATCTTAACATATATCCAACCAACGAATATTATTGCGCGCTCTTACTCCTTAGCGAGCTAAAACTGTTCAGGCTACTTTATGATAGTTTTATCTAGTAATAATATAGCAAACCTTAACCCCGAAGCAAAGACAGGAAAGGGAAGCAATGAAAGATCGATTTAGACGGATCTAAAGAATCTATAATCGAAATCACACACTCGCTCGACGGATCCAAAGCAATCTACGATTAAAAGTACAATTAAACACTCGCTCGACGAGCAAACAGATAAATGAGCGGTTATTAGTCAGACAGTTAACCGGAATCTCAGGCACCCGATCATCTCGCATCGCATTGTTTGCTCGTCTTCCAAGGTTGTGTTCCGGTTCCCCCCTTTCTTTTTAGCGAGGTTTAGAATACTGACGATTGACATATTGTAAGGGACAAACTTTCCTCTTGATCCGCATTTTCACCGAGTCTTTTCGTTTTTATCCCTCAATCCCGAACTTCCAGTAAAACTGACCTTCAGCCATTCTGCAAATCGGCCTACTCACGGATGCCAGGAATCTGCAATCAAAACCCTCAATAAATCTACATTCGCTATACCCAAAACACAACTTTTATTTTCTTTTCCTTTTTTACAGACGACAGTTTTATAATTTCACGCTATGGCTTCTTCGTGAGGGCTGCTCTGTAATTGTATCCCCTTTGTCTCGGTTCGCTTATTCTATGATTGAGGGATAGTTTAGGTAGAATGCACTTTCTTCTCATCACTGCAGTCAGGTATTCCCTCTTCTAGTAGTATATCAATTCACCTCACACAGCTTACCGTTTCGTCTTAGAGATTTCTACGGTCTATGGATTTAGGGTTTCTGGATTTGCGGTTGTGAGAGTTGACGGTGGAAGAGAAGAATTAGTTGGCTACGCGAACAGAGATGATTGGATCTTTGGGTTGTTCGAGATAGGATTAGTGTGCGTTGTATGGGTTTCGTTAGTGGGAGGGATGAGGGGAGGGTCTACTTGTCCAAGGATGCTAAAACTACATATCCAATCCAACAAATCACCTCAAGATCCTCCTCATCTCCACACATAGCGAGAAACCCACTACAACAATTCGACCCTCCAACTCCTGCCTAGCAAACCTCTCTCTCAAATTATTCGCCCCAGACTAATGCGAAGTCGATCTTGTTCCACATTTCGACAACGATAATTCATTGTACCCGACAAGCTTGAAATATAAAACTCCACCAAAATTCCCGTTCGCTCCTCACATAGCTACCCAACAGGATGATCTTTACAAAAACAAAAAGATTTGCACGTACCTCCTAGAGGCTATAAAACCAGAACGTATACCACATATTGACAAGTCGTACAAACGTTATAGATACCACCTTTGTTTATTATCATGCTAGAGGTTCTGTCTACTTTAGCCCTATTCGTCATAGTAAACTTTTACGGGAGCGGAGAGGAAAAACGTTTTAAGTCTTGATTTGTTGGGTTTTTGATTTGAGCTCGTGGGATGGCGGGTAAGTGTTGGGATTGGATTTCATGGATTTGTTCTTTGGACAGTGTTTTTAGGCCTCGAAAATTTCCTTTCCATCTTATTTGAAAAGTTCTCTCTGCGACGCAGAATTCCGAACTGTGTAAGAGATGATTCTTGTTGAAAGGCGAGTCTTTGTTTTCTAACTTTTCTTGATTACTGTTTGGTTTCTATTCATGCCTGTCGTGTGGGTGTCGACGCCAAAGTGGTTTGAAGAATGCTAGGTTCTCACTTCTCAGATTGGGGCTTCTAGGGCTGGGGAGTAAAGTACATGGGTTTATAAGTGCTTACAATTGCGAGATCAGATATGTAACCGTGAGTAAAGGAAGTCATTATGGGATTTCATGTACTAGTTTCAGACACCAAACCAGACCATTCACAGCCTCTTCCCATCCTTCCCAATCTCAACCACCTGATCAATCCCCTCATAATCCGGGACATCTAAATCATATTTCTCTGCAATCACTGGACTTACAAACCTACACACATTAGCATTCATCTCAACCCCCTGCTCCCTCCCCAAAAACAAGAAATCAACTTACCGTCCCCCAACAAAATGCCGCCCCTTGAAAAAACTAACCAACGGCTTCGGCGCCGTCAAACTAACGAGCACATCAGGCATATACACAGCACCCGGTCCCTCCTTCGGCGGTCCTGTCTCGATTTCCCAGGATGAAGGCGCGTCTACGGCTGTCACGGGGATTTTGGTTTCGGACAGGGCTTGGATGACAGTCGAGAAGGGCTCGCGAACGGGTCCGGAGAAGGAGAAGCCGAAGATGGCGTCGAGGATGTGGTCGGTTTCTTTGAGTGCCGCGGGGAAATCTGTGGTGAAGGGGATGGAGAGGTCTTTTAGTTGGGAGGCGAGGCGCTGTGGGGGTGTTAGTGGGGAGGAAAGGGAGGAATGGGGGAGGGAAAAGACGGACTTGATAGAGTTCGTTGGAGCTTTGTTTGGGGTAGTACATTGTTGGTTTATATCCGTAGTGCCAGAGATGACGAGCTGCTACTAGGCCATCACCACCTATACATTTCAGCAGTTTTCAATTACTTTTTCAAGTGGCCTCAGAGTTACCGTTATTGCCTGGTCCACAAGCTACTAAGATTCTTCGTCCTTTGCTGGGCGGATGGACTCGGTAGACTGAGATTTTATTATTATGAGAGTGTCAACAGATTTTGTTGAGAGACGTGTATGTACCGGCTTGTGAAACACTCAGACCAGCGAGTTCCATTAACTGATCAAGTGAAAATGCACCGACAGACATGAGGTCTTTATCGAGTGCTGCTGCACTCGCCGCTGAGAGAGTCTAGATATAATTAACCAAATGAATCGAAAACCGGAAGGAAATTGAAATACTAACTTACCTTTAATGCCATTTCAATACAATCCTGTCGATGAGATACTATTATAGAGATTGCTCTTCTTAACGACGTTCTTCAATAATTCAAAATAATCCGAGTCAGATATCCCACAAACACAAATTGATCAATCTAATCTTAAGACAACTCTCTGTAAGTAAAACCAAACAATATGTGATTTGAACATACGACTTCCCAAAAGAGCTTGACATCACCACCCCTTCCCCACATTTCTCTTCAGGCATCCTGGTTGCTAAAACCACACCCCGTGCACCTATCACATCAAAAATCCCCTTCCATCAACACCACATACTATCAAACCCCCGAACAAAACCACACCATTGCAACCATGGTGGTCAAAATCAGACTCGCGCGCTTCGGTCGCAGAAAGGCACCGTTTTATAACATAGTCGTTGCGCAAGCTCGGTACGTTCCCTTCTCCAATCCTCCTCCCATTTCCCTTCACCCTCCCCCAGCATATCTCCCTACATCCCTACACATCATCTAATTCAATGGCAACAGAACAGCGCGTAACTCCAAACCCATAGAAGTGCTCGGCACCTACAATCCAATCCCGCAGCCGCCGACAGACGGAGAGGGGAAGCCGTTTAAGGATATTAGACTTGATAGCGCGAGGACGAAGTATTGGTTGGGGGTTGGGGCGCAGCCTAGTGATCCGGCGTGGAGGCTGTTGAGTATGGTGAGTTTGGTGTGTTTCTTTTTGGGTGAGAGGCGGATGGGGGAGGAGAGGACGAGAGAGATCGTTGGGGATGGGAAGTGAGAAGCATGAATAGAGGGAGCGAGTGCAATTGGAGATGTGCGATTAGAGAGAGGATATGGTTCGGGGTGATCGGATATGGCGGGAATTAAGATGTGGTGTTAAGAGTAGCGGCGTTGAGGGCAGTCTGAGGGGATGATGTTGATTGGAAGAATATATGCTGACAAGTTTGCGGTTTAGGCAGGATTGATTGTTCCGAAATACAGACCTGGTGCATCAGCAACACAGCATGCGCCTCCAGCACCGAAGTAAGAAGGGTCTGCGCAAGCATGAGAGGCGGAGGGCTCAAGACGGACAAGGTTGTGGTGGAAGAAGCGGCAGAGCAGATTGGCAGTTAATTGCATTGTGCTGTCACCAGATATGCAAGAGTAGCATAGTCGGGCGTTTTATATCAGGGCAGGAAGCACCTCACACAAATGATTATCTAGGCGTTCATGTATAAATACGGAATGTAAAATCGCTGGGTGTATATTCTACAACTTTTGTACACATAACTCATATCTTTGATTCCCGTTACTATTCCAATCTGAACGCCAATTCCATGCATGCTTCCAATTCCAATGCTGTGAATGCAAGAAAAGTTCCTAATGCCCGCTGCCTCCAAAGAAGAGGTTTGTACCCAGGCATAAGATCATTACCAAAAAGCCATAAATAGCCAACGCTAGTGATAGTTTCCGCAGCATAGTCTGCCGCCACTGACTTGATCCCAATAACGATGAACCGCTGTTCCCTCCCTCCTCTTCATCTGCACTCTCGTCATCATCCTCTTTTGTAAGCCGCTGATGATGTGGTGAGTCCGGCGCAGATATCTTGTAATAGAACAAGCCCGGCAAGATGAAACTAATACTCGTGCTGCCTGTACTGCCGACATAGGCGAGAACTTTGTCAAGCGATGAGATTGTCATAGCAGCGGTGTAACTGAGAATGATAATGCACGTAGTGATAACGGCAAATCGCAACTCCCCGATGGTGTCATTTCGGGCAGTTGGTTGTGGAGTGCCTCCTGAAAGTAAGGGTACTGTTCTTGAAGGTGAAGAATTGGGTGAGTTCTTAGTACCTTTTGTGTTTGGTCTCCATTTGAGCACTGCGTCAACAGAAGCCCTACATGGATGTACTTGCAATGGATAAGAGAACATGACAAGAATGACGATAGCTGCTTTTGCAATGGTAGATGCAACAGAAGGTACGTCTGTAATTTGGTTAGCTTTAGAATGGCGGATATTAAAGCAAATTCTTACACATCCCCACAATGTTTCCCAAAACATTGTCACCAAATGATAGGTAGCCAGTGATAGCTACTAGGATATATACGGCTGCTGCGGAACCAATGCTTGAACCGACAACGCTTGTGGTTCTAAAGATCTTCTGTTAGCTGTGATTTGAAGTAATATAACTATGAGACTACTTACGATCGATGCGAGTTATCCTTGATCTCGTTCAAAATTGAAAACATCTAATCGATGTAAGCTTTGCAAGTAGCACTAAGTGGATGTCTTACATTTTGATGGCATGTATACGCAAAGACAATGACTGGGAAGCTTTTTAGAACCGTGGTGAGGCCGCCCCATTGAATAACTCGTACGGGTCCTTTCTGAGCCAAAGTATCACCCTTAATAAAATGAAACACAACCAGGACAACCAGATAGCTGATCGAGATCAAAGCTATGATACTGGTATATTTCAAAGAGTCAAGTCTACGAAGAAAGGCCAAAGGAATGACAACAAGCCTATTTGCAATCAGTAGGACTTCATTCATAGGATAATGGGTACCAACATGAAAACTGTCACCCAGAAGTGTCTGTTGACAAGGAAATCGACAGAATCTGCCCCTTCATAAAAGCCTCTCACCACACCTGGCATGAGATCGCCAATAATGATAAGATAGCTAACGCCCACACCAAAGCATTTTATCGCAATGGCAGCATCGAATATGACGGCAGCATTCGGGTATGTGATTTGTGAGAGAGCGAAAAACGAAGCCTTCCCCCTCTCAAGATACCGTGCGCACCGAGTTTGTAAATACAAGCCAAAGGCAGCGGTCATGCCTGACCACAGGATTACCACTGTGCCGAGGAGTATTCCCATATGGGACATTGCTAACTATTGCTGGTCATTATAAAATTGTAGTAAGCAGAGGGGGCTGCTACATACTGGCATTGCAAGAGTTCCAGCACCAATAACTACATATCCACGTTAAACCTGAGAATGGAAGTTGCAATCAACCTTGGGACGTACTGGTATTGACAAGATTCACATTACTGCTAAACCAGGAAGCTTGCCCGGCATGGTCCTTCGAGGGTCGAGTCGCTCTACGCCTGCCCAACCATTAGCACGGCTCTTCCCGTCTAAAATATGTCTCCTACCGTCTCCCTCGACTCGAGTCCGACGTGTTCCCACTCTGCCCTGCTATCGAAGTATATGATCCCGGCATGACGAAGTTTTGCGGATTTCCCGTATTCTATTCAATTCCAACCAACCGCAACCGCAGACCGAACAGAGTCGATTTCGTGTGCCGGTTATCGCGCGATCATATGAGAGCGAGCAGATAGCAAAATGAGCGTAATGAGCGTTGTTGGTTTCGTCCTTTGTACAATTCTCTCCTTCGTCAGGTAGGCCAGATAACAGGATATTCAGTGCGGCGCATGCGATGTGCTTCTTCTCATTCTGCGAAAGACGTCCCAATTGTTGTATTAGGGGGATATCATGAACGTGATACCTCCAGAGAATTCCAACACAGGCGTTGACAGACGAATTGCCAAAGTGGGTGTGAGAAAGAGGTGAAATGCGAATCACCCCAAAATCTGGGCCAGGCACGTAATTACAGCGGCCAGGTTCGGCATCTTGGCCACTGGTCACGTTGGATGCGCGCTAAATACGGGGAAGTCTGCACGGTTTCTTCCATCAGCCTTACTGGCGCCAAGCCTTTGACGGGCCGCGCCCACGTTGATGGCAGGGACGCCAGTTCCGGAGTTTTGTTCTTTGTACCACTGGCATACATCAACACGACAAGATGGAAAACACATTTGACAAGACGGCATTGGAGACGATTGATCTTCTGGAGGCAAGGCTCAAGAGGATTGAATATGCAGTATGTGGTCACATCGATCAGTCCGCTTTACCTAGCCAAAAGCAAACGGCGGTTCAACGTATGGGGGAATTGGAGCACTCGCTACATCAGATCGCATCAAAGTCTAGCACAATTCAAGATTTATTGAAACTACGTAAGTGATTATGATCTCGGAAAAGACAGTTTACTGATATTCTGTAGATTCAAGATATCCAGATCTTTTCCAGCAAATTTCACCGAGTGAAATACCAGATACCCTTGATACATCGACTCTTCTTTCCATCGTACTGGCATCAGCAAGCTCCTACTCTTCCACCGCATCACGATTGACATCTGTGAATGACACACCGATTCCTCCAACAGAACTCTCGACCCAACTGATCAACCTCCATCCTCGAATCGCGAAGATCAGTGCATTACAAACGTTGCAAAGTGTAGAAATTACAGAGTTACGAGAACGAAGTGCGGCATTGGTTCAAAAGTGGTACACGACAGGTGTTTTGGGACAAGGAGAAACCTGGGCTGAGCTTGAAGGAAGAGTTGGACGGGTGGAACAGAAGGTTAGAAGGACTGCTTTGGCAAAGCGGATGGATGACGAATTGGTTTGAGGACGCTGCATGCGGAAGCTCGTTCAACTTGAAGCAAAAACTCGGGCAATATATTGCTAGCCATGGAAAACCGTTTCCGTGATGCCGACAACGCTGAAGACCGAATCTGTGTGTTATCCTCTATACATATAAGCGCAGATGGTAAAGCGAGCTAGGTAGATTTTGGGCATCTGGATGTTGTCGCCAAATTCCTTTGTCCGCCAGGAATTATACCTCATTATCAAGATATATCCTTTTGATGGTCTAATGCCAAGAGAACCGCGGGCAAAGCACCAAGACCAGACCGATCAACATGCCAGCCATCCATTCGACGAGCAGCGCTGCAGTTATGGGGAGGGATGAGCTGGAATTTGTATGAGGGGTGATGGTCTGGAGAACTTATGAGTAGTCAATCAGGGCAGTGGCTTCAATATACTTCCAGGTACAATGAATCAACGATTTCAACATTGCTTGAAGACTACCTTTGCAGCCGCCATACAAACGCCCCCAAATCTCATCCCCCTCATTCGCCCTCAGGACATCATCATCATCCATTATCCACTACCCACCTATCCCAACCGTCTCCCCTTCCCATACGTCCCCGGAAGCCCACTCCACCTGCTCATTCTAAATCAGAATCCGCCTTCCAAAATCAGAACCCCACCATCAAAATAAAACGCCGAGCAAACTCACGAATTATCCTCCCAAGTCGCAACCCAGCCCACCAAGAACGCGAAAAAGTCTCCAATCAACACGGGCGCGTAGATGGTATTTAGGTGATAGAAAACTAAATACGTCAACTATTCGTATGCTGTGGAGTTATAAGGGGGAGGGGGATATACAAGATCCTGATGTAAACCTGCCGAGTATAATCACACCGATCGAACCCATCCACAAAACCGCGAGCATCAAAACCGCAACGTCGAAATGCCAACGCGTATAAATCCTATGATAAAACAATTTCGTCCCTCTCATCTCATCTACACATATCAGTCCCTTCCCTCCCCTTTCCTGGGATATACATACCAATCCTCCACAACGCCAGCCCTACACAACCTAGATTCAAGACCCCGAATAACACTCCTAATATCATACCAATCCCTAGCCGTCGTCCTGCTATACTTAGGATGTTCAAGGCGGTGTGAGTGGTGAAGAGGGAGAAGATGGTGCTTTTTCGGAGTAGGGCGGACGTGGAGAGGGACCAGGTGTGTAGGTAGGTGGATAGGCCGTGGGTTTGGGGGGCGAGGGAGAGGGAGAGGGTTGAGGGGGAGGTGGGGGAGCGGGTTAGGGGGAGGAGGAAGGACATTTTGGGGGTGTTTGGGGTGGGGAGTGATGGGCGGGAAGGGAGGGTGAGGGAGGAGGGGAGAGGGAAAGGGAAAGGGAAAGGGTATATGAAGAGGGGAGTACGTAAGTACCAACAACAGCGTTTATAGCATAGCAAGAAATAGAATTGCGAAGCATGATTATACCTGAATGTGCCCTATAAGGCTATGTGTAGCGGCACGGTATGTTGGTATGGTGGGTCGGGTTGTTGGTGTTTCGGAGACGAGCGCGTATCTGGTTGGAGTTGGAAGATGGCGTTGTGGGAAGATGGGGAATATGGTTTGGGGGCGGAGACGGTATGGAATATTGAGGGGAATGGATACCTTGCCATGGGGGTTGTGTGTGTTGAGTTTCATGTTATATCTTCCTAGGGGATTGCTGGGAATTGTATGGTTTAGGAGGACGAATTTGTGTTAAAAAGCTCCAATTCTATCTCGTCCACGAGTAAAGTACAAAGAACCAAACTCAGAAGAACTCAAAATGAATGATCTGATGGTGAAAAAGCCAATGAAATTCAATCCTCGAACGAGGCTAGTACAGGTACATAACGAGCCAATCTCATTTCCACCATACAATCCCAGCCTATCCCCTAAACTCCTCAAACCCCTTCACATCAACCTAATCCCATAATTCCATCCCTTGATTTCGTAACAGTCTATTCCTCGCGCCTAGAATCCCGGTGCATTTACACCTTCTCATCAGTGTAAGATGGTGGTAGGTCTTGAGCCTCCTTGACCAAGAAACTCTTAGTCTCATCATCACTCTCCTCGATAATGATAACCTCGTGGACTGGAATAGCTTGAGTCTGGCCACGACGGAAAAGTACGCGCCAGATAAGAACAACAGCGTTCCCTACAAGCATACCAACGAGGCTGGCAGTGATACCAACTGCAACACCAACGGCGATAGGAAGAAGGACGTGCATGGTGATGTTTCTGAGGAAACGAAGAATGGTGTGTCTGTGTCTGTGGTGACGGTGGGCGCCATGTGGTCTGCGATGAGGGCGAGCATCGTGATGCTTAGGACCGTCAACACTAGCATTTGGACGTGGAGGGGCCTTAATAGCGTTTCCGGCTTTTCCGCAACCGCTCTTTAATGAAGACAACTTGTCGGCGAGAATAGCTCTCCATTTGCAGAGAGCTGTTGCGCATTCCTGATCACCGTCGGAAGGTGTAAGCTCCTTTGGTTGTTCGACTTCCATTTGCTCCGCATTTCCAATCATAAGCTTTCCGCTAGATGTTCGCAATAACGAAAGCTGAACGGCTGGTATTCCTTCGATAAAGGTGTTTCCAACTTCGATGATTTCGAGTTGGATTTGGATGAGGTTGAGGTCGTCCTTCTCCGAGTAGACTGGGGACTTGTTGAAGATCGAGTATCCCAAATGTGGCTCGGCAGCATAATCCCAGGTGTTTGCATCGGTGTGAATGAATTGAGGAGCAGTAAGTTCCTGTACATCAAGTACTGACAATCCGATAGGCCATATTTGCATTCCGTTAACCGCAAGTACGTCCTGTACGCCCTCTTCTCCATGGATGACTTCAAAGTTCAACCCCAACCGGTTCTTGACTTCAGTTGCGATGTTACGACCTAGAGTGTCGGTGAAAATAACAGGACATCCAGGACATGGAAGGTTCATCGAAACTCCCTCGCCGACCGCTGCGTTTTCAACATCGTATGGTAAGGTGTTGAATGTCTCGGAAGGATCGGACGATATGGTAGGAGGGAGGAGGATGGCCTGCGACAGGCCGGTGAGAGCTGTGACAGCTCCAAGCGTAGTGAAATGCATCTGTTGGTTGATCAAAAGTCTCGCTCTTGATGAAATGTATTGTTTGTTCGTTGAGTGGTGATGAAGGTCGACGTTGTCGTGGCCTACAATGCTTTGATGGACGTCCAGCTGAGGGGTGGCGACTCAGACGCCAAGACCACAAAGCCCCAATGGATCTTGCAAGGATTTTGGCGGGGCGCTAGTCCCGATCGTATGTAAGGATCCTGAGGCACAATGACATAGCTGGAAGCATTTCACGTGTCGTAGTCACGGGTCTTTCCCTTCCATATAAACTTTTGACATCTGTCTCGAAGCTGGTATAATTGTACTTGTAAAACAGTATTTTAGAACAAGCCATTCAATGCATCGGTCTTATTGAATTTTTCCACACAAGATTATCCACAGATATGCCATTTCCGAAAAGTATGAGTAACTACACGCATTTCCACATAATGACCTAGAAAGCCTTATTCATACGCAGTTTCTCAAAATTTGTTTTAGAAAAACAAAATAAAGTACTGATAGAGATTGCAAATCTATTAATATCAACTTCGAATGCCAGAAGACTTCCTGTAGACCTAAAGTAGCTAGACTAAGCGGTACTTATGTATCAAACACCAGTGTCTGATACAATTGTCTGCGCACCCCAAATATTCATCAGTGAATAACTCAACACCACAACCTAATATTAAAGATCTGAGATTACAGCGCTAACTCTTAGGTCGTAGGCTATAGTCTAAGAGAACAGGGAACGTTGAAAAGGTTATTACGTTGATAAATTCTTAGTTGCGATTTTGGACTGTGCAGAGAATTGTGTCAGCCACTGGTGAAATAATGTATGACTATAAAGAGTACAATGATAAGTAATTTTTTTAGTTTTAAGGTACGGAACCGTCATGTTCTCAATGAGTTTTGCATTCTATGATTATTATGTGTATACCATTTTACATGTCAAGACGACCACCACGCCCTTCGCCTAAGCGAGTACAAAAGGGGGACGGGAGGGAGCCGGCGGGGAACCGACACTTCACGGGTATTAGAAAATCTTCTTACAAGAAAGCCATATTCGCAAGCATGACCAACCTCATAAACCAATTTATACTGTGCTTCATAATGAGATGTCCCTGCTTGTCAAGCTAAGGTAATGTTGATTGTCAAAGCAGAACTTTTCGCGTCACCGACGTAGCTAGGCGACCACGGAGGATGATTTCGAGGAAATGAGTATTTTGCTAGGCGTGTAGTGAACGAGAACAAATCAGCTGCAGTAAGGAGGTGTACAAGGGGTTACTTATGTTTGTAAGCTGTCATTGTGTATCTGCACCGGTATCCAAATGGCCATGATGATTTCGAAGTCTTTGAAAGCAACTTGAACTCAGGCATCGCTTTTTTATAAATGAGTTCGAGTATAAGATCAAGGTAAAAACCACGAACTTACCATTTCTATTCTCCATCATTACATCTCTACTCATCTTCACACATCATCTCACATTCCATCACTCCATCCAACACTGTACCACTTTACAATTCAGCTCCAAGATGAAATCTCAAGTCCTTCAAATCACTGCGATAGTCGCTGCAACTATTGTGCAAGGTAAGACTCGATGAGATACCGTCTTGCCTTACGTTGCTAACAGAATTTGTAGGATATGAGTTTGTTCGCCTGAATAAAACTGATGCTGTAAGTCGAATGAGATCAATCTTTGCGAAGCATATGAACTTACTGGTTTATCCAGGCTCTACTCATAGTCGATCACCAAATCGGTCTCGCAACACTAGTCAGAGATTATGAACCTACTGTTTTCAGGCAGAGCGTGATTGCTCATGCTGCTATCGGCAACCTGTTTAATCTGCCTACGATCATGACGACCTCTGCAGAAACTGGTATGATTTTATACCTTCAGTTCTTTTTGGGTAGTGCGCTAACAAGATACTTCCAGGACCAAATGGCAAACTTCCAAAAGAGGTCACAGATGTAAGTCTGACGACAAGTTTCTCATAGATGGTCGCTAACATGAGCAGCTACACCCAAATGCCCCCTACATTAAGCGTAACGGTGAAGTCGATGCTTGGGATAATCCAGAATTCAAAGCTGCTGTGAAAGCCACGGGAAAATCCCAAATGATTATCGCCGGCATCGTCACCGAAGTCTGTAAGTTGAACATCCCAAGGCCTCCTATGTAATTAGGTCACTTACAGGCACAAAGGTACCTCATTTCTAGCGCTTTCCCTTAGAGCAGAAGGCTACGAAGTGTTCGCCAACACTGAAGCCTCTGGAACATTCAACGATAAGCTCGCTGCCGATGCGAATCGTCGTATGGAAGGAGCAGGCGTACATCTCATGGGCATGTTCGGTATTGTAGCGGATTTGCAGCGTGATTGGAGAAATACTTCTCCCAATGCTACTGAGGTATTCGCGTATATGGACAAGTAAGTTCTCTCCCCATGGATCCGATACTGGCTGGGTGTTTGGGATCGTGGCTGATAAAGTATGTAGATACCAGGCTCCTGTCGCGCTTATGGCTAGGCACTATTCAGATGCAATTTCTTCCGCTGGGAATGCTTAGATCTAAAGTGAGTAGGTCGTCGGAGAAGATTGGTTCGATTGGTGGTGTGGCATCGTCGTGTGTCGTTCGTTGCCAGAAGATTAGAAAGCATCTTACATTTCAACCTGTACATAATAAGCATGTGCTTTAATTTAGACAATACTGATAATAAGCGAAGAAAAGCTAGAACGTGTATTCCAATGGTTGTTTTCGAAATAAACTTTTACCTCAATTTCGCTGATCCAGAAGTATGACTCCTCGGTAAAAGAGTAGTCTCCTAGGCATACTTTGCTATTTAGCGTTTCATGAAAAACATAGGATAACAGCAAGAGTACATTCGAGTGTCAGAAATTTTCAGCTTTTAGTTTTAATAAAACATGAAGGCAAAGGAGGATGGCAAGAAGCAAGAAGGGTCCAATAAGTGTGGGGGTCCAGTAAGGCTACGGCAGCCGAGACGGCCTGCGGAAGACGGTCCTGTGAAGTTAAACCTTGGGACCCTGTGACAACGAGTTCGTTGTGCCTGGACCCCGCGAGACTTTATGATCAAAGTTCGATGACAAAATCAACAACACAACAGCAGAACTCTTATGTATTCTTCCGAGGAACTCGTGTACGTATCACGCACGCTGTGCAGAAAAATTCAATTGATCAGCTACAAAAAGCGTGGGATGTGCTCGACCCTCTCCACTATCACCTTTTCACTTGTGTCGACTATCGTGAAGTGGATTATTTTTGTGCAGTTAGGTCAGCGCGATCTGCAAAGGTTCTGTCCCATGACGTTCGTTGACAGCGCTAAGAGAACTTCTGGGTCCTCCTGAGCTGAGGAACATCGAGGACGAGACAAAGCAATTTCTTACTCTCAACAAGATTTCCTATCATCTCTCCACCGCCATTTTCAAATCTTTTCCCATTTCCGTTTACACATCTATAGTAAGAGGAAACACAGCAAACTCTAATCTATATAATTCCTCGTGGTTGAGTCAATTCCTATCATACTTCAGCCCTAAATATCTGCGGTTTTCTTTTTTTACAAGCGTCTTTCAACGACCAGCATGTTTCGAACTCAATTGCTTCGACAAGCGGCTCGCGCTGCCAGAGCCTCCTCGACGCCAATTACCCCTCGCACAGTAACTCCCGCCATCACCGCTCAACGATCATTTCAAACCTCATCGCAGCTGCGAAAAGAGGAGACGCCAAGTACTGAACATGAGGGTTCTTTTGCCCGCACAGATTCAACAGTGCAAGTTGAATACCCAGAGGAGAGAGATTTACCCTCTAGTAAGCCTGTGCAAGGTAGAGGTGGACTACATTTTAAGCGTACGCTTGCTTCATTCTCTCTCGAGGGAAGAGTCGGTGTAGTTACGGGAGGTGCAAGAGGATTGGGACTGGTGATGAGTCAAGCTATGGTTATTAGTGGTGCTGATGTTGCAATTGTCGATTTAAACAGTAAGTGGTGCTTATGGGTGGTCAATTACATCAAGCTAATTTTGCCCAGAGGAAGAGGCAGAGAAACAAGCAGAAGAGCTGATGAAGGAATTCCGAAGAGAAAACCCTGGAGCAGAATCGTATGCATCTTGACATTCGAAATTCAATTGCATCTGCTAATCAATTCGTAGTTCGCCCAAGGTTACCGCACATTACGCCGATGTCTCATCCCCAGAATCCGTCGATGCCGCCATTGCGGAAATCCTTAAACAACACGGCAAGATTGACAATCTTGTAACATCCGCAGGTTTCACAGAGAATTTCGAAGCTATCAACTACCCAATTGATCGTGTCCGAAAGCTTTGGGGTGTTAATGTGGACGGTACATATTTGTTTGCAACCGCGGTAGCAAGACATTTGATGGAGAGAAAGGCACCAGGAAGCATGGTCTTCATTGGTAGCATGTCAGGCGCAATTGTCAATGTTCCACAACCACAAGCTCCATACAACGCTGCTAAAGCCGCAGTTAGACATTTGGCTTCCAGTTTGGCGGTTGAGTGGGCTCATGCTGGTATTCGCGTAAACTGCATCTCCCCTGGTTATATGCTTACTGCGCTGTAAGTCCTTCCTCCACCCCTAATCTATCGGCAGCGACTAATAAATCAACAGAACCAAAAAAATCCTCGACGACAACCCAGATTTGAAGAAACAATGGACATCACTCATTCCTCAAGGAAAAATGGGTCAACCAGAAGATCTTATGGGAGCGGTTACGTATCTATCCTCAGATGCTTCCAGCTATGTGACAGGTGCAGATCTCCGTGTTGATGGTGGTTACACTGTTACGTAGATACCCTTCTGTCGATTGTTTTTTCGGTGGATGTTACGATACGTTGTTAGCTGGCTGGCCGGTGGTGCAGAGGTAGGTGAATTGAGGTTCCTGTCAACGAACTGGGACATGACTGGTTCAGTGTGTTAATGGAGTTACATCTTTTTCTCTTCAAATTCTTTGGGAGATCATCAAGAAGTGATGTTGAGGGCAGCCTACATAAAGAATATCAAAAAACTTAATCTTCTCCCAGGGTATCTGATGTGTAGCTTCTCTCGACTGCTCTTTAACTAATGTGTGATATGGTGGGGAAACGAAGTTAACGGGTCCATAATCGAGGCTCTACAATCGATGAACAGATATTTTATGACCGAATCTCTATAAGTACTAGATAGATTAATGGAATCTATCCTCGAGGTTATGTGCTCGGCGTCTCGCTGGACGGATATTTTAGGAAGAGACATTATCGAAATTACACACTCGCTATATGTCCTGTTTTAGAGGACCGATTTAACGGGTCTATAATCGATACCCTACAATTGATAGACAGCCATTTTATGACCGAAATTATACAATTCCTATACGGAAATTCTTGGGCAAAGGATCCGAGGAATCTATAATCCAAAGGATAACAAAACTCTGACCAGCCCCGGGAGACTTCAAGGCTATTACGTAATCCAAAGGACTATAGGACATCCGTGGACTATTATTACCGTCAAACAACCTATGTGGGAACAATACTATACAGCTAGAGAAACATCACTTAAATGAAAACTCAAAAACGAAACAGAGACTAATGATAAAAAGCTTGGTGATAAAGAAACCTAATGTACCTAGAGAAGAAAGGCCGCAGAACACTTAGTCCTAAAGGAATTGGACGGTTAAGTATAGATGTAATTAGGGATGAAGATGGCGAAAAATGTTTAACTCGGTCGATAGGAAAATGTCTGGGAAATTGAGATGTGGCGATAGATGTTATTGATGGAAAGGGAATGTGCGGGGATAGTTGGATTATGTTGGAGATGATTAGAGGAGTATTTAATGTTTAAGATCGGTAAACGAAAGGATGTAAGGGATTCAAGGGATCTGTAATCGAAATCACCAACCCACTCACTCGACGGATTTCAGGAATTTACAATCAATACATCCACGAACTTTGACCGGCGGAGAAGTTCAAACATATTCTTCAGACCAAGCCATACTAAATCCATCAAAAAAAAAAGAGATTTAACCAAACGAGTTTCGCACGCCTAATTCCCAGCCCTGAAACTCCCAAATAACTATATATACCCGGGTATACAGACAACACCTTCCCCCAAACATCACGAACCCGTCAAGCAGGCAACCTCTCCACCTCGGCACCCCCAACATACCACCCCTCCCACCTCCCATACTCCGCGCGCTTATCCGTCGACAACGTCCCCTTCCTCCCCGTGATCTCGTTGAGAAGCATGTACCACCACCCCTCGCGGTCCGCCGAGTACGCGATCATGATGTGAGGAACAATCGAGCTCCCCATACCCGCCAGCTCGTCGAATGCAGCGCAATCGATGTAAGCGCCGCTGAAGGAGGAGAAACGCTGCGTTTCCATGTGCGCGTGCCAGCGGTCGACGGTGGTGTTGAAGCGGAGGGAGAGGTCGGCTGAGAGGTCGATTAGGACATTGGCATGTCGTTGCATAAGCCTCGAATCGCGTATATCATTCGCGTCGATTTTCATCTCGGGATGAACCTCAAGTGCATTGTCCAAACGAGGGATCAGCTTTCCGTACCCGAAATGAATTTATATATATAAGGAAGTCCTACAAAGATACACAGTACTAAAATCACCCTTCCCCATCTCCTCAAGCACGAGCGGCAAAATCCCAATCCCCATCTCAACTAACCCATCAAACTCCTCGCCCTCAGCCCAATCACTAGACCTACCCCAATCAATACCCCCTTAAACCCCGAGGAGCTACGTACTTGGAACTCACACTCCCCTGCCAACTATCTTTCCATTTCGTATATTTCGCCGCAAACTCGTCAGCCATGGACGGGAAGGAAGTCTTACTAGTCGCTGCTAGGTCGTTGATGCATTTCATCGCTAGGGGATTTGGGGGCGGGATGTCTGCGTGGGCGGAGGTCATGAGGGTGGGTTTGATAAAGGAGCCTGAGGGCGGGGCTTTGGCTAGACGGGGGGGTTGTTGGTCTGGGGGTGAGTCTGGGAGAAGTTGATGGGTAAAGTCGGGGTCCATGGTGATGGAATCTGTGTCTGTGGTTCTGGTGGTTGAGGGCGGTGGTGTGGATGGAGTGAGTGATGAATTGTTGGACTGTTGGATCGCTGGAATATACATGTCATCATTAGAGAGGTGTAGTTATCTTTAAGGGATAGTGTACATTTTTTTGTTATAGGAAATTAATAGTAAAAATTATATTAAGGATATATAGAATAAACCTTAAATAAACCTTTAGCGTAGTTAGGATTTAGGGGCTATATAAAGTTGGGCTAGGATATGACCTGCATTTAAGCACTAACCTATCTCGAATATTAAACATTCTAAGGGAATGTAGTCGATGTTTTGCGAAAGAGGATAGACGAACCTTAAAAACCAAATATACATTCATACAACCAAAAATCCACACCCCAATCGCTAAACCCTAAAATCCCAAACCAGAAAAGCAAAAGCCCAAAAAAGCAAAATATACGTTCACATGATCTCGTACCCGCATTTTCGTAAAGATGTGATGTCTCGGCTGTTCGGTCTCCTCCCGAAGTCAGAATGCCCCTTGCATCTTGGCTGGGGGGTGCGTATTCAGAGAGTGGGATGGCGACGTGGGGGGAGGAAAACGTTCTGGAAGGTTGGGTGGGGATTGGATGGATGTGATAGGGATGATGTGATAGAATGGGTGGTTTTGCTTGTTTGCGATGGGTTTGATGGTGTTGAAATAAAGAATTTTCCTTGCGAAGATTCTGCTTTATTTTGAGGTTGTTGGTTTGTTTGAGGAGTATGGGTGGCGTGGCGTGGTGGATTATGGTTGGATTGTAGAAGTCGTAGTAATTGGATATGTTTGTACAACTTAGGAGTCGGTACCTGTTTTAAAACCATCAAATCGAGATCCAAACACCCATTCAGATTCTCCAACATGAACTCCTATTTCATCTCCATTGCGTAACTCCGTTCTTGTCAGATTCGGCGTTGGCTCAATGGATGGTGATGAAGCTTCCGGTTATTCTCCCAACGATCCCGAATCATGTCACACGACTTGATGCGCTACGACGACAAACCCCAGGAACATCACAAGAAAGACGCTCAAACGAAACCAACTTCACAGGTCAGCAGCCAGCAGCCAGCAGATCAACCACCCCCTCCTAGGCAACCCAACGGAACCTCGTCCCCGGATGGTCGCTGTAACGTTGAGCCATGGGAAGTACATAAATTGGTCTTACGCATCCATCCCAAGGGATGGAATAATGATGGCCAATTCGTCTGTCGCCGCATACTTGGTCGTCTCCTCAAGTCGGAGAGCGGTGGGGAGCCGACTGCTCGCCGCGTTCCTTGGGGTTACCCAGCACCAGCTGCAGAATTCTTTGAGCTTGTGATCGATTTGCGTCCTCGTCTCAGGGTTCGGTCGCAGGTGCATCGCAGCGGACAGCGTTGGTACAGCGGTTGAGCCGAAGGAGAGCTTGGAGGGAGCGAGTCAAGTAAGCGGTGAGTGAGGGGACCGCATTCTCTTCATATCATATTACCTTATTACTTTCAGATATGCGCAGATGTGAGCATCGCGGTGACGGTGGATGCACATGCTGCCATGCACGCCACTTAGTATTGCAGCAGTGATTGCAGGACTGAGGGTTTGTTGTCAAGCCACAATAGGTGAGGTCTTGACGAGCAGGTGGGCAAAACCGGTAGCGATGAAGCGATAATATATGTGCTGAGAGTGTTCAGCAGGTACGAGTATCTTTGTCTCCAACATCTGATGCCAAAGCAAAACAATACCACTTACAGTTATGCTTCCAACCCTCGGATACAATTGCCAGTGCAAGAGATCAGCGCCCCGTCCAGAAGCTCGAGAAGGAATCTCGGTCCTAGGCAAAGGTACACAGGTCTCGCAGAGGCACGATATCCGTCGGCTGCGGCAGAACATGTGGTCGAAGGCGGCTGAGGGAGTACCAAGCTAGCGGTCATGATATACGAAAGACAAGGTTGGCCGGCGGTAGGACAAAGGTACCGGTACCACGTATAAAGTTAGGTGTAGATGTCTTTATGTTGACATGTGTATGGACGACGACGAGTTCATGAACTATGATGGACCATTTGCGAGGGGTGGAGTAGAAGCAGGTGAGGCGAAAAGCAAGAGTCGCGCCGGTCCTGGTGGCTGACAGGCTCACAGCTCCCTCGCCCCTGTCAATCCCGTGGAGTTGCCCGGTCTGGCCCAAAGAGCCGTCTCCCAAACAGCACAGCTTACAGCTAAAAACCCCCCTCATCTCGTGCTTCTCCGCCCGTTCATTCGCTCGCGGCCTCGCATCTGCCCCTCCACAAAAGAATGCAAGAATCTAAGAACTTTCGAACCTTCAATCCGACGTGCGAAGTACCATCGCTGCTCCCCTGCTCCTTTCCTGACCCCCCTTCGACTGTCCTTCTTGGGCCATTCTTTTGCCCGTAGCTTAGGCCCTTCTACCAAAGAACCCAGCCCAGCTACCCATCGCCCCGAGAAGGCTCAAAAACAGCTCTTTCCGTCTCCACAGCTCCTCCCACTGCCACAATCCGCTCGCCGCCGGCCTGTGCGAATTTGCGTTCGTTCCATCCGTGGTCACGTTCACGTTTACGTTCATCACTCCTTGAGAACTTCTCTTCTCATCTTCATATCTCTCATGCTCACTACTCGCTCACCTCACCTCCCCTCTCCCCTCAATCCGGTCGCTGACCATGCACTTGTCCACTTCATTGCCACGCAAACCAGACCCCTCATTTCGTCGTTTCCTCTAGCCGTCCGAGAAGAATCCGCTCCTCCTCTGCTCTAATCCTATCAATCGCTCCCCAGGAAAGCGCCTCAACCCGCTGACCTGGTACCACGGCTCATCAGCTGCCGCCTCACAAAAGTAAGCAAAACCCATCCATGTACCTTGGACATGATAGTCCAAGTCACATCACCAGAGCTTCCCAAGTCAGCTGCTTTTTGCCTCTCTGTGTTTACTTTTGCTTGACTTCGCCCTTTCGGAACCTACCTATCATCCTCGGTCACATACATCAACACTGCTCAGCTCCTTACTAATTCGTCCTTAGGATCCGTCCTGCCTTGTAAATGCCTCTTTCCATCTGGAGAACCACGAGCTGTTAGATACTTCCTCCAACCGACACAGGCCATGCCCATCAGAAGGACCGCACTTTTTCCCACAGTACTCGACCTGTGTCTAGTTACATGAACAAATTTCATTCGATTTATGCTCTTGTCGCGAATACGCTTTGGGTATCTTGAAGCGGCAGATTTAGACGGCGGTTCCATACTTTCCACCGCTCTTCCCAGGACGCACATTTATCCACACCGCTACCAACGAGAAGGATCTAGAAATCTGTTTGACAAACCCGGTTTCCTTGACCAGCGTGTCTGATGCAAACCTGCATTGCTTCTCGGTCTGTTCCGCGCCCAGGGAACGTTTGTCTATTGGTTGCGACTGGTAGTCATCCGTCATTCCTACAAAGAACACGAAGGGTGAATCACCGAATGTGAATTATTGGATCTTTAAGAGTCCACGCAGCATCTTTCTTAGTAGGCTCGCCTGCTAGAAAGAGCTGCCCTCTACCCAAATCACTTTGGCAACGATACGAGAATGGCGATGATACTGCCCAAGGGCATTGTAGTTAATACGCCCGAGATTGAACACAACATCGAACGCATAGCATCCGAACCGTTGGATCCTGCAGATATCGCCAAATTCTGGAAAGGTATAGTTTGCAATTACCTTTCTGGTCAAGGTTGAGTAAAGATCTAATTCGATCTGTTGACAGTTTATACAACTACGCAAAGGAGGCTTCGTGATCCGACCGCGGAACGGTTGGAAAATTACTGGTGGCGCATTTGGGGAAGTCGAAAACGGCAGTTGGATGGTGCTACCGTGGCAGGCATGTTTGCCCATATTTCCGATGGCCTAAGCTTTGTACCACTACGAGGCCCTGCGAATCGTGATGAGGGATCACCACCGCTGGTATGATGCCCGTTTGTTTGTAAAAGTCTGGCGGCCAGTACTGATTTTGGTGTAGGAGAGAAAAGATCGATTTACGCCCAGTGCTGCGAGCGCTGCCACGCTGCCAACGGCAGATCCAAGTCGAAATGGAACTGGAAATAATCTCTCCTCCAAAAGTCCCGTGGTTATGCCACCTCCTATCTTAAAAAAATCTCGAGGCCCTTCTACAACTGGTCCGCGTCCCACAGCTCGCTTCATTTCGCCACATGAATCCGAGAATGAAGCCGAGAGAAATTCATCCGCCGGCTCAAACGCTGTAGTACAAGCCCCTTCGCCCGGTAGTAAAAATGCGAAATTTGAAAAGAAGTCGCCCGTGGTTGGTAAGAAGAAGGCGGGATTTGTAGCTGCGGGGGCTACAAAAAAGAAGCGACCTGTATATGTACGGCGGCAGAATTCGCAATCTTCTGCGGATAGTGTAAAAACTCATGATAGCCCGAAAATTCCAAGTTCGCAAGGTTCGGCGCAGTCTTCATTAGGAAGGTCGCCTTTGGGCAGATCACCACCTTTAATGGCAGCGCCAGGACCTTCTCGTGGAAATCAGCAAGCAACTTCGAAATTTCAAGAGCAGTTTTCTCCTGACCCACCTGTTACTTCTGCTCCAAGACAGCAAAGCGAATCGAGAAAAGATGCGAAAGGTTCAAAGACTTCAACTTCAAAATCTCAGACTACCAAGTCTCGTGAGCGTAAACCGGAGGTGAAGTCACCGAGACCATTGGAAAAACAAAGTTCTGGAAACGTGCCTCGGGATCAGCGGGCATCTCAGTCTACACAGTCTGTGATATCACCAACAACCGCGGAAGAGGATGAAGTCTTGAGTCTGGAAGGTTCAACGCGGCAAAATACCGAGCTGAATAGAAGGCCGACGGATGACCGTAGCAGAAATCAATTCCTTCAAAGATCAAGTTCGGGTATGGGATCTAATGCCTTGGGTATCATGCATCACGACAGGAAGAGTAGTGCCAGTTTAGCATCTACTTTGACTCCAGCGACTGGACAGCTTCAGCTTGGTGATGCGGCCGTAGACTTTGAAGAAGAACCATCACCAAAACGACCTGCCGCCAAGGACAAAGGAAAAGGGAGAGCCGAGGGGGAGCCTGAAAGAGACGACTTATTCACAAAACGACCGGTACAGCCAGTTCCAATAGCCGCACCCTCGGAACCTGTAGGATCACTTGCCAGGAGCAAGAGTCAACTTACACTATTACTGGAGAAAGACCAGAAGGATCGAGCGAAGAACGAGGTTAATAAACCGAATGGAAAACGACGATGATATCATACGATCATACGGTCGTCCCAGGATCGAGTGGATTAAAGGAAGAGGAAGCACAAAAGTTCATGGCGGGACTCTAATCACATTTTTACGAGGGCCGCAAAATTTACCAAGTCTATTCGTGATGCATTTGAATGGCGTATCGGAGCGGAGGGTTAGGGGGGTAATGTGCATATGGGAGGTTTTGTTGTTGCCATATTTTTCGTATGTGGTTTGGCATTTGCGGCATTTGCATTGGTGTTTGGGTTTGGGGGTTTTGAGGAGGGGGGATCAAGATGAAATAAGATAGGGAGCTGGATTTGTTGAGTTTGCTTGTATATGTTGCTTTAGCGATGGGTTGAAGGAGGGTTGAAGAGGTTTACATATGGGACTGAAAGGGATTTAAGAACGGAAGGGGGAAGAGGAGGGGGGAATGGAGAGGGAGACTTGTAGATTATTGCATGGGATTGGAGAGGGGATTGTACATATACTAATTGAAGCGGAATGAAGATGGGGTTGAGCTTCTGATGTGTATCTGTGATGTGATGTGAGAAGAGAAATCATGTTTGTGATGTACCACTGCCTTTCTGTGGTGAACATATAAAATAGTATCCAGGACCATTTGCAGCTATAATTCACATTCTGTAAAGACAATTTCAAACCACATTAATAAACCTATCTTGTTGATTTCCTTACTGAATATCACATCAGTGGGTCCATTACCTTACCATTCATCTTAATGTTAACTTGGGTTCCACTGAACGGGTGTCTAGTATGTAGTTTATATTGGGAAGAGTAAGAGTAAAACAATAGAAAAAGGGGATTTGTGATGGGATGAGAAGGTAAGTCGTTTTTTAAGTAATGACTGTAAAGCTTGATATGTTTAATTTAATTTAATAACTCTGAAATAGGAAGGGAAAAGGACTGTGTCTGTGAAATCTGGGTCGGTGTTTTTCTGGGTTTGGTGAACGGATTTGTATGTGTTAGATTAGTAGGGTGAGAGTGAGATTGTGAGAAAGGATGGTTTTTGTGGGATGAGAAGTCTACTATAATTTAACAGCTCTGAAATGGGGAGGAAAAAACGATTTACCTATGAAATAACATTTACTGTCGAGGATGAATAGTACATACCATGAGACACGGCATCAGATGATAGACAATTATGTGAGACGTTGATATCATTATGTCTATTGATAACAAAAATGCGTACGCGGGTCGACCTTCTATACTCGAGAAGGGGTATCAACAATAGACATATAAAAGGGTAGGTATTTTTCATACAATAATATGCATATATGTATGCATGTCATGCTCTTCTCGCCAAGTCCACAACAGCATGTTCTCTCCTCTCATACTCTACGCCATATTCTTCCTGATTGGCTGCGTCTGAATTCTTCGCACTTGAACGCCATCTCCTTCATATCAGCACTCTTCTCAATCTCACATCCTCTTCCCACACCTTAATAGTTACGTAGGTTTCGGACTCCCCGCCACAGACCCCCCCGTTTTCTTCATCAGCCCCGCGAAAAAGGAAGCGAGGGCTTCGTTTTGAGATTTCCCGTCACCGCCGCCGCCTAGGCTGGGGGAAGATGGTTCGGGTGTTGCGTAGTTTTGGCGGTCCTAAGGGGGGTGTGTTAGTGAGATATTAAGGGTGGTGTAAAAAGGGGGTTTACTTTTAATCGCTGTAACATGTCATCGGCGTCAACTTGTATACCGCCCATGTTAAACTGCACCGGACCGATATGTTCATTTACTCTCCCCTCATCGGCAGTCATATCATCGCTGCCTTCGACGCCAGATTGGGAGATACTTCGACCGGGAGCGAGACGACTGCTATCCATACCCGAGGGTTCGCTACCTTGGCGGATATTTTCTAGGACTTCGAGTTGGGTTGCTAGGAAGGCTTGGGATTCGAGAGATGAGACTTCGAGTTTTGAGCCATGAGCTTCCGAGGAGGTGGCTTGAAGAGCATCGAGACGGGGATCGCGGATTTGTTCTTCATAAGATTCGACTGCTGCGCTTGGGGGTTTTGGAGATGTGGTTTCGACTTCTGTGTTTGTGGTTGTGATGAGTGATGAGGATTCTTCTATGTCGACGGACCAGGCTTTGTTGATTGCTTCGACGTCGAAGCCATCTCGTAACACCCTGATCTTGCCCCAGGAATCCCAGTTTGGAGGTACCAGAACCTTGTCGCGGTCAATAACGTTGTGTTTTAATGGCTGTTTCTTGAGAAGCGAGTGTATTCCGAGAGATGAATGTATGAGACTTTGTAAAGGGCTTGTGACGGATGGTATTGTGTATATAAGTGATGCGCCGTCTGTTATTGATTAGCCATGAGTTGGTAATATTGAATACCAGACATACGTTTAAGTAGAATTGTCCGTAGAAATTGTAGGATAAAATCGAATTCCTCTTCCCTCCATGATCGTTCTTTTTCCAGATTCTCTATTCGATCCGACTGAACGTGGATTAGGACCCTGGCTTGTACCTTTTTGCTTCGAACAACTCACATTCTGACAGACCACGCATAATGGCAATCCAAGACCTTCTTCCCATTCTCCAGGACCCAATGGCAAACTGACATCGCCATCCGTACCACTAGCCGTAGGGGTCCCGTCAAGATTGTTCCCCCCACGCCCTCTATCCCGCCAACTAAGCATCACTTCCTCCATTTTCTCTTTCGATTCCACGCTCAATGAAACAAGTAACGTTCGAAGAAGTCGTATCCAGTCTCGTAATTGACGCAACCAAAACCATGGTTCTGACCAGTCCAGTAATATTACAATAAGTGTATTGGGAATAGTTTCCGGTGTGAGGAGAGGTTGGAGGAGAGGCGTGAATGATGGCGACGGGTCGGCGAGGAGGTATAGAGAAAGTCGTGCCAGGATATCTATTCCCATTTAGCAATTCGAACTGCCATTAAGAATTCCGCAATCGTACCCTCATGATCAGCATCTAAAACATCATGGTACGTATACCCCAGCGCAAAGTTATTAGCAACAGGCGGCTGTTTACTACTCTGCCTTTCTGAGCTCTTCCTCGTATCATCCGCCGATAATGTTTCCAAAAACTCCTTTTGCGTTTCTGTAGTCCCTCCTGCCCCGCCGTCAGCCAATGCCTTTCAAATGGTAGTCCGAGACAAACCTAGAACCAGTATGTTCTTCTCAGGTAACCTTTTACCACTGGCTACACTATCTAGCAAGGTAAACCACATATCCTTCTTCGCATCTGCGCTCTTGGGTCTGTCATGATCGCTGGATTGGGTATATGTGGAGGTTCTGTTGTTGGAGGATGCCATGATGGCTTGCGAATCGCGTCTCAGGGGCGCGACTTGTTGCGGAATAGAGCTCTTTGGGCAGAGGAAACTCGGTTTATGAAGCCGCCATGTTAATTCAGAGAGACTGGAACTCGAGCTACAGCTTTGACCTGTACTTTTTGGCTTTGCGGAGGTTTGATGGCGTGGATGTTACTCTGGACAAAGTTGTCAACCTCGTCGGAGTTTATGCCGTTCGCGATATTGGAGTACTAAAAAAGCGGCGGAAGGAAATAATACCCGCTTCACTTAATGCTCCACTTGTTGCAGCATCATGTCTGGGGAAAACTAGTTTTTACAACTAATATATGGAAATCAGTCCAATGTAATTTTTAAAATGGGCAAACAGTAATCTTGCTGTATTTTCTCTGTCAATATCAAACATTTCTCTGTCGATCTTTACAGTAAAGTGATCTTTCATATTCTTGATTCGGCACTTGTAGATGGTCGATGCAGGGCCTAGACGCCGCTATTAGCAGGGAAGCAGGGGGTATCAAATTGCATTGGCAACTGCAAGGCCCAAAACTTTGACTTCAGCCTCGTCTGAACTCCATCCAATACTCACCCCACCTCGAAACAAATTCCCCACGAATAGCACGGTTCTGCGCTTGCGTCTTTTCTAAATATGAATAGCATACGTCAGATACAAGAACTAAACAAACGGGAATTAGAAAATGGAGTGTACGTCCTACCTGCCTCCTACAAATGAAATACAATATACTGATAGCCGTCCAGCTCCCCAGAAGCCTCATGGCATGCAGACTACCGCGACACAGCCTACATCTACATCGGCGGTCTCCCATTCGAACTTTCCGAAGGCGACATAATAACCATATTCTCCCAATTCGGCGAGCCCGTATACATAAACCTGATCCGCGACAAGGAGACGGGGAAATCCAAGGGTTTCGCATTCTTGAAATATGAGGATCAACGGAGCACGGATTTAGCGGTGGATAATCTAGGAGGTAGTGTGATTATGGGGAGGACGTTGAAGGTGGATCATACGAGGTATAAGAAGAAGGATGATGCGCCGGATGAGGGCATTGATTTGACTGCGATTGAAAATGAAGAGGGAGGTGGGGAGGGGCCTAGGAAGAGGAGGAAGACGGACGAGAGTGAGAGCGAAGGTGAGAGACCGATGATTAAAGAGGAGAGGGAGTTGGCGAAATTGATACAGGAACATGATGATGACGATCCTATGAAGGCGTTCTTGATTGAGGATAAGAAGGAGGAGATTAAGCTGGCGTTGGCGAGGGTTAAGGGTGAGAAGAGTGGAAATTATTCGGAATCCAGGAGTAAACATCGCCATCATCATAAGTCGAGAAGGGAGAAGGATGATAGGAGGGATGGTGATGAGGGAAGGTCGAGACATAGGAGAGATGGTCATAAGAGCAGTCGAAGATCACGCTCACGAGATAACTCACCTCCTCGAAACAAAGAACGTCGTGAGAGGTCTTCACGAGATCAGCATATCAAGCGAGATGACTCAATGCCACGGAGGAGGAAAAGTCCAAGTCCAGGTGATGAGCGCGACTATGATCGACGTAGAAGTCATAATGACCGCAGAAGGAGAAGTCAAAGCCGGACATAGTTTTGATATGCTGTTTGAATTTAATACTACCTCAGACACGATCTGTCTGGCCCTCGAATCTTGATGTTGATATGTTCCAGCATGTACCCAGCCTATGCCTTATCAACTATGATCATACCCTAAACGCCGCGCTAAGTATCAAATGTTTGTATGTATGCTTATGTCGTCCCTCGATATCTCTTCCATCCTTGTCTCTCGCACTCCCGCTTTCCTTCACGGTTCTCCCCAATAACGAACCTCTCCCACCGCGCATCTCTACCTGCTCCTACAATGATAAGACAGTCGTCAGAGGTCCAGCCTATGGTTCCTTTGCACAGTCTGATTCCTGCTTCGCTCTGCGTGCCCGGATTCGTTGAACTCTGGGATGAGCTTTCATCGCCTATCTCAAAATTTGCTGAAGTAAAGGAGTAGGTATCGGAAAAGAACTTTGGCAGCAGTGGAATCCGTCCAAGTACCCCCCATTTCTGATTCGTATCGCCATCACTTGTCACCGGGCTTACACCACCTGTCTGAGCTGTCGATCGATTTCCAACTGGCGAGGCGACTGCTCTGGCTGGCTTTGAAGGATGAGGGATGTCAAATATGTGAAGCGTTGACTTGTCTGATGTAACCGCAAGCATTTGACCACCAGGTGCAATTGCTAAAGAAAATATAGTTGCAGCATCGACTCCTCTTCGGAGTTCCGCTAGCTTAGAAAAGCTGGGTATGGCAAAGACTCGTATCAAAGTGCCCTGTAAAGAATGAGAGTGATCCTTTAAGCATGACAAGTGTACTTACAGTTTCACTAGCAGTAGCCAGAATCTGTCCATCGCGGCTGATATCTAAAGCTCTTAATGGAGAAGTGTGTGCAGGAACCAGACTGACGTTCTTCGTAGCTAGCTCTATTAGTCTGACTTGACCTGAAGTGATTGCTGGAATAGCAAGATGCTTTGTTCCTAGACAACAAATCCCATGCGGATTATCTACTGTCGGATATTCGCCCCACAACTGTGGTGGTGCTTCAAATTTGTAGACCTGAACAGATGATTGCAGTACAACGACAATGTGAGTCTTTGACATGCGAACTGCGCGGACTGGCGCCAACTCAGACAATATAAATCTTACTTTCTGATTCTTATCATCCCAGATGATTACCTGGTTTCTAGTAAGTTTCATGCTGAATGGATTATTTTCAGTGCAGCTCACTTTATTTTGGGCATATTTCGGTTTTCTGCCTCCTCCAACGATTGCAACATAGTTCGTCGCTCCTAGCATGCCAACAGTAGCAATACCAGCGTTGAAGTCTTCAATACTTAGCTTCTCCTTCGTAAGTGATACTTGACAGAACATACCTCGAACCACATGAAGTTTACATGGGTCTGATCGGTATACTAGGTAGACCTCTATTAGTCTTTTTACAATGCGTCATACAAGAGTATCAACTTACTAGAGAAGCCATTCTCTAGTCCCACTGCAAAACAACTCGCATCTTGGTTGAATGAGACCGACAGGGCTCCGGGAGTGTTTGAGCTCTCGATAGCTGGTCGTGTATTCATTCTTGAAATTGTGATGCCGAGGTTATAAATATAAAATGGCAATAGCTAAGGAGTCTGGAAGCTTTATGTCCTCAAAACTGGTCGTTTGTCCTATGGTTTGCTCATTATTGACGGAAACTTGATGTGAATAGCAGTTAGAATGGTTATCGCGTGATTGCAGTGTCTTGAGAAGGTTTCGCCCCACTCCTTGAGGATAGATACAAGTCGGACTTGTTATTCAGTGTAGATTTGTGAATCTGTGAGACCGGCGAGAGGGAATGAGTTGCAGCAATTTCGATGTTTGTGAACCCCCGAAAAGAAGGAGATCTCAATTACATGAAAGAAGTAAGTAGTCTTGCTCGTCCAAGATCCGGTCAAGAGGTGGAAACTTCAGCCTCGCTGTCAACGTTCCGTGCCTCGTGGCCCACTAAAAGTCTTGATAAGGTTTAGCCTCGACCCCAGGTCAACGCGGAATCTCGCTAATTGGAAATTCCCCTGAAGAAGTAACGACCCTCGACCGCAACTTCTAAATTTCGCGACCTCACCACCAAACATTCGATCGTTACAACTGGCCATTACACTCAAACGCTTTAACGAGTTCACAATACAAGACGGTGCGATAGATCGTTTCGCATTTCGAAATCATGTCTTCTCCGTTAGGCGCAGTACGTACATCTATCCAAAGCTCTCGAGCTTCCCTCAACCCCTTTTGGTCTTTCTGATTCTTGTGTTTTCGTCCAGTACCACGCTGGGGTTTGAATCCTACCCACACTATCCCAGGTTCAATCACTAATGCTAGATCCCGTACAGATCAAGATCCGCAGAAAGAAGAATGTCAAAAAGGGTATCCAGTTTTGTTTGATGGTGTGCGGTGCCTCTGGCACAGGTACGTGAACGGGCTTGTGCGACAAGGTGGAAGAGGACAAGAATTGATTGGATCTCTTAGGACGGACCACGTTTGTGAACACACTATGCGGGAAGAAGGTTTTGTCTGGACTCGATGCCGACGATGCGTCGAACGCTCATGTTGAGGAGAACGTAAAAATCAAGCCAGTCACCGTTGGTACGAGCCTCTTCGGGAACATGACCTACGTCAAGCAACTGATGATTTGCAGAGCTAGAGTTAGACGAGGAGGGAACTAGAATTTCTCTCACAATCGTCGACACACCAGGTTTTGGCGATCTAATCGATAACGAAGCCAGGTACGATGCGCCGAGACGGTATTTCGTTAGACCTCGCTGATGAGATTTAGTTTTGGAGAGATCGTCGGTTATCTCGAGAACCAGTACGACGATATTCTCGCGGAGGAATCCCGTATTAAGCGTAATCCACGTTTCCGCGACAATCGTGTGCATGCCTTACTTTACTTCATTACCCCAACTGGCCACGGGTAAATACTATCTTTCGCATATCACAATTTCAACAACTAATGTTTTTCTAGCCTTCGCGAACTAGATATCGAGCTCATGAAGCGTCTTTCTCCTCGTGTTAACGTCATTCCAGTCATTGGAAAGGCTGATTCCCTCACACCAGCGGAGTTGGCAGAGTCAAAGAAGCTTGTTATGGAGGATATCGAACACTACAGAATCCCCGTGTACAACTTTCCATACGACATCGAGGAGGATGACGAAGATACAGTCGAAGAAAATGCCGAGCTTCGCGGTCTGATGCCTTTTGCGATTGTCGGCTCAGATGAAGTTGTTGAGATCGGGGGTCGCAAAGTTCGAGCTAGACAGTATCCATGGGGTGTTGTTGAGGTTGACAACCCAAGGCACTCTGATTTCCTAGCCATTCGTAGCGCCCTCCTCCACTCTCATTTGGCGGATCTGAAAGAAATCACCCACGACTTCCTTTACGAAAACTACCGTACCGAAAAACTTAGCAAGAGTGTTGACGGTGGTGGTGGAATGTACGTTTATCTAGTCGAGATGATTGATCGATATGCTGACCCATTCATAGTGACTCGTCCATGAACCCAGAAGACTTGGCATCCCAGTCTGTCCGCCTAAAGGAGGAGCAGCTGAGACGTGAAGAAGAGAAACTCCGCGAGATCGAAATCAAGGTTCAACGCGAAATCAACGAGAAGAGACAAGAACTTCTAGCTCGCGAAAGCCAACTGAAAGAAATCGAAGCAAGAATGCAGCGGGAGCAGAGTGCACAGTTGGAGGCCCATCATAATGGAGCAGTCGATCACGAGTAATCTGGATATGATGTTGTGTTTTGCAATGGCGCTTGACTTCGATGGATTGAGCGTGCTTTGGTCCGGCCTTCACTTATTGCCTCCTTGTCTGTAATGGAGTCAGATGTGAAGGATTGTTTTGCGGGTCGTTGACGGCAGCGCTCGGGAAAGCTAATGATGTGTTTCCTTATCACCTTCTAGTGTGCAGTTACCCTACTTCCAGTTTCTAGGTCCCAAACGTGGGAGATCCGCGGATGGGATGGCGCGAACACTTCAGCTTCTTTACTCTTTTATGTAGTTTTTTGAGCCTTTGAAAATACAAAGCCACGGCTTGATTATGATAATAGTGGCGCGTTTTCAAGAATCTTAACTTGTTATATCTCTAGTTTATGTTGTGTTTTAAATCAAGTAAGTGCTCTTTCCGATCGACTACCTATTGGTTTGACGGCCAAATGTGCCCAATTGGCTACCAACCCCTTTTCGTTCAAATATAGTGACTCGATGTTAAAAAGACCATGTTACATCTGAAACTGGTTTCACCAACGCAGACCTTCGATCAGTTGTCATCTATCTCAAAGCTCCGGATGATGCCGAATGAAAGGGTGCTGCAAATGAACCCATCAAGAGTACGAGTTCGGAAAACTTTCTAGTCCGTTACACAGCATACAAAACGGGCGTTTGCGATAACTTCCCGACCCAGATGCCATTGGAATCGTTCGAACCAACTCAGAGCTGACTGTCGATGACATGGACGGTCTAAGTGCTGCTGCAAGTGTGATAGCTGTACTTGATGCCGCGAAGACAGTCATCTCAATCTGCAGCGACTATGCCTCAGCCCTACGCAATGAGCTGTGGAGCCTACCTAAGCTACTGCTAGAACTCCGATCGTTGCGAAGTGTGCTAGAACACCTTTTCATCGTCGTGGAAAGCGATGAAAACAGTAGATACCGTCAGCTCTCTAGCACTTTAACAAGAGGTGCATTGGAACTATGCAAAGCGGAACTGCAACAACTTGCACACAAATTAGAGCCGCCCAGCTGGGCTGGAAAAGAAAGATCGAAGAGGAGAGCCTTGATTATTGCTACTGGATGGCCGCTGAAGGAAAAAGATACGAGGAAATGTCTAGATAATCTTGGACGTCTCAGGGTAACTTTGAATCTTGCTCTAGCCACAGATCAAATGTGTTTGATCCCTCCTACCATCCATGTCTCATGGCTGATGAGTTCAGATCTTTGACTTATCATATCCATCGGCGTGCAGAACAGCGTACGTATAACCCACTCAATCAAATCTTGTTATCGATCTCATTCTAACATACCGCGTGCAGAAGAAACCCGAAAACAGAGCAAAAGGATCCAGAGGTGGTTATCGCAATCAGTGCCTGACCCATCCACAAACTTCAACGACGCGTGCGCAAAGCGCCGTAGCAAAACCGGCAATTGGTTCCTCGAAAGTTCAGAGTTCGCGTGTTGGAACGTTCTTCCTCGCTCCTTCCTTTGGCTTTCTGGGAAGGCTGACTGTGGCAAAACAGTTTTAAGTTCAACAACCGTGCAGAATGTTCTCGAGCAGCATCAAGCATCCTCTGGTACACGATGCGTGGCTTATTTCTATTTCGATTTTGCAGACAAGGACAAACAAAAACACCAAAAGATGCTCCAGTCACTGGCTATCCAACTACTCCTCCAAGCTCCACGAACGCCAGACGTATTGAAGTCTGTTTTTGACAAATGCTTGCGTGGGTTACGTCAACCCTCCACTCAAGAAATCCTACACATCATCAGGAGCCTGATCGAGCTTTCGGATGATACATTCATATTATTAGATGCGCTCGATGAATGTGAAGAATGGATTGAGCTCCTTGAGGACCTTGAAGTCATGGAAAGTTGGCATCTTGATAATCTTCACATACTGGTGACAAGTCGGAAGGAGTACCAGATCGAGCAGACCATGTTACGACTGGCTGGAGAGGCTATAATATCCCTTGAAGATTCTGTGATTGATGGAGACATCCAAATCTACGTATATGAACGATTACTGTCAGATCAGCGACTAAGGCGATGGAGAAATCGACCAGACATACAAGCGGAAATATCATCTACACTGATCACAAACTGTGGGGAAATGTGAGTGTCTTCCACTCCAAGTAAGTTCGTCCGAGTAAACAATTTGAAGAAGATTCTGCCGTACCTGGGGGTCAGTTCTATGTTTACCATTCTTTAGCCTGTCACGGTGATAGAAGTAAATGCTAACAAGATCATATAGGTTTCGCCGGGTGGTCTGTCAAATGGATGCATTGAAAGACTGCCTATCTCCAAGTGCTCTGCGAAACACTCTCAGCTCACTGCCTAAAACCCTCGATGCAACCTATGATCGAATTCTGTCACGTATTGACCCGGAACAACATCACCAAACACAACATATTCTACATTGTTTAGCATACTCAACTCGCCCATTACACCTTGAGGAAGTTGCTGATATTTCAACGATTGATTCAAACTGCTTCTTGCGCGTTGATCCAGACAAGAAACCACTAGATGTTCTAGAGATTCCAGTAATAGCACTTGATTTGGCTCGCGTCAAGACGGTGCAGGCATCGAACTCGAAAAACAAGCCCCATATTGGCAAGCTAGAGGTTAGCCTGGCTCACTTTTCTGTGAAAGAGTACCTAAGTTCGTCGCGCATTCAACTGGGTAGATGGAACAGTCTTCATATTACAGAACCTCAAGCACATGCTACACTGATGGAAGTGTCATTAGCAATGCTTCTACACTGCTCTAGGAACTTCAAGGACACCATAATTGAGGAGTTTCCGTTCGTCAAGTACGCTGCAGATCACTGGATCTACTATGCTCGACACCCAAGCAGGAACGCGTCCAGGGCTGACCGACTTTGCCCCGAGGCGGTGTTTGGCAGTGAGGTTGATCTCATAAACTGGATGCGTATTCTCTCAAGAAACAACCAGCTACCCTGCGATCGAAAACAAATATCTTATTTGGGCAATTTGGCAGTGGCTCTACAAGCGGAAAGAGAACTAGCCTTACCTATGACTATAAAAAGTATCACAAATACTGTCTTGCAGGAATACGCAATAGAGAGGTCAAGCGGTTATCATGGAAAACAATATCCAAAGTCAATCAGGCCTGAAGTGAAGGGCCTGTTGCGTCAGTCTTCTCAACCACCGACAAGCAAACCGCCAAACCCCATTACTTCGCCACAAGAAATATTTGCAGTTCTTACAAGTGACGATCCTATACGTCCATCGTTTCGATCTGCTCAATTTCCCTTCGTGGACCAACAAGCAATACAAATAGCACCTGCTGTTGCAAAGCTGGAGGTTCTCCCCTCTAGCTCTTTCGAGTTGAGAAAACTCCTTAACATACTAATGAGCGATAGCGTAGGTAAAGTTACAGATGAGGAAATTTTGAAAACTGTTGACCTACTTCTCTCTAAATACAAGGTCTTTTGTTTTATTATAAAAGAGGAACAATATAAGTATGGATCTGTTGGAAGCGAAACTTCATTTATCACGAAAAGCCAAGAGCTCCAAAGCTTGATCCAATCAACAAGAGTCGAAATCATATCGAAACTTGCTCAAGATTCGAACTCCCTTTATTTTCAATTCGTCGAATCACAACTTGGTTCTCAAGAAGTGTTTCTAGAAGAAATACTCAAAGACAAAGTATCTAGTCATATCAACGACCTAACTCTCCAAGAAAAGATTCGATCGATTATCAAGAAAGAAAAAAGGTTAATCGGCATCGATATGTTCAGTCAATTTACCAAAGACCAAAGAGCCTCCGGGTTCCCGGGACGCCGATATCCCGAACTACCCCAAACTACCTGTCATACAATCAAGCAGTATTATGTCATTAAATTTCAATGGAAACGACGCCGTGCAAATTTTATTGGAGAGGAAGGTTGCGGATAATGACTCTGGATGGCTCGCTTTTCTTGATTGGATACTGAGAATGTCGGCTTCGACGGAGAAGCCGGGGGATCTGGATGTAAGAAGTTGGAAGTATCCGCATCAGCGGACGTTGGTTGCTTGGTTTGCTGTTTGGGAGTATTTTGGGTGTGAAAAGAGGATTGGTAAAGGCGGGGGTAAGAAGGGAGGGACGAGTTCGAAGATTAAAATTCCTTTACGTAGGAAGTAAGGTAGGTAGGTGGCTTTTGATATAATAGCTGTTGAATATTAAGATTAAGGTATGTATTGTAATTTGTAGTCTTTAAGCTGAGATGTTATGTTTGTTCCTTAGAAAGTTGTTATATAATTCCGTTTTCGGGCCATGCATACCAGTTATACTTCATGTGGCTTCTATTATGCCAGCAAGATCCAAATATTTATATATATGTATGTATATAGTCTATTTCAATTATAACAGCTTAAGTCACTCAACTTTACCTCAACCAGTAAACTTCCTCAAACAAAAATTAGTCACGAAAAAACCCACTAAATCAATCCTAAACAAGTATTATACATACGGTAACGCGGCTCAGTAGCTATTATCCCATAATCTTGCCTCTGTAAGTGAAAGTACCAATAAAGAATCAACATCAGAGCAAGAGTCTTCGTACCAAGTCTTGAATGTATAACTGATAGAGAGGTTCATATAACGTAAACGAGTAACGCTTTGTCATAGTGGCAGCTTTGAACTTTTGGAAGAGTAGGGTCTATAGAATCAGTAGTACATGAGTTTTTGTCTAATGGAGTTGTTTATGTGAGATGATGGGGATCGAAGGTTTGGCAGGGGAGTGCTTGTGAGTGTCAAGGAGGAGGATGTGCATATGAACAAAATAAAGAGTTCATTTAATTTATTTTCAAATTAAAGCTTCTCATAGTAGCTTGTGTGTGTCAAGTGTAACAGAGTGCGAGCTTTCAGCTGAAGAGTCACGAGGAGGAGCTTTTTGTTTGGGGAGGAATGCGTGATTGAGGATGGTGGCAGGACTGGATAGTGTGATGGTTTTGGAGGAATTGTAAAGTCGTGCAGTGATACGTCTGTGTTGTAAATAGAAATAGAAATAGAAATAGTAGTGTGGGTGTGCCCAGTTCTATCCCTCATGTCATCATCGTATCATAAATCTACTTTCAACGGCATGTATTTGCTAGACTGTTCATGCTATAGAAGTATACTTGGTGGGGATTTTATTCGAAATGCAGACGAATTTGAGATTTTTGAGTGAGGTGATTTGATCAAATTCTAATTTCTAGGTAAATTCGTTGCTTCATGTTGATAGAATGGAGATAAAGCTCACTTACTGTGGTTATCACAATCGAAAATAAACAAAACACAGCAAAATGTAGTCTTGAAAATTTTATTTCACATCTATCACTCACCAACCCACCCAACCAAAAACCCAAAACGCCATAACCCCCTCCCACCCCTTCCTCATTATCCCCCCTACTCCTCCTCCTCAACAAACCCAACAAGCATCCTCCCCGCCCCACAAATCTCCCCCACGCCCACCAACCTCCTCACCATCCCCGCCTTCGGCGCCCTAATAACCGTCTCCATCTTCATACTCTCAATAACGAGTAACGCCTGTCCTACCTCCACGCTATCTCCCTCGGCCACCTCATGCCGCAGGATCTTACAGGGCATAGGCGCCAACACGGTATTCGCTGCTGCTTTCAGGTTCAATGCGCTGGCGTGCCAGGCGGGTGGGAGGAGCGTGAGGGTTGTGGATGTGCCGGTTTGGAAGAGGGTTAGGGTTTTTGAGCCGGGGAGGGAGGATGGGGGGGAGGGCGTGGGGATTAGGGTGGTGGTTAGGCGGGTGTGCGGGTAGAATGTTGTTATTGATTTTGGGGTGGAGGTGGTTGTGATGTTGGTGTAAATTATGGGCTCTGATGAGGGAGAAGTGAGGGTGATGTTGTAGAGATTTGGGGCGAGTTGGGTTGTTGTTACTGTAGTCGGATCGGGTTTAGATGTTGCGTCTGTGTTTCCGACAACGAAGGAGAAGGTGCGGGAGTCGGGTGAGCCGTAGCCGATTAGTAGACCGTGTGGTCCTGAAGAAGTGGGTTTTAAGGATTGTTCTTGGGCGAGGATTCCGAGGGCTGCTTGGATGAAGGTTTCGGGTTTGGTGATTTCGGGGGTGAAGAGTTCGTCGTGGTGTTTTTGAATGTATCCCGTTTCGACTTCTCCTTTTATGAAATCGGGACTTTTACAGATTCGTTTTAGGAATTCGATGTTGGTGCTCAGACCGACAACTTCATAGTCTTGCAATGCTGCGTACATTTTACGAAGAGCGACTTCTCGTGTTGGACCGCTTACAATGAGTTTTGCAATCATACCGTCGTAAGCTGAAGAAACAGTGTCTCCTTCGATGAATCCAGCATCGATACGAACACTATCAGATAGTTTTGGTGTACGGAGATGGATTAGTTTTCCAGAATCAGGCATAAAATTCTGATCTGGATTCTCCGCGTAAATCCGAGCTTCAAGAGCCCATCCTCGTTCCGCTATTCTTTGCGTAATTTGTTCTTGCGTCAACGGAAGTGGTTCACCTGCTGCAACTTTGAACTGCCATGACACTAGATCTTCTCCAGTAATCTCTTCTGTGACTGGGTGTTCGACTTGTAGTCTAGTGTTCATTTCCATGAAAAAGAACTCGTTAGTATCATTGTCGAATATGACTAAAAGACACATTAGCAAATCTCTCACACCGGCACATCAACACTTACATTCAACCGTCCCAGCACCTTCATAACCAACCGCCAGCGCCGCAGCCCTAGCCTTCTCCCACAACTCCTGTCTAATTCCCTCCTCCAAATTCGGCGCCGGAGCTTCCTCAAGAATCTTCTGATGTCTCCTCTGCAAACTACAATCCCTCTCTCCAAGCGCAACCGCATTCCCAAACTTATCCGCAAAAACCTGCACCTCAATATGTCTGGGCGTAGCAATGTACTTTTCAACCAACATCTCATCATCGCCGAAACTATTCCTGCCCTCCGACTTTGCACTCTCAAGTTTATCCAAAAACTCATCCGGCGTCATCGCAATCCGCATGCCCTTCCCACCACCCCCCTTAACCGCCTTCACCATAACCGGAAACCCAATCTTCTTCGCCTCCTCAAGAAGATACTTGGGATCCTGATTCGCGCCATGATACCCAGGGATACACGGCACGCCCGCCGCAATCATAATCTCCTTACTCCGACTCTTATTCCCCATCGCCTCGATCGCCTTCCACGGCGGTCCAATGAACACCAACCCCTCCTCCACACACCTCTTCGCAAACGCCGAGTTCTCGCTCAAGAACCCATATCCGGGGTGTAAAGCCTCGCAACCATTCTCCTTCGCGGCTTTGATAATGCGTTCACCGTCCAGGTACGCGGATGGAGCGCCGAGGTTTACGGCAAAGGGAGAGGAGAGCGCATGTTGTGAGTGGGCGTCTGGGTCCGTGTAGATGGTTGTACATCGCACACCGAGATCTGAGGCTGTTCGACCCACTCGAAGGGCGATTTCTCCTCGATTGGCAATTAGGACGGAGGTTATAGGTTGAGCTATGGCGGTTGAGGTGAGGGGGGAAGTTGTCGTTGATCTATGTCGCAATTGTGTACTGGTGAGTACGCGACTAAACGCTCGTGATCTCGAAGCGTGTAACATGTTGGCTACTCTATGTGATCCATCAGTTGAACTTGTGCAAGTAGGAAAGCTCCATCTCATGGAGAAAGTCGAAATCGTATTGACATTCGAGGTTGAAGTTGTGGTTCAGCCGGTTGTAGCCGTTCCTCGGCCCCGCCATTTAAACCGTTACCCCATACCGGCTTTGTGGGGAAGTTGAGTCGTCTGCCATCTTTCCGCACTGTTCACTTACTCGTGATTAGCACATGGAGTGGTAAAGGTTCACACTCCTGTTATAAGTCGAAATTGGAATAGAACGAGTGAGCTTGATGATATACTGAATGCAGACCCGTAAGCGTGAGTTCCAACAACTCATGACTATCATTGCAGACATCACAAAAACCTGCAATCTTCTTTTGTAATCATTTCAATTCAGCCCCATCACCCAATTCTAACTCTAACAACAAAGTCAAAGCATCTCACCCATTTCCCATCATATCACCACCTGAGCGTGATCAAGTCTGTATTTGAGACCTGATTCTCCGCATCCCTTGCCATCCACACTATTCTTTCACCCCATTCCCTCCCTTCCTCTTCAGATATCAGACACTAAACAAACAAAAGGTGCAGAGTAAAAAGTAATAAATGGAAAAAAAACAACTCGAGAAAACGCCAAATTAATGCCCAAAGGTGTATCAATCAGGACCATCCCAGTACCTTGGTCTCTCCACTCCCAAACATTCCACCTTTCAATTCCGTACTAAGATTGTCGGCCGGAAAGATAGAATGAGAGCCGATATTCTGTTTACGCTCCATCAATTCATAATATTTCTCAGCCAGTAATGAACTCCGCAAGCAAGATAAACGAGCGAAGTAAGCAAAAACATGCCATGGGTATTATTTTCCCGTCTCGAATCACATCGTTTTCGTGGATAGTCCAAGAAGATTTCGAGAGATAAAAAGAGGACAGCGCCGCTGCTTTTGATATGTAACAAACGGGTAGTGTAGTCGTTGATGATAGTTTTAAAGAAGTCGGTTTGATGGCGGCGTGTCGAGAAAACAAAAGAGACCAGTCGTAGCACATTGACTTATTACATAACTCCTCCACTCCAGTATAACCGCCCATATTTTGATCCATTCCGTGGAAGTAAGATCCTAACGTTCATTTCGAGAAGCTTATAATAAAATCAAGTAATTCGATGGTGCAATTCCAGTCTCTCCGGTTTCCTTCTTCGCTTGCCACCATCTTCCGCTGACATCTGATACTTCTAAGATTTCGTGTTTGGAGAAGGAGATTTCGTTGGCATCATCTGGGTTAGCCTCGTATGAGTAGATGGCCTTCGCTCGGTATGGATATTCGGTTGGTTGTACTACTTCCGTTGCGGTAGGTTCGCTGCTCATTGGGCCGGGTCCACCACCTAGAGTGTTCGTCGTTGTGTTATTGCCAAATCGTGGCTGGGAAGAATTACGCTCCGCTCCAACTGGGCCCCCTGGGAAACCTGCCACCGGTGATGAAGTCTCGAAGCCTCCAAGCTGGGCAGATGTATACATTTGTGGTGGTACATTTGAAGAAACTGAGGTATCTGGTCGGCCAGTTGCGTATCCATTGGTCATCCCTCGTCCACCTTGCGAAGAAGCCCGGTGGTCTTTGTGGAGGGCAAAGGAATCGAGGTATGCACGAGGAACAGCCGAAGGTGTTGACCCGAAATAGAAAATCCACACAATCTGATACAACTGTCAGCTGGATTCAGAATGATGTATCAAGAGACTTACATTAACCATAGAGAGCAAAATGTGGCCAGCAGCAGTTGCTTCTTTTGCGCCATTGGAAGAGTAGATGGTAGAGTTGACCGATGAGCTGGTCAATACGAGACCGCAAGCAAGATAACCAACGATGGCTACATGATATGTTTGCGTGGTGTCAGATGCAATGACCACGAAGACACCGATAATTGCGCATAACATGTATGCAACCGCGAACCACGAATAATTAGGGAAAGCAGGATCTAATTTCTCAGCCGTCGCAATTACTGATCCGACAAAGGCGATAAACCACGCGAGCTGTTCACATCATATGTTAGCTTTGATCATTCTCGTGCGGCGCAGCCAGGAAGAGTCGAGGGCCAACATACCATCGCAATTGACACCGTCGCCAGCGCGAAGGGGTCGCCCAAAATATTGTCCATACTCATCGTCCTCATTCCCCCTGTTCGTCTTCCTTTCATATCCATACCGCCGTTCATTTTACGAAGAGATGGCGAATGCAGCGATCCGTAAGATGGCATAAGGGAGTTTGGGTTGGAGGTCGATGGTCCTCGTGGGTGAAGATGGAATCGAGGTAGAATGAATTAGAGTCGCGGAGCTGTGACAGTCGATTCAACCGACCGTGCTGCGAAAGAATTCGTCGTGGAAAAAGTGTTCGTCTGTGACTGCGGCGGCCCAAACGATGATGGAAGAAGGGTGCTTGGTGCAATTGAAGCGTTTCAGCAGATCGGGAGCTGTCTGGACCGACCCTGCTGGTTCAAAGCTCGGAAGTTTGGGGAAACCCAGACAATAACGGGCGACGTGACGTGTGCGACGTGACAATGGCCGTTGTTAATAGTCGAGGTCGTCCAGGGCGAATAATGAATTGGTCGACGTGGTAGAAATTATCGTGCTTCAGGCGGGCGGGGGATGGAAAATGGGACTGGGAAGGGAGGCGCAGGCGCGGAGAAGGGGATGAGGCTGCTGTGTTGGCGCGGGAATAAATGGGGTTTTCTTGCGAAGGGGGTGAACGCGACAATCGTGTGGAAAGAGTGTGGAACGCTGCAAGTCGTGGAGTCGAGCAAAGCGTTTGAAGGCTGTCGATCGGTTGTTTGTCGTCTCGCCGGTTGTTGGTTGGTGATAATTAAAAGTTTCGACGACGACGGAGGGAGAGAAAGGAAGGGGCGCTGGGGGGTGGAGAGAAGATATGTCAAGATTGCTATGCGAGGTCGAGGGTCGACGGCTCTTTGGCTGGTGCAGAAGTGTCCCTGAGTCTGTCCCTGCTGGGAAATAAATATCTCGCTTGGGCTTGGGCTCCAAGCTGATGCGCGGCCGGATTCAGTAGCGGTGGTAGCGTCGCAATCAGTAAGTGCGGAGTATTTGCTATGTAAACAAACGACTTATTCAACAAGAAAGTGCTGTTCCATTCACCGCTGGTGTGCTTCCTCTTTTTGACGCCCGTTATTCGGTGTTCTGTGATACTGCGCGTGGCGATGTGATGTGACGGGACTTCCAAGGAGTGGCAGATGCAGTCAGGAAAAAGGTGCCGTTCAACGCAGGAGGGGGTTGAAGATCCGGGCGGCGGTGCAACACTACCATCAAGTAAGATGCAGGGCCAGAGAGTTCTGGATGATTATCCCAAGCAAGAATTAAATCATGGCAACTCAAAAGTCGTATAAACCCTATAAACTGTGGAGGAACTGCATTTTGACAGGACATTATCTCTTGATTAGTGGAGACTTTGTACGCGGATACGTAGATTGATTAATTACGCTGCAAGGAGACTCCTTTACACAACCCTATGAGAATTGCAGATTAAGACTTGGGAGTTTAAATGGAATCTGTCGTTCCTGAATCTAGCGGGTCACGATCTTTCTATTCATTTATTCCACAGTACAACAGTCAAGAAGTCAAATACCTATCCATATTAAATCAAGCTCCCACTTGAATAGCTTCGTAGATACCTCCGCGCTTCCCCCAAGCCAATGTCTCACCACTCACCACCCAAACAGCCGCCCAAATCCCCAAGTCCAACCCTTTCACCAGTCCCTCTCGAAATAGCGCGTCTGTCCTCATAACCACCTGCACCAGCCGTTGTCAACGAGTAGTGGGCGTGCCTTTTCGTCGGAGCGTAGAACATGCAGAAGTGGATCATTCCCAGAGAACAGAGCCGCCCCCCTGATCTCTCACACGTTTCAAGGGGGGAGAATGTACTCCTGTCCAGTTCATCACCTACGGAACCACAGTGATGAGATTCATGACACAGAATCTGAAAATGAAGAGCCGGACATGACGAAATCCAAGCTATCGTCTGGGAAATAATCACCCAGATTAAACAGCCAGCGCATTCACACCATTGGACCTGAGCGCTTCTCACGATATCTACTTCCCAACCAATCACTTCCACACTCCTTACGAATTCATTCTCCCCTCATCTCCTCTCCGAATCAATGTTCAATCTCTCAAAGACAATATCCTCCCGTCTCTTTCCAAATAATAATCACCATATCCGGAAATCCCTTTTAATGCCATAACCCCACCCCCGTCCCCAAAACCCAAATGCTCAGAAATCTAGACCTTATGATCACCCGCAGATCAAATGCGTAGCAGGCCCCTGCTCATTTCCCTTTTCTTATCACCAACGCCAAAACTTTTCGGATTTGACAGAAGCGCAAGATGCTGATTTCGTATACTAGAACACTTACTACTTACTTACCAACCAGTATCTTACCTATATGGGACGGGAGAAACCGGAAATCGCCTCAAAAAGAATGTCACCAGCCACATCCAACGCCACAGTGGCAGTGCACCCCGCAAATGCAGATCGAATTGTGGCTGACCATCTCTCCTCACTGGACCTCCATGCCGGTGCGAACCGGGCGGGCATCGACTAATGCAGCGCATCCAAGTTCTACTAATCGAATGACGAAGAAATTTTGTAGATCCGTAAATTGTTGGGAGGTGGCGAGATATTCGTACATTAGAGAGTTGAGGTAATAGGTAATGGAAAGCAGAATGCGTAATTGCCGAGAGGAGGCAGGAGGGTGAGAAGGATGAGGGAAGCCGAGATGAGCTGACGAGGATGATATAATCTAAATGTGAAGGGCTGGTTGAGTGGGAGTGATGAGGAGTTTGGATGGTCTCTTTAAAAGGTACCGCTGAGTTGTGTGGTGGTAAAGTGTTCTAGGGTAAATGTTGTACTACGGTTGTAGTAGATTAGTTACCGCGTCCTGCGACCTAACTCTTGACGTTTTGATGATTGTTCGAATATTATGGATAGAATAATCAGAAAACGACCTTGGAAGACGACCGTAGGATGGTAGGTGTGAGTACCTAGATCTTTACAGTAAGCAACTCTCACATCCCAAAACTGTTCTTCATCAATTCCGATAATTCATTCTAAAGGGGTATGTATAATTTTTGGTCGCCGTCCCAAGAAACTTACGACCAGAACGACCAACGAAAACCAGGGAACTCTAAATACGCCCGTGAAAGCACTCATGTATAGGGATTCTATCCCGTCTATCTACTTCGTAATCCTCTGTGCTTCTGATATCTTCATCTCCGACGCATCGATGAGTAAAGATATGCGCAACGATTCCAACCAACCAGCAATCGATATACATCAGTCACCCTTATGATCACATCCGATTCTCCCAAGTAACTCTTTCCGATCACTATGACCTGGTAAACTGACTCCTGTAGCGCTTGTGCTCTTCTTGTATCTTGGAGTGTTTGACGCTCTGCCTTTGAGATTGATCGATTCAACTCCGACCTCTTCCTCGTAAGGTTGCTCAATTTCTCCAACAACTCGTTGATATGGAGATGGATCTTTCGGGTCCACCTCTGTGTCTTCTTCTAATTCATCATCATCGTCGTCACTTCGTACGTCGTCGGCGGGAGCACCCTGAAGCACTTTATACGCCACCCGACAAATCATGGAAAACCACATGATCGTGATTCCTTGTAAGAACAATAAAGCGCTGAGGAAACCCCACTTGATATCATGGTTGAAGCAGACTACTCCTTCAGGGTCGCGGAAAGGCTGCAAAAGATGTCCAAATCTATCTGGAGCGGGAAAGGGTCCGACAATCGATCCTTTCTTGCCTTTGTAGCATCCGTAATCAACCGTAGCTGGAATGTCTGCCCAGACTGAATAGCAAATGGTGAGATAAGCAATGTGACGAGCTCCTACCCATGTTGCCATAAACAGTCCAAAGACAACGTCGCAAACCGTGGTGTACCCCAGATATTTCAGGCACTTGGCTAACTAGAACAAATTTATAAGTTTTAGAAATCTAAGTTGAGCAGCTGACTTACTGGGAGAAAAAGGTCGACTACATCCATCATGCAAAGAATCAGATTCGCAACTTTGGTTTGGTGATAGCCATAACTGGTGAAAATCAAAGCCGTGGTAACCATGTGATGGGTGAACATTTGCCAATGATCTTTGCGCCTCTTTTCGATAAAAATGACCATAAACTGCTGTAACCAAAAGGCATACTGCACGAGAATGTACCATTTTGAAAGTCTACCCATCTCCCTGTTGGGCCAATTCGTCCACAGGTTTTTCAAATTGAGCCAATAGTCAGACGTGACTAGGATGTACTGTACCTGTCAGCATGTATGTCCTCATCATCAAAGGGTTCAGAACACAACTCACCATTCCTATCGGCCACATAACACAGTAGAATATCAATAGCCAAGCCTGCTCAGCAAATCTTGTTCTATCCTTCTCGGTAGCCACCCCGCCACGCTTTGCAATTGGGGTTAAGATATAATCCATAACGGCGGCGCGAAGTCCCGTAAACACAACAATCCAAAAGAACACCATCCAAGCATCATTCCATCCTGCACAGTATTCGCCAGATTGGGGGTTGTAGTAGGAGAGATCGAAGAATTTGCGGGTATGCCTTCGGGCTCGAGGGAAGCACATATGTGTTAAAGAGAGAAGCATTAAAAGATTGACAGATAGTCCTGGTATTTAAATTAGCGAATGTCTCAGAGGGTTTCTGCGTCTCACATACCAATTTGATGCTCAACAATCCACCCACAGAATATCTCGAGCGGTCCATCGTCTTTTCGCTTTGTTTTTTTATGCAAGAACATCGGGGGCGTCTGAAGTCCTGCAGGAGGATTATGATTGAGGGTTTTCTCGAGAGGGGCAATGGTATTGCCATTATGGTGCGACCATTCTTGCGCGACTTCAACCTTCGACTCCGTTGATGAGTCGTTGTTCATTGTGTATGGGCGTCCCCGAGTAGAATCTATCGGGGGGAACTTGTGGAGGCGCTCCCTGTGGCTCAATGGTCGCAAATCAATCTAAGATGGGCTCGGCATGAATTCTAGGGATTGAGAAGACTCGCGAATCGAAACTTAAAAAACGAATGTGATTTGTATGGTTATTGTTGGGTTGGATGGGTTGCGAGCTGTAGGTTTCTCAAAGCAAAGGCGAAGGCGGTGACAAGGAGTTGGGACCCTGCGTTTCGCTCAAAATGGACCAATACTTGCACCCCTATCGATGTTTAAAGTTCACAGTTATTCAGAAATTAATGTTATCCGTGGTTAAAATCATGGATGATTATTCATGTCAGGTAGTGTCACTCAGTTTGAACCTCAATTGCTAGAATTGTGTTTTCCTACAGCTCTGTCTGCTATTAACCATCTCCTATCTTTTTTACACGATAAATTTACTGCCATTTGCCGGCGGCACTTGTGGTGCTGCCCCTGCTTGGCGCCGTGGTCTCTGTTCTTTGGATGCCGGGACTCTACTGGTCAAAAAATGTTTCCCGATTCCTGAGTTGCTGTATATGCAAATTGTATTCTTACAGTGTGTTACAGACGTGCAAGTTCCATTCATTTCAAATTTCAACCCGTTCATATATTAGCATGGTATGACAGACAACTAGCATAGCAGTGAGTACGAAAACTTGTTTGCGTTCCGGGCAGCCTCAACTTCTCAAGGTTCCCGTCGTTGTTTCATGCTGTGTCTTGGATTTATTATTAAGCTTTGAACGTTGAAGATATGGCGTAGTACCACTCTTCAGATGAATTCAGTTATTCCGAAGTGTCACACCATGGCCATAACACAATGCTTGATCCCAGCTCGGATGCTAACAGCCATTAGAGCGAACTAAATAGTATAATCATTATCTATCAATAGAAGATGCCAGGCTTATGTCAAGTAAATACTGCATCATAACTTTGTCTAGGATAACAATCTCATGTGAATTTTTTGCCTGTTCCTCATACTCACGAATACTAAACACTTGCTCCGCTACGCAAAAGACCGAATTCAACTGGCGCCTCATCCCAAAAATCCCAATGCATTCCTTCCCGAACCCTAGCTAAACGCCCAAAGAATAACCAAATACGAATTAAGGATGAGCCTGTATTTCCTTCAACCTCTTACATTCTCGTGCCTCAGACCTTCAATTCTCTTGTCGCTAGCTTAGTTGTTTTGTTGGTTGAGGATTCTCAGAATAGCAAGGAAGAGATTGATGATGTCCAGGTAAAGACTGATCGCAGCGGCAATTTCTTCTTCAACATGATAGTGTCGCATAATCAGTTGGGTGTCAACCAAGATGTATGCAGAGAATATCAAAGCCGCGATTCCAGAATATGCAAGCTCGACTGTGCTGTTGTGTGGGAAGAAGGCAGCCATGAAGCCAAATAGAATCAAAGCCCACAATCCTCCGAACAAGTATGGCATCCATGAGGTAAAATCGTACTTCGTTTGGCATGCGAATAGTGTGAGAGCGATGAAAATTCCAGCTGTGAGGACTACGGCTTGGAGTACAATCTTAGATTCGTAGAACGATGTAATAACGGAGATGGAGTATGCTTCGAGGCCAGTAAATCCTGCTAGGAAAAGTAGGTTCGTAGGATAGGACTTGCGTTTCCAGTAGGTGAGCAGCATAAAACCGATAGCACCAAATAGCTAAGAAATGATTAGTATGAAGAACAGAACCACTGTGGCGTATACATACCGAACCCCACATCATCCACTGGTTGGTTTGAATCCAGTTTCTGTACGAGTCGCTCCAGAATGAGATTGCACTCAGGGCAGCTGTCGCAACAAGCTGGACCGTCCTGTGTCACGTATTAGCATATCATTCAATCCCTTTGAAGCGTTTGCACATACAGAATCGCATAAACCTTTCTAACGAAGGCCATACGGATGTCGATCGTGGCCTCCGCCACGCTTCCACCGAATTTGAAGTCATCAGGAACATTATCTTCGCTGCTTCTTGGTCCACCACCAAGGAGCGCAGCTTGGTCGCTGGATGCGGTAGCCTCATCGGCGTACGATGGCGGGGCTTGGGAATACATCGCGGTGTCCAAGGAATCCCGCTGCGGCGCAGGTTGGTATTTCGTTGTTGAGGACATTTCGATAGCGTTTGTATGAAGTCGATAGATGTCTTTGAGGGTTGCAGACAGGAGGCGTTGGTAGGTTAAAGAAAGCTCAAGAACCACAGGAAAGAGGCTATGACGCTGATGTTATTGAGGTGACTTGCCGCCTTAGCGCCGAAGGTCATGTGGCTGGTGTGACATTTTGTGGCTGACATCGCTACTTCGAGACCTCGAAGTTTCATAATTACGACCAAACAATAATAATGGAAAGTATCAATGATTCACACATCTGAAAACATTCCGAAAGTTGAGAGATAAAAGTCGCATGACAGATGACAGTCGATTACGTTGATGAGCAGCTGTTTGACTCGTTCTTGTCCAAATCTTCATTCTCGACCTCGGGAACCATCAACATATTCAAGCGAATACCACTGTGACACAAAGAACGATGCTTTTTCTGTACAACCCTACTAAATCTGTTACTAGGTCATCCAGCCTTTTGAGGAAGTAAAAGAAAAAATAAAGTCCTCGTGTTACCAAAGAATCTCCGGTTTGTGGCAATGCTGTAAAAGCTTGGGTGCATGTTGAGCTGCAACAAAACACACAGAACGTTAATATGCGTAGACCGTATCAAGTTGATATACTTTAATTTATCCTGCTAAGCTAAATAACTTCCGATTTGTTCTTTTCGTCTGAAAACCAACATAATCTTCAATAAAGTTGTATAGAAGTAAGATGAGATTGCCCGGGGACGGTTGTTGAGGTACATCGCAGTTTTTTTCATCCTTTTCTCCAGGATTGAATACATCCTACCATCTCTAAAATACTGAGGGTTCTCTCAATACGGATATTAATATACATCGACCCGGTATTCCTCAGTCGAAAGTTGCGTGGCTAAAAGATTATTCCCGTCTCCCCCTTTTCAATTAAGCGAGAAAGTCTCGGCGAACTATCGTTTCGTAAGGGACCAAAATACTGATTTATAAAATTTCCTTTATACCGCCATCCTGTTGACAGATCAGAGCGGGATGACAGTCGCTTGCAAGTTAAATTTGTGTCAGTATCGGTGTGTAGAAGTCAACGAGCTTCAATAGATGTTTCTTGTAATCACTTCACAGACTCTCGAGTGTGAAAAACACAGTGGAGGCGATAAAACCCAGGTTTCATCATCGCGTACATCTAGAACACTCTTCTCATCTAACAAGACCCAAAATCTGTCAAAAATCAATAGCGTGGGGGTCCGAGATGTTTCCCAAATTTCAATATGATCGCCATCGTGGTGCCAAGAATCCAAAACATCTGCGTTCCGTCCCGTATCCGCAGTGGATACAATATTAGAAACATCGTCGAATGATGCTACCATAGGGCTGAGAGTGAGTGGGATGGCCGAGACAGTGTAGAAAACAGGGGATCGTGCTCTCAAGTCCTTGACTTCGAATTTTCAAGAAAGGATCACGTTACAAGCTTCATGGGATGGGTGTGAAGTCGGTGTAACTTCAGAACTGACGCAGAGTCGATTTGATCTTGAACGAAACTTCCTAATCAAGAAAGTTCGGATTTTCTTCTATTCGCGGTCGAATTGAGTTCACATGCGCCTGTCATACGTTTGCAATTGATGTTCTCAAATCCGGCCTTGATCTCGGTTGCCCACTTGTCGCTCCATTTTTACTGTCACTTTCTTCAGCAAACTTGTCAAACACGCCCGTCATGTCGAAAATGATGTCGTATTGAAGACCAAATCGACTCGTAATACTACTGTACACGGACTGTTGCAATACAAAACGTCTTGCACTCCAGTTTTGTGGAATTCCGGTTGGGACTAGTATGTGGGTATAACTAGAGCCAAACTTCTGAGACATCATAACCGTATAGAAAGGAGAGAGGATAGGTATATTATCCAAGTGAGACCATTCCTTTGAGATCGATGTGCTCCTCGTTATGATAACTGCAAATTCATAGTTGAGTTGATATGAATTGGTTGGTTTGAGCTGAGCGAAAGCATATACACCTAGTGAGAGTGTGGGCCCTAGGTCGTTTTCTGATTTTTTTCTCTCCAGATTTTCAATCAGAAGCTGACCAATGTCATTGCTGAAGATAGTTTTGCTAAACGCGGTTATTTCTTTTTCTTTGCAGCTCGAAAGCACTTCGAGTGCCGAGAGTCGAGCTCATATACATTACTCTGCATTTATGGCTGCATATCAATCATACCATGGAAGCAGATGTTAGTCTTGGCTTGCTTGATGGTTTGGTTAAAGCAGATCAGTAATCAGAAAGATATCACTTTCATTGCATTCGTCTTTCTGTAGAAATTTGCTCTAGGGCCCAGTTGCTGGAGGTGCTACAAATCAAGAGCTGTCCTAAATTTCGCACATCCGCTTCAGTTGAGAAGAGGTGTAAAAGGCGTGGAAAGCTTTGTCCAAGTGGACCGCGGTGCATGTGTTGGTTCGCTCCATCACATCATGGTGTTCAACTAAAGTGATGAATGGGATGCTTGGTTTGAATGATTGGTTACCCACGTATACCTATATATGCGGAAGGAATCCTTCGCATAGCCGATGATAGGGTGGTTGACCACCTTCATGGCTGCTTGATGAAAGAAAGCTGGTAGATAGCCGACACAAGCGGTCTTACCGGTTAATGGCTAGGCCAATGGTTGCGTGAATTGAAGCTACTTTTTGCTCCATATTGACACTCAAAAACTGTCTTGATGGAGACGAGAACATGAGCCAACTGTGTATTTGATATGATAAAGCGTGTTACTCTTTCATTTTGTGCTTGCCGCAATTGGTTTACCGCATAGTGGGGTCATATTAGTAAATGCTCGAGAGTCGAGACTCGGTTTAGCTCCCGCCTTGGAACAGAGGAGAACACAGCATCGCAGACCGGAAAATTGGGACAACGTTTTCTGCAGACACGAGCATCAACATGCAGGCGTAATCCAATTTGGAATCCTTTTCCCAAGTGGGGCTCCCGGTTGGTTGATAGAACTCGATTCAAGTACGATTACCAGGTCTTGCAAAACCGAATCCGCGAATCACTCCCACCAAGGATACCGCGATGGCCGCGACGCGTTTATGGCTGTCAAGTTACTTTCCACAGAGAGGAAGGCACATACGATTGTCGCAGTAAATGGTCATTATCCTAGGACCATCGCTAAGAGCGAAGCGCAAACACTTTCGAATCCCTCCTCTTCGCTATGGTGTAGCAAACAATGCTTGCAGCAGCATACTCAAGTCGCCCTCATATTGAAAGCAATTGTGTAGGGAAGATGATAGATCCTTGAGGTAGGCCGCGCGAGTCGTAATACTCACCAACAGAGAGCAAACAAGAGGAGACTCCAACATGCATGTCATTACGCCATATCATTACGCCACCTTTGGGCAAGCATCGAGATCATGTACCGTTTGTACAGGTAGGTACTGCTTCTATTCATCTACAAGAGTAGGCTTTGCCAACTCCAATGCCACCTCGACCAAAGTCAAGCATGGAGGGTCATATCGAACGCGTGTACCGCAAAAAGGATAGCAAGACAAAGCACAGTTGCCAGATCTGCACGAAGATATTCGCAAGTCGCAATGGAATGAAGAGACACGAAAACGAGATTCATCATCTTCCGAAAAAGTGCCCTTATTGCTATCGAGCTATCAGGAGGCTGCCGAACCTGCGATTGCACGTCAAAGCCCAACATGGTACAGAACTAGGAACTGTCGGTAGGTAATACAACAGTGGAAGTGCTTGAGGCTTATGGATTATCCAGTCATGGTTGATATTGTTCCCGCAATGGATGAAGCTTTGTCTTTGGCAAGCTCTTCTTCGCAAGGTAAGTGACTTCAACATTGCGTCGTACGACAGCGGAGATGACATGCAGTTCTAACCAACGTCAATAGCTTCACCGGTTACACCATCGCCAACAACCGACGTAACCTTATATGATCCCGAATCTTCTTCAATACGTTTGGGTTACGCACCCTTGGGCCAAAACTCTCTACCCCTCGATCCAAGCATTCCAATCGGACACGCTACTTCGAACATTCTCGAAACTCGCGCGATGGAACAAACTGCTTTTGGATATGTCAATACGCCTGGGCAGGCTGTTGCGGACTTTGGGCCAGGCAACTGGGCGAGTTCGTACAATCCTGCTCTTCAAATGGGACAGCTAAGCCTCTCTGATGGCTATCAAATGCAACCTATGGGGTGGACTACCCCTAATGGAGCTTTGACAGATCTCAATGATCAATTATTGCCTGTTGGTGCCTACTATGGCCCCGTGGGCGTTGACGCGCAGATGGAAGATATCTCTGCGAACCGTATTCAGGAGATGGATGATGACGACTACGCTGGCATATGAAGGGATTATCAATGGCGTTAAGGTCTTCGGAGGCAGGCTCTTGGGCGGCTAGATTGTAATTTGACATTCTGCTGTCTTCCTACTACTATTTTGGCGTGAATTAGTTTGCTTCAAATATTTGTCATCCAGAAAATCATATTTTGTCTTACATTATCCACATACAAATATCCAGGAACTCTTCACAAGGCTATCTGGCTCATGTTGTGCAGGTGTTCGGGGTAACATTAATTGATCGATGGAGATGATTGTATTGATATATTCCCTCTTGTGTACTAACTTTTAGAGATCTGTGTCACTGGATCCATTTTCTTTTACTTGCCAGTTTCTTATCGGCCAGAAGTCGCGAGCACAAAAGGATTTTTAATAAGACTCTCTACGTACCATCAAGAGTATTACTAATTTGTCTCGTGAGAGGTATTCGAGGACCCCCCTTAAACATGTCTCTATACCTATTACTGTAAGAAACCAGAGGGAACTACTCGAGCGGTATAACTTACTGTACTATTGCTCCCTTATTAGATTACTTTTTGATTTAAACCAAGAACACTGAGGGATCGAGCTCCAAGAACACTGTACCTGGTACGCAAAAGATTACAGGCATTGTGGTTCACGAAAGATTGACTTGACTGTTTCTAATCTAACACAGAAAGAAGAGAGAAGAAGCAAGATCGAAGGGGTGTGTGCTGATTTCTTGACTACGAATAAAATTAAACACTTCGCCGTTCGATGCTTAGTTCTTGATTTTCTTAAGTTTCTATTTTATCTACTTGATCTACTTATTCAATAGTAAAAGCTAATTATAATTATCTCGCATTCTGTACCAGCCCCGAGGCAACCAATCTATTTTCAAAGCATACATTTTACGTCTCATGCACTTGCATTGTCACCAAAACCCTTTTTCAACTCCTTCAATCTCACAAGACTCTTTTCAAAGTATCCCTCCAAGCCCATATCCTCAAGCTCTTTCCGATCATCCTCAATCTCACTTACAGCATTGCCAATCCAATCATTCCCTTTTTCTCTTCTCTCCCTCAACTCCAAGCACCTATCTCTATTCTACTCCGCCCTATGCCGCTCCAACTGCCCTCTCTGCTGCTTATTAGGCCTCCCAGTCTTAAACTCCCCCACATAATCCATAGCATATTTCTCCTCCCACACCTTGGAGATCTTGAAACTTTCTTTATCAAGGCTACCAAGACCAAACTCTTTCCTTTTTTCAATAACCTCCAGCATACACTCATCCATCATCTGATATGAGTCTCCACTTTCACCAAACCCACACATCTTCATGCTCATGTGGAAATCTCCACGTGAATGCTGTCCCATTTCCAGCAACAGGTTGAATGCCATAATGACGCCTTCTTCACCCATATCCATCAGTTTCCGAACATCTTTGATGAATTTCTCCATTGCTTGCGCGTAAGTGTCAGAGGTGACTGCTCTTGAGTTGGGTCCTGCCGCTTTGACTCTCTTATCTAGAGCCGTGGACTTCTTTTTGATGGTTTCGACGGCTGATTTGTATATTTTCTTTGCGTCGTTGGCCGATGTCAATTTGCTTGACTTTCTTGTCGGTTTTGATGCAGTCTTCGTGGGTGCCCTCTTCTTCGGTGCCGGTTCAGACGTCTCCACTTCCTAATTCGGACTCAATGGTGAATCTTTACGTTTACGCGTTTGTCTTGCGGCAGGTGCGGTATACGGTGTCTCTTTGGTAGGTTTGGTGAGCCAGCTCTGGAGAATGACTGATTTGGCCATGTTTTGTACTGGCGATTACTGCCAACTTTGAGAAATGATTGAAGGGTAATTTGATGAAATAAGGTGATGACCTGTACAGAAAGAGATTGAGATTTTTCTCACGTGAATGATTAGATTCTCAGAGTTTCTTAGAACTGAAGGTACATTTATAGGTGCTTAGGGGGACGCGTTGAAGCTTGGACCTCGCTTAGAGATCGCGGTTTCAGGGGGGATTGGGAGGTCTGTTTCGTGTTGCGGGGAGACTGGAACCGAATACTACATTCTCGTATCCACTACAGGCAGATATAAGTTGACAATCATCATATTAAATTGGGACATGTCTGACTAGCAATGATCAGATTAGCTAAAGAATCTTCATGTTATGTCAGCAAAGTGTAGGCTATCATTTTCGAAATCGGAAGAAACGAACTCTTGTTTGGAAATCAAGATTGACACTTAGTGAATAAATCGTATTCCATTAATAATATCACATAGTTAGTCTCACTGTCTCACTCAAAACATGGTCTTATTAGACTTGCTGATGAAGTAATCTGAAGAAATACATAACTGTCACATTTAGTTTACAAATCTCTTTCGTTCATCGGAAAGCGCCTGCTTTGATGTCATCAACTGGAGCAAATGTCGAATATGTATACCAAGCAAGCAATTACACTCAGAGAACAACTGTTTTCGTATCTTAATCACTAAGGGTTTCACACGAGATCTGAAGACATATGATAGATGTTCATATCCAATTTCCCTTTTCCTGCCATTCTAACCGCTCTGCTGATAACTCATAAGTTTCTTTGGGATCATAGTTTCCCATCTCAACGACACCAGGCTCTCCATTCAGTTCCTGTATCACGTCACTATCTGAGAGCTCAGGCCGAATTTCGCCGGCATCCAGTTCCCTGCGATAAGTGGTTTCATTATCCAATTCTGGTTTTCCAAATGCATCACTTGTTTCTGAACGCGCTTTGCTCTCGGGCAGAACTTCCGGCACAGATATATCTCTTTTCGATCTTTTCCGTAGCAGATATGTCAGAGCTGAGACAGTAGCTAGACTTCCAACAATACTAACGCTTACAGAAATGGCGATGGTTCTGGTATTCGCTGCAGAGCCCCCTTTCATCTTTTCGGATAGCGCAGTTGGTGTGGATGCGGTTGTTGTTGGAAGGCTTCCCGTGCTCGAATGATTTGTTTTTGATGGCGAGGGAGAAGAGGTAATATTGGTCCTGGGAGCGGGAGACGGCACAAAGGGTGCGAGTACCTGATGCGTCCCACTGCAGCTATAATTTCCGGTGATCAAGCCAACTTTATGGCCGGTGTCGAAAACTGAGCAGTTGAAATCAGACCGCACAGATTCTATATTGAAATTTGTCATATTGGTTAAGCTGGGCAGTATCAGTCTGTGCTGAGTGTTAGCTAGCTGCCCTTCTTATTCTTGGATCGGGTGCTTACTCTGACACAGATCCTCTCACCCAGAGGTCTGTGACATTCTCCAGGCTCCTCAGATCGAAGGTCGTAAGACCATCGAGTGTCATGTTCTCGGTAGTTCTCAGCAGACGTAAGTCAAGTGCACCAATGTGGTTGATGTTGACTTTCTGCCTCACTACTTGTAGTGGCAGAGCGATAGATGACAGATAAGAGTTGTTCCGTATGTGTACTGCGTCAACGGTTCTCAAATTGAGAGACGCCAATGTAGTGAGCCCAGTGTCCATGATGATTACGGTACTCGCAGTTAAGCCAGAACCACTTAACGTATCCGCGCTGAAGTCTATTCGTGGCACGAAGGGTATGTCAACGAGTGTGAAGTACTCGGTTTGTAGTAATTGTCGGAAGGCTAGAGTGTTCAAATTAGGTAGCGAAACCATGCTGAAATCGCCACCAATCCGTAGAAGCTGGCTTGCATTGAGAGTTTCGAGGCTCACGACTCTTTGAGCCGATAGCGAGCCTTTGATCTCTTTGAGAGCCCCGAAATTGATGACAGCATCCGAAGCTGGCAAAGTGGTCGCAATGACAAGACTTCCACTAAAAGTAGAACATGCTGCTACGGCAGTAGCATCTGCTTGACTGCTAATTGTTCTAGTAATAAGTGTTTGACCACAATCTAAGATAATAGTAAGGAAAATGACCAGAGAAACTCTCGCAATGAAAAATAAGACTTACTGCTGGAGACTGCTTGACCATAGAGTCTGCCGGCAAATAATGATAGTGAGAGCAGAGCCGACCAGAGTGATGGCGACGTCAAAAAGAAAGCGAACATATCAGGGAGGGTCGAAATAACATGCGAGATTCGAACACACACCAAGAAACGAAAATAACGACAATGAAGGGGTGTTCACAGAGAAAACTATGTATCAATGCCCTGTTTGTGCAACTTCATTCCTGTCACCACTTAAGAGTGAGCTGTCAGACATAACCAGCCCAATTTGCCTGATGTTGAATGCTGTAAGCTGCTAGAATAAGTTTCTGCCACGGAAAGATTATCGAAGAATATACTCTCTGTAAAACCATCCGTGGACAATCTACACATGGGATAGCCATGTCGTACATTCGGAAACATATATTTCCTTGATGCACTCTGTTGAAAACAACTGGAGATTTAGAATTGATTGGTGTTGGGTAGACAGATTACTGTATTGCGGCACGGGCTCAAACGACCATCGATCGCGGATGCGACTCTTGAACGAATCAACAACACCATGTAAGAATTAAGCGCGATCTAGGAATAAATTTTGCTTGCGCTTAGCTTTGGTTCAACGTGGAAAGATCCGATATAGCCTTTTGGGAAGGCGCAGCGTTTAAGCGATACCTGTCATTGAAGATCTTGTGTCTCGGCAGCTTCATCGTGAAAGGTTCGGATGTAGGATTTCGTAAATTTCTCACTCGGCAGGAGCATCGGCCGAGATGGATATACAAATGCTATTGGTGAGACGCGCTCATGACGTTGGTCTTGCGAACTGTCGTCGCAACTGTGTCTGCTATCTATTTCCAAAACAAAGTTAAGCCAAATCGTTGTTCTGCTGCTGAAAAGGACAAAATGAAGCGATACACATACTAAAAGATTTGGAATGCACTCTTGCCTTGAGACAGAATCTATACCATCTTGAGACACTCAGAAAGTTCAATTGCAAAATGGGATAATTTGGACTATTCCTCGTATGTACAAGCTATGATTGCTTTTCTACATTCTAAATACGCCGAATTTTGTCGCTTCCGGTTCGTTCTTACCGCCCAATGCAGCCATCAAACTTAAACCAAGTACTCTTCGTGTATGACTAGGAGGTATAACACCGTCATCCTAAGGTTATTAGTCAATATAGCTCTTTACGAACGCTGGTCGTACTTACCCATAATCTAGCTGATGAAAAAACAGCTTCACTCTCCCTTTCGATTCTAGCCTTCAGTTCAGGGTCAACTGCTTTTCCCACTGTCTCCATCACAGCTGTGAGTTGCTCGGCTCCCATAACACCAATCTTTGCGTTCGGCCACATCCATAAAAATCTTGGACTGTACGCTCTTCCACACATTCCATAGTTTCCAGCGCCGTTACTTGCACCCACAACAACAGTAAACTTTGGGACATTGGCACATGCGACAGCTGTCACAAGCTTAGCCCCGTTCTTTGCTATACCCTCACGTTCGGCATCTGTGCCGACCATAAATCCACTGATATTCTGAAGGAAAATTAAAGGTATCTGGCGCTGGCAGCAGAGTTCGATGAAATGCGCGCCCTTCAGCGAAGAGGTGCTGAATAGAATGCCATTATTGGCAATTATACCGACTTTGTGACCATATATATGCGCAAACCCAGTCACGAGAGAGCTTCCATAATCGCGTTTAAATTCTGAGAAAACACTCCCATCCACAATGCGCGAAATGACTTCATGTATAGGTAACGGTTTTCGGTGGTTTACGTTGGCAATACCAACCAATTCCTCGGGGTCGTGTAGTGGTTCCTCGTAGGTTGCGGGCGAAGGAAACTCCTTTTTGGGCCAGTTGAGATTGCTAATTGACCTCCGAGCAAGAACGATTGCGTGAGCATCATCGACCGCTAGATAATCTGCCACACCTGAGACAGATGTATGCATCTTTCCACCTCCAAGATCTTCCGCGCTCACTACTTCGCCAGTAGCAGCTTTGACTAAGGGTGGTCCAGCCAGAAAGATATGTCCTTGACCATCAACAATAATGCTTTCGTCGGACATGGCTGGAACATAGGCTCCTCCAGCAGTACAAGGCCCCATTACTACAGATATCTGGGGGATACCCATTGAGCTCATTCTGGCTTGGTTGAAAAATATTCTGCCAAAATGCTCGCGATCTGGAAAGACATCCGCCTGATTTGGAAGATTAGCACCGCCGGAATCGACTAAGTAAACACAACTAGCCAATCAGTAAATCGATAGTCAGAATGAGGAGGAATTGGCTTTGTGCTTACGGCAGATTATTCTCTTGTGCAATAGCCTGAGCTCTTAGATGCTTCTTCACTGTAATGGGGTAATACGTTCCGCCCTTAACCGTAGAATCGTTCGCGACAATCATGCAAGTAACCCCTTCAATAACACCAACACCAGTAATGATTCCTCCCGCTGGAACGTCTGCTTCCGGATAGACTTCATGACCAGCAAGAGCGGAGAGTTCCAAGAAAGAGGTTCCAGGATCAATCAACGCTGTTACTCGATCTCGCGGTAACATCTTTTTGCGAGCAATGTGTTTCTCTCTTGCTTTAGGAGGACCTCCTTGATGTATTTTCTTCGTCAACTCCTCCAATTTCGCCATGACTTCCCCCATTTGTCTTGCATTCTCCTTGTACTCTTCCGACGAAGGATCGACATTTGTAGGAAGAATTGAGATAGCATTGGCTTGAGTCGGTGTTGTATGCGTAGCAGCGAATCTGGTAGATATTCTCGCAGGGAGTGTTGCTGGGAAACCGCGTGGCCTTGTCTGACATCTCGAAACTCCTAGCGCTCTTCTCGCAGCCCGTATTGTTGACATGTTGAATATGAAAAGTGCTGCTCCCGCAGCGAACGAAATCAATTCCTACATGAATGATATGTTAGAGGTTTGGCTCTTGGTGAGTTGAAGTTGAATTAGCGGCCAGTTGCGGCTTAAGCCGCATGCCCCGAAAACGCGGGGTTTTAGTTCACCGGCTCAGACCCCTGACATGGACCGCGGCTTAAGGGTTCATAAAATCATTACAAGCTCAGAACAAACACTTTGAAGAATAAACACCCAACTTCTGTCAAGATGGCGACCATGAGATGTATGAGATCCCTGGCTCGGCCGGCTTTGAATATCAGATCAGCAGCACCGGCAATATCAATGACGGCGAGGAGAAATGCATCATCTAAACATCCAAAGGGATTCGAAGCTCCCTCTCAGAATGAACTCGACGAACTGCGTGAACGAGTACAGGAATTTACACGGCGCGAGATTCCGGAGGAAGTAGCTTCCAAAACAGACAAAACCAACAATTTTCCCAATGAAATGTGGCAAAAGATGGGAGATGCTGGATTTTTAGGAATCACTGTTGATGAGGACGTCGGTGGCTTAGCAATGGGATACCAAGCCCATTGTGTAGTTATGGAAGAAATCTCAAGGGCTTCAGGATCCATTGGTTTAAGTTACGCAGCTCACTCACAACTTTGTGTTAACCAGCTTCAACTGAACGGTAATGCTGAGCAAAAGCAAAAGTTCTTACCGGGACTGATTGCCGGGACTAAAGTCGGGGCTTTAGCGATGAGTGAGAGCGGAGCTGGAAGCGATGTTGTCAGTATGAGAACAACAGCAAAGGCTGTAGACGGAGGTTACGTGTTGAACGGAACAAAGATGTGGATCACGAATGGCCCAGATGCAGATGTTATTGTGGTTTATGCTAAGACGGAGCCAAATGGCGGGTCCAAAGGCATCACCGCTTTCCTGGTTGAAAAGCAATTTGAAGGATTCAGCTGTGCGAGGAAGCTAGATAAGATGGGTATGCGGGGAAGTAACACCGGAGAACTAGTGTTTGAAGGTGTCTTCGTGCCAAAAGAAAACGTTCTGGGTGAGATCAACCGCGGTGTGAAGGTGTTGATGGAAGGACTCGATATCGAACGACTTGTTCTCAGTGCTGGACCATTGGGAATCATGCAGGCAGCATTAGACGTCACACTTCCATTTACTCACCAGAGAAAACAATTCGGAGCGCCAATTGCTCACAACCAACTAGTTCAAGGGAAACTGGCAGATATGTACACCAAGCTGCAAGCATCTAGGGCATACACATACGACACTGCTCGAAAGGTTGATGAAATCGGCCAGATCAGAACACAAGATTGTGCTGGAGCTATTCTATATGCAGCAGAAAGAGCTACAGAGTGTACCCTGGACTGTATCCAGTTATTAGGAGGAATGGGATATGTAGAGGAGATGCCTGCTTCACGGTTATTACGAGAGTGAGCTAAAACCCGCTCAATTCCCTTATAAACTATATTGACTTATTCAAAGTGCAAAATTATATGAGATAGGAGCTGGCACAAGCGAGATTCGGAGGATGGTATTAGGAAGGGTAAGAATATCTCTCATTTATACTACCGAAGTTGTCGTATGCTAATTTCTCCGTAGGCATTCAACAAAGAATACGCTAGTTTTGCACAGTAGTAAAACATAATGAAACGAAATAAAAAAGAGAAATTTGCATAGAGCCTTAGCTAAGAGGGTGACTCGCCGTATGTTAAGATACTACTATGATGTAAATATAATCTAGACGCAGTGTACATAGAAAGTGACCAATCTCCATATGCATGCATTTCGGCGCTCTGTATCTCACGCATAAACGCTTAGTGACAATGGTAAGTTAATCAAACACTGATATTCTAGATATCTTCGTACTGTACAATAACCTTGCAAAGGTTGGATGACAGTATCTAGGCATAATATATAAACCTCGTCATCTCATCCATCATCAGCTATGATTAAAATATAAAGTAGTGGGTATAATCCTTATTCATAGAACCCCCCTCGAGCGCCGATATTGTGGCTATAACCCTTTGCCGTCATACCAGAAACAAGTCAAACTCCGTCCCAGTTACCAGCCCCATTGGTATTGTACCAGATATGTTAACCTCTATTCAAACAAGTCGCCCTTTCAAGAATGCTCCTTTTGCCATTTCACCAATTGCCTTGTGAGATTGTCCATCATTTCTACGCAACTGAGATCCTCAAATTCCTTTTTCGAGGCTTCTTCAGCCCCATCTTCGGTGCCGCTTTTCCCGTTGACTTTTATCATAGGAAGCCCGTCTGCAACACCACGAATGGTCTTCTCGGCGGAATCCGTAGTAATAGGTGATACCGATTCGCCTGCCATTTCCAATTGCGTCCGGGAGATATAATCAAGAATACTTCCTACTCGCTTTCTTGCATCTGCCATTGATATCTTGCTTCCCGGTATTTTCGACTTTGACGCCTTCCCCTCATGATGCGAACTTTTGGTCATGATCCCATTGCTACTCTCCTCGGCTCTTGGGACGTCCCTGGACTGCGATCTCTGAGGAGACGGGTTACTTCCTTCTTGTAGATCGCGATCTTTCGTGTATTGATTCTTTCCCAACTTTCCTTTTCGCGAGTTGGGAGGCCTTCCTCCCTTTTTATGTGATACTGGTGGTTGTACTGCTGGCGGTGTGTCAGGGATCGCAGGATTGAAAGGTTGCGGCGGGTCCAGAGGCTGAATTGGTGTTTCTACCACAGCTTTAGTTGTGGAAATCCGCGATGCAAGCGGTATCTCCTCTGAGGGATCTGAATCTAGTTCCCCATTGTAAGTACATGTCTCATCATAGTGTTGCGACACAAGCTCACCATCAAGCCTCCTTCGTTCTGCCCGCCCCTTTCTTTTGCTTGCAGCCTCTTGTCGTATTTTCTCCTTCTCTTCTCTCATCTCCTTCTCCCTGTGATTACGAGCAGCCGCGCCTCTGATCTTCTTAGGTCCAGGCACTCGCCCGTTTGTGCCATCGTCAGAGTCTGCTTGTGGGGTGTCGTTCTGTTCTTGAGGTGGTGACGGAGATGCGGACTGTGTTCTTTGCCGTTTGGGTCCTTCCTGCTTCCTGTTTATCGTCAATATTGACCATCGATTGCGTACTTTGCAAAGTAAGATATATGGGGGAGAACGCTTACTCCTCGCTATCGCTGCGGCCTCGTTTGCCCCGCCTTATAGTCCCTCCATCTGTGCTTTCACCACTCTTCTCCCCTTTACTCGCTTCAATTGCCCTTCGTAACTGTTCTTCCTCATCATATGCAGCATCTCGGCTATTCATCGTAGATCTTCGTTTTGCGCTTTGGAGGCTAGAAGAGGGACGCCCGCTTTTACTGCCTCGAGGAGATCTTGTGCCATCCTTTGAAAAGGAGGCCGCTCGCGATGTTGTTCGAGATAGACTTTGGTAGAGTGGTAGGTAATGCGAATATCGCTGGCTGCGTCCCATCATGTTAGCGATGCTGTGCAAAGTGTGTTGCAAAAAGCAGTTGAATTTGTCGTCCACTCGTTAGATCTGGAACAGAGAGCCTTGTGAGACCTGATCTGCGCCACCTTCCCGCGTCGAGCTGACGGGCGGATCAAATATGATGATGATGAAGTTTTTCGCAAACAGAGTTGAAATAACGTACCCATTCGGCGCTGCGAATATCCTATGCAAATCTTTCCGACATTCTTCGCAAAAGTATTCCTCGGGGCTCATGTCCTCATTCATAATTCCAACACAGTATCCGTGCTGCCACACTTTACACACGTCGCATTGTAAAAAGAATCCAGCCCCGTCCTCAGTAATGTCTGCAACTGAGATTATGGGTTCCTCAATGCCATCTTTTATGCCGTTCTTGCTGTCTTCGTCGCCGAGCTGTGGAGGGCCGGGGTATTCGTCAAAGCCGCAAATGCAGCGAACCGCCTCATCGTCTTCCGCACCTTCGTCATTGCCATTCGTAGTCTCTATTTCTATTGCTTGCGCTTTCGTAGGTTTGTCCTTGTCTTCAGCGCGGCCGCGCTTTCGTCGTGTCTGGATAGCGTCCTCCACGGGTGTCGCGACAGCTTCCTCGAGCGGTTCTGAGGATAGCGACCCTGTAGGAGTAGACTTTCGGGGAGATTCTGTTTTCTGATGTGAACGAGTAGCTCTCTCAGCACGACCAGAAGAGTTGGAGGATGCGGAGGAGTGATGTGAGTTAGATGGCGCGGGTTGACTCGACCGAGCGGCCCTCGAGGAGCGTCGAGCAGTGTCCATCTCTTGATTAGTTTTCTGTGGTAAAGGGATTTTGCGTATAATTGTAACCTAATGATGCGATGATTCGAGTAGCGGAACGCGTATGCAGACGTCGAATTGAGCTGCTGCGCTCGAGGTGAGGTGAGGAGAAATCGAGAGGAGCTTCAATCGCTGCAAGAGCGACTCTGCTCAGTGCGAGAAACACAGCTAGAATTGGTCCGAAAAGAGAACTTTAGGATTCTAGAGCGATTCGAGATGACCCGCGACCGTCGAGCAGAGGACTGGATAGGGTTGGCGGTACATTGTCGTGTTGGGGGAAAGATTCCTGTCCTCGAAATTGTTTAAGCACTTAAGCTGCTCGATCCCCCGCCGAAATCACTCGGCATTTTACAGCGCTCACTCCCTGGCTCCGCGAACGCTCACGAACAGGAAAGGCGGCAACCAACGAAAATGGCTTGGTGACAATTGAGGAAAGAACATCGTATTTTGCAGAAGCTAGTAAAATATGAAGATCTTTCAATTAAAATATTTGAGAGGGATATTCCTTTGGCTTGCTCGAGGCGGACGTATTTCGAGGCTCGGTATTCCCAATTCGTCGACTAAAATTGACATGACGATTCAATGCCGCTTTTCTCATTGATGGCAAGTAATGACGAGCAGCCTAAGGCAGAAGAGGCCACTGCACTCAGGCCGCCAGCTCACTAGGGTCTTAGCCGTGTCATGACCTCTAAAATCAATTAACACACAGTCTAGGACACTTGGAGCAACCACCGATATCAACACTGCGAAATCAAAGTCTTTGCTGATATTGCCGCAACCAAAAGACTGTTATCTTGGATACCTCTTCCCAACTCGCTTCCCTCATCACAACTGTCGAATTCGGTTAAACTCTACGTGGGTGTCATTTTGGAGTGCTGAGCAATCCGATACTGTACGTCTCAAAACATGACCGGCGACTCTACATTCTGGCCTTTAGACGGGAAAGGGCGAATACTCCATGTGCAGTACCGCTAGGAATGCGGACTACGAAGAAATATAAGGGGCATTAACAGGAACGTATTTGGCTGATGTATTATTCTTAGGGAAAGATAGGGGGGATTGTGAAAACCCACTTAGATCCTCTTCTGTAACGAACCTCGAATCGAACCAATTGTCGTTATTACCTTGTTATTGCTTAGACGTTGTTTTGGTTTTGGGGAGGCATTATTGCCATGTCGGCGTCAGTGATGGGTACGAAGCTTTCATCATGAACCACCCGGCTCCGCCACAACGAAAACACATCTACTTTCCCAATCCTTCGATACTCCAGATATATTGTCGAAATCTACTGGTGTGAAACAGTAGCTGACTGTTCGTGTAATTAATAGGATACTCCCCCGAATCACCACGAGGCATGTCTCCAGATGCAATTTCGCCATATCAAGAACGTCCGATTCGCCCATTACCCAAGCGAAGACTTCGAGAACGACTTTCTCCAGATGTTGCAGATTCCATTACATATCCTCCTACCCCGAAATCAACCACTCCGTTGTTTTACCACCCGTATAACCTGCGTGACGATGTGGGACTAAATCGGCTGGCTGAGTTTCAGCACCCGAGTGAGAGAGAAAGACAGGAGGAAATGGAACGGGGCTACATTACTAGAAAGTGTGGGGATGAACTTGATAGTGATGAGGATGATGCTGCGTATAGAAGTAGGATTTACTCGAGGCACTCCGAATCCACGACGGGGCGCTCATATCGCTACGTTCAAAAGCCAGAGAACAAAAATCCTAATCCCCAAGCTCCCGCTTCGGCCAGTTCAGCTGATAGCTATGACTCCTTTGAAAATACAAACAACAAAAAGAAAAGGAAAATACCCACACCAGGAGATTCAAGTCTGAATGGAGGACATCTATCTAATGACTTAGCTGGTATGGGTATATCTGACGATATACCCGAGGAGATGGGTAGTTCTGTTGGGGCTTACCATAGCCCCGGGTCCGCTTCTCAGGGGCTTTCGGGGCCGGGCCGCGGCAGATATGGTCGTATTAGAAATGGCAGGAGCCCTCTCCGAGCTTTATCTGATTCAAACTGGGGAAATGGACGCACCCCAAAACAAGGTCAGTTCTGAGACTACAGTGGCATTTACACGTTCACCTTTTTGGTTCAAAGCTAATCACCATCTTATTAAAGGCGAGACTCAGGGTATCATTTCAAGGTCAATCGCAAACGCTCATGCTGACAAGAACAACATCACCCCAGCCCATGGTCAAGAAAACATTAGTTCCCTACACCAGCAAGCTTCGAGAAAAACCTCTACACAATTCACCTTTACATGCGATTCCCAAGTACCTAGTTATCCAGGGCCCACTCCATCGAACGTTATCAACCATAACTCTGGGCCCAACCACACTAAAGTTAACACTCAGGCCACGCAAACGAGTCCCAATATGGCTGGAAACCTTAGCACGCCGCAAGCAATCGCGCAAGCAAAGCAAGGACTCGCTGCCTCACAAGCTGCAAAAGACTCTCTTGCACAGCCCCCGCCCCCAGTCAAGAAAAATCGACGGCGTCGAACAGGAAAGGAGTATCTCATAGCTGCAAGGGAACGTCGAAAGGATCAAGAATACAAGAATTATCACCATCCGCCAGCGGCAGAAGATATATGGATTTGCGAATTTTGCGAATATGAGAGAATTTTCGGCACCCCGCCAGAAGCTCTGATCAAGCAATATGAGATCAAGGATCGAAGGTTGAGGAAGCAAGAGGCGGAGAGGCGAAGGCTGCTGGAAAAGGCAAAAATGAAAGGAAGAAAGGGAAAGAAGGGAAACAAGGGCGTCAAGTCGGCGCCTCTATCGCAAGATCGACAGCAGTCACATGCCCAGACTGCAGCAGCTCCACCTTTAAATCAAAAACAGAATCATAGTCAAGCCAGTCATGACAGCCGAGGGAGTCGTAGTCATGATAGTCAGGATATCGGAAGCCTTCCCAGTGATGAATATTACCCGGATGGTTACAACGAAGACCTTGACAGTCAGGATGAAGAGTACCTCCAGGAGGATCCGCCAATCTCCTCACCATCGACAGCGGTTGAACGGCGCGGCCAGGTCGTTCACCCCGACCCAGGCAAGCATCGAATATCGAGCACTGCAATTCAAGTTTCTTGAAAAATTGAGGAGCCAATTTTTAGTCCGCTGGGATCGCGGAAACACGACCGACTCGCATGCAAATACTTCAATGAAAAAATGCAGCTGTCGCTGTCCTAGCGTGGACTTCAGCGGCGTGATATAATATCTCCCGACAAATCCACCCTCATCCAACCCTGGCAAGATTCCTCATGGATTCCGAATCCTTGGTACACAACAACACTTTCTCTTACCTCATTTCAGAATATCACAAGCATTATGGAGCAAGCATTCCGGACATTAGGATGCATTAAAACTCTATTACAACACTACACAAACTCCCTTCCCCCTTCACCGTAATTGTTCATCATCCCTTCACTCCCCTCAATGCATATGTCCTGGCTGATAGAGTCATGCCGGACGCTTTCAGCGTTAGCAGAAGGATTTACTGATTGGGAATAAACAATTCGACTTGGGACTGTACATTCAGCAGATAGTATCTAGTTCCCGGATTATTAAATGATCCTACCCAAGAAACTTCCTCTCCATTTTGTAATATGTGCTACTACGTGCCTTTGTTCCAAAGCAATTTTTCTACCGTATTTCTAAATAACGCGAGTATCTAAATTCTCATGCCCTTTTCTAGTCATGTCGCTACAGGCAGCTAATCTAAAGACAATACCTCTCCAAAAACCACGTCTCAGCAATCACCCACACAAAACCAAGCCGGCCACTACGCACCAATCCCAATTCCACTTTGCCGCTGCTTCCAGATCATCAACATTCAAGAGTTCTGACCCCACTTCCAGCAATGCCTTCCAGACGGAATTCCTCCAGCTGACTGGCCACGAGGGGGTGTCCCAGTATCTAGTGATCAGTCCTTTCTCCTTGGCATCATTGATTTGAGTTGTCAGCGTTTTGCGTTGTTTATCGTTGATGTTTCCAGCCCAGACCGTTCCAATCGCTTTTCCAAGCGAAGCACTTGCAAGATATGAGTTGAGGTTTGTGTATTTTGTGTTCTTTATGTCGGTTAATGGTGCGTCGAAGAAGATATCTCGGTAGGTGGTGTTTGAAGTGACCAAGTCAAAGTGTGCATTTCCGGTTGCGACAACAGTGATGGGTCGGATTTGTCGTTTATTAGTACTGCTTTCCCAGTATGTCAACCAACGCTTAACACGGAGAGGCTCGAGTTGTGCTTGTATAATTGGCCAAAGTTCTGGGCCATCGGATTTGAAGTCCAGGAGTAAGAGCGTAGTCATTTCTGGGTTTTTGTCGAATATGCCGCGAGGGGAAGCTGGGACACTATCGTTTCCGAGGTTGCTGGCCTTGTTCATGTTCTCCAGTATTTGTAGAAACGGGTTTAGATAAAGAGATTGTAGAGTCTTTTCCTCCGTGAGCGATTTCTTGTCATGCCCGACCAGTAGATCCGCGGCGGTGTCATTTTTGTGAAACCATATATCTGCTTCTACGCTCACGCATCCGGCTGAAATAGCGCTGTAGAGTGGCACTTTGCGCCAGTAATCGTTGTGTGAGTGACAAGACACTGGTGTAGTATCGCGGGTGAAGTCTTGGTTCCATGGATTGAGCAAGGCGACCGAGTCTGCTGGGCTCTGCCACTTTCTGACGATGTCCGCGACTCCGCTGGAAGACAAATTGGGTGCGAGTCTGCTGGTAAGTGTAAGAACCATGGCAATCCAGATGCTGGTAGATTGTTAGCACCTACTTGGGCTACTGGGGGTGTTAGATTGAGAATAAGATATCACTTACAGTGTGAGAATCAAACTGAAGATAAGTAAAACGCGGAGCACACAAAGAAGTGAGTTAGTCCGCGGCGTTAATGTTACAACTCGTTTTTGGTTACTGGCCTCTCCGATAGCATTGAAACTACGAGAATGAAATCTAGGAAGTTTGGGAAAGGTCTGAATTTTGGAAGATAATGAAAATGGCATAGTCAGTTCCACGGACTAAAACACCAATGGTAGATATGGAATTGGAACGAAAGGCATACTGAATCTTTTGTAGAATACTACCAACTCCACAGCAAGAGGAGATCTCAGGAATTACAGAAGGGAAGGATTGAGAAACCAACACTTAAATCAAGCACATTCAGGACACCTCTTAACAAACATTGCGATGTGGTTGTCTTCGGCAATCCATTTGGATCTCATAGCCACGAACAACGGATTCATATCTTCCCACCAAATTGTACGTCTTGTGATAAAAGTTTACATGTTGTGATGAAAGTTATCAAGAAGACATGTTCACCGACAATCATCCTCCTATCCCAACAACATAGGCCAAGAATTTTCTCACCGGTTCCTAGGATGAATAGGTACATCTGAAACTGGTCTGACCCATCTTTGGGTAGTACAGAAGCGGCGAGAGAGACCTGTTGTTGCGATCTGCATGATTCTGCAGCCATTTGATACCTTCTTAGCCAGGAAATATGTTGCAATGATATCGACATAGCCACTTCGTTGACGCTGGCAAGATATTTTAGGCACAAATTTGTTAGTACCAAGACTTATGCTTTGTCAATGTTGGTTATTCTATACCAATCTAGAAGTGATCAGTGGAGGAATGCACTTTCCCTTCAATTATATGAAGTTATCGACAGAGCCACTTCGCCAAGGTTGTTGTGACGTTGATTTAGCAAAAGCCATGTTGGCGATGAAACGCTGGCTACCTTGTGTTGCCAAAATCTGTAAGATTTTATTTGTCCACCATACGATCTCTGTTGGAAAGGAGGACTTTGTTGGTTCAGGGGGGCGGTGTGGGGCCAAGCTGACTCGCTTAAGCATTTATTCGCCGTTCCCTCTTCCTCGACAGGAACATCACTACAGAGCCACCAGTCAAAGACTTCAGGTACCACCTATTCGAGCTCTCTTCCTTTATCTTCCTGTGTTTAGAGTTTGGAAATACCCAAGTTTCTTGCAAGTTTTAAGCCTTCAATATGGCAAGCGTCTTATTCTGCACAGCGAGTGGAACCGAGAAAGTATAGTCTTCTCTAATCACGATTAACACCTCCTGATACTAATTATTTAAGGTGGTGAACGAACTGGTAGAACACACAAAGACTCTACATCCTCGTAATGGTGGCGGATTCTCTTGGAGTCTTGTAAAGACCCGGGACCAAAAGGACATCGAGTTGATTACATCTACGCCGATTCCGGAATTCAGTACGGGTTTTCTTGGAAATTCATACAAGGAACTTGGCGAATATTTCAAAACCCGAGTTCCGGATATTAGTGGGCGTCCAGAATTTTACAACCAGGAGTCGTTCGTCGTTATTGACGACCGAAGCCTCATAGACAAGTCCGTACTTCTCGTTGATTGGTGGGTAGAGACACCAAAAGAAGACTTGATCGGTTATGGAGACGACAAGGAGACCTTGAAGGGCTGGCTTCCTACCGGGTGGCATTCTATCAGAGTGAGATTAGAGGACGCACCCGCAATATGCGCAGGGATATCGCTCAGTTATGATTACTGGTTTGTTCAGCGTTCTGGTCCTGAAAACTTCACTGAAGATGGCGTTTTGATAATGAATGAGGCGGATGTACCAAAGTTTGCAAAGTAGACTCTGGAGCAATATAACCTTGATTTTCTTTCACCATTCTGCAATTCTTTATTCCCCCTTCCGAAAACGATTAAGATGTTAATTACAGAGTATTATTTAGGACTTTCTCCTTCTATAGGTTTTACAGTATACTGGAGTAACCGCGCTTATTGCCAGCTCAATGATCACTATTCCGACAAATAAAAAACCAATTGTTAATTCTAACAGTCTTACAAAGTATACCAATACAAGGACCGATATGATTCTTTCATCAGACTGAAATCTAATCTACAAACTATTTGCAAAATGAGACATTTACCTAGCTTACGGATTTGCCAGCGTCTAGTGATTTCCCCAAAATAGACTGGTTCATTCTTCTCTCCAGTTACTAACATAACAATACAAAAACAACACTCCCCCAAAACAACCAGCCTTCGCCACTCAAAAGAAATAAGCAGACAATGCAAAAATGGCTCGATGACTAAAACTCCAAAACAACACAATGTCCCAAAACTTGCACCTTAATCGGCAGCACTTCCAGCATAAACCAAACCCCCTACCAGACCCCAGCCAGGGGCGTTCCATGCTCCGCCCTTCGTGTCTTTATGATCCTTACGATAACACTTCGAATCCGTATTGGCTTGTTTCTGTTGATACCTGCAACATTCATCATAGGTAATGGTACCACTTGGGTTTTTGTAGGAATTGTGCACAAAGACTAAAATGTTAGAAAAAAGATGAGAAGCGACAGGTATGGACTTACAATAGACGTGTCCCTCAGGACCCTGCAAGCCTTTGTCGTACTTGGTCTTGTCTTGCTCTGTAAGTCTTGTGTTGAATACCATCGATCTCCAGCCTTTGCCGTTTTCTATGAAGCTTGCCTGGTTCTCGGCGTAGCCAATTTCTATTGCATTTCCGTCACCCACGTGGCCTCCGCAAAACAGCTCGTAGCCGACTTTCCAATTGTCAACAGGAACCCAAGGCTTATTGCCACAATTGTACCGACTACCATCACTCCGTCGCTCGATAGCGCCTGAATCACTGTAGTGTTCAGGTTCGGTGGCATTGAGAAGTGCTGTGAAATCCCGTTTGACATTTTCTGGAAGCCAGTCCAGACCATGTCTGATTTTGACGTCTCCTCGCTTTTCAACGTCAGCTCCGCCAAATCCGGCCTTAAGATCGTTCATGACCTGAATAGGAAGATCTCGACGGGTACTAGAACTGAGGAGACCATTACGCAGATCTTCCATGACTTGCTGTGGAAGCTCATCTCTGGTGGCCAGTGGTGTAGAATTGGTATCAATAACCAGTGGTGAACACAGAGAAGCTGGCAAGAACAGACCAGCAGAAATGATGGTTGAAAAATGCATTTTGAAAAGAGTATGTATGTTTGTGGTAAGTTTAAAGAAGTCAAGGTTTAGGTGTTTGTAGATTGGGCCAGCCGATGTTTGATCTTTAAGAGCCAGGCCGGAGCGCGCTCTTTATAAAACAGAGCACCTCTAATCTCTATGTTGAACGTGCTTAGCTGTCATGATCCTGGTGACATAGGTGCCACTTGTAACCTGACAGTCGAAGGAATCTTCTATTTTCTGTCCGCAATGACTATTTTTCTTGAAAATAGGAAATACGAACAGCTGATGACCCGTCGTGATTCCAACACAGTATGGGCTTCCAAAGAGCTTTAACATTAAGTTTAGTCAGAAGATGCAGAAATACATCAGGTCCTTGTTCCTGAAGTTGGTTCGTGAAGTCATTTCGAAGTAGTTTCAAACAACAGGAATGTCCCTAAGCCTCTCTCAGTCACATTGCGAGGAAAGTCACGTAGGAGAGATCCCAGTAACAATTATACGGCCATATCCTGGGGTCAATCCCGTGAGACCTGGAGGAATATCTAGCCCACTGAATGTGCGTTTGAATTACCTGAAAAGGGGGGTTACGCGAGCCTTTTCCTGCTGTGTATACTTGGCTGTTGGTTGGTACGCCATTTGGCTTTTTTAGCCAGACAAATAGATTTGAATCAAAAGAGAAGGCTAAAGCCTAACGTGAAGCCAAAAGCCGCAGCGTTGCCTGCAGCCTGCCAAGTTTCAAAAGTGACATCCTTTCGGCGGCAGCAGCCTCTCCGTCATTACGGGAGCTTGCTTTCCTTGTTGGCTATGTACAAACACTTTCAAATCATGTGTTAAGAGTTCCAACTCAACGTAACATGCCCGTAAAATAACACCCAACAGCCTGACCTTACGGAACTGGCAGATGATCTCTGAGCCCCAGCCTTACTTTCCAAATCGTGTTTATATATATCATCAGCCACTGCAATCAAAAAGTACAAGCAGATAATTACATTTCATTCAACCAATATCTACCTCTATTAGTTGAAATTTCCATTCTTTCTTGGTGTCACTATATCACTTCTCTCAAAGTCTGAATTACAATTCGTGATGCGGAAGCTCATCCAGCTGGCTGGCATTCTTTCTTTTATCTCCAGCAGAGTGCAAGGCTTTGTTGTTCCTCCACTAGCACCTGAGCGGCAAGTAGCTGAGACCCCTGCTACAAATATCTCTACGCAAACAATTGAAGAATCAATAACAATCGTCAAGCGATCCCCTACAATACCATCTCCTGCGGTTGGGGAACTAGTTAGAGAAGTGCTCTTAGATTGCATCAAACATGATCCGGGCGACGGAGCATTAGAAGACATCTGTAATGTGGATTGTTACGCTCATCTCTGTCTCGACCGACCAACCACCATGTGAGTGTTCCATTGGTACTGTAGTTAAGCCATTTCACAGTACTGAGTCAAACATAGGAAATACACACCAGGCAAAACGAATATAGACCCGAATCGAATTTTGAGCGGTTATGGCGTCAGACCTTTCACTGGTGATGATGAAAAGATGGCTGCAAGAGGGGTAGCACGTCTGGGGCCAGAACACCAGAGTGGAGAGGAAATACCCTTCGCTTCCACAGCCCAGGGTGGTAGCGGCCAAGAAGGTACCACAGATGAGCCCGTTGATTTCACAACTCAAGCTCTTCTTGCTGGGGTCAGGGCAGAGGGGCAACCTAGTAAGTGGTTAAATGATCTGAATGGCGTATTTTTACAGTATCTTACAATCGCACGCAGTTCAAGGAAGGGCACTGGCAGAAGCATATCGTGAAGCAACACCATCGCCTGTTCAAAACATGGGTGATTGGTTTGATATCAAATATAAATCAGATTCGTCAGTGCAATCTAGCCCCCCGTCCCCCTCTGATATCAGGGTTGAAATACCTTTATGATTTTGACTGACTGGATTACACAGTTATTACTGCCTGGAATTGGCCAAATGGAGAAGTGGCCAGTTGACTGCTCAGCAACGCGAGGACATATGTAGAAAGAAGGAAGGAAAGGGAAAAGAAGATCCTGTATTTCGCGTCTTTGTCAAAACAACCAAGAAGGGACAAAGAAATGCCAAATTCGCACCTGCAGTTCGTGGGGAAGGAGTGTTTGATTATTTTAAACCTGTTTCTCGACGCGCTCAGACTGCAGAGAAAGAGGAAGAGAAAGAGGAGTGAACTATTGTGCAGTATAAGAGGCCAAGTATCTGGCGGATTGTGTTCTAGATGCTGGCTACTAGAATGGAAATGAGCGGTGCTGAGATCACATTTGGATCAAATACTAGAAGCGTGCTGTATAGTAGAGTTTGAATATCACCAATCACCATAAATCTAAAATCCAACCCACATACACTGTGATACAATTTATGACAATTTTTCAATCCTACAAAACCTGCATCAGAAATTCAATAAGTAGGCACACTCAGCGTCGTCACAACCCTGGTAGTCGTATACCCTCCTCCCGGCGGAGAAGTCGGACACGGAATATACAATTTCTGATAATCTGTTGCACATTAGCTCCATCTCCTCTCATCACCTCTCCCCATTTTCATATCCATAAAGAAATAGAAAGAAATTTAACTTACCAACACTACACCCCGTCCTACACTGCCAACTACAATCCGTCACTTCAGCTATACCAGTACATCCACATGGATTGACAACCGTGCTGGTTACGGTGCATTTTGGAGGGAGAGTGAAACAACTGAATGTGGGACACCCGGGGCCGTCGGTGTGGGTTATGGTTTGGCATGCTGTCGGGATGGTTAGAGTATGGATTGTTGGGGAGGTGGTTGTTGGTTTTGTGGTGTGTTTGGACGTATGCTTTGTAGTTGGCTTTGTGGGTGTCGGTTTAGTCGTCGGTTTTGTGATCGTCGGTTGTGTAGTAGGTTTGGATGTCGGCTTGGTCGTTGGTTTCGTAATAGTGGGCTTCGTCGTCGGTCTCGTAAACGTAGTCGGCCTCGTAGTAAAACTAGTAGGCGAACAAGCAGGGGTCAATGTATACTGCGTACTACAATCTCCCTTACACACCGCTGGACAAGGTGTATAAAGCGTTGTTGTCGGGAGAGCAGTAGGGCAATCACATGGGTTTGGTACCATGGAAAGAACTATACAGTCTGGTACTGGACATGGTGGTGTTGGGAGTGGACATAATGGTCTGGGGAGAATTGAGGTTGCGGTTGGACAGAGGTTTGGGTTTGGGGTTGATGAACCAAATATTGGAGTTAGGAGACTGGTAGGTGTTAATTTGGCAGTGGAAGATGGAGAGGGACAAAAGGATACTTAAGGAGAAGGAATGATGATCTCTTGTGTAGGGTACGCATTTTGAAGATCGAGTTGCAAATCCAAATTTTCAGTAGTTTAGACGAATCCACCACCCGCGACTGAGTTCGAGGATCAGGGCAAATAAATAGTCTTCCACACTGTTACGAGCAACTTACATTCCAGCGGGGTAAACCCATCATCTTGTCAAAAAGAGGCTTTTTATCCATCACAAAATCCCCTACTCGTAAGACATCCACGGTTACACATGGCGTTCAACACGAAGTACCCCGCCAAAGAGTACAACAATACGGTAGCATTACCACTCCTAAGTTTCCCGCATGATATAGGGTTTGTGCCTGCATTCAAGGCAGCAGTATAACGGTTGGTCGACATTTGAGTTTATGCTCAAATCGAAAAGAGCCGTAGCTTTGTGCCGCCGAAACGGGTGGGCTTGTAGGGTGGCATTCCTCGTGTTATGCAGACTCTCGGTTGGAAGGTTCCGAAGCGGCATTTGACTGGGTGCCGAGATGGAGGTGCAGAAATGGCTGGAGATGTTGGGTTATACCCGCGTAGTCTGTGGGGAACGGGAGAATGACATGCGGACTTAGTACGAGGAGTGCATTATATGACGGGGTCAAATGGTAGACTCCCCATCGACTATATTGTTTTCCTCAGCCTAACAACAGAAAGAACAAATCAGTTCCAACTCAAACCATATATGAGCCCGCATATACTTGAAGTTTACTAATCATCTCACAGTTTACTCTTCGGCTTGTAGTCTGGTCCACTGCCCTGGATATGAGAGCTAGCAGCTTGTTGAACGTCTCCTTTCGCACAACATGACTCTTCCTCCGAAGCAAGTACTGAAGTGGCATTTTTCACACCTGGTACATCGAGAGCAGGGTTACAAGTAAAAAAGTCTGCTGGGCGAAGGTGGATCTGATGGATTTCGACGGGCCTGCTGATGTCAGTATCATCTATCATAAAGTGGTATCGATGTGACTTACATTACTGGCCAGTCTTCCACTCTTGGGTTATGCTGTGTTTGAAATATTTGTTAGCTACCGCTAATATTTTGCTTATAGATGAAAATCAGAAGACCATTCAAGATCCAACTCACCGTCAAACCAAAGGTATTCCATACAACAACATCGTCGTTTTCCACATTCTCTTTTCTCGCCACAGCATCAGCAACACCATCGATTTCTTTCTTAGATTGATTTGTGAACTCTCCGCCAGCCCAGTATTCGCCATCTTTATATTTGGTGACCCAAACATGGTGTTGAGCAAATTGTGCACGCTTAGCCATGATGCTATCAGGGTGAGCTAGCATCAATTGTGATGCCGATGGTATGAATTTGTAGCTGACGGGCTTGCCAGAGATGGGGTTCAACTTTGATGGATTGGTCATCTTGACTGTCAGGTTTGTGGTAGGAGATGCATCAAAATACTGCGAAGTCTTGATAGGCGTCTGCCTGACCTGCGCATATGTGTTAGCCGAGAAGAAGTAGGTTTTGCGATATATTCTGGACATTTCCGAAACTTGTACTCAATTATAGATGGAGCGATCGCTTACCTCGTATCCGCTTCCATATGGATTCGTTTCCTTCGACATTGACATCGGTAACGATTGCTCAGTGACAACGGTGTTGTTGTACCCATCTACAGCGGGATCAATTCGAACACAGAACAGGTGCTGGTGATTCTGAGCTAAAGCGCCAGAAGATACTACATTGCCCCAGGGACTCGTTTTGCCTGGGTCAATGTTCACAACACTGACAATACCAGTTGCTCGAGTTTCCACCGTAATACCGCCAGCTTGATCAAATTTGTATGCGAAGATATATTCGTAATTTGCCAACGTTATGATAAATTGGACAACAAGCTCTCGCAAACGTGTGACAACTGCGCGCTCTGTTCTGAAATTCGTATGCTTCCAACCGATACCATTATCCTGCTCGTGCAAGCACACTACGTTCTTGCTTACGCTTGGTGTTCCGTCTGGCTCAGTTGCAACAGTATCGAAGTATTTGATTACACCAAGGCAATCACAACCCAATGCCAGGTTATTTGCGGCGCGCCCAGCACCAGCATCACCGAAATCGAATGCCTGCTTTCGATGAAATGGCGGTCTAGGATCTCCATAAGGAACTGTCATCTCACTGAGACTTAATCTGTAAAAAACGCTTCGCCCATCATAACGAACATCATGAAGCGTGGCACCCTCCCGTGGATTGAATCCAAGTCGGAACCTCCACTTTTGCCACTCTATCAAATGGCCACTGACTTTGAAGGATGGTCCATCTGGCTGAACAACATTTAATGGTTTGACGTCCGTCCGCATCGGTTGTGACATCAGCTCTGGCACATATTCTCCTGGGGAACAGTGATCAAGAACATTTTTTTTGTGAGTCCCATAAGCCAGTCCGTCCTCTTTTCCACCAGTAGCCAATTTGTCGATGCGGACAATCTTTTTAGTATAAGTATCCATGACTGGTATAATTGGCAACGGATACGAATAATGGTTGCTGTCAAGGTTTTGGTTGCGATTGTCTCTAGCAAAGCACAATCCTTGGGTGTATCGAGGGACGACCTCTGCATCGCCCCCGTAAGGCCACTTTGATCATTAGAATCGGGCTCCTAGTTCTTATATCTGACTTACCGGGTCAATTGACACGACAAAGCCTTCAGGCAAATCAAACCCAGCAACTGCTTTCTTGAAAAGCGGTGACTCGATACATGCTTCATTGAACTCTCGGAACTCATGCCTGACATGATGTTAGCTTCTGAGTATAAAAGAATAAGACACTAAGGGCTTATTATTAGTTATGGCTCTGGTTGAACCTACGTTGTCAAACCTGATTGATGGACCTTCTCTACAACACGTTGGTCGACTTCTTTCTTCGTTACTATATCAACCACCGACTCCATATACTCGGGCCCTTTGGTCCCGTGCACAACATCATATTGAACTTTAGCAAGACGTGGAGGTCTTTGTATGTTAGTATTGAGTTGGCCAGCATGCTCCAGATCAAGAAATTGAGAGAGTTCCTTTTTCAGAGGTTCTTCTAAGAATATGGATCTGAATTTAATTGCGACATTGTCACCTCGTGCAGCCAAAATAACTCCACGTGCAACACTGGTTTCTGCAGCCGATAGCTGATCAAGAGGGTGAGGCAAAGAAGTTGCTGAATCATTTCTTGTTATCAGCGTAGTGGAAGACATCATGAGTGGGATAGCCGAGGGTGGCACAACTCCACAATCGAGAATTGTTAGAGAAAGCAGACGGAGAGTTCCCTTAAGAAATGGGAAGTAAGAGGTGATTGAATGTCTGGTGAATACTTCAATATCCAGGACTTACCTTTATATTAAGCTAGTAAGTGACGGCATGCTATTCTTTGTGCTGTCAACACTTGCAAGTGCGCAGTGGGGTTAATTTACCAACATTCACCCCACTTGTCTAGACTGGATCTGGCAAGTACACCCTGATACCTGGGCAGCCGAAGTTTTAGCTGTACCTGGAGCCAACGCTTGTCTACGGGACCCTTGAATTGCTAACTTGCTTTCAACGCTGATCAAAAGGAACCTCTCCCTCTTTAGGATGACTAAATCACTTTACCATAGTGCTTGAGGCGACAAGAGTTGCTATTTCTGATGGCCGATTCGCCTAGGAAGTGCCTGGAAGTCTCGGAGTTTTGATGCAGTATCGCAACGTCCGCGGAATGTTGGTTGTTGTGTTGACTATTATTGTTACTCGGAGAGGACGATTTCGATTGACATTTGAGTCTGGACAAAGTCACTGCTTATATATAGTCCAAAGCCTGCGCTGGCACCAAAACTTCTCCGCAATATTGAGTAATCCTAATGACTAATGACAATCGGAGACAATATTGTAGAAATCATGAGAAGTGGTAGTATAGTACGGGAATGGATGTGATCTGGCTCACTCGATCCGAAGATGCTCTCGGAACGGATCAAGTTTCTAGCGAGAAGCTTGGAATCAACACGTGATCGCGGGGTCGCTGCATCCTCATGGGGGTGAAACAAGCAATGCAACGAAGATATGTACAAAGCTGACATAGGAAACCGGTCAATCAACATTTTGGTTATGCTGCATAATCGGGACTGGATGCTGCTGATTTCCACGTGCCTTCTGCGATGTTCCTGTAATCGATTGGCGAAAAGAAGAATGAGTGAGTCTGTCCTATCATATTTGCGAGTGAAGGTCCTTGCACGTAAATTTGAGGCGGGGGAAATGTGAAAAGCTTGTATTGTACAATATAACCTAATGGCTATTATAAGTGGTATGAAAAAGAAATATATCGGCACTTCGTCTGAAAACCAGTGAAAATAAGTGGCTTGAATAATATTTACGCATTACCTCGCAAGGTCTCTAATCAAAGGGCGTGTATTCGCCCAAGAAGGCATTCGCTAGCATAACAACCGTTGACAACCAAAATCCACGCGTCCTGGGCGGTGATTACTTATGCATTTGTTTTCTGGCTTTCAAACTCAGCAGCCGAACCCTTGTGCATCACTCCTCGATCCTGCACCTTTCCTAGTTCTCCCCCTTTCCTCTCCATGTTGCATGTGTTGTAACACTAGACGATCGACTGGGAAAATATCGCCTGCTGCAACGGCGGTCTAAAATATCAAAATACCCGACGCTAGCGAGGCAGAGGCACAACCAAAATTCAACATCAACAATCCTTTTTCCACCTTTGCGTTCTGGCTTCATACCTGCCCAACCGCCTCTGATAAAACCGGCGCATTCGTATAGTTACCATGGATGTGGTCCAGCTACGTGGTCGCGTCGTTGCGACACTCAGCGCCGACACCGACACTCGTCGTCGCGCTGAGCTGGATCTAAAGACGGTAAGCCCTGAGCACGCAGCCTGTGTTGAGATTATCAACTAATTATTTTCTACCAGGCCGAAGAACATCCAGGCTTCACAGATGCCCTTCTAGATATTCTGCAAGCAGAAACTGATCCCGCCGTTCGTCTTTCGAGTACGCTGTCTCCAAATAGCTTCACCCCTCTACGAAACTAATGCACCGCTACAGCCGTTGTGTATCTAAAGAATCGAGTTACGAGAGGATGGTCTGTCAGCGAGGACTTCCCACAAAACAAACCTATATTGGAAGACGAGAAGCAGAGGTTTCGAGATCGCCTGCTGCCAGTGTTGTCAGCTTCCCCGCCGCAGATTCGACAACAGTTAGTCCCAGTCCTACAAAAGATTTTACATTACGATTTCCCACAGAAGTGGCCGGCGTTCATAGATATTACACTTCAGCTGCTCAACACCAACGATGCCGCCTCTATATTCGCCGGTCTGCAGTGTCTTCTGGCTCTGTGTCGAGTATTTCGCTTCAAATCTGGGGAACATCGCGCCGATTTCGATAAGATAGTCGATGCGACTTTCCCTAGACTCTTGGTTATTGGACAAGGATTGGTCAATGAGACGAGCGAAGAGGCTGGCGAAATGCTTCACATCGTTTTGAAGGCATACAAGCATGCGACCTTTGTGAGTTATGATGGGGATACTTGAATGGGTCCAACGAAGTGCTGACGAATTTTAGTTCGAGCTTGCAACTTCTTTAAGGGAACAGCAGGTTGTTATTGGATGGTGTACCCTGTTTCTTCAGACAGTGGCGAAAGAAGTACCATCAACCGCATTGCCTGAAGATGTGACAGAGCGTGAAGCAAATCATTGGTGGAAGGCTAAGAAATGGGCATATTTCAACTTGAACCGGCTCTTCGTTAGGTGAGTATTACGTGATTTCATCAAGTCGTTCACTGACCCCTACAGATATGGAAATCCTTCATCACTGCAGAAAGGCAACGGAGAAGATTACACAGAGTTTGCGAAGATGTTCACGGCCAATTTTGCGCCTGAAATTCTGAAAGGTTATCTCCAGCAGATCGAAAAATGGGTCGCGAAAACTACGTGGCTAAGTCGTCCATGTCTCTCATATACACTGGTTTTCCTTGACGAGTGTGTACGACCAAAGCAGATGTGGGCCCACCTCAAACCGCACCTTGACACACTCGTCACCCATTTCCTCTTCCCAGTTATGTGTCTATCAGAAGAAGATGTGGAAAAGTTCGACACGGACCCCGAAGAATACCTTCATCACAAACTAAATTACTACGAGGAAGTTTCAGCTCCAGATGTCGCGGCAACCAATTTTTTGGTAACGCTCACAAAGGTGCGAAGAAAGAACACATTTGCTATCCTTGCATTCATAAACACTATCGTGAACGAATATGAGGTTGCCGAAGAATCGATGAAGAACCATATTGCAAAGGAGGGAGCCTTGAGGATGATTGGCACTCTCTCGAGTGTTATCCTTGGGAAGAAGAGTCCAATTGCCGAGCAAGTAGAGCATTTCCTGTCACGATACGTTTTCCCAGATTTCCACAGCCCACAAGGTTTTCTTCGAGCCCGGGCTTGTGACACGGTTGAAAAGTTCGAGCAATTGGACTTCAAGAACCCTGATAACCTCCTGCATATCTACCGCAACATCCTGGAGTGTATGGCAGATCCTGAGTTGCCCGTTCGAGTGGAGGCTGCTCTCGCACTTCAGCCTTTGATCCGACACGATGTTATCCGAACGAATATGCAACAAAACATTCCACAGATTATGCAGCAACTACTAAAGCTTGCAAATGAGGTTGACGTTGATGCTTTGTCTAATGTAATGGAAGATTTTGTGGAGGTATTTGCTGCTGAATTGACCCCGTTCGCCGTAGCATTGAGTGAGCAGCTGAGAGATACTTACTTGAGGATTGTACGGGAGTTGTTGGAAAAGAATGACAAGCGAGATGACGAAGATAGCTACGGGGACTACCTTGACGATAAAAGCATTACAGCACTTGGTGTTTTGCAGACAATTGGCACGCTTATCCTCACCTTGGAAAGCACACCAGATGTCTTGCTCCACATGGAATCAATTCTGATGCCTGTTATCAAAGTTACTTTGGAGAATAAGCTATATGGTAGGACAAAGTCTTTGAATATTCCGCAAATTTTGCTAATAGCACATAGATTTGTACAATGAGGTTTTCGAAATTATTGACAGCTGCACCTTCGCCGCCAAGTCAATTTCTCCAACTATGTGGCAAGCTTTTGAGCTTATTCATGCGACCTTCAAAGCCGGGGCAGAGCTGTATCTTGAAGACATGCTTCCAGCGCTTGATAACTTCGTTCAATATGGCCGCCAGCATCTTATTGACACGCCGGCTTACTTAGCTGCTATGTTCAGCATGGTCCAAGACATGTTTACTGATGAGAAAGTTGGCGGAGTGGATAGAATCTGTGCATGCAAGCTTGCAGAAGGCATCATGCTCAGCTTAAAAGGACATGCCGATCAACAGGTGGTCGAATTCGTAAGTCTTTTGGCTAGAGTGGGGATACCATGCTCACTTATATCTTAGATCGGGATGGCAATGCGTATATTGACCAGTTCTGAAGTCCAAGTCAAATCGTACAAGATACACCTTATGGAGATGGTCATCAATGCCATCTACTACAACCCCGTAAAGCTCATTAGCTCCCCCATTTACTACAATTTACTGATATTAATTAGGTGCTTGCACTTCACGTCCTCGAGTCCAATCAGTGGACCAACAAGTTTTTCAGCTTATGGTTCTCAAACATCGACAGTTTCGCTAGAGTTCACGACAAGAAGCTTTCCATTGCGGCCATTGTTTCTCTTCTTACCCTTAATGCCGATCAAGTTCCGGTTAGCGTTCAGACAGGGTGGCCAAGATTATTACAAGGCATCGTCAGACTCTTCCAAACACTCCCAGCTGCGCAGAAAAGTAAGCACCTCAAACCCGCTCTGTATTTTTAGGCTAACGGCTCGAAGAACGCGATGATGTTCTCAAGGATGACTTCCCTCTCGATCAGTCTGCTTACGACGATTACGAGGATGAGGAAGAAGAGCCATGGGCTGGCGACGATAACCAGTGGGGCGAAGAAAATGAACAAGAAGAAACCGAAGAAGTCAAGGATGAGAGCACTGCTTATCTCGAGTTCTTGAACGAAGAAGTATGTAATCTGAGCTCTTGCCACACCAAATTACTAATCTGTCATAGGCACAAAAGTTCAAAAATCTTGAAGATGACGATTCAGATGAAGAGCTTGGCGAGGAGAGTCTTCTTGAGACTCCACTCGATAAAGTAGAGCCGTACATGATGTTCCGCGATGCCCTTCTCAGTACGTCGCCCAAAATCCTCAAGCCGTTTTCTGCTAACCAGCCTATTTAGAACTACAACAAGAACAGCCTCAGTTGTATGGCTCGCTTACTGGCAATCTCAGCCCAGACGAACAAACCATCGTTCACGGAGTCGTACAGCAGGCCGAATCGCTGGCTGCTCAAGCAGCAGCCGCCCAAGCCAACGTTCCTGGTCTAGTGGTCAACGGAGCAACATGAGCTTAGAAGCAGATTTGCAAAGAGCATTTTGGACTGGGGTAATAAATTGGTAGCTCAAGCGTGCCTGTTGCATTCGGACGGCGTTTTTCATGTGACCATCTATTCGAAATAGAGTTAGATGTCACCCTCATTCTTTTTCATTCCCCCTCAAGATTGCGGATATACTCTATCGAACAGTCGCAAGCACGGTGCAGATTTGATTGCTTTTACTTTTTTACGAGCGAATGGATGGAGCCTTGTGGGTTGAATGGGGGGCTTCATGGGATAGCCGGCTAGCTGAGGCTACTGGTTAATGGAAAAGAAGCCAACAAGAGGCTGACGTTGTGGTGGAGGTCACTGGGTACGAATGGCGTGAATTAGTGGGTGGTTGTAGTTAGGTAGGTAGACTAGTCAGATAGTACTTCGATGACTGGGATGGGATATGGGTACAATGAGCAGAAAAATCAAAACGAACGTCACGAAATTTTATTGTCCTCTTTCCCCACTGCTTTCTAGTGAAGTCTTGAAATTGTAGCATGCTCATGTTTGACGAGCTAGGCTTGAGCCCACTACCGCACTCAAGGTGTGGTACAGTTTTCCCTCTCAAAAGAATCTAAATAGTGTACCACAATTTGTAAAGCACATAAGCTATAATTCGAACTACATCTTCAAATAGTAAACGAACTTACACCCCCAATCCTAAATCTTCATCTACTATTTTTGTTGATTCATCTTGACTTGGAATCCGACAATCCATGCCGTATCTTCGAGATAATGCTCCTTTTCCCCTCATTTATAATGTCTTAAGGTAGAAGATATCTGATGTTTACGCACGAGTTGTTGTGATGACTTTAGGAGATTTATAAGCTGTATGCAGAGAACTGTGAATGGAAATGGAGGTTAGACTAGATTCATGTTCGACAGAAATAAGAACGATATATAAATCCTTGCTTCCAAATCTACGAATTTAGAAGGGTTTACGGGACTTGATACTCGGAATGACGGGTACGTCTTTCGGATCTTTTTCTCGTGTTGCTTGTTTAAAAGAGTCTTGTATGGAGGATCAATAGTGGTGTCCTGCTTAAGGCTTCAGCCTAGTAGCTGGAGTGGTGTGATTTTTGTTCAACGTGCTGTGCAACCCCTTCCCGCACTAAAGTGAAAATTTCCCACACGGATAGACATCTAAACGAGCTCTACAGAGAACTCTGATTTGCGGACTCGTTCGTAGAATCCTGATCTTAGTGACTTTGTCAAGAAACAGAACGTGATTTCATCATACAGTAAGGTAACAGATGTTTTTAGACAGCTGTAAAGTAAAGAACAACAGATTCCCCATGAGAATCCTGTATTTTTAGTGGCGATCGAGAAATGAGATTGATTTGTCCGATCTAGGAAGTGGTTGCTAACACAATTTTTTTTTTTAGAAGATAGCTACTTGGTTAGAGCGTATAATAGTATGTTGCTATATTAACAATAAAGTGTCTACTCTTGCTTAAAGATGTTTGTGCAGAGACATCGTGTCATTAAGTTAAGTTTTCCTGTAGAGAAGTTGATAATATAGGATCTTATGAAGTGCGGCGCTCAGGATGAAATTTTATACCTAGGGTCACGATAACGTCTAGGTTACTCGAGGGGATAGAAAGATGGCAGTCGAAACAGGACATTTACTTAGTCCAATTAGTGGATAATCTTATCTCGTCTGTTATTTTCGGTAGGTACGAAATTGCTGAACTCTGTTTATGACGAACTAATAATTATAAGTTCTGACCGCCTCTTAATTCCCAAATCAACGGTACTCAGCTGGTTCTACCACTATTATTGATTTTTACGCGGCAAAGACTTGGATGCCCTTGCGGTTCACATGGGAACAAGTTACATTGACTGCAAATGGATTAAATTCCACTACATCCACTCAGTTACTACAACTAACTGCCATCCCACCTCAGCTTTGCACCCCAATTCCCTCATTCTCATCATATGACCAAACTAACCATCATTCACATCAAAATACACGTACATCCCAACACCGTCCGACTGTAAGAGGCGGATAGAAGCCCAGATCGTCATGCTTTTTGGCAGAGAAAAAGATTCGACGCCAACATGCAGCACTCTTCATGAATTACACTAGTAGGTTAAAGGTTGACAAAAAAGGAGATGGTTGATCAGACAGATCATTTGATTGAGTTTCCGCGTCGAGGCCGTAAAGCAAAACGTTAAACGTGCTCTGCACAGATTGTGTAAAATGAGTTGGCGAGAAACAAAAGGAAAAACATAAAGTTCGTAAAATGGAATGCGCAAGTTGGGATAAGTATGATAATATCCTCATCGGTCTCATTCTGTGCGTCTCATAGCACTTGTTCGACTCTTGGCCCGAGATCCAGCGGCTGCACGCGACCCAGATGCTCCAATCGTGCTTGGTTGGCCGCTGCTCTTTTTATGAGATTGACTGTGTAGGTGACCGACATCATGTTTGCCTGTAAAGCATTAGTTTAGTAGCTAATTTAGCGAGTTTGAAACTTACCATCACAACATGCTCTGACATTCTCAAGCCTATCGGATTCACGATCCTGCCTTTCGATCAATTCTCTCAGATCCTCGGCACTGTCATGTACTTCGCTAGCTTCATAAATACTACCGCTTTGACCACCGACGCCATGCCTACTTCTGGAACTTCCCATGATACCACTATTCTTTCCGGGATTCCAGTAATTGCTCAGGCGTGATAAAGTACCCATCGACGCTCGTGATGAAGTTGACATATTGTTGGGGTGGTTCGACAAGCGGCTGCTAGTTTTGCGATTTGGCGATGTATCACGAGTAGTGCGACTGTTGTAAGAGGAAAGTGAGCCAGGTCCCTTACGACTGCTACTATTGCGGAAGGGAGGGTTGAATTCGGCAACATCCTCTCCGGTCAAACCCGCATTTGCGACTTCCTTCGTGTCCTCGAGGGCCATTTCCTCGTCGCGGAGAAGTAAGTAAGACAATGCGTTGAACCAAATCTCATGACGCTGGCCCGTAGTAGCAGTAAATTTGACTGCTCGACCAGGAGTCATGATAATCAAACTCTTGCGGTGAAGCCCAGGTGGCATAGGGTTGTCATCTGTGACAACTCTGACAGCCTCAATTGGCACACTCTTTGCTCTAAGCTCGGCCCTATTCTTCGCTGATGAAGGATCATGGTCACCCCAGTAAAGTGTTTTTGTATACGGGTGAACCCAGAAGTAACGTCTGTGTCTATTCTCTGAGATTGCCCCACGACCGGCTTTTCTGGTGTACTTCCAGAGATATTCACCAATCATGGTCTGGGTAACTGCATTGATCATTCTTTCGTCGGTGGTAGAACCCATGCCTTGGGGCATGCCGACACCACGAATATTGAATCTAGTTTCCAGTTCCGAAGCGAATGACGACACCGATGAGCGTCGAGATCTTCCAGTACCAGTTGGAGAATGCATGCCATTGCCACCCGAGGAGTGTAATACGCGAGGGGTAGTACCGTCCTTGACAGAAGGACTCTTAGGACCAGCGGATGGGGTACGAGGCCTGTATGATCCATTTTTGTAGGCAGAAGCTGGGAATAGCGGTGGACCCATGCTTCCCACAGCACCGGACGAAGACCCTGAACGCGGGGCAACGAGAGTACCAGTTGTACCATTGATAGAGCCAGCACGTTGAGTGATAATCGCCGGAGGACCACCTGATGACCCTACGCGCTTTGCCGCTTCAGCAATGACTTGCTTAGAGTCTGGTGGAAGAGGCGGGTGAGTGCTTGACATAGAGCCATGTCGGGAGCTTGCTGCACTAGTTTGTCTCTTGATCAAAACAGCATCGTGAGTGCGATTGACGCTTGCAATGCTCTCCTGCGATTTCTTGCCTTTGATAACAGATTTGCTGGGCGAGGTGGGTGATCTTGATCCATCCTCAATGAGAATTGCAGCCTGCCGCTGCTTAGCCTTGAGCATCTCATCGATCTGAGTAGAAGTGACAATAGTTTGACAACTCTCGTCCGTGGTTTCCGCACGTGGTTGCCTTACGACTTTCTCATTCGTATTGTTAGACAACTCCTTGAAAGGTCTTTGAGATTCCGGAGTCTCAATAAGAGGAGAGGCATTTGGTGACTGGCGGGTCTCATCTTCAGCTATTATCGGTGTAGATGGGGTCTTGCCACTCTTCCGGCCAAATACAGATCCAAGGAATCCGGCAGCTTTGGGGGTTGATGGACCCTCTGATTTGGTGACACTTTCAGTTGGCGCAGGAGGGGGCGTAGCGTCCCGAGTTTCGACAAAGGGGTCCTCTGGTGTAGAAGCAACGGCTTCATTATCCGATTCGTCTCTTGGAATTATCATAGCTTTCCTCTTTGGTGTGCGTGGTGAAAGTGATTCCAGGGGCTCTTCGATAGGCTCCGTATCCACAGATTGAATATTCGAGAGGACTAATGGTGGAGGCGCTGCTTTCACAGGGACAACCTCTTCTCTAACCGGTTCAGGAGAAATTGGCGAAATTTCAAGCTCGGTCGGCTCCACATGCTCCGAATAAATTGTAGACATGCTCAAAGGTGCAGGGCTGGACTGGATCGCGGAAAGGTTAATCAATGGAGTTTGTGCTCTTGAGAGTGGTGGAGAGGGGAAACTGGCAAGTCTCTCGTCCATTACTGTTGGATCATATTGAGAGCTACTGTCGCTATATGTTGACATTGAGATTGGTCGAGAACCGTCTTGTGAATCAACTGTCAGGTGGTCCATGTATTGATCGTCGTGCCACTGAGCTGCTGAATCGGTCATCTCGGGTCCAACCTGTGTGCCGGTGGATGAATGCCTGTCGTGGAACGAATGAAGAACACCTCCAGCAGAGGCACCAACAGCGGCACCACCCAGAATACCACCAAGTATCGGCACAGCACTGTTCTGAGAAGAAGTCTCTGGTTCCCAAACATCAGTCATGGTAGATGAGTCGACCATAGGTAATTTTGGAACGGGCGGAATTTCGAAAGGCACTGCGGGCGTGTTCTTTGCAGTACTAGGTCTCGACACTGCTGGAGTACTAGCTGGGGAAGTAAACCCACTTCTGCTTGGGGTACCAGTAATCGATTCCTCTTCGTCACTCATGTCAGCCAATTCAGCAAATAGAGTCTGTCCTGAAGCTTGTGGTGTGCCATGGGTACTGCTGTTTGCGAAACTTGCGGCTGGAGAACTCTTGAAAGAAGGCTCTTCGCTTGGCTGGCGAGATCGTCTGTTGCCGCCACGACTGACTCTGAGCTTTAGTCGTTGAGGCTGAGTTACAGTTGGGGTTTTGACTTCATCGAAGTCATAATCTTCGCCCGATGTTGATGCAGTGCTCTGGTACGACTGTCTATTTCCGATCTTTGCCAAAGAAAGACGCGTTGGCTTGCTACGAGCACCAGCTGGTAAATCTTCCTTCTCTGTTAACTCATCGCTGCTGGCCCCCATATCTTCCACGCCAGTCTGGAAATCTTCAGTCTCAGTACCGCGCTCGTTTGCAGTCTCAAAAGCAGCATCACTAGTCTCATTGGCGGTGTCGAAATGATCGCTGGAATCGGGAGAGAAGGTGGGTGGGTTCGAAAGTCCCATAGCAACACGAGCGGCAGTAACTGCGCCGGAGCGGCTTGGGCTATGATCTCCGTTGTCTTCTTCCCAATTTGTATCATCTATGATGATTTCATTTCTGCTGTTTCTCAAGCCGCCAAGTTGACCCGGTCTTGCTGGTTTCTTGAACTCTCTAGAGTCGACCTTCCGGCTACGCTTTCCGTTTGCAGAATTCAGGCCACCTTCGACTCGGCGAGCATCTAACTCATCTCTAGCATCTTGAAGCATACGCTTCATCTCGAGTTTCTCAGTCTTCTCTCGATGGATAGTGCCCTTTAAGGTTTGGATCATGCGATGGGCGTGATGTAATGAGCTCTTGAGAGTCTCCGACTCTAGCATGCTATGTCTCGGAGTTCCTTTTACCGGTGATGGTGGTGGGGAGTGTTCAGGTGTAACATCATCCTGTGCAGTATCGAAATCGTCGTCAGTCAAGCCGCGAGATGTATCTTGACTTTCCATTCGGCCTCGTTGATGCGCAATGGCCTTGGCGAGTTCTGTATTCTGACCTGCTAATTCATCAACCTTTCGCTGCAAATTGGTTCGTTCCTGCTCGGCCAAGACTAGACTCCTCTTCGCGCTTCCAAATTCGACATCGTGGTGCTTGACGGCTGCCAAGTGATCTTCAGAAAGCTTTGCGTGACTCAATTTTATCTCGTCTAATTCCTTTTGCGCTGCGCTCTTCTCAACTTGCAATATGTTCAGACTATGAGTGAGCTTCTTCTCTCTATCTGCCGACTCTTTCGCGGATGCCATGTATTCGTGAATTCGGGTCTCTAAATCCCAATTCTCGTCCTTGTATCGATGCTCGCTCTCGTCGAGGCTTCTGAGGCGGTGACTGAACCCTTCGGCTTCAATTTCTAATCGAGAATTCTCCAGCTTTACAGCTTTCAGTGATTCTTCTTTTTCTGCTAACAATGCTTGCAAATGTCGGACTTGGGATAAAAGAGATGTGCTAATTTCTGTAAAGAATTCGGTATCGTGCTTGCGATTGGCAGGTTGATTGCGTTGTTTTCGACTGGGAACGCTGAGTTTGGTTGGTGAGCTTGCACCATGGCTTTCGAATTTTGTAGGACTTAGTGAACGCTGAGCAGGTTAGTACAGTCGTGGTGTAACGGAAAAAAGACGGGAGTAATTACTTTATCTCCTGTGAAAGGAGACCCCGCCATCTCATTACTTGACATTCTCGACTTTGGCAAAAAAGCCCTTGCGCTTTCGCGACCAACTTCATTAAATTCTCTTTCGATATCTACCAGCTGCTGCTGAAGCTCGGGGCTAATTTCGGCATCGCTCTGCTGCTTTTCCACATCCCTCAGCCGGTCCGACAGCTCTTTACGCTGTTGCACAAGGGCCGTACCAAGCTTGGAAGCTTCCTGAATACGTCGTTCCGTTTCCGCTAGATGTGATTCCAACGCGTGCTTCGCTTGATCTGGTGAGGCATCTTGGCCTAGAGCAAATAGCTGTGCATCGAAAGGAGAGAATCTTTGGCGGTTCGAGCTTGTTGAGCTCGACAGAAATGGATCGACGTCCTGTGTATCTGGGGACATGTCTTGTGAAGCTAGAGAAGGTTGCTCCATCGCTAACGATGTTGCCATGATCTGTCTGGCGCGCCGACACGACTTGTGTCTGTTTTCCTCGTCGTTGCCGCCCACGAACTTCCTTCCTGGTTTGGCACTAGCTCCTCGTACCAGTTGAGATTGGCGGATAATTTGATTTTGTCAAACCTCGTAGAAAACGGTGTCTTGGATTATCTGTCAGCAGAGGACAATGTGTTTGGTCCTAGGAAATACCAACAGACAATGTTGTACCGGGGCCGTTAGCTGTCGAGCTGTGTCGTGTTGTGTTGTGATGTTGACAGCCGACTAAAGATTGCCGATCGTGGGTCGTCAGGGGGGCGCGTTCCTGAGGAGCCAGTCGTTTCCAGAGTCGAGAGCAATTCGAGACGCGACGAATTGGGCTGGTGAAGCAATTTGGCTCTTGCAAATTACTGAGCAACCGGAGGTCTCGGAATAGAGCGTGTGCAAAAGAATTGCGACTACTCCTCTTGTTGAGGTGAGGTTGAGGAGAAAAGCAGATCGGTCGGTGATTCGGTGGTCTTGGGGATCTCGACGGCCGATAAAAACAAGCAGCACCGCCGCTGAGTTGCGTACCTCGCTAGTTTAGTCTTCAAGTAAACTAACGCATGTCATTGGGTCAAATCTCGCAATGTTTACACTGCATTTTCTTATTCGGTCAACTGTGGCATGAATACGGAGCAGCAACCGGTATGGCATAAACATTTATTTTATTTGGTACTTGAGTGGATTTGTTTACTTTCGCATCGGTGGTTGCATAGACGACGTAATTTGGAGGAGATTAGGAAATCATCACCAGATTCTGGATGGGGAATACCCTTGCATTCTTTAGCTGTTCCCCATGTGAAAACGAACCCAAAAACATGGTCTGGACGGAGCACTTCAGCACAGACCTTGCAGACGAGCTCTACCGGCTTCCTTCCTGAGGCAGCCAGTTTGTAAGCCACAGGGAGATGCCGAGGTCGTACCGAGATCGATGTCAGCCTCAGCCTTGTGTAAACGACCTGGCCCATTATTTCTTGAACCGCATTTCAATATTGAACGTGCCCTCGACATCGAGCGTTGGAAACACAACGGTCAATTCAGTTGTCTGATACATCTATTTTCCCTTCAAACACTGCGCCATGGAATCAACAGAAGCTGCATCAGCACCCGTAGCAATCTTCAAAAAGAGAACCGGGAAATCCAACTTTCGAAAACGAGCCGCCACTCCACCCCCAGCATCAGACAGCTCCGACTACTCGTCCTCAGAAGACGACACCGGTCGCAAGATAAAGCGCAGAAAGAAGAACACAGGCGTGATCACCGCCTCATCTCGCACCAATATCCCCTCAACCACAGATCTCACAGCACCAAACTACGTCGCCTCCCGAAGCACCACCATAAAATCCTCCAACGACGCAACTAAGCAGACAAACTGGTACGACGAGAACGCAACCGATGCTCTATCGAGTAAAAACCTCCTTGGCTCAACACGCGCCGTCCCCGGCAGCGAAGGAACCTACAAAGGGCTCGCCAACCCAACGACATTCATCCAGCAAAACCCCGACGCTCCAAACCGCTCCATCGGGCCCGTGAAAGCACCCACGAACATCCGCACCATAACAGTCACCGATTTCGCCCCGGATGTATGTAAAGACTACAAACAAACCGGCTTCTGCGGGTTTGGGGATAATTGCAAGTTCCTGCACGCGCGCGAGGACTATAAGCAAGGCTGGCAGTTGGATAAAGAATGGGAGACCGTTACCAAAGGCAAAAAAGTAAGCGGTGTGAAAGTCGCCTCTGCGAATCGAGATCAGGACGCTGAAGAGGAGGACGAGGATGATAAATTAGAGGGGATCCCGTTTGCGTGTATTATATGTCGGGAGAAGTATAAGGATCCGATTGTGACGAGGTGCGGACATTATTTCTGTGAGGGGTGTGCGTTGAAGAGGTATCGGAAAGATCCGAGCTGTGCGGCGTGTGGGTCGGGGACGGGAGGTGTGTTTAATGTTGCGAAGGGTTTGAAGAAGTTGCTGGAGAGGAAGAGGGAGCAGGCTAGGAAGAGAAGGGAAAAGGCTATTGAGGCTGGGGAGGAGGTTAGCGAGGAGGAGGAAGAGGAGTGATCTTGAATATTATACAATTTATGAATCTAAAATAAATGTTTAAAGTCTTCACGTACGATTGAGTCATAATAATAAGATTTTCTATGTGTGGTAAGTACGGTAATTCTCTAATCACGAGCTCAGTAGAGATGACAGCCATAATACTATTATACTTAGTATTTAAGCTATTACGAGTAACGGTCAAAGAAATTCTTCTCATCTAAAAACTACCTCTTACAAAATATCGCGCTTCCAAACACTTTCTACTCTACTTTTCCTTCTTACTCTTACTCTTACTCTTACTCTTACTCTTCCCTACACTCTCATCACCACTCCCCTTCGCACCAGTCATACCGCCCAAACCGACACCACTGACAACACCGCTAACAGCCTTACTAGCCCCAATACTAATCCCTCTCCCATTCTTTTCCTGAAAACTGATTTGCGAGCCAATACTCCCACTTCTCGCTTGCCTCATTTTACGCGTTAAATTGCCATTGCCATTCCAATTCCCATGCTCAGAATCTCTGCTCGCACGTGTGGGTGTAGCCGGCGAGTTAGGCGAACTCTCACCTGAGTCGTATTCTGAAGTCGACATTCTGGCGCGCTTACGGGCACTTGCTGAAGACGATGAATGTTGTGGGGAGCGCATAGAGATGATGCCGTTACTAGGTGTAGCGCTTGCGACTTCTGCGTAGGTGTTGGCTTGGTTACTTTCGTCCTCGGACATGTAGGTCAAGGATTTCATTTGAGCGCCTGCGTTCATGGAAGCGTGACGTGCGGAATGATAATTGTTGTATTCCTCTTGAGAATGCTCTGCGTCTACGAAGCTATCAAGAGCGTCGAAAACGTGGGGAAATACTAGTGTATCCACTTCTCGTGCCCATAGGAAGTCCAGATGTTCGTAGTGAGGGATTTCAGTGGCGATTGTATGTGCTGGAAGTTCTCGCTTCATGACTTTGATGTCGACGAGAGAGTCACTGCCTCCGTAGACGAGAACAATTGGTGTCTTGATATTTCGAGTCGGGAATTTGGCGACTTTGGTGTATTTGCTTACGCTTCCTAAAGATACGACTGGCTGAACATCATCATCGTACATTTGAAATGATTTGGTACGGATAATCTGAAACCAGTGGACCACACTCTTGGTACTGGTAAATGAGTAGAGATGTGGATAAGCTGCTAGCTTCTGGCTCATGGAAATGTTACGAGCCTTCCAACCAAAAAGGAAATCCAGACCTATGTCAATAGCGCGCACAAAAATTGGCGGATATAAAATCGATTGCCACATCGTTGCCGAGCTTAAAATTGATCGTCGACCAAACAAAAGAAAGAGGACTTGAGGTGACGCTTTCACTAAAGCATCTACGATTCCATTTGAAAGACCAGCAGGTGACATGGCTGGTGCCAAGGCAATAAAGACGTTGACTTGGTCGTTGAGTTTCGGATGAACCGCTAAAGTCGCAAATGCTTGAGCTGTTCCTTGAGAAAAGCCGATATATGATAAAGAAGGCATTCCGGTAGCTTCAAGAATGTAGCTGATACTGTCCGGAATATCATGGAGAGCAAATTCATCCATTGAGAAATTCCAAAATGGAATGTCTGTAGGTGAGTGGTGCACAGACTTCTTAGAATATTTGTTTCCGCGATTGTTACCCAACTGAGATTCGTAAGCTTCATTTCTCTGTGGTCAACACGAGTACTCACCCAAACATCATAGCCTTTTTCCAGAAGCTTGAAAGGTAGACATCTCTCCTCATCAGTAAGGCAAACCCAAACCTCACTGTTCATGAGTAAACCATGATGCAGATACACGACGCTTTTCTTAACGCTGTCGGGTCCGTTGTTGACTCTCTGAGACTCCTCGCCTTTGCGCCAGGCGAGTCGATGTAGTCCAAGAAGATAACCATCTCCTGTTCGAACTACATGCTCCTCTGCATAGTAGCCATAGAGGGCACATATTTCTACAAAGTCAGATGCATTACGAACAGCGGTGGAGATATCTACAACACATTAACAGAATTTCAGAGCAGTCAATCGCGAATACTCGCCTTCCTGTTTGACAGCAGACTTTTTCGCAGCTGGCGATGTGAACCTGAGAAATAACCTCCGCGAAGCACGGTAGAATAGATCTATTATCGAAGTAGCTGTTCGAAGTCAATTAGAGATCCTTATTAAAGACCACGTAGACTCACGTAAAGCAAGGGTCAGTATCCTGATGAAAGCCTCCAATCCAACAAAAAGAAAAGACCCTACCAGGGCAACATATTCGGCGCTGATAGTCATCAGTGTATGTTCAGTTTCTTGAGTAGACATGCTGTTGAGCAAACAATGTCATAGTACTCACATATTCAACCGACCAAGAAAAGGTATGGGAGCCATAACGTTGACGTAAGTCTAACAACCTAATCGCTAGCAAACGCGCCGTCCGACAATTGAAAAACTTGCGGGAACGCTCCTTTAGAGGTGTCCACCTGGCTTATAAACAAAAAAGCAAGAATCAAGATGATATGAAAGAAAATTGAATAGCGTTTTGTTGTAGCAAATGGCGAGTATGTACAAAACTCTTGCTGGAGTGAAGTAAGAACTATGAGTTCAGAGACTGGTGGATTGAGATTAAGAACTTCTAATTTTCGCTATACAGCCGTTAGTGTTCGCCTTAGAAATAGGATTGATAAGTGTGTTGCGCTGCCGGATTGGACCAGATGAACTTTATCTTACCTACATCCCAGAGTCCCGGTGATGTCACATGCGTGGTGTTGCGACCGATTGAGCCCTTAATGAAGGGAAGTAGTAGCGATGGAGGACTTTGCAATGTCGGCAATCGCTGGCTATATGTGTAACATGTTCGACCTTCTCTTGACCGCAAGAAATTCCTCAATCCTCCGTTCCATTAATTGTATGCGCCAACGGTTTGCATGTGAAGAATGGCAGGGGAAGCTCAAGATGCACCTGCATTTCGGAACGGAACAACCTTTCCCGTCTACCAGGATCAAAGCAATTCGATACTGACACCATGCGCGAGCTTCAGATGGAAAGCGACAAATATTTTTAGACTCCAAAGTGTTGATTCCAGCGCAGGTTCTCCTCTAGCATCGAGTCAAGCATCTACATATACTGAGTCTAAGACTATTGCGGCGGCCATTTTCGAAGCAGAGCTCTGTAAATCAATACATATCCCAGGCTTTTACACAGCATTCAACACCTACAGGATTCGAAATCGCCGAACGACTCCAATAACAGCTCGAGCCCCGCCAATTCTATTCAGCCACCACGGCACTGTTTTACGAAATCTTCCAGACGTCAACCAATATCTGGAGGATAGAATTGACGTAGAGCTACAGCGACAAATCGCTGAAATGCCGAGTTCGTGCAAAGACATCCGTTAGTATCCAATTAACCCATTCTACTCGACAACCACCTGACCCGCAATCTAGGAGAAGCGCTCGCGCAATGTCTTCAAGAATCAGAATGCGTAATGATCTACCGAAACAAACCCTCCGACTGTCTCCGCCCTCCACTCATTGACACCATGCCCACGAAATGTCAGCAACTCAAGAAAGGATATGGCGAGTGCAAGCGCGGGATGGTAGATATGCGCAAACGGTTTCGCGGAAACCAGCCGATTGCTGTGAGTAAGGAATTGGAGGGAGGAAGTATGCAGTCGCCTGGACATCAATTGTATGCTGGAAAACCGGCGTTTGCGACTACGGCCAAGGAGACGGCTGGACATGAACCGATAGAAAGGGATTGGAGGGAAGTAGAGAATGAGAGGTTTAGGAATGAAGAGGGGAGGTCATGAATGGGTTAAGAGTGGCAGGTAGTTTGGGGCAGTATGTTGTACGATGAACGACTGTATTACAGCTTGAAGGCATAAGTGGCGTTACTGTGAGGAATAGCATTGGGCGGTGTTACAACATGTTTGGTATCAATGAATCCACTTCCACAATTTTAGCGGAACGACTTAACAATAAGATGTTCCATCTTCAAAGACCGTCGATATTATCGTAATAGGTCCTCCAGAACACGTGGGCTCACGTTTGGCTACAAATTTTAACTTGATGAGAGGCGCATTTCTTATTCTCAAGCTACCATAACTTGCTTCGTTTCACATAACTCATGCTTTTCCAGACTCCTTGCCCTATTTCATAACCCTCGTTCGAAGACAGGATAATGAGAAATGACGGATCAGACTCAACGAGACGTCCGCCCATACCATTCCCCCCACTAATGTCTTCCCCACTTTCTCACAACCTTTACTGAGTCTGTCCCAAGTAATCCAGCTTTCCAACAGGAACACCCTCCTTTCTCAAAAGCCCATACGCAGTAACATAATGGAAGAAAAAATTCGGGATCACAAATCGAAGAATGTAGTCCTTGCCCGGCATCGTTCGGCCTGAAAAATCGACTTCCTTCGTAGCAACATCCTCTGGGAACTTTCCATCCAATTTCTCCAAGAACTTGATCGTCTTCTGGATTCGAGCGTGTAATTGAGGGAAGGTAGTCTCATCATCAACCCATGGCTCAGATTCGATGCCACCGGCACGGACGGCGAGGAATTTGCTGGTGTCCGAGAGTCTTTGGATTTGGTAGGTGAGTGGCTTCATATCCTCGATGAGACGGGCGTCGAGGAGTTTCTGGTGGCCATCTTCGCCGACGTGGTTTTCGCCTTTGGTGAGGAGTCTGTCTAAGGTGTTGAGGTGCTGGATGAAGCCTGGGACTGTGGCTTCGTAGAGTGAGACGGACATGATGTTGAAGTGTTGGTGGTGATTTAGTGTGATTTAGTGAGATATCGGATTTGTAGTTGGAGAGTGGAATGAACTTGAGACTGAGAATGCATGAAGGAGGAAATCTACTCAACTTAAGTAACTTAAGTCTTAATTCATCAAAGCCTCGTGGCTTGATCTGCAATAACTGCCGTCCAATCCTGACCGCCCATTCAACTCGCTCCTACCTGATACACTCCGGCGGGGTGAAATTGACCCGCATATGTTATGTGGTACCCACGAAATACATCTGCTGATCAATCAATTGATTTCAAAGAAACTTCCAGAATCGATAATGTTGAGTTTTGAAGTCATGGACGGTGCAATATGAAGCTATTTTGATATATAGAAAGTTACACAGTAGTCAGGAATAACCAGTCAAAAGAGGACATCTATCTACTGGTCGAATATTGTGTGATCTTTTGGAGGGGCATTCTTCAAGCAGGGGTCTAAAGTCCGGGACGATTAATAATCTAGATATTGTATTGATGCCTGAAGTTGTTGAAGAAACAGGGCCGCCAAGAATCTGGGGTAATTATTGACTTTGATGAACCTAAAAATCTTAACACCTTTCAAAACAACAATTTCTGATGTTAAGACTTGTTCCACGAGCTTGACGCGTGGCAAACTACGGAGTACAATTCTTCAATAAAATGACTCTTTAGGTGACTCTATCCTACTCAACGAGACTGATCGCAGGTAGACCAATCAATATGCTTGTTGACACAGCGATACCCACAAGCGGCTTAGAGCGGGGCGTAGTAGAGCAACAGGCAACTATGTACATCAAAACTAAATAAAAAACAGTGAATCTTCATTCTCTGGATACTTTGTCCTCTTTTTATTTCAGTCTCGTACCTGCTTGATCAATCATACATCGCACCAGCATCTCAACCACACAGTACACCCCAATCCTGAGCTCAAACGGCCACGATGGACCGAACAACAAAAATCAAGACCCGGTTCGCGCTCTTGAAAGAGAACGCCAAAGCCAATGAATTGGTCAAATGTACAGAAGGAGGCGACAATGTCAACGCAGACGGCCTTCCCACCATGCAAAAGATCTTCTACAGTTCTCTACCTGTAGAAATCCCAGATGATTTCCTCTTACCCCTTCAAGACCCGGCCACCATCAAAGTCAATCAAATAAACTGGTCCAAAACCACGCTCCCAGAATACAAAGGCTGCTACGCCGTTATCCTAGACAACGTCATCAACGAAGCAGAATGCAACCAACTCCTCCACATGGCCGAGTGTTCAGCCGGCGGTCATCTCGGTGACGAAAGCGTTCCAGATCACGGATGGCGTCCTGCGATGGTGAACGCAGGTCGCAACTATGAGTTCCTAGACATGAGATACCGGAATTCCGATCGCATTATCTGGGATAACCAAGATGTCATGCAACGCATCTGGAAACGGGTTCTTCAGGGCAAAGGAATGAAAGAATATTTCAGTGTCCTGGAAGGGAAGAAATATAAAGAGGTCCTGGGTATGAAATCAGACAAATGGGGCGATCGGTGGTTGATCTCGGCAAATGGTCCTAATGAGCGATTGAGGTTTCTGAAATACGGGCCAGGACAGTTTTTTAAACGTACGTCTCCCCTCTTCCCACATCTTATATACATATACTAACAACACCAGCCCACTGCGATGGCAAGTACACCACACCCGACGGCAAAGAAACGTCTTTTTACACCATGCATCTCTATCTCAACGACTCCGCGCAGGCCCTAGATGGGCTCGTCGATATGAATATCGACGGCGGAGAAGAGGAAATGCTTCAGGGCGGCGCGACGACGTTTCATGGGACTAGATATCAGGAGGCCAGGCTTGATGCGGATCCGAAGATTGGACGGGTTTTGATCTTCCAGCAAAGGAGGTTACTGCATTCAGGGGACGAGGTGGTCAAGGGGACGAAGTATACGATGAGGAGTGATTTGATGTATTCGCTTGATGAGAGCGACAGGGGGGATGAGGATGGGATTGTTTTCGGGGAGTAGATGTGCAGATCGTGCGGTTTATGGACATGGTTATGAAAGCGTGTTTGGGTATATGTAAGTTTTGCGTGGGGGTACTCTAGGTTAAGTAAATTGTAAATTCAGTCTTTTCCATTGGACCCTAACTTTGCACAATTTGAGTGTGCAAATCGAACATAAATCCATGTCAAAGGGTTACTTCAACCCGATATGCTCAAGGATCCTCACTTACAATACAACTTTCTAACATGGGTTCTCTCAACTGTGGTCCAATGACTACAACGACTCCAGTTTTCTCTCGCTGTCATGGCTACAATCTCCATATTTTACCAGTTTTCGTCTTAATACCCAAATGATACTCTTATTCAACCTCCGAAGCCTCCTCTATCCTGTGTGATTTTCACCGAAATACAGACGAATTGCACATTTGCACTTCTATTCTTGAGTAAATAACTTGTGATCTCATATTATATCTGCTATGCTCGATATATACTATTTCCCGGGGGTTGAAACGAAAACACTCGACATCTACTTCAGTATACTGAACAAACTCACTTGACATAAATACTTGTACTCAACTTAGTGTAGTTTAATAGAATACAAGTTTATCCTAATTAAAATCGTTTCTGTTACAAATAACCTTAACAACTACTTTAGCATCGATCTATATAGTATCAATTAAGAAGACGGGAGAGTTATGGGTAATTAAACACTATTTATTCACAGAAGTATACCCTACCATGCCTTAAAATACTGTTACTAACAGTTATTCAAATACTCTGGTGATTAACAAAGACTTCATTTGGTGTATCTTGCAGTCGCAAAGTTCGGTTGCAAAACTCGGATCCCTTCAAATTATGATGAGCGACTTCTGACATGTGTAAATTTATATTTTTTAAGGAGTCTTTCAATCCACTGGCATTCCCAGATTCTCTGTTTTTGCTCAAATAATCTCATTTTAATCATCTAAACCCATGACTCGTCACCACACGTTCATCTTGTTGTATCCCTATAACTTAATTCATAAAACAACATCTTCCAAACTTCTATTCTGCATGGTTTTGTTGGGTATCAAGCATCGAGTAATCTCATTTACGGTTATCAAGGACATGACAGGGGAATATGAACTTTATTTGTAAAGAGGAAGTTAGAAATGACCAACGCTCAACCTTTACTCATGTAAAATGTCTTAATCTACATTGGCACTGCGGGAAATGAGTTGAGTTGATTAAGGTGTCTTGGTGAAATCTGAAGCATACTATATTCAAGTTACTCAAGAGAAGTTCATGTAACTTGTGAATGTTATGGAACTATGTTCCAGGGTTCTCAGACATCAAGCTATTATTTCGGACAATTTATACCAGAGAATTATCTCATGTATCTCTCTTTAACAGAAGACGTTATTTCAACTGACATGTTTTAAGAAACTATTTATTTGCTACTTTTTGTCGAGGACTAACCAGATTATGAATACGATCTTAGCCATAGAAAATAAAGCACGTTTCCGCGCTACAAAGATGGCAATAATCGACAATGGGATATTTAATATTTTGCCCAGCACAAGAGATCATAGTTTGTCATACTAACGGAAGCGCCAGCTGATGCCCAACTTTATGCCTCCTACTTATTACAGGAACTACAAAGATTTATGGGTGCAATTAAGGGAATATCGGTCTTTTGTACGTGATGAAAAAAAAACATTGGTTTTGACGTCTGAGTCGTACGAAATACATTTGGCCAATCTGGTATGTACTCTGGGTCCTTGGTGCGAGCTTTGCGTGGCCAAAATCGCAGAAGGCATGCCTCTGCTCAATTCTGCGAGAGTTGCAAAGGCATTTTAAAACTTCCGCTTACAGGTTTTCAGATCATACACCATCTTCAACCGTCATAGCTAAGTTTCGGACTATTTCTTTGCATAAGGCCATCGAGTGGGCGATATCTTGCAAAGTTGACATAATCCTTATGAGCTTTGCAATTCTGGATGCGACGAAATCTTTCCGAAAAGCATGTGCGAATGCTGCTGATGATGGTATCTTCATCATCTGTAGTATGCAAGATCAAGGGTCTAACATCAAAAATGACTGGCCTGCAGACATCAACAATACGATCGTGCTCAACGCCTGTGATAAATATAGGGAACTGCTTCGGGCTATAAATCAGCGTGTTTATTACTAGGCTTGACGTATCAGTAGGTCTACTTACTTCTTAGAATCTGAGGTATAATAGGAAACTCTACTTCGGTCATAGGTGCTGGGCTAAGCTCCTTGATTCTAACATACAACAGGCTAAGTCACCCCAGAGACGATACGATAGTCGTTCTGACAGGGTCAATATCGTTAAGGGTCATTTAGAGACCATGAAACCAGATCCGATGCTGAGGACGACCTACATGTTGTTAAATTAATTCGCTGGCAGGGATCGGAAAACCAGGGAAGGTGAAGATGTTAATGTTGGTGAGATTCTGGATACAGTCTTCAAACGTGTGCCATGCATCTAACGAGAAGGCGCGCAACAGTTTACAAAGTTAGAAGCTCCCTCAAAGCGCTCAAAGGAAGCAAAGTTAAACATATGCTGAATCGTCAAAGGAATTAAATCGTACGGTTCTCATGTTTATTAGTTTATTTTCAGCAGTGACCGAACCTAACACTATACAATCAAGGATAGATTCATTGCAACGTCATTATGATGACCGTACTCTCGTACACGATACGCCATAAAACTAACTAATCCCGATGCGATTTTTGAATAAGATTTCGATATTCTCCAACTTTGAATTTGTCCTCCTAGTACCTGCCCTCGCAAAGGACAAAATAAGCGTCAGTTACCTATCCACTAATCTTAGACTAAATAGGTCGACTTCGAATAGAGCTTAATAAGAAGTCATATTTACTTAAAACAATTTACAGAATGTGCAATATTGTTCTAATCTAATCTACTAAATATACGATGTTTCGTCAACTTAATCGAAAATCTATCGTGATTCGACTACTACTTATTCTGCCCCTGAATTAAGCGAGTCTACCATTTTCATTGCAACCCTGCCATCTTTCACTATGTTAATAGATTATATGTTGGAAAAGTGTAGCGTAACTGCTAGATTTTTGAAGTTAGCAAGCATATATGCATATATATTTATATCAACACATTCAATGATTTTAGGATACAATAATCGAGTAAGTACTGAAGGAGATGCATCACGTGTTTAATCCCACTCATCCCATACCCAAAAATACCTCTCCTTTTTAACCCCCCAAGTCTCAAAAGCCCAGAACACTCTATGTCTCAACTCACCGTCTCAATGCACCTCCCATTCCAATTCCAATTAATTAATCTCCAGCGCTCCTACCTTCTCTCTTTCTCTCAAAGCTAGAAACCCGGCAAATGAATCCAAGCGCGTAAATGTCTTGGTATGTGCCATGGCGGGGTCAAAACAAGACCTGACAATGCAATAAGGTTATCGTGATCTCTTATCAGGTTATCGATACCGGATGTCGATCAGCAAATGTGTGGAGGCGGGCACTTGACGCCACGATCACATTGCGCACGCACACAAGTTGAGGACCCTGCGTGCATGTCTCTGCGGACAGCGAGGCGGCATGATGATGTTAGTGGAGGGGGTTTTCAGGTTAGAGGGAATTGAAGTATGAGGGACATGATTCATGATGGATTGAGAGATGATTGAGAGTTGGTTGTTTCTCAATTGATTATCTTGGTTTGAGGGGGAGATGGAGGATGATTAGAGTGAGGGTGGGATGATGAGACATGGTTGCATGTGAAAATGGGTCGTGCGACGGGTTTGCGACATCCATCTCTGTGGAGGTGGTGGAGCAGGTGACCTTTTGGATGCTCATGATCGAGTATCTTGACTTGCTTATCGATAGCAATGTCTTGATTTCGAACGACAGATGATCCATATACGAGGGAATTGTTTTTGGAAGGTGTGCGGTAGGAGATTTTGGTCCGATTGAGTTGTAGAAAGGTAATGCTGGTGGTCAATTGATGAGATTACAGTACCTTGAAGTACGAAAGGTATGCTGCCTCGCTGTGTAGACTGGGAAGCGAAAGCGAGTGAGAAAGAAGGCGAAAAGGACGTAAGCCTGTGGCCATACCCAGGACAGGTTGTAATACGTTACACGTCAAAAGGCAATACGCATCCTTGGGGTGAGCTAGAAATTGAACATGTCGCCGATTCGGGAAGTTACTTTCAGTTTGTGGTCCATGTATGCAAGCATCGGATTCCAGATTCCCCCGTCCGAACCCCGGAGGAGCAAAGCAAAGCAGAGTCGAAGACATGTAGCACACCCGTCGGGCATTACAGAGAAGCGTCTTATAGCATACCATTGCATTTTGTGCTCTGGTGTTGCTGATGCTACGTAATCTCGTCTTTTGCTGAAGAAAGATGACGTTGAATCGCAGTCATCTTCGTGGATGTTCGCTGTTGGATCTGCTATTCGAGTGAGACACGTGGTCACGATGAAGTCGTGAAGTCGTGAGGTTGCCGACGCAAGATTGATCCTACCAATATGCCCATAATAGTCGACAGGTATTGAGGGCTACACGTAGTCCCGAAGTGGCAATGAATCGTTCAATCGGCTCCCGCGAAAGCCTCAATATTGGGTGGGTGGAAGACTGCAGCTGCGGGCGCGGGTCGTTGAATGCAGCGCAACATCGATCATGTCTGGCATTGGTTTGCGATTGATGTGGGCGATGATGGGCTATTCTTGTGTTGTTCATCTAAAGCAAGCAAATTGGCAAATTGAAAGGCAATTGCTTAATGCGTTCCTGCTTGGAGCAAACAACAACTCAGCTCGGCCTGCTACTCTGCGACTCCTGTACGCACATTCTCGTTGCATAGAAAGGCTTCCTGGCTGGGTGGGATTGGTTGGTCAATTGACATATCAACCAATGGCTTCTCATGCCCGCGCTGTCGACCCAATTGGGTTATTAGGAGTGTGTTTGAAGCGTAAAGAGGGGTGAAGAGGGGTGGATGGGTGGGCAGTTGGGCAAGGGGGATAGAGAAGGGTCCAAAAGGGTCCATTGACTGAAACGAGGGTCCAATTGATTGTTGTTGACAGAAGAATCGAATTGATGAGCTGTTTTCCTGTCGAAAAGCGACATCTTGACGTGGGGAGATGTCGCTGAAGTGCAATTGACGATGATCGTGTGTGGTGCGTGTGGTTGTTCATCTGACGCTCCAGCCCAAGCCATCACCTGCTAAAGCCGAAACTCCGACTCCATGTTTCGACCGGGGCCCAGGCGCCAAAATTTCAGCCTTAGACGGGCCTTTTGAGCCTGACGCTTGACCCGAAGCAGCTCTAGCGTGGTAACTATTTTCTGAAGCAAATATTCTCTCTTGTTGTGAGTCATTTTTCTTGATTTGCCATCGAGTCGGTCAACGCGGTTCATCAGAATACGCATGAATTGGCCATTTCTTACCAATCATTCACGAACCTTACGACAGCTCAACTGCTTTGCCCAGCCTTTGCCCTCCTTGTTGCTTTGCGGGCCCTCAATGGGTGGTGTCGCGGGGCGCTGAGTTGGTTTGATTGGGCAATTGGTTCAGCTCATTCTCGCAGCTTCCAGCATTCCTGTGCCTCAAGCCCTCCTTAGGTGGGAGGACAGACCCTCTGGTGCCTCATCGAATTGCCTGGATTGCCTTGGATTATGGTGCCAACTGTCCGGAGAGAGTGCTGACGGACACAGGAGCTCTTCTCCAGATTCTGTGCCAGAGAAGCATCAGCACAGCCGCCCTGACGACTGGGCCAGTTTACTCGGATTCCCCCACCGGCAGCCATTGTGGTACCTTTGGAACAAACTACGGCATACGCAAGACGCACCATCGCTATACAGCACTACAGCACCACAGCACCTATCCCCCCTTTGCTTTGTTTCTGTCGCTTCGCGTCGGCTTCCAGGAAATTCACGACTCCATCCTTCTCACGTCTGCCCCCTCCTCAGTGCGGACGGGAGCCGCCGCACCAACAATGAGGACTGGCTGCACTGGATTCACAGGATATTCTGATATTAACCGCTGCCTAACATGCTCTCACGGCCCAACTGCCCACCACCATCTGCCATTGGTCAATGGCCACGAGAAGGGACCCACACTCCAAACCGTCGTCATGTCAGAGGAGAGGACGGCGGGCGAGACATCACCCTCACCGCAGGCCATCCGGTCAGAGTCGTCACCCCCATACAAATCCAAGGCAGCCAAACACAGGAGGCGACAGATTGGTGCGGAGTGCCAGACGAATGCTCTCTTGGGACGCCGATGGAGAGAACTGGCCAAAGTGAACCATTGAAGATGCGAGTCAATAGACTGTCGGTAAGTACTTCTGCAGTATTTCGTACGACTAGGTAAAGCAGGTAGGCAAGGCAGGTAGGCAAGAACAAAGTAGGCAATCAAAGCCACACAAGCAGTCCTGCGTCGGACAGTACAGTAGGTTGATCGAAAGGCACGCTTGGGAGGCACTTGCTGGGCACGCACGCGCTCTCCACACTCCACAGGTTGGTGCACTGCTGGTGGGACAAACATCTCGTTGCATTTACTGCCTATTGTGGACAAACGCGCTTGTTTCTACTTTATTATTCTCAGACCGACTACTTGATTCGCATCCAGGTCATACGGCGGCTTATATCACGAGGGAGTCATAGCCCACCCCTCCACCACTCATTCACACCAGGTACCCAGTCACACACGTTTATTGCCTAGCCCGACTGTTGCAACCTTCTCCCTTTCTTCGTTCAACTACATTTACTACATATTCCCTCCCACTCTCATACTCTTCTTATTTCTTGCTTTTCGTCGCTGCTCGTTACCTTCACCAAAGCATCGGTCGGCTACATTTGACGAGGCTCCGCCACTATTTCAATCCGGCCCCGAAGCAAGACAATCGCAGCCGCACGCATGAACTGAAATCCGACAACAACAAAGAACCGGATCTGACAACTCAGCTGACCAACCTTACGACTGCCTCTTCTACTTCATCTTCTCCGCGCGTCACATCTCGACACATCTCCCAAAATCCGAATCTCTCTTCATTCGAGAGACAACGAACGGACTTAAGAGGACTACAAGTCCGCATTACGCTCTTGCCACACACGGCCATATCTGGAGGAGGCGCAAACAAACGAGAATAATGGATGACAAAACACGCAACACTCTGCAGCCTTCTGCTACCTTCGATGACTCTTCTTCCAATTCGAACTTCGCACATCAATTGACTACTTCAACAGCATCCCCCACTCAGTCCCGCAGTTTCGCTCCATCCTCAATCAACTCAATCGTGTCTGGAATGGATCAATCGACAACAATGGAACGAAAGAATCCAATGGCTGTCCAAGCCAGTCTGATGTCGCCACCTGAGGCGCTCCCTCGAGAGAGCTTCTCACGACCATCAACTGCAGAATCAAAGCAGAAGTCCTCATTTCCCTCCTCGCATGGCAGATTCAATCCCCCTCTCTCACCTCCAGTTTCGCCAGAATCGACTGCCAGCTCTCCCGACTCTCCAGCAAGTGTCACACGCGATCCAATCCTCTTTCCAACCCCCGACACCGCCAGCGTACAATCATCTCAACCTCCTCTCTTCTTTGAACCGGACCATCAGCGGTTGGTTGCTGAGCATGTCAGGGCCAGGGATTCAAGTGTCTTCAGAGAGGCTTCTCCGCCTCGCCCAATTGATTATCAGTTGGCTTTAGAATTCAAATCGCAGATTGCAAAGGGCTACAACGCGAATCGAAAAGTTTGGCACATGAGGGAGCTGGCTCAATTAAAGGAAGACGATGCACTTCGACAAGGGGGCAGAAGATACACACCCATCGCCCCCGCGTTCCACGGCCCTCGCAAATCTGGAGGAAGAGGTACTGGTACGCGTGTCAATGGGAATGGAAGCGTTGTCAAGCCACATGTCAGAGCACCCAAGCCGCCTCGCGATCGCCAATCCACTCCAGATGGTGGAGCGAAGAGAGTGGCTCGCGAAGACAAGGACTTCAATTCCCTTCCCGACTATGCTCCACCACTCAGCAGTCTTCCCAATAAACCAAATTCACTCAAGGTTGACTGGAAGGGCGCTCCAATCGATCTCAAGTCCGACCCCCATGTACATCTTCTACACCCTGATGAAGTTGCTCTTGCCGCAAACCTTCGCCTCGACTGTGCCACGTACCTTACCTCAAAGCGACGGATATTCATCAAGCGAATCGAAGCATTTAGGATCAACAAGGAATTTCGAAAGACCGATGCTCAACAAGCTTGCAAGATTGATGTGAACAAAGCTAGTAAGCTTTGGGCGGCATTTGACAAGGTCGGATGGCTTCATCAGCATTGGATCGAGAAATACGCTTAATATGTTGATTATCTTGTCGGGTACTTGCCACTATGCGTTGTCGCTCTACGCTATCCTTCACATACCCTGACTTGTATTTACTGTCGTGTCGACACAATTGGACAACAACCACAGGATTGGTACATTACAGCATTAAGGATACACGCATCGAATCATTTCAACCTGAATCTGGACCTCAACATCTCATTTGTTATGGCCTGGATTTGGATAGCGCGGGGGTGAACGGATTTATTTCATGATATTTACGACCTAGGGAGGATCATTTCACATTGTTGTTTTTGCATTTGCATTGGGCTATGCTGATACCCAGAGCCCGCCCAGCTCCACTTTCACGTCACCATGTTGCACGATGTTCTTAGCACAGGGACACATTTATTTTGTTTCTAGGATTAGTAATTTGGTTTATGCATTACGGACCCCAGCGGGCGTTTTTGATTATTACACAACTCCCATCCAGTGGCATCTGGCTCGGGATAGGATGGGATGGAATATTGCACACATGTGCCAGAGATTGCATTGGGATACATCCAGTCGTGTCTATCACGTGGATCGGGGGATACTGGCTGGATGTAGGGAATATCATGGTAGCATAGATGGTTTCTTGGTTTGCTTATATGGAATTCACACATACAGTCAGCGAAGAAATTCAAATACTCATAAGTGCACAGTTAGTGCTATGCCCTCTAAGCTTTTTTACTCATGTGATTCCGGGTTTCTGTGTCATTTCTGTTAGCTTACCCTTTTTAATATATGATAATAACCCATTAATCTAATATCAGCATAACGTTGTACGCCACTTCAGCCTACCTAAGTTAACAACACTGCCCCAATCGCCGTGGACAAACCAAAATGGTAGTAACGAAACAGTATTTATTCAATTTAAGTTGGCAAGATATCGTATCACGATCATTGTTTTCAGTAACCCAGACCCTTTTAACATTGTTGAAAACGAGGCCTGTTCTCCCACTTCACTTTAAGCTCAGCTTCTAGTTTACAATAATACCCTGGATTTGCTGAAAACAATTTCTTGGATTAAACTATCCATTTTCGTAGCAGTATACATGATACCTAGGTCCTACCACTTTTAATCACCTAAACATATATCCAAAAACCAAAACAGACCCCCCCCTTCATTTCATTAACGTCGTCGGACTTAGGATGCCCTGACCCTGTAGAGATCACTCAAGGCCCGTGCTTCATCTCAACGTGACACGAGCGATAACGAGATAAGCTTAAGCTCATCCTTACGAGGTATTTTCCTCTTGCTCTCTCCAAGCACCAGAGCCTCATCTTCTCCTACCTAGAAAGCCTCGGATCGTTAGTCCCTCGCTTCTCCCCCGCGCCAAAAATTTTGCATCTCCAACCCGCGCCTCGTCCCGTTCCGTTCATACCTCTGTCTAGAGACTTTACCCCGCGACTCCAACCCCGCGTCCGTCGCAAAGACGAAATAGTCATGATGGCGACGGGCATCTCGCAGGCCCTCAAAGAAGGTCTAACCAACAATAGCACTGCTAGTGTGGAGACGCAGGATGTGCCAAAGAAAGAGAAACTGGTGCTGAGAAATCGCGCGGGCGAGAGTAGGAGTCCGTATGTGCAGGGCCATAAGAATAATCCGGTTGCGTGGCAGCTCTGGGGCGAGGAGGCTGTGGAGTTGGCGAGGAGGGAGAATAGGTTGTTGTTTTTGAGTGTGGGGTATAGTGCTTGTCATTGTGAGTTCTTTTTTTCTTTGGTTTGTGCTTTTTGGGGGGGAGAAGAGGGGTGGATGAGGTGGAGGAGATGGTGGGATATCAATTGGTATATTGGAGATTTTGGACGGGCATTGTGTTTGGGGAAGAGGTTGATTTGAACTGAAATAATGCTAACATAATTAGGGTGTCATGTCATGGAGCGGGAATCTTTCGAAAATGACGAAGTCGCTGCGATACTCAACGAGGAATTTATACCGATTAAAATCGATAGAGAAGAACGACCTGACATCGATCGAATATACATGAATTTTGTTCAAGCGACAACAGGATCTGGAGGTTGGCCATTAAATGTTTTCGTCACTCCGGACCTTCAGCCTGTATTTGGTGGCACTTATTGGCCGGGACCATCGAACAGTCTAACAACCTCATTTGAGGATCAGGTCAATTTCTTAGGGATCCTAGACAAACTTTCGACCGTCTGGAAAGAGCAGGAAGATCGTTGTCGGCAGGACTCTTCACAAATTTTACAGCAACTTAAAGATTTCGCGCAAGAGGGTACATTTGGTGATAGATTAGGCGAAGGTGGTGATACTCTGGATATAGAACTGTTAGAGGAGGCATATCAACATTTCATCTCGACATACGATAGTCAAAATGGAGGATTTGGTTCGGCGCCAAAATTTCCTACGCCAGTTAAACTATCATTTCTGCTTCGGCTAGGCCAATATCCACAGGTTGTGCTCGACGTTGTTGGGGACGCAGAATGTCGGAATGCAGAAAGTATGGCCATCACGACATTACGAAAAATGGCAAGAGGCGGAATTCATGATCATGTTGGACATGGATTTTCAAGATACTCGGTGACTACGGACTGGTCCTTGCCACATTTCGAAAAGATGCTGTATGATAATGCACAGCTTCTTCATATTTACCTAGACGCCTTTTTACTTTCACGCGATCCGGAGTTACTGGGTGTTGTTTATGATATCGGCACTTATCTCACAAAGACACTTGCACGCCCGGAAGGAGGGTTTTACTCAAGTGAAGACGCGGACAGTTATTACAAGAAAGGAGATTCTGAGAAACGGGAAGGTGCGTTTTACGTTTGGACGAAACGAGAATTTGAGAATATCCTCGGAAAAGAAGCGGAGCCAATCCTGTCAGCATTTTTCAATGTCAGCAGTCATGGAAATGTATCTGCGGAAAATGACGCTCATGATGAGTTCATCAATCAGAATGTGCTTGCAATTGCGAGTACGCCGAGCACGCTCGCTAGCACTTTTGGGATGAAAGAAGACGAAGTTGTCAAGATTATCAAAGACGGCAAAGCAGCATTACTAGCGCATAGAGAAAAAGAGCGTGTACGACCTGGATTAGACGATAAGGTGATTGTAAGCTGGAATGGCATTGCCATTGGAGCTCTAGCACGAACAGCCGCTGTCATCAAAGGATTTGATCCCGAGAAGTCGGAAGAATATATTGCGTCAGCACTCAAAGCAGCAACTTTCATTAAAGAGAAGTTATACGACGAGGAGGCTAGGATCTTATACCGGATATGGAGGGAAGGTAGAGGAGACACGCAAGGTTTTGCAGACGACTACGCTTTCTTAATCGAGGGCCTCATCGATCTATATGAATCCACTTTTGATGAATCTTGGCTCCACTGGGCTGATGATTTACAACGTACTTTCCCCTTTCCCATTAATTTGGACCTAGCTAACACCACTTAGAAACCCAACTTACACACTTCTACGATACCACCGGCACTGGCGGATTCTTCTCCACCTCCGCTAGCGCCCCTCACCTCATACTTCGACTCAAAGACGGAATGGACTCTTCGGAACCTTCTACAAATGGTACCTCCGCTTCAAACCTCTTCCGTCTTTCCTCCCTCCTTAACGACGACTCCTACGCTAGTAAAGCAAAAGAAACAATTCGGAGTTTTGAATCTGAGATGCTGCAATACCCATGGCTGTTCTCAAGTTTCATGCCTGCGCTTGTGGCGGGGCAGCTTGGTGTTAAGGGTGTGGTTGTTGGAGGGGCTGGAGAGGTGGGGGCGGAGCGGATTAGGAGTTTTGAGAGGATGCCTAGAGGGGGTGTCATGACTTTCGCGAGGGTGAGCGGGGAGGGGGGCTGGTTGAGGGAGCGGAATGAGCTATTGAGATCTTTCGGAACGGATGGGAGGGGTAGGGTGTTGGTTTGTGAGGAGGGTGTTTGTAGGGAGGAGGGGGTTGTTGAGGTTGAGACGGAAGGTGGTAAGGCGGGGGATGTAAGCGGTGTTGTACCGAGTGTTGAAGAGGGTGGTGTCTCCGTGAAGGAAGAGGATAGTGTTGTGGCGGGTAGTACGGATACGACTGTCAAGTCGTAGAGTTAGCGTTTGTCATTTTCTGGCGTATGTGGTTTCAAGGTTCTGGTTTGGTAGATAAGATGGCAAGGGCTGGATTGGAGTGGATATTGTGGTTAGATTTAACACGAATTATGAGCAGTGCTTTTGTGGCTTAGTTTTGAAGTTGATTTAATTAGCTTGTAAGCTATTTGAGGTGAGTGGAATGGACAGGATCTTCAGATGGGCAGGCTGGTTGAAATGGCATATTCTACAAAATATGTTTCTCTGATGTAAGAAATAACTGATTGATATACCAAATCCCTGGAAGTCCTAGTTCCCTGTATTTACAAGCTGTTCATGTGTAACCAGAGTGAATATGAGTTTCGTTGAATTTCACTAAGGTATATTACTCATCTCAACTGGTTTCATGTAGTGCTTAGTACTTTAAACCGTTTACTAAGTTAAGATACTCGCGGTAGACAAAATACGTGGCACTTAAATCACGGTATTTCTTCGATTAAGTTGATGAAAATCGAATATTTAGTGGATTAGACTAGAACGAGATGACATATTCCGTCAATTATCTAAGTAAATACGACTTCTTATTCCGCTCTATCTAAAGTAGACCTACTTAGTTTAAGATCAGTAGATAGATAGGTGACTAACACTTATTTTGTCCTCCGCGAGGATATTACTTTTGAGTTACCTGCTCAAATTAAATGTTTATTTTGGTATTAAGTAAATATGGATGATTTTCAAGAATAGCGTGGGTTGTTTATACCTATTATCTTATAACGACTTGGCAATCTTCTTCGAATCTGACGCTAGAGGACGTATGGCCGATACATTTTGCAGTAATTCGTTAGTTTTATCCTCGTGACTAGGGAAGTCTTAGAGTGCTTGGATTCTAAATTTTTAAACTGTGGTGGTACTGCAGCTTTGTAGATTCCTATGACTTGGATTTTTAATTGTCTCTAAAGTTAGATTAAAAGACTTGTGAGCGTATTGAGCATGGCTATTAATAAACTTCTGAATATTCTTTAACCAGTAGACCTTAGAGAGTAAGGTTTCCAGTCCGTCAATTGGTCTATAGAGGAAGAGTCTCGTTGAAGACACTTGTACTAGAGTCGAGCTACCCTTGGAATTGTCTTGATTTTGAATTTATACTTTCAGTTTTAATGTTTGGCAATTTAGTAGAAGAAAGCCAGTTTAATGATCAATGAGTGAAGGGTTATAATATTTCTTCTACTGCACAATTTTGAAGTTAAGTACTTATTCTCTATACTAAACTCAGATGGAATTTTATCTTTGGGTTATGTAAGATCAAAATTGGGTGGCTATTTAGCTGAGTACTGTTGGCTTGATTTTCCTACTACATATTTTACTTTTCGGATATTACTCCACGTGGCGAGATTTCTGTCTATCTTGTGAGCACTGGGTCGTAAAAGTTTAAACAGCAAAGGTCGAGGTGTAGATCTTTACCTTTACTAGATTTAACCTATGGAAGAGTGTTAGGACTCTTCGCCACCCTAGTATTTAAAGCTATATGACTTATATGGGTTCTAACCACTAGCTTCCAAGCCCTGCTTCACTCCCTGTCTAATAATGTATGTCAACAGTTCGAGTGAAGTGCACGTCCAAAATACCTTCTCTATAGCGCACCATGCTTGCGTTTTTCTAGGGGCAGCATTCAAAGAAAAAAGACAAATGCTCGTCAATAACATCAGACACGCCTCAACCTCGACTCCGGAAATCATCCCAACAATCAAAAAGAAAGTAACCGCGAGACCAAAAATAGATCCCACTGTATACCAGTACAAGCAATTACCCCAGAAAGGTGCTGTTTCCTTCTTCAACTCCTTCTTAGTTTCAGCATCCATCACCAAAGCATCGTTTTCCTTCCTTTCAATTCCGTCAGATGTACTTTTTTCGACGTTTTCAGATTTCGATTCATGTAAAGAATCTGCCCACTTCCGCTCAATGTAATCAATCGGTGCTATTCCAAATATCGTCCTTCCTCGAAGCGGAGACAAGAAGTCTCGTCCGTCTGGGTAAATCGATACCTGGAGCGGGTTGATAAAGTTCCACACCTTGACGAAACTTAAAACTAGTACGGTAGAAACTAGATGAGTATAGGCCTAAAACGTGGTTTAACGTTAGTATACGCCACAATTACGTTCAGGATGTTCTTCTTACCTCTTTAGTGATTGGTCCTGAATGATTAATGGGAAAAAACACCGATAGAAACATTAAAAATGCAAAAGTTGTCCACATTAATATCAAGACCGCCAACGTTCGATATTTTTCTACTAAAAAAAATAAGTATAGGGGAACTAATATGAATATTGTACAACGAAACTTACCTAACCAAGGGTTAAATACAGATAACTTGGACCGCTGCACGATATTGGAACTCGGAATCGAACTTGAATTCATATCTAAGCCCACCGGAATGTTGTTGCTTGTAGAGGAGGCTTGAAATTGTGGATTTCCATCTGAGAACCTATTGGCCCTCTCGGATAACAGCATACTCTTTTCGACACCGGTTTGCTCAGTTAAATAAGAGAGGGGTGGTTGATGCTGACGTGGCTCACTTATGTACCACTCATATTCAAAACGTTCTCGCAATTCTGACAACACCATGCGAAATGGTATGGCATAAGCGATCTGCGAACTTCCACTTCCTGCCACAACATGTCCATAGATGGCTCCATGCACAGGGTCAATTACCCACGAGCCACAGTCGCCCAATATTAGAGGCGTTTGTGAGCGTACCGTCAACACTTGCTGGCTGATAGAACTCCCAGGTAGTATCATGAACGTTGGAGTACGGCAAAGTTTCCCACGAAGTGGTGTCTGTGATTGGTTCAATATCAGAACCTCGGTATCGTTTCGTATACTGACATAATCCAAGGCGGGTTTAGGCCACGAGCGGAGATAGAAGTTCCCAAAAATCTCAATTTGGGAAGGATCAATGTGAATAAGTGAGAAATCAAGTTGGTTTCGTCCAAATATGGTGGCTGTACCAAGATACTGCGAATATACGTCGTCCTTTTTTTGACTTGTCGACAAGGCTTGGAAAATAGGCTCCGATATAGCGCTGGTGCCGTCCTTGTGGCCTATCTCTTTCATCAACTGAGCAGTCTCCGAAATCTCTAATATCGACGTTGTACTTTCAGCTGAGGAGATTGAACGTGCCTCTGCATCATGGCTTTTCATGTCGGGGGTTGTGCTTCCGCGACTGGTTATCTCAGCCATCTCATCCTCGCTCTCTGAGTCACTATGTTGATCTAACTCAAATTCGAAAGCTTCCGAGTCTGACAAATCTGACAGCGGCTCCTCGACATTCTGGTCGGATTCAAACACATGCGCTACAGTGAAGGCGTAGAAGATTTCATTATGCTTTAAAATTCCACCACATCTCGCGTCTCGTGAGGTGAATGACCCGTTACTGCTGTAATGTCGTATACGTATTCGCATCCCAGGTCCTACTTCTGATGGGTTGTAGAAAACCTTATAATCAGTCTTAGATGTAGGATCTTCTTTTGCCCCTTGATTGGCACTGCTAACATGAGGGTAATCCTCGTCACCATCGGCAAGGTGCTGGAATTCTCGAGAACAGCTTCCCGTTTCTACACCAGGATACTTGTCAAGCAGGTCACTGTCATCAACTATCTTCTTGACTGCACTTCGCGCAATCTTGCTCGGTGAGCAAAACATGACCGTTGGCCGCGAAGACTCTCGCGTGTAGCCAATGAGATAGATCGTCCAGGTTACCGGTGCCTCCACCGGATCACTCTTTTCATCGAGGTACGATTTGATCTTGGGAGCCAATGCCTCGAATGTTCTCCTGACTGGTCCTATCGCCTCCCAACAAGATTTACCCCCAAGATTGACACTTCGATATAGGTCTCCTGTTGATTTTTCAGGTTGGAGCCAGCGTTTTTTCCTTGGCTTTTCGTCCGGTGATGCGAAATATTGCCCTAATATGGCTTTTCTCCAGCCCATCTTTTGAGCTTCGACTGAGAGGAAGTGCCAAGGTATCGTCAGTTCATCGAATGTGACAAAAGTCATTGAAGATGCTCATTTATAAAAAATTCTATTTTGTCAAAATATTAGAGTGACGAGAACTCGATTTTGGGGCGCAGCTCTCGAAGAAGAAATTGGGGTCGAATAATGGGCCTAGATTCAATAGCTCAATGAGGCTGAGAACGCCATGCAGGAGATCTAGGCACGTTGGCGAGCAGATTCGCGCCCGACAACAAATCAGGATAGAACCTGTTCAGCACTTGTCTCAGTTTTTCTGCTTTTTTCTAGAGCCTCGATTTCGCACTTGACTGATCAATATGTTGGCAATAGGCTTCGGAACTCTCAAACATGTATTGATGTCTTCTAAGCTCAAATGCCTTCAACGGAAAATTTAAAAGCATCGGTTTTCGACCCAATTATCGATGAAGAGACCAAAGCCTGCATTGTTAACTCGCTTTGGGGTCTAGATTCAGGGTCAAGTCATCACTGCGTTCCGAAAACAGCAAGCAACTATGGATCGTACTTCAACTACTATATGGAGCAATGCGATACCGCCGGCCATGACAATAGAAGATACCTTTCTGTGAGAACTCACCAAGACGTTGTCGATATTGTTAACCATATCAAAACGAATATCAATCGAGATGACTTGAGCCAGGTTCTGAAAGCGAAATGGCCTCATCCAGATCCACGCAGTGCTAGTGCACAAATTGATGGATCTATCGACCTTGCTGCTCGCTTGTTGCTGATGATCGATGTAGGAGATCTGAAGCATGGGTTTCGCAGTGGGAATCGGTTGATATGGGATGGAGGCTCACTGAAGAGTCTGGTGCACTCACACTACAACACAGCTCAGAGTTTGCATACCGAGCATGTCAGACTCGAGAAAATCTTCAATGCTCGGAATCTTGTTCGCATCGGAGGCTTCAAAATCGAGTGGACAAATAACTTGGCGGATCATTTGCGAATCTTGAACGATGACGAGAAAAAAGTGGCAATCTTCTCTAATTTCTCTTTTCTGAAAGTCCAGGAAAATAGGTGAGATACCCTGAGAACTTTCGTCCTCGTACATAAACTAATATGGGTCAGTCCTATGTTTCCCGATGGGCTTATCGACGAGACTCTAAGGACCCTAGCTTTATTGCTTCCTCGCTCAGACGTCGAGACAAGAAAATGGTATCGTAAGGTTTCGAATAAATTCCTTCTCGATCCTCAAGCCACTCAGTGCAACTCGTTGAGACTGATGGACCGACACATCGATCGCTTCCACTTCTGGCGGGACCGAATAGTTGTTTTGAAAGAAATGTTCGATGAAGCAGAACCCAGAACATTGCTACAGTGGTGGTCCGATAGAAGGAATGTTGTTCAGTGGTATACATTCTGGGTTGCTGGTATAGTGTTGGTATTGACATTTGTATTCGGACTGATTCAATGTATTGAGGGAGGTATTCAGGTATATTTTGCATTTCCGAAGAGTCCTGCCTGATGTTTTGTATACCCTTTCCAAGTAGTTGTGTAGATAACCAGTAAAATGATGATAAAATCTTATACTTAGCTTAGATGACAGGGCAAAGTAACGTTCGATCATGCGCTGCTAAATCCTTGATTCTAAGCATCCTTACGGGGAATTTACCTGAGGTTTCCCATATAACGCACAGTAGAACATTCTCTAGCACAGGAAACCACTTCAAACATGTTTCCATCATTACTGCTTGGTTAGGTACACCGAGTCATGCTCCCAGCACCTGACCTGGAATCTCGAGATCAGTAAGGTTGGCCGTCACATAACCTGCCATGTATCTACTGAATATTTCCATGGACTTGCCAATTTGCTGCATCTCGGGACTAGAATCTGGCGTGACGTCCACGAACTTATCGTACCAGTGTTCGTCAAAATGTGAACCAATCAAAGATAACACATGTAACACTATTATTCTGTAGTCAGTTGTATCCATCCTAATAGTATGCTCAAGACAGATAAGCCAGCTGACACAAGACAATATGAGGAACAGAGTAAAAATCAATTTAGTTGAGGGAGTTGATCACTGACGATTGGTTTAGATGATAAGTGGTTTGGGAATTGCCGAATTGAACAAGATCCTACTTAAGACGACGAGATAAGAAGACCATTCGCATAATTTCAAGTAAAGCCACGGCATTTATTCATAGATCAAGGCTTAAACGAGAGTTGACACCTCTGGTTGAGACATCAGAGTACCAAAATTCCGAGTTGTTGCGTGCAGATGTGCATTTTCAAACTCACTTGTCCTCATTCGAGTGGAGAAAACTGCCTTCAGTGAGTTTAGCCATCTAATCACAGCCACCATAAGATCTATCATGTGCCGCCCAGCTACACCCTCCAAGAGCAGCTAGAGCATACCAGTCAGTTGCAAAATTTAGAACATGGAGTTATAGGTCAAATACCTCTACTGCACGTATTATCTGTATAATAGCCAGGCACATAACAATTGTAATCGTCAGCCCAGTCCCATGAGCTACACGACATTATCAGTAATTATTGACAGTAAGGGTAGAGATTCTGACTTACGTATTACCATGGACGTCTTCGCAATTGGTGTAGCAGGTGAACTTGATGTTGTTTGCGGTGCCCGCAAAGCTTCTAACTTTGTGATTCCCATTGCCGTTGTGTTTTGGAAGCCACCACTGGAACAAGTCAGTATTATTATTCTCCTTGGCTCCAGAGTTGAGATCTGTGTTCAAGACTGAAACACCTTGCTGGACAACTCATAATACGAGCTATAAAAAGATGTGAAGACACAGAGAGGTATCTTCGCACAGGTTACTTACACAGTCGACCTCTGTGGACACATGGACAATGTCACAATACTTGGTTCCTCTCTTGATCAAACCCGCAGCCTCGGCATCGAGGTCGCGGACCTTGTGGGCGTTGTTTGAAGTTTTTACGGCAAGGGCTTTGGCAGCAGCCTCAGCTTCAAAGTCGCGAACTGCGTTCAGTGGCGAGCTTATTGCTACGAGAGGAAGAAGTGCAGCGGTGATGATGGAAAAGAACTTCATGGTTGGTGATGAGAATCTAGAGGGCAGTATGTTATAGCTATTTGGAAGCTAATCGATGGTTTTAATGAAGAGAATATAAAGACTGTCACTATCATCCGCTGGGGAGCACATCGTTTATATATTTCTCCCTCTGAAAATTGCGGATAAATTGGTCCCCAAAAGAAAACATGCAATTGTATTTCGTGATTTAAAAGCTTCCACCGGAATGCCATTTGACGGTGCAATATGACTCCGGATTACTTTGTCGTGAAGTGCAGTCTTTAAACCAATATCGAGAAACCCTTTCTCGCGTACACGACAGCGGTTAAATGCAAGAGCAATATTGAACTTTAGCAGGACTGGGCTAGATTGCGAGAAGAGGAGAAGAAGGTGTACTTATTATAAGCAAAAGCAGGTTTGCTTTTAGTCTTGGGTAAGCCTGCATAATCGATACATTCTCAGATATCAAGGCTTTTATCAAGTAAAAGCTTTTGACAAAGTCTTGGGAAACGGTCTTCCAAGTGGTGGCTTTTTCTTCAAACTCAGGCTGTACTCTTTCTACCCAATGAATGTGTTTCTTCATAGGATATAGATAAATGGTTCGACGCCTATTTTCCTTCTTCAATCTAATCAGAGCTATATCTGAACATACATTCAGTATAAGTGAGTATGGAGACTCGATTTCTTGGAAGCCACAAAGTTACGTTACGTTCAAAATCTAGAAGCCTAGAAAGTGCTACGACAGTGGCAAGTTGACATAGAGGTTTCCTGCGTTTATGGTAGCACCTGTTTCAACTCAACAGTTCATCCAAGGTAAGATCTTCCGGCATGTCTTCTCGTGGACCTTTCATACGCAAGTCGAGGCTAAAACAGTGGATTTGAATGTATCGTTCCATCGAGTAGACTTATGCTGAGAAGACTTCTTTCGGTTAATCTGTCCGAATGTACATCAAAGGGTGATGTCAGTTCAATTCTCTTTTCGTAAGTTCCTGTGTATATATGTCGACTACAAAGTTCAAAACCCAGAGGAGGTCAACCCAGAGAATCTCCCAATCGAAAAATGTCCGTAAGCTCGAGCAGTTTTGTTGATGCTATATCCCACTGTTAAATATGATCAAGAGAGATCCGTTTTAATATACTAGACACGGTGGAAACTCCTTCCTCGATGCCTGGCGATTTCTGGACATAGATTTGCACAACTTTTCTGGCTTGAAACGACCGAGTAATAATGAGAGAGATGAACTAATTAGCATTTGTCGACTACCGAGCCCTTGAAATTTCCAGGGGGGTTTGTGGAAGTTATCGCTTATGATCAGCCACATCGACTTTGTCGAGAAGGTTAATTAGTCTTTGACTACACTAATAACTTGATCAAGGTCTTCGTTTTATCCTATGATTAGTAGCATATTAACTAACGAGAAAAGCGTAAACACCTCCTGAGCGACGACACAAAAGCTTAGCTTAAGCGACTCCTCCTCGTTCGCTATCAACTAGAATATCTCTGTATGAAGTAGATTTTATTACGAACTCGAGTGTGAATCCGTACAGTTAACGATGCTATATGAGTCTTCAGTTAGCGGATACTAGAAAGCCCTTCAAAAAGCCCAACAATTACCCGGACGAGATAATTTTCTTCATCATCGTGATAAGAGCACTTTTCCATAAGATATGTCAGACAACTCTATTTGCATCCCCTGGCAAAGTAAAACGAAAAAGGCACGCCGTCGAGGGCAAATAGCGATTTCGCAAGCAGTTATACGCTGCCTGCCCCCGTTAAGAAAAAGAAATAACAATAACGATCACCCAAAAGAAAGTGTTAAACTGTGTTACAAAACAAAAAGATCAAAGATCAAAAACCAAAAAGGATCAACCGACGATTTGTATGCCGATACAGAGTGCAACTGCCGTGAATCGAACACGAACCTCCACCTTGGAAGGGTGGAATCCTAACCATTGGACCACAGAAGCTGTGATTGATGACTAAAAAATTCTTTGTTCAATATATATTGATAAAATATTGATATGCAAAACTTGAGAAGAAAACAGAAACACCCGGTGTTTTGGCGGGTAGCGAGGTCGGATTTAGGGGATAAACTCCTTTGACGGCGCGCAAGAGTTGTCGCGAATGAAGACTACAACACTTACAAACCATGGTACTCGTGCATTTACTACAGTCTTGACTGCATCTATCGTTTTATATTCAAGAATTCGGAGTAATATAGACTGAGTCGTGCCAGGTCAGCGGTTCTGAGTACATTCTTGAGTGTTTGTTCCCGGAAATCGAGTTTTGGAATTCGAGGTCGCGGTTTCATCGCAACGTTGTTTATTCAAAGATAAGGGACACTAACATATATGGTATATTACATAAAGTCGCTCGTATTGAATGACTTCTTGGCCTAAAAGCTAATAATTCATTAGAAATATTAGCTCCGTTCTACCCGCAGAGGGCATCGATGCTCGAGATGAAGTTGCACAATATGGTATCCTTCGAAACCAATTTATGATAAGTCAAAAGGACTGCCTGATGTTGTTTCTCTAATATTGAAACAGTTATACAGGACTTCCTGAATGCTGTGACAGATGAAGTTCCACCTTACTCAAAACGAATGTTTTCGAAAATGTTAGTGCAAAGATAGCCCAAAAGGTTTCACTTTCAATAGGTGTAGTTAAACATCTTATACAGTGACTTGCCAAACAAAGCACGTCAAGGATGGACCAGCCATTCCGTCAGCAACACCTTTAATTATTGCTGTATTAGGTAATACCAATCCCACTCTTGCAGCTGACATTGGCGCAGCTAACGTAGAAGATTTCACATAAACACATTGTCACATTTCACGTGGCGCTCAAAGCAACCTTACTATCATTTCCTCCTCAGTCTCACTGTAATACCTTTGCACAATGGGTCCTATCCCGTACGAGACGCTCCAGGAATGTGAGTGCTCACCAACATCTTTATTAGCATAGTAAATTCTCACTTTGCTAACACATATCGTTTCCCAGGGAAACAACAAGTCAACACCCTAAACGACCCCTTCATTTCCGGAATCCCCAAAATCGAACTCCACGTCCACATCGAAGGAACACTCACACCCGAACTCCGCTTCAAACTCGCCCAAAGAAACAACATCCACTTGCACTCTAAACGATTGAACAAAACCTTTAACACCCTCGATGAGCTCAAAGAAATGTATAATCTTCTCCAACCACGCAGTATCAAGGGCGCGAACCAAATCTCCGCGTTCTTCGACGCTTATTACGGAGGTATGGAAGCGCTGAGAACGGAAAGTGATTTTTATGAATTGGCAATGGACTATTTTGAGAAAGCGGCAAGAATGAATGTTAGGTATTGTGAGCCATTTTTTGATCCGCAGGCGCATACTAGGAGGGGTATTGAGTTTGAGACTTTTATGAAAGGTTTTAAGAGAGCGCAGGTGGATGCCGAGAGGGATCTGAATGTAGGGCACTTGAAAACTCGAGACCTGTAAGCGTGCTAACAATCATAGGTCAAATCCCAATGGATCATGTGTATTTTACGTGACCAATCTCTGGAATCGGCCATGGAACACTATGAAGCAGCCCTCCCCTACAAAAACACAATCATAGGCATCGGTCTCGACGGGAACGAATACAACCGTCCCCCGTCAATCTTCGAACCGCTGTCTCTCCGCGCCCGGAACGATGGGTTTAAAATTACCTGCCACTGCGACGTCACGCAGAAAGACACGCATGAGCATATTCGCCAGGTAGCTGAGTGCGTTGGCGGGAGCGGAGCGGATCGGTTGGATCATGGGCTTGATGCTGCTGAGAGGCCGGAGTTGGCGAGCTTGATCAAGGAGAAAGGGGTGGGTGTTACGTTGTGTCCGTGGGCATATGTGAGACATCATAAAGAAGAGGATTTGTTTAAGCATGTCAGAACGCTGTTTGAAGCGGGGATTAAAGTTAATGTTAGTTCTGATAGTCCGGCGTATGTGGAGGATAATTGGATTGAGCAGAATCTGAAGTTGTTGAGGCTGAAAGCGGGTTTTACGGATGAGGAGATTGAGAAGGTGGAGTTGGATTCGGTGGAGATGTGTTGGGCTGGGGAGGATGTCAAGAGGGAGATTCGCGAGGAGATTAGGAGGTTCTGTGAGAAGAGTACTTCTGAAACGTAGTTGAATTACTTAGTTTTGCTAGGGTAATCACATCATTTTGACCAAAGTGTCTATTTGCAGATTCATATCTTTTTGTATACTGCTTTTCAAGACTGGAATTCATCTACTAATACAACTTTTTCACCCCAGAAACTACTACTTCGTGCCTTTGTCTCTATCTCCGGTTCTTCGGAACCACAGTATATTTTTACACAAGACCAGGATCATCACCGTTTCGTGATATTCCTTACTTCTGAGTCAAACGAATTATATAACACATCATCGAACCTTACTTGCTAAGCGTCAACAATGAAACGAGGAGAAATGAAATTACAATTAGAACACTTACTAGCAAAAACCGCAATACCTATTAAAAAGAACTACTGAAATAGGCAAAGCTTCACTATCTTATTTCTCTTTTATCATTACTCATAAATTCCAACCCAGATCTAGTACCTCCTAGATCTATGCAAAGTTGCAAAAAGACCACCGAAAAGGTAAAACTTCGTTAGCCTGTGTCTCTTTTACACTCACTCATAATTTTCAGTCTCACATGTAGTAGCTCCTAAATTCATGCGACCTTTAAGCATCCATCAAAATAGTTTAGAACAATAGCTCTTGCGCTAAAATTGGTTTTCAGAAAACCGAACTTAACCAGTACCGTTGAACCCGTCTCTGAGAAGATCTCGGCAACTTCAAGCAATAGACGGTAGAGATAAAACCACGCTTTTCCAATTCAAATCTTGTTATGAATATGAGACGAGGACAAACCACATCATTCTCTATTTCTATCATCCCAATACCTTGACTTTTTACACTAAAGACACTTACGACACTCGCATTATCACGCTTCAAACCTGACATCATGCTTCTGGATATCGCGCTCTTCTCATCCTCTACTGTAGATATCAACTCGTTAACATTTAGCTGCACTCAAGATCCACACCTTAATCACAGACTTATTAAAAACCCAACATACCTTACATCCATACTGATCACAGTTTATCCAGCACATCAACGGCACTACCGCCAAGCACACCTCTAATCTCACGTTACCAATCCCATCTGCGACATAATCTGCACGTCATACAAGAACTTCCCCTTCCCAATACCCTTACCTATCACTCTCGCCATCCATATCAATTTTCACCCCCACGAGATATCTCCACGTCGCACAAAAAAAACCCCCAATTTCATCCTCCCAACTCACAACCCGTCCACGTCCCCAGAAAACCTCACAGCGACAGGGTCATCAAGCTAGACTCATGCACAACCCCCCAAAAAGGCACGCTCGCAAACACCGCACCCCGCGATCCAATAACCGGCGTACGGCTCTTGAGGTGCATAGCCGCGAGCTTGGAGGTGTGTGTGGATTGTTCGGATTTGTAAGTGATGATTTATTTGTATGCCCTGTCATGTATCGCTCAGCATCGTAACAAATAAGAAATAAAGAAAGTGATGTTTTAACAAACATGACATCTCATATCCCCAAAACAAAAAACAAGTACACATCATATCACATCGCCGCTTTCCAACCCCATAAATTCAGATTCATCCAGCCCCAAGTCTGCCCCACAGGAGATGGACAGGGGAAATGGGGGTGACCCAAAAACAAGGCCCTTGTACGGTGCACGGATTACCGGCCTATGAGCGTGGCGGATCCGGGCTTGGGACCTTGAACCTTGATTTTGCTTAACTCTTATACCCAATGAGAGAGGAGAAGGCAGTTGTGAGTAGATTTGAGTTTAGAGGCATACGAGGCATATAAAAATCTAAAAATTGGTACGGAGCAGATGATTTTGACTTCGTAAAATATCACCAACACGTTTCACAACATCAACCTGCACCTGCCTTCAACCCAGCACAGTAAAAGGGTGGGTCGCAGGGCTGTGCCGCACAGTTGTTTTTTGGTGAGGAAAAAAGGCAGACGGATTCAGAATGGGACTGTCCCCTGCTTATCCGTATCCCGGTAGTGGACTTATCGCCTTGCTGCTCTTATCGATGTTGTTGCTGCTGCTGCCTCGTCCTGAGATATGTTTTTACGGCATATATTTCGCGCGTTGCATTTGTTGAGAAGACGTTTATTTTCACATGCTTTGAGCTTCAATTCTTTCTTATCGCTGACGAGTGTCATGAATCTGAGACGAGCTCGAGTCTGCTTGCATCGCGGCTTACTTTCTTTTTGTTGTTTCGGGTCGATATCATGGCCGCTGACTGTGCTGGCCAATGGTCGAGTGCCGGTGCACAGACAAAGCTTTCAAGTGGAAGTTTGCTTGCTGGCAAGAAGCAGAATTCTGTGTAACCGTGGAGCCGAGGGAAGATGGTGGCACACATGAGGGAATGAACGAATGGTCTCGAGGGATCAAATATCACAATCCACAAGGCTGGAGATATTGGTTTGTGCAACTGTGATTAAGGTGGCTCGTTCGTTGTGCCTTTTGTTCGGGGTGCATTCGAATATCTCTGCTCATCATCAGACAATCTCTACCGTCTTTCGTCCCTCCTTCCAACACCCGAGACAATACATCCCCAATTCCTCATTCGTTCTGGAACATCTTCATATAGGGTTATTGGTTGTGGAGAACCAAAGATCTCATGTCCCAACAAGCCGAGAGATGGGACCTCTACCCCACCACCTCCAACCGTTATCCCTTCAACAAGGTGAGACGTATCCAATAAAGGCATTTCAATTGCTCTGGCAGATACTCGCCTAGCTCCTCAAATGTATGGCAGCTTCCCATAGGATACCTCTCTTCTGAGGCAACGCTATCGTCAAACCTGACCAACGAAAAATGCGGATTGCTATATAATTGATATATCTTTCAGATTCTTTCTCCACTGCGAATCACAATTCTTCCGTGTTATCAGCACTCCGAGAGCCGAAGCATCCTCGAGGATGCCATTGGAGAGTTGCCAGGAGATTGGAAGTATCCTTACCCTTATTGCAGACCGTTCTCATAGAGGGGTCGAAGAGCCCAAGTTTTGTTGTATGTGTCTCGTGTGCTCTATCTCTGCGCTTTCCATTGCACAACAGAAGTCTTCCAGGGGTGGATTGCTGTGTACAAATGAAGGTACGAAGGGTGTTTTTGCTCCGTACTCCAGTGTTGAGATGTGGTGGCTATGAAGGATGGACAATGTATGGATCACCATGATCGTCTTGATATTCGGAGAGTTTTTGGGTGGAGTGACTTGGGGTTTGGGACTCGGGAGACCTTGGGTCTTCTCCAAACCCCTCTTCCCTTCCTCCTGAGGCGGTGGCCTGGTTCCGTCGTCCGAAGGCCACGCCCAAGGCCACCTCCAAGACCCATCCCAAGGCCAAGTCCTGTGCGAAGCACGAGCCGGCGTCTGGACCGGGTCCTCCCCAGGTGCCAGTTCCAGTCCACTTCCCAGGTATCGAGACGGCAACAGCTCTGGATGTGTATCGCCGCCAGACAACCTCAACCCTACTTGCAGACGTGAAGACTGGCAGCGACCAGCGAGTAGAGAGCGTTAGTCGACGCCGCGATGCAGTTCGCCCATCCACACCTTCCACCACCCCTCCTTCTTCCCCTTCGCCACCCAATCTCCTGAATGCGCAACTGCACCGTGCCCAGCTAGCAGCAGCAGCAGCTCATGGAACGGGCTCTGAATCGAACTCTAACGTCTTTCGCGCTGCTTTTGTCGTCGTCGTCGCAGTCTAGTCCTCTTGGATGCCCTGTGGTTTGCGTGCTCCACCTCTGCGCGCTGGGAAGACTGCGGGCGTGAGCTAGCAAGGAGAGCTATAATTTAGAGCTTATCGGCTAGAGCCGGAAACAGCCAATCAGCCCTCCTACTTCGAAGTACATGCTGTATCCACTTTTCTACCACCATTGTCCAAACCTCCGAAGCGTGAGGAACCACGCTCCCCCAACTTCACACCACACACATCCCGTTCAATTCCAACTCTTCTTCACATATGTCCTCCGCTTCGCTCTCAACACCACCGATATCTCTCGTCCGCCTTACCTCACTTCATCACGCTTCTTCTCCCATCGTGGTTTTTTAATCGCATTCCGACCACCGGTAAACAATCCCGCTCGAGTCCAACCCAGCACCTCATCTCGAGTCAATCTTCGCTCACACGATTGCCTGACGCAGGTCGCACGGTGACGGTGTTCAGCGTTCCTGGCCTTTGACTTCGTTCCGAATCGACAGCTCACCTCACACCAAATCTTACCGCCAACCGCCAACCCCCAATTCCCCAGAATTCCTCTCCCAATAAACCCGTCGTCCTTCATCCGCTCTCGAGAACAAAAGCTCGCACTACATCTGATCGGGGTCCCAACGCTCTGCCCAAAGTAGAGATCCGCGACGCTTCGCACCCAGCTCAACCTTCAACCCCCCACGTCACGTCGCGACGCTCGAGCGCGTTCCTAATTCAAACGCCACTGTCGCAAAACGACGTCGCTGTCATACCAAGGCATGAACGGGGTTCACAGATCGATACCTACCACCACCGCTCCGAGTTCACAGAACAAACAATCCATCGTGTTGAATCTCGCCAATTCCTACGTACAACAGCATGCTATGAATCCTCCAAACTACTCCCAAGCCGGCCAGGCCTTTCGCGCATCGAATGCGACTCAGCAATCGTATCAATCGCTTTCAATGGCGACCATGAACAGTTCTTCACCATTTGCGAACGATGGGATTAATGGGATCAACAGTCCTCAGTCATCGGGCGGCGCATTCAACAATTCTTCGTCGACGTCGGTCATCATTCGAAAGCTTCCGCTCAACACCACTGAAGATACATTGCGCTTGATGGTGGTTTGGTCAAAGGAATTCGTGGATGCGGAGGTCATGTCACCCGACAAGTCCGAAGACGCTGGGTTTCGATCGGCCGTCTTGCGCTTCAAGTCGCATGCAGGTGCCCTCGAGGCGAAGAACATGCTGGATGGTAAACCAAACGTTGCCAACGATGCGCAAATGGCGGTCGAGATCTTCTATGGGTCTCCTTCAGCTTCCCGGCGTTACACGATCAACAACAATTCGAATACTGGGCCTTCAAGTTCAACTTCGTCAACTGCTTCGTCTGGAGGACCCACTCCTCGTCAACCATCTAGATTCGACGGATCGTTCCAATCAACCCAACGAGTTTCGCCGACCAATGGTAACTATGCAAGCAATGAGCTACCCAATCCAGAGGTGAGCGCTCATTACCAGAGCCTCTTCTCGCCCCAATCACCCATCGGTAATCACCTCAACGAGCGCACTCGGGTCACAGGGAAATCGCTTATCAACAATGACTCAGTCGACGACGACGAGACTGGTGAACTGCTCAAAGATCCCGTCGCGTATGCTGAGAATGGCTCGTCAGCCCAGTCTCGCCGACCAACTAATCCTCAGATTCCAATCTCACGCATGGCAGGGTTATCATTAAACACCAACAGTGCTGCAGGTCCGGCACCTCTGTCTTCATTTTCACAACCCATGTCTTCCATCTCACATTCAAATCCAATCTCACCAAGCGGCTTGACCAATGGTGGTCCGCCAGTGAATTATCAGCTAGGCAGTCAGCACTATCAACGCCACAACTTCCCACCTGTCAACCCCGCAGATCAGAACCCTCCATGCAATACACTTTATGTCGGCAATCTCCCGATTGACACCTCTGAAGATGAGCTCAAGGCAATGTTCTCCAAGCAACGCGGCTACAAGCGTCTTTGCTTCAGGACCAAGCAAAATGGGCCTATGTGCTTCGTTGAGTTTGAAGATGTCTCATTCGCTACCAAAGCACTACATGAACTTTATGGTCATCCTCTTCATAACAGCATCAAGGGTGGGATCCGATTAAGCTTCTCCAAGAACCCATTGGGTGTTCGTTCTGGCCAAGGCATGAGCTCTCCAGGTCCCCCAATCGTTCCAGGGAACATGCAAGGAATGAATGGTGTCATGCTCGGTCAAGGGTCTTCATTCAGTACTGCAAGCGGTCCTCCGCCGGGTCTTTCGGCTCCTCCAGGACTGGCTCCAGGAAGGATGCCTTCTTACAACAACGTCAACCCAATGAATGGCGGTAATGGTCATTACAACAACAACTCATTCGGCGTTAATACCAATGGCTGGGGCAGTCAACCATTCAACGGCGCAATGACTGCGGGAGGTCCACCACAGATGTTGAACAATTCACACAATCCTACATTTCCTCCATACATGATGGGAAGATAGATTTACCTCGATTTCACATTGCGAGAGGAGTTTGGTCTTGTTTGATTTTTCCGCCATTGCACTCATTTACTGGCATCTTTTCTTCTTCTTTTCTACCAAACGTTTCCTACTTTGAGGAAAATTGGTCATTCACATTAGGGGTTGCATTTTACATATCTGTAGCGTGGTTTTCATGAGATTCCCCATTGCGCGTCATAAAACTTGCGGGAGTTGAAAGTAGGATTCGACAAGGGACGATGGCATGTTAAGGTGTTGTCGTATTGTGTTATTTATGTTCACCTCATCAACTGGCGCGTTCTGTCATTTCCCTATGGCGTCATTCAACAAAGACTTTCGAGAGCGCAAGCTGGTAGGCTTGACCGACTGACCGGCTATTCGAATGTACGATTTGCAAGCAGCTGCAACATAAGCATGGAATACAGGGCAATGGCATTTAGCAACATGAAAAGAGGGGTGTGGAAAAGGCGTATGAACGTATTCGGTTCTGTTTCAAGGGCATTCTCAGGGGCTAGCGGCTTTGTTTGATTTTTGATTTCTTCTTTGTTATTGTTCGGTATCTCCAAACTGGAATATGGATTTGGTACGTACGCATATCATGATAGGGTTTTATTAAAGGTGGTTTTGTACCTTTTCTTTTGCTTGGCATACTCGAGAGCACAATATGGCGTTTCTATGGCATCGATGGACGTAGGTTGCTTCTTAGAATTTACACTGAGCGATTTTCCTTTGGCATGCTTCTGTGTTCTACTTCATTCTTCGTTTCGTTGTATGAATGTGGTGAAAGATGGGATTTTTAGATTCTGTAGCCCAAAGGCGACAAAAACAAATGTGTAGACTGTATGCTCTTTGAAGTCCTCGTAGAGAAAGATCGTGTTTGGAATGGAAATAAAGCAGCAGCTGCTCATCTTGATTGTTGGAGTATCTGAGATGTGGATGGGGGCCAGAATGAAACACGTGATACTCACGCTAAGGATGTGACCCACTTGTGTAAAATATTCCTTCAAATTCTCGACCTCAAGCTTCCCTCTTCGTCAACACAAGATTTCGAACATCACGACCACCGCGCAAATGACGCGTTCGCGCCTTGAATCTTCAGATGCTTACGATTGAGCTTATACTGCAGCTCATCAGCCAGTGCTGGGACTCATTCGATCTGTTCTGTACCAAGGTAAGCTTCCCAATCTTTCTCTTCACTCCCCCACAATACTTTCATGATGAATTTTCGTGTCGCCCCTATCTTACCATGGACTATGTCCAAGATGGTGATGTACCTGTCTTTCCAAACGGACCATCTGATCGAAAGCTTTACTCCCTATTATCACCACGTTCGATGTTTTCGTTTGCGTGCATTGCTAATTTTGGGTTAGATAGGTTTTTTGTAAGTGCGAATTTTCTCTTCGAGGGTGGGACAGGAGGGAGGGCGAGATATCAAGATGATGAGAAAAACATATACTTTTATAAGTCGTCGGATTACCAATGACGAATAAACTGGTTCGATTACCTGAAATTGATGTCGAAATGATGGAAGTTTTGGTGGGAGATATTTGAAGGGCGTTGTGCTGATGCTCTACGGTCAGAATACACAGATGAAAGCTGCGATACTGCTCTGGTGACGAATAAAGGTATGTCACGAAACATTTCATTTATTGAATCGGACACTGCCTATGATGTCACAATCCATGCTAATGCTGAAGACCTTGTGTCGGATGCTGACAAAACTCGAGACTTTTCATCTTTCAACTGAGGCTCCTCAAATCTATACACTCTTGCATCTTCACAGTAGGAAGCAATTGCTAATTTGTTGTAGTGCTTATGTAGGTCCTACGGATTGCCGAAAATTGGAATATTGAGATCTCGCGTGGATGGCACGCCATTTCAACGCGTTACAGTAAATAGCCGATGGTAGCGTGCGTGGGATGGTCTACGGTAATGTGCCCTAACAGATTTGCGTGTTTTTTGAGCTTTCCAAGTGGCTAGCCCGATGAACCATTACTTTAGTTTAGTTATAGCTAGTCGTTCATCACTTATATCAATACGTTTATTATTTGTATCTTGAACTCTACAATTACTGCTTATGAAAGTGAAAGTGATTGACGCTAGCTTGCCTCATCTAGAACCAAATCTCTATTGAATACTAGATAAATAACAAACATATTCTAAATTGTCTTAATATTGTACCTACACTTCCATCACCTAATGATCTAAAAGATCGTAGGATCTATTATAAGATGTGAATTCTCACACTCCGCACCTCATCGTACGTAGCACCGACATTTAACATCTTCAACTGTAATATAACACTTCCCGCTCTAGTTCGAAGTTGTTCCTAGTGAAAATAGTGATTGTTACATACAAAATATGATAATTATCACATTAGCTTTATCACTCATATTTCGAATAAAATAAAGCCATGAATTTCGTATCTTTTATCTTTCATCTCTAAAGCAGAAAAATCTACATATCCATCTTTTATCCAATCCCATCAAATCCAAGATTATGCACACAATTTTTCCAAACCTCCTGACTTACTTTCTTACTATACACTCTCCCCTCCACCATAAACGCCATCCCAAGAAAAGCCAATCCCATTCTACAACTCCACCTCCACAATCTTCTTCCCCTTCCCCGGATCCTTCAGCCCGAAAAACACCACCATACTAACCCCCAACACGCCCATGCCCCCGATACTATACGCAACCTCGCGTCCAGCCCACCAATACACGCTTGTAAACAGCAAGGGTCCGACACCACGGCCAAATTGTCCCCAACTGCGTAGATTCCCAAGTTTAGCACCTCGTTCATCTTCGCCTGCTTCGAAGGAGCTGAGCGCGTTCAGACCTGTGACGACGGTCGCGGTCGTGACGGCCAAGAGCGTGGTCGCGAGGTAGAGACCTGCTTGTGTGTCTATGCGCGCAAGGAGGAAGAGAGCGAGGAGACAGGATACGACGCCTATACGGACAGATAGGAGTGGCGGGAGACGACGCGTGATTCCGCCTTGTAGGAGGGAAGCGATAAGTCCCATGTAGCCTAGGAGCCGGCCGTTGCGCGCGGAGGTGTAGCCGAAGAGGTCGAATGTCATGAACGGGAGGGAGAACTCCATGCCTGAGAAGAAGAGGATGAAGGTTAGGTGCGTGAGGTTTAGGAGGAAGTGGGAGTTGGTTCGCGTGAATGGCTTCGCGGGGGCTTTTGTGGTCCCGTTGGTTTTGATGGCGGGGTGGCCGTTGGTGGTGGTTTTGGTGTTTGAGGCTGCGAGTTTGGCGGAGGCTACTTTTGAGGGTAGGGTTTCTGGAAGACAGAAATAGAGGTACAACGTCTCTGTGACGATCAAGAATAATGAGAATCCAGCTGCGGTCGCAAATGGGTTTGCCTTGACGCTGCTGATTGTGCTTAACCACGCGCCCAAGGCAGGTCCGAATGTAAAACTGATGCTAAAACATATTCCTACTAATGCCATTGTCGCGCCTCGTTGTTTCTCATCTGAGATGTCTGTAGCTATGGCAATCGCAAGTTGAACGTTCCCCTCTGACAGTCCACCCACGATTCGGGATAGGAGAAATGTGCGGAAATCGGTAGCCATAACCCAGAGGAGGACACTGAGAATGTTACCAGTCATGCTGAAGAGGAGAGCAGTTCGGCGGCCATAGCGATCGGAGAGATGTCCGATTATGGGAGATGCGAAGGCTTGAAGGAGACTGCAACACAATTGTCAGCTACGAACTCATCATTTTCAGATTGGACCGTACGCACGAGAACAAACTCCCCAAAGCTCCTCCCAACAACACAATATCATATCTCGAATCAATTGGTCTTGAAAACGACGCTTTGTAGGCATTGAGGTACGAGAGGATATGCGCGAGGACAGATGGCGATTTTCTCGCAGACGAGAATTCGATGGGCGCTTCTTGGGATCTGTAGAATTCGAGAAGCGATGGGAAGAGCGGTAGGATAAATGTGAACGAGACCTGTGAACAGCGTTAGCAAAGCACTTTTGTTACTATCTTGCAGCCTGCAAAGCAGGAGGAATTGAACATACCAAATCCAACAACAAACTAATAAACACAACCCTCAAAACCTTCTTCCTCACAGCAGGTTCCACGGCTACAGCCATATTTTGTTTTGTCCCCTCGCTTTACGTCTCTCGTAGCTGGGTATAAAAGAAGACGTGCCCGCGTAAGACCAGCTTGCTTCTTCTAATCCCCGAAATCCAAGTACCCTCTCCAGAAATTCGTCTTGAAACAAATCGTTCGTTGACTATCAAAAAATAATACAAGAGAAACAGCTCGCAGGCAAGCGGGAAAGAAAGGACAACGTGTGTTATTTGAATGGGACCTAGAAGCGGTGGTGAACGATCATGTCGCCTCGGTGTTGTCGTTGCTTGATGACGAGCCGGCCCTAGACGTCGATCTCCGGCCCCACTTTGGTGCCAAGATGTACCTGGAGTTCTCGAATTCGCGGGCACTTTGGGCGCTAGTTAGAGCTTTTAGGATATAGTTTGATATAGCATTTGCGGGGAAATGTTAGTTGGGTGGAGGGAGATGGGAGTTGTGCCTCGGATTGTGTTTAAAGACAGTTTATATTGTTGATCTCTCAGAATATACAGAGGCAGAATTCTAGATTCTAGGCCACGCGGGTCATCCAGGGATTTTTCTTATTCGAGTTGCCGAGCTGTGATCTTATGCATCCGTAAGTCACGCCTTACAAGGGCTTAATTCTCAATCGAGAATCCCGAGATGTGGTTGACGAATCAAGTTCGTAAGAACAATTCGGGGGAAACAAGCTCGTGTCCTTTTGCATATTCGTATGCACGTTTCGAGTATCGGTGCTTACATATGGCTGCTTATGGAAAAGCATTTCTCGTATATTTCTGAGAAGTATCTTCATCGACAACAATGAGTTTGGATATTTCATCTCGTAAGAGGTAGGTCTAATTAACAAACTCAGTAACTCTACGATCCCCAACATGCACCGACTAATACCCAACATCCATACCCAAACGCCTTAAACCCAACACGATGCATTGTATCTCAATGATTCTCCTACAGATATGTCTCAAACAGGAATCAATCCAACCTTCGTTCCTGGTCGGACCATTGATGTGGCAGTCATCAATTCGGTCAGGATCGAATCGTCGCGCTTTTCGATGGCTTTGAAGGTTTGTAGTATACGGACAACACAGTAGGATGCTTCTGTCAACGCAAATTGTTGACCAATGCAGATCCTGGGTCCGCCATTGAATGGGAGGTAGTGCCATCTGTTTGACGTTAGTTTTATCTTTAATCAATAGTGGAATAATACACACCCAGGTCGAAGCGATTCCCAACGTTCTGGAATAAATTCAGGTGCATTTTCACCGAACAGATCTTCTCGTCTCTGCATCCCGTAGACAGAGTAAACCACAATTTGTCCCTTTTTAACGAATACTGGAGATTTCTCATCTGATCCACCTCCGACTGGAATTGTGGTATCTCGAACAGCGACCCGTGCATTTACAGGAACGATAGGATGTAGACGAAGAGCTGCATCATATTAGCAATAGCTTAAATGGGGTCAGGCTTATAGTAAATACCTTCGTTCAAAACCCATTGCATATATTTCAATGACTTAATCTGCTCAAAAGAAGGAGTCTCGTCTCCTAGACTTAACACCTCCGCTCTCAATTTCTCCCAGATTCTCGGCTCTCGAGCAAGATGATAAAAGAGATAACTGAGTAACCCTGCAGTGGTATCTCGACCAGCTAACAAAATATTGAGTAGTTCGTCTTGGATCTTCTTCTCAGGATATCCAGTTTTGGCGAGCTGTTCGAGGAAGACATATTTGTCATTGGTTTCGACTTCCAATTTTCCTTGCTTGAGGCTTTCTTGGTAGAGCTTGACCGCTTTCTGGACATATCCTTGAACATATTGATGGACGAACTTCTTGTCGCCGTCAAATGTTCGACCTTTTGTATATGGGAGGAACTTTGCAAGAACGCCGGCACGACCGCTATAAATCAGGTTTTAGTAAGTCAACTCAAAAGCTTTCTGGTAATAATTACACAATTCCAGCTCTCGCAGTAACAGCACCAAAAGCTTCACCAAATTCCTCTCCTCTCTGACTGTTGGGATCCGATTTGTCGAGCACATTTGTACTTTGCCCAAACAGGAAATCCGTGGCGGAATCCAGGGTCAGCTCGAAAAACAAATCTTGTAAATCGACAGTAGATCCGTCACGAGGTATTCTTGCCAAGAGTTTCTTTATATGGACCTCGAATGTCGCAATATCGCCAACTTGACTTCTCGTGAAGCTTGGTCGCAGGAGTGCTCTAGATGCTTCCCACTCGGGACCGTTTGTGGTGAAAATTCCATGACCGAAGATGGGTTCGAAAGCTCCTATACGGGTTTCTGGCAGTCCGAAATCCTTGAATTGTGTTGCCAAAACTGCTTTGACGTTTTCTGGCTCGATGGTTTGAATCAATCTCCTTCCTAGCATGAGCTGTGAGAAGGTGTGGCCTCCGACTCGTTTATATCTCTGTCGAATTTCCTCTAATAATCCTCCCTCTTGAGAGAACTTGACGTTTCGAAAGAAGAGATCCAACCCGAAAATTGGGTCTTTGTGAGGGTAACTCTTTGGCGGTTTACATCCATGGGTCTTGATGATCGAGAAGCGTCGGGAAGTTAATGCTAGCCATTTAGCAAAACTGAATAATAAGTAAATTCCGCCAAATGCAAGTACAACTTGAATAATCAAGCTGCCCTGCACTGCATTCTTCAGTTGGCTCAACATCATGCGTCGACGGTTGCACTGAAGAGGGAAGTAGAGCACGGCGGGTTGTCAGGTTCGTCTTATATCACAGCATTGGCATTTGGTGTGACGATGTTGGTGTAGCGGGAATTCATAGGATATCGGTGAATTGTCCTTGGCCGCCTTATGATGAGGGGCGAGACACGAGTTGGAGGCGTTGCCAACCCAACATTCCAAATGAATTCACAAGAGTAATATCCTGGCCGTGTAGGACATAAAATGCTACTCAATGTTAGAAAGAAACAAAGGAATGGCGTTTACAATGACTGGTTATTTTTTCGTAGTTGGTGTGTTACGGGCTTGGCATGAATCGCCGGTGTCCCCGATGAAACCTTGAAGTGAGGGGACGGGTCTTCAAAGTGCTCCCGCCATCCTCGGCAACAGCATCGTCGCATAAGATGGGGTTTGGTTATTTAGAATCGCATGTGCACTGAATTTCTGCTTGTTTCATTAAGGACATATATACTTGTATCGTGATAGACAGCTTTGAAAGTCGATAGCATCTCGTTAAGACGCTCAACTGCATTCACACATAACGGACGTTAATATCGAGAATGTTGATCTTTAGAGGCAAATCTTTGAGACGTTATTATACAATTCTGGAATGAGTGTGTTAGCTATTTGACAGGATAAAATGTTCATCCCGGCTCGAGCTTATTTCCTGATATCTCTTTGCTTTCCGAAGTGCCAGCATGCATTCACCGAAAAGCAAACAGGTCATAAGTGTGAAGCTGAGATAAAGCCTCGCCAGAAAATCCAACGATTCAACCGGAATTTCAGGTCAAATATTCTACAGACACTATATGATGCGACATCTACACTGACAAGTCCGAAGATCTCACTTATGACTTGTGTGACATGAGGTGTACCAACATGCAACAAGGGTGCACATGTGGCATAAACCTTACTGCTGCATCCAAATCTCGGCTCCAGGTTTTACACAGCGATACTGGGGTTGTTTCCACACGCTAGAACTTACAACCAGTTGGGTTCGTCGAGTCGTATAGGTTCTGATTCGGCCTCTCGCATTGTCTTGAGTTGGCCGTGTAGACTCGAGCAAATCAGGGCGAGGATCAGTTCAGACGCCAACGAAAGACGGCAAGATGGTCTGCTTCCTTTCACGTAACTTTTGATCACATTGTCAAAGAGCTGTCGAAAATGAAGCATGTCTGCTCACAAGTGTCATCCGGACAACAACATTCGCGATTGTAGATAAGCACGAGTGCAAAAAACAACAAAAAATCTCACACTAGTATGAATTATTTCGTTGTCGACTTCTAGTGCACGTACAGCACTATCAGTGACAGTGGAAATACCAGCCCCAGTGAGCTATAAACGGCTCATTGTTGAGGTGGGTCCACACCAAGAACTCGGCATACTTGACTTGGAAACGTCCTAGACTAAGCTTACCCAGTCGCCTTCTAACGATGTAGCAAACCAGGCGACCGGTGTCGAGAGTAGAATTGCACTGTAAGCAGCCCTTAAAACTTGACGTATCATGATAAGGAGCACCTGAGTACCAAGCCAAAAGTCAACAGGAGACATGGTGAACTGTAGGACCTTCCCGCTTGAAAGAAGTCATTCATGCCCAGCAAGACGCCTGATGGTTTAAGCTTATAGTTTGACGTAAGAAGCTGGCAATTAAGGAGGGTACTTACTAGTAATAGTGTCAAACAGATGTGAGTTCTGCGAGCCCATCATACTGGTCCGATCATACCGCGACAAGTGAACGGAAGCAGTAAAGCTGAGAAAACATCAAGAACTGCAGATTATCGATGCTCGACCAAAGCGAAGGCTCAATTTACAGGAAGAACTTTGCCGGCATGGAGCAAATCCAAGTATTTTACCGTGTGCGCTTTCCAGTTCGAGCAGAAACAAATCTTAGCAGCTCGGTTGGCGATCATTGGTTCTAGATCTTACTGTTGGGAGCTCTGCTAGTATAAGGAGGAAATATAGCCTACCTTATCGGCAAAACAAAGTTGCCTCTCAGTAGTAAGTAGCCTTGTTTAACCATGGAAACTTGACACTTGCTGCCAAGACTGTTAAAGTTGTATCTCGCAAGACAGGACGAGCTATGCACATCGCTACTTCTCAGATAATACTGATATCGGGCCAGTCACAGAATCATCTTCTGAGACAACTGAGCGATACCGGACATCGCGGCGGATCTAGTCGAGCGATTGATCAGCTTAAACGCCACGTTGAGGCCACTTTTGATCTGATTTTACAATTCTGATCTTGTAATGTTTGTGCGATCATCAAGTGCGTTGATATTCAGCTGTAGTAACTTCGTTCCAACATTAAGTAAAGTCATAGACTACAAGTGCCTGCGATCCACTTTCATCTTCTTTGAGCACGATAACCACCTCGTCATCAAACCCAACCCAGTGTTTTCGAGCAGTGAACTCTTCGTCAAGGCCAGAGCGGCTGATGATATTCATGCTAGGATCTGCGTCGACGACTTCTTGAGAGCCTTTCCGCTTCGGGAATTCATGGGCTGATGAAGATTTAACTACTGGCGACAGGTTTTGGCGAATTTGCACGCTTCGGTCGCGACGCTGATCCCTGGGTAATCTTGAGTCCTTCCGGGATCGAGTTGAAGAGGAAAAGCCACCCTCCAGACTCCAGACTCGCAATTCATTTCCGCGAGTACTCACACTTACTGCCTTCCCTCTAGATGTGATTTCGGCAGAAGAGACAGAAGACGTATGACCCCAGAGCTTGGTACCTTCGGAAAGGCTAAGATCTGACGAGGTCGACGTACACAGATAAAGTGAGAGTGTGTTATCTGGATGTGTAGCAAGAATATACGGGTGAGCATATGACAAACTCGTCGATGGAGTTACGGTACTCCCCACTGATGCTCTCGATTGACGAGGTGGAAGCGGCGAAGATGCACCAGATGATGTTGGTGATGAGATTAACGGTGTCGGAAGAATGGACGAGAATCCTTGAGGAAGTGCAGAGGTAAGACGAGACGACGTCATTAGACCCGTTGAGGGAGAAAGATGTAACTCTTGTAAGCCTACAGTGTAGCCGGAGAAGTAAGTTGGGAGAGAATAAGCTATACTCCCGATGATGGTTGATGGGGTGAGACGAATAGAAAGCGACACGGGCGGCCAGCAAGTATGTGACTTGAGGGAGGCAAGTAACCGAGGCGCCGGCTCATCCCCTTGCTCTGCTGCCTCATTTACCCCAACACTAGGCAGTGTGGCTACCTCAGGAGATTCATCCAATGAACTTAAATCGTGGATACCAAAAGAGGTTGCAGCAGAGGAATCACTTGCTGGCTCCTCTTTAACACGTGTTGTATCGCGGTCGAAGGTGTAGAGGGAGAGAATCTGCGAATCTGTGATAGTAAGAATATAGGGGCTCGCGTAAGCGATGGCGCTCAACAGTCCGTTACTACTTTTTGGATGGTAGTATCGCTTCATTATAGCGCTACTTGCGATATCAAGTTGCCATGTACCCCATGAACCATCTTCAAAGCCGATTGCAACCCCGAGTTGTTGGTGATCATCGTCTTCGTCCACTGCAATACAGCTAGGTAAGCTGTGACCTTCGAGTCCACAGAAGGTGACCAGCTCTTTCGTTTTCAGATTCCAGACTCGAAGACCGTCTTCACCATCAGCCGTGATCACGAATCCTTCTGCTAGCTTGACAAGCATTCCAGCCTCCTTTCTTCGATCGCGTACCCTGATCTCCTGTACTTCGCAGGCACCAATGCTCCAATTATGTCTCAACTTGTACTGCTTCTTCCAATCTGTTCTCTCCCCGTCTTTCCGATTGATCAACGTATTATCATCCAGCCACTTGCTCCTACGACTAGAGAACCTCAAAGCGTCATCGTACTCGGCAGTTGGGGCGCTTTTGATGCCTGGAATCCTCAAAGCTCTAGGCAGAACAAATCTGGAATAATATAACGACTTCCATATCTGAGAATCAGAAGTCAAGCTATAGAAGCGATGCGAGATAGTTTGACAAAGAAGCAGGCTTTCGATTGGGAGATGATGCAGGATGCGAATGAGAAGCTCGGATGAAAGGGCTGAAAGGTAATCGTTCGGTGGATATATACGCGCTCTCTTCGCTATGGTAGTCACATCCTCTGTGTTTGTATTCGACCGTCGACGTTTAGTTACCATTTTGAGGTGGCGACGTGGTTGTTGCTGTTAGGAAATATGTCGAAAGAGAAGTCGAACATACAAACTCCAGTTAGGCTATCTTATCGCCGAAAACAGCTAACAGCAACTCCCCCAGACCCACTTATTCAAGCCGAGCTCGCGGAGCACAAAATAAGTGGCAGTCGAACTAGAAGAGTTCTTCGACTAAGTTGACGAAATATCGTAATTTAGTGGATTAACTTAGAACATTATACCTTTCGTCAACTGTTTTAAGTAAATAAGACTTTTTAAGCTCTGTTCGAAGTCAACTTATTAACTAGTTTAAGATTTACGGGTAGGTGACTGCCACTCATTTTGTCCTCCGCGAGCCGAGGCTACTGTCACGTTCAATACCAGCCTCCTCCAAATCGCTTCAACTTGACATCCAAAGAACAGCAAACACCATCGAAGCAGCGACAACGACCCCGGATACCGCATCAGTCCACATCTGTCCATATTTAGCTAGAACAACTCCTTCTCCTCCGAGGCCTCTGCGCCATCCTGTACCGTCGCAATGGCGGACCATAAGCCCCTCTCCTCGAAGCTTCCCCACGCCCTCACACTCCCGCCCAAATGGCTATCACTTTATGGCAACTTCATCACGACGCATCAGTCTTCAGTAACCCAGATTGAGTCTGCGCTACGCTCATTAACATACATTATACCCGGTCGATTTCGCGATGCAGAACTCGCGTCAGAATCTCTACATTCCTCCATTCAACTCCTCTCGATGTACCACGATACGCTTCTCACGCGCGCGATCAGCAAACTACCTGGTATGCCTAAACACCAGAGTCCCCATAACCGATATACGAAGTTCTGGATTCAAAAAAGCAAATTCTATAGACGAGTTGCGACACTTTTATCTATAGTTCAATATACTGAGCTATTGTGGGAAATGACCGCCAAACGGAAAGGAGAAAGAATACGCTGGCGTGTTGTAGTGGTATTAGAGGTTGTGAAAGCTATATGTCGACTTTTTTTGTTGAAGATAACCAACTTGCGACCGCTCGTTACACCCGCGCTGCCTGAGCGAGAAGTCATCGCGGAAGAGGAACCTGTACCCGAGATTGAAGACGAGGAGGCTCAGCTCGAGGCTGAGTTAGAAGGCCGTTCGCCATCACCGCAAAGAAAAGAATATAGAATGAAACGCACAGGTCTGAGTCTACCTGATATTCCTAACCCTGGGGATATATCATCATATCTTCTCTCAAAGGTCCTCACTGCAGACGATATCAAAGCACCATCTGCGTTACTGAATAAAGTCAGTGGGTCGGCCCAGCTTGCTGAGGTATTACACATCATTCAACCGGTCGTTTATGCGATAGCTATGTCTCGCAGTCGGGACAAGAAAGATTGGCAGCCTTGGTTGCTTGGCTTAAGCATAGAATATGCCGCGCGCCAGCTACGGAAAGATGGTTTACGAACGACGCCGCTCGAGAAGGAGCAGTGGAATAAGAGAGGTTGGGCTATGGGATGGTGGGCGATGAGAGGAGCGTTCTACGAAAATGTAACGAAAGGATTTTTGCATAGTACGAGCCAGAGGCTGCCTGGGTTGATCAGTGGTGTTCTTGATGATTACTTATATCTGTGGGATGGATATTATTTTAGCACTTCTTCGAACTAATTGTAATGATATATGTACTGCTCTCAAGCCCGTCTTCACCAGCAGCTATGACACCTCTAAGTTCGAAGATAGAACATAATGAAGAAAGACCCACGGAGTAAGTCTTCATTCCAACATCGGCCACGATTGGTGGCGACGGTTCAGCTACGCGTACCTCGTAAATACAACATTCTAACCTTGAAATTTAACAGGACCCATTCTGCTCCCCGCTCCTTTCATGTCAATCTTGAGGTTGTCAAAGTTCACACTTCCCCGCTTCCCCGCTTTCTCAGCCGTCGATGATTTCTCCTTGTAGACCTTACGAGCGGTGCTACCAATAAGAATCTCGTCCGGTGGATTCGAAAGAGAGGTTATTATTTTCCCGTGGAACATGTGCCGGACCGAAGCATTTTCCCCGCGCCCGTTCATTACCTTAAGCGACTTAAGGTTTCTCCTCGATCTGATCCCGCAACTGCATGTCAAAATTACCGGGTCGTCCTGCATATGACATGCGCTTCAATCAGAGGCTTCGAATAAATGGATATTAGACGACGTACATACAAAGCTACGGCAATAGAGTGACGCCATATAGCCTCGTATATTTACTACTCATGCTGGTACCTGGATCTTTTCTTTTGAGACTGCGATTTCCTTCGAGCGGCTATGAGTGGAGGTTGATGATCACAACAAAACCCCTCGCCCCAAGGACCCGGCGATTGAGCCGATTAGTTGAACTTAAGATGTGACGCTGGCGACGATTGAGCCGCCTCGCTCGAGTCAAGATATGATAGGAGATTTTTTGGAGTATATATATATTGTCCCTTGCACACGGTGGATCGATGTACTCCAGCGACACACCTCAACTTCATCAACATGTTTAGGCAATTTGGTACTCTACTGTTGTCGGCAATTGCTGTTAGTGCAATTGACATTCATGTCTCTAGCACAGGCGGCAATGCCTCCTCACCTCACATGTACGGTCTTATGTTCGAAGATATCAACCACTCCGGGGATGGAGGTATCTATGCCGAGCTAATTCAAAACCGAGCATTTCAGGGAAGCGTTCCGTTCCCTTCAACAATATACCCTTGGGAACCAGTCGGAGGTGCTGTGCTTGCTCTCCAAAACACCTCGGTTCCATTATCAAAGGCATTGCCCACATCTATCAATGTCTCAGGAAAGGGCAAGATTGGAATCTCCAATCCTGGGTGGTGGGGTATTGATGTCAAGAAACAAAAGTACACTGGTAGTTTCTGGACAATGGGAGCGTACAAAGGGAAATTCAGCCTCAGTCTACACTCTAATCTCACCCATCAAGTTTTCGCCAATACCGTGCTCCCATCCAAATCGAAGTCTGGAAAATGGACAGAGCACACTTTCGAACTAGAGCCACGCGAAGCGGCACCCAACAGCAACAATACCTTTACAATACAGTTTGACTGTTCTGGGGAGTCTATCAACTTCAATCTCATCAGTTTGTTTCCACCAACATACAAGAATCGACCGAACGGGAATCGACCTGAGTTGATGGAGGCATTGAAAGCGCTCAATCCTACATTCTTGCGTATGCCTGGAGGAAACAATCTGTAAGTTTTTCTGCCGTGATAAATGGAAGTGGCTCAGCTGCTAATATGAGTAGTGAGGGCGATGTATCCCGATATCCATGGAGATGGAACGAAACGCTAGGCCCTCTCAAGGATCGTCCAGGACGACCAGGAACGTGGTCTTACCAAAATACCGACGGCCTCGGACTTCTCGAATACTTCCATTGGTGCGAAGACCTTGAAGTCGAGCCGATCTTGGGAGTTTGGGCTGGAATGTTCCTCGGAACCGAAGAGGGCCATATTCTCTCCGCTGAGGCTTTGGCCCCATGGGTCCAAGACACTTTGAACGAGCTTGAATTCATTCTTGGCGATGTAAACACAACCTACGGTGCTCTTCGTGCCTCCCTTGGCCACCCAGAGCCTTTCTACCTTAGATATGTCGAAGTTGGCAATGAGGACAATCTCAACAACGGTGGACCATCCTACAGTAACTACCGTTTCCCGATGTTTTACAATGCTATTACCGCCGCATACCCAAATTTGACCATCATCTCTTCGACTGGAGACTTTACTGCGCTCGGCGGATCTGGTTCATCCGCATCGTGGACTGATTACCACATTTATTCTCGTCCAGATAATTTAGTATCACGATTCGGACAGTTCGACAAAGTTTCTCGTGAGCACAAAACAGTCGTCGGCGAATATGCTGTTATCCAGGAAAACAAGAAAAATGTTTCAGCTGTGGAGTGGGACCTTCCTAAGTATAAAAATCCTGTGTGGTCAGGTGCTGTAGCGGAAGCTGTCTGGACCATGGGTGCTGAAAGGAATGGTGATGCCGTTATGGGTTTGGCTTATGCGCCTGGATTCCAGAACTTGAATTCATACCAGTGGGCTGTAAGTATCTTTTCCCCTTCTTGAATTGTGTATTAAAAACTGACATGATTGTGACTAATAGCCTGATCTCATCTCTTTTACTGCCAATCCAGCACAAACCGTACTCTCGGTCTCATACAGAGTGATTGAGCTCTTCGGGAGCAACACCCACAAAGAAACCGTACCTGCAGTCTCGAATTCTAGTTTCGGTCCCGCATATTGGGTTGCAGGGACCAATGGCCCATCCAAATATGTTTTCAAAACTGCGATCTACAATTCTACAGCAAACGTTCCGTTCAATGTAAAGTTTGATGGTATTGCTGCAGGAACGAAGGGCAAGCTGACGGTTCTGAGCGCCCCTGATGGATTGAGTGTCAATGCTCTGAACAAAGAAGATGGCACCGGTGTTGTGGTGGAGACCACCGAGAAGCGAGTGCAAGACTTGACTGCTAAGGATGGGGGAGTCTTTGGGTTTGAGCTCGCAAATTACGAGGTTGCTGTTCTGACAACCTAATCGCGAGTTGCCGGGAGGTTGTGTAGATAAAACGAATAATATGACTAGACTGTAAAAATTAAATGTTCTTGGTGGGAATTTCAATAGATGTTGACGATTTGTGAGAGTAAACTCAAATTTTCTAAGCTGCGATAAATGCTTGCCACGCACACTCAACTGTCTGGTGCTAAATCTATATTATTCTAGTCTATTTGGTCATTTTTCATTTTGTGACCCCTTGATAAAAGATATCATAAGTTGCCTTTTATCTATCTCCCATTGCAGACAACACTGAACCCCATACTCGAATCAGAGCGATCGCTCGTTGGCTGTATACATGATCTCTCTACACATCGAACCACCGGTATATCCCTATGTCTCTTACTTAGACCTCACCACTCCCAAGGGCGCCGAGCTGTATCTCATTCCTTCCACGTCATCTCTTATTTTCACGTGTACTTGCTTTAACTTCCTCGCCTGCCACATCACTCTCCACTGGTGTCTCTCTCGCCATTCTTTCTCTCGCTTGCTTCCTCTCCTCAAGAGCTTGGTAAGCACGACTCTCCGCCAATCGTTGATGCAACTTCTTAACTTTCATCTCAAAATTCTCATCAATTACGGAAACTGTGACACCCCTCGTCCTCCCACTGATCTTAGATACCTCCACATTGTCCATGATTCTCATGTCCTTGTCACCCTTGCAATTATCACTTAGCTTTTCAGCATAGCCCTCCCAATCCCTATAATCTTCCCACGTATCGAAAAACTTCTTCTCCTCCACCTTCATCTCCTGCTTCACATCCTTGCCTATATTCTCGAACATCTCTTCGACTTCTGCGACATGTTTCTTGGCTTTAAGCTGGACTATAACATTGGTTTTCTCCCGCTCGAATCTAGCAGAATCTCTAAGCGCTTGTTGTGCGCTCAAAGATTCTAGCTTGGCCTCGCTGGCTAATTTACTGGCATCGATAGCTGTCTTGGCCGCATCTATCGCGATGATTTCTGCTTTGAGAGATCGTAACGTCAGGGCTGTGAGATAATCCTAACATCCGGTTAACAAGTTGCAAGATGCTCCATGGAGTCTGTTTAATACCTCATTTTCTTCAGGCGAAGACCCGGGAGTGAAGGCAGGATCGGTGTCTGCGGTTGTTGTGCGGGACAGACTTGGACATTGTGAGAGTGTCGGTTCGCCTTTGAGAGACGGACTTTTGGGAATAGAGATCGGATAACGGATTTTGGAAGATCCTCTGGGAGTTGGTGACGGTTTTCTTTCGGTGGCCAAATGAGCATTGTGAAGCAAAGTGAGATTTTGTAGGCTGATGGAATCCGTTCTTGTTGGCCATACACTGGTCTTCGACGCATGTGTGTCCCCCATATTGGATGATTTAAATCAGATCTGATTCAAATGCTCAAGCCCAAAAATGGTTCTGTGAGTGCATTCGAAAAATTAACGTCCCTTCGTGCCATAATATATTGCAGTCGACGCGTCGCGACGATGCCAGAGCAAAAGGCGTGTTTTGTACCGTTTTGTATGTTGAATTTCATATTCACTGTCATAATAACAGGTTCCCATCTTCCGGGAACTTGGATTCCCGAAATAAGGTGTGATATGCCAAGCTTTTACCTGTTCACCTATTCACCTATCCGCCTTTGGGAAAGTCACTACACGATATATTTTGAGCAACTGAGCGGCTATCGCCATAAACAAAATAGGTCGCAGTCGAAACACGGTCTTTTCTCGATTAGCTTGACACATTATCATACATTCCGTTAATATTGCTGTTAAGTATCACTCTAAACTCTAATCGAGAACAATTTTTTTAGTCTAAAGATCAGGTGGACACTTGTCTTGTCTTCCGTGAGCCTCCTTGAGATGATGATTCAAAAGGCATAATATAAAGCTGGTAAGTAAGTATAATACAGATTTACTTCAAAAGGCTACCAAGGTAGTAACGACTTCTTTTGTATCATCGACGAAATATTCGATATTTCATCAATCGTCCTCAGTAGATGTCGTCTTTCGACTATCGCTTGTTTTGTGCGACGCGTGTGGGTATAACAACTGACTTTTTCTACCAGAAAACCATCCCAGAAATTCAGCAACCTCATTTTAGCTCTGTTTATCACTACGTTATACCATCATCGCTGAAGGTCGTAACGACCTGTTACCACAGATGATCTGCTAGCGTACGACTAAGTTGTTTTGAGGAAGGAGTTTTGAAGGCTAAAACCAGCCGTCTGCTTTGAAAGATGAACGAACAGTTAGAATCTGGAGATACAGGAGATAAAGATGATGTCGATCTGTTTCCTCAAATTAAATCACAAACCCTGACTCTTGAGTCAATATTAGTATTTTGGTATTTCTTCACAACCTCTATTGCTGTCTGAGTTGACTAAAAATTATAAGATCAACCGATTGCACCTGAATTGGCTATCTATTTCGTGACCTTACGGACCCACGACCGCCAGGTGTAAAGATTTAAACAAGTCTTGTTATTAAAAATAGAATAGACTCGCATGTTTGCCGTACACACATGCAACTGATCTTCTCCTTGAAAGTAACTATTTGAAGTTTTTATAATGAAGTAAGTCACTTCTACTACTCGCATGCTTCTAGAACGTCAGTTTTCTCGAACTTTGACACTTTCCTCTTCACTTTCAATCAACTCCAAACAAGCATCAATCAATGGAAAATGACTGTTTTCTGTTGCCATCACTGCGAGAATGAATTCGGGTTTTCTGCACTTCTTCCAAATTGAATCTACTCTTTTATTTTGAAACGACGTCATGTATTTTTCGAGTTCTTCGAACATGGACTGTTGCCTCATGAAACTCGCTTAGGGCCAAAGAAGTTCATTGAATGAGTACTTCAGTTCATTTGGCTCTGCAGTTCCAGTTCATCCACCTCTTTACGCTTCTTATGTCAACATACTTACAAGTACAATGCTAATGGACAAGTCCAAATAACAGAAGTAAGAAATTCTCAACACCTTAGGGGATAAGGGAGTAATCTGGGTCTTAGAGCCAATGCTCAAACTCAAGGCAGACAACTTTCCAAGATTTGTCCAAGGTAGCTAGAGAATTCTCAACGCTTTGCATGCGGAATAACTCTCTCAACTTCCGTGCAATTGAGGAATGCCAAATGCCAATTAGTGCATTTCCCTGCAGAAAGTCGGTAAACTCAGCCTCAGAATTTCACTACGTACCAATGCCATGGGTGTGCAGCTTAGCTGCGGCTGATGACTCTCTTTTTACTCGTCTGATATACGAGATAAGGTACGATAGCGTTCAAGCATTAGATGTGGAGACTTTTATTAATAAAGGTTCTGGAAACTCGGTCTAGAATTAGAACTTAGTCATGGAAGTCACGTACTTCTCGTTCCTTGTGGATCAGGTCCCGCAATTAGTCTGCATTGGCCGACGCTTGCGTGGCTTGCGGGGAAGGATTTGGCACTGTACTGACCACTTTCTTATCTTCATCTGGTGGATCGAAGTCTGCCCTACGGCACAACACTGGTTCGTGAGTTCTCGGAGTTCATGCCGGTAGCGCAGTGTCCTCAGAGCACCAAGATGCCGGTAGCGGTGTTCTGAGAGAACAAGGTTTGAGGCTCGTTTACTTGGGTGTCTGAGACCTGGGGGAACCAGCCCAGTATGGGAACCCTGCGACCCCCCCGGAAACAAGTACCCTAAGTCAGACCCGTGTTGGATCCGACTGATCTAAAGCTTAACCGGACGGACGTTATTCTTTGGAAAAGACATACGCAGGATTTTGACACTGAATCAACATTGTCTTCCCAAACATCCTCAAAAACAGAAAAGGGATTAAAGCTTGAAATCGAAAAATTGAAGAATTCGTTCAATTGAAAGTAAAGTTTCGTTGGTACTAGCTTCAAGATGAACTTCTTGCGACCAGCGTTGAATCTTGAGGCATAGAATGTGATCTAATTTGGTATCTTAGACAATTCGTATGAATAGGGGTCTGACGGTAAGCGAGAGTCGAGATAGATCCCCAATTCAACCCTCCTAAGATCAAGCGGGCTTTCTAGCACATCAGAAGCCTACAATTCTGTGGTTCTTCAAACTATCATTTAAGAATATTCTCCTCGATTACTCTGATTTTCCAAACCCCAGCCCCCCTTTTCTCCATCCCTAGCAATCGTCTTACGCACAATATGAGACATCACTCAGTCTACAATCCTATCGGCCGAACCGAAAAGCTAATCGAATTATTCTTCTGACAACTCATTTTGAGCAGTTTACATTGCATCGGGAGAGACACTTCCGCGGAGGGTGAAATATGTCGAAGTGCTCTAGTAAAGTCGGGCCGGTACTCCAGGTTGTAATATCTTAAGAAAGCTGTATAGCCTCCTATGTGCCGCAGGAGCACAGTAAAGCCCTTGAAGCTTATGCTTTTTCAAAGCTGTTTAGGACTAGGCAGTATTTGCAGTCGTCAAACAGCCAATTGGTCTTTCGTATCTTGTCGATCCCAAAAATAAACTGCAACAGAGAGTAGATACTCTGCAGAAATTACGGGCCAATAACGTGACATAGAATAGCTGACTTTCCAAGTCAGCAACTTGTCGGCAGCCCCGGTTTCGTTTCCGCTGAGTACGGGACTGAAGACGGGGGTGAACAACGCCGAAGAGAGTAATGTTCATGGGCACACAGCAAGTGGGTTTGAATGTACGTGTTTATTCATTGCTTCCGGACTCGTCTGCGGCCGTTTATTCTGACATAATCTACATGATCCAGACCCTCCAGGAGTGTATTCTCCAGAACTTTCAGTGGCACCACACCCTGTGAAGATCAATGCAGAGACGTTTGTGTTTCTTCAATCTCTTTCGTTAGTTTTACGAGATTAACAACATCCTGCATCTAAAAGGTTAGCAGCTCACATTCTGAAAGAAATAGAAACCCCAGAGGGGAAAAGTAGCATTCAACTACACGCTAGCGTCCTCAGACATCATGTACCAAAAATTGTAGATTTTCAAAGCTTCATCATCGATAAATCAGCACAAAAAGTGTTAGTACGTCAACACTTATTCACAGATGATAGTTCAATGTCAGTTGATGACATACCAAGATGGTCTGGATTGCAGTAGGGCAGACCCCGGGACACCCCAACTCTAGACATATGGCCCCACTAAAACGCTTTTAGGGGCTCCACTTGAGATGACAGCGTGCCGTTTGAGTACCTGAGCCCACTTTAGCATGTGCTGATTGGTATTCTCGCTTGCTGCTGGCTGGACACCACTTTATCTTGGTTCTCGCGATTTCGTACATTGAATCCCCGCAACACAATATAAGCTTCACTGATATCCACAACTAGACGAACAAATACAGCTTTTACTGGCTTTTAAACCAAACATCATTACCAAACTGACAGTCAACTTGTACTCCCGCTACGGCCCATCAACTACGGAAAGGAGTGCCAAATTCGATGAAACATGTCTGATAAACGAGTAAGAACTGGTTGCGCTACGTGTAGAAGGAGAAGAGTCAAGTGTGACGAAAACCGTCCAATCTGCCATCGGTGTAAGGCAGCGAACTTTCTATGTGAGGGATACCAACCTTTGCAAAGAGCTCCAAGCAGTCCATCAAAGTCAACAAGCCGTGCCAATAGTCGTGCAAACACCCAGTCACCGCCACGGGAAGATATTGCAGATCTATCGTGGCGGCACACAAATTGGAGGCACGACGAGTTGCCTCTTTACCACCACTTTGTCACTACGACTGTGGTCAGGCTCTTCAGAAATGACCATATTACGTTCTGGCGAGATCAGGTTGCTCAGATGTCTTACGGAGTTGACATCGTCTACGAAGCGTTATTAGCTATCGGTGCTATGCATCGTTCCTCACTGCTTGCTTGCAAGCAGGAAAGCGCACAAGAAGCTGCAAGATTTCGGGTTCTCGGATTGAGGTCGTATGGAAAGACGTTGCACCTGTTGCCCAGTCATTTAGCTGGGGATCTGTTGGCGGATCAGAAGCTTGCGGTTCTTGTTGTGCTCATGCTTCTGACCTATTTTGAGGTAAGATCATCTTTCAGTAAGGAGCCAGATCTCGACTGACCAGCATGTTAGTGTTTCATGGAAAATCCAAAGGGTGCTTTCCGGCACCTTTGGGCCGGTGTACAGCTGCTTAGAAACATGGAGAACAAACTGTCCGAAACAGAGGTCAACAACATGGTGCCAGTTTACGACGCTATGCTTCGACTGGATTTTCTCGCCCAGAAGCTAGTACCGTACTCTTGCTCCTCTTTTCTCCGCTGTTCTGACCTAGCAATGATGGAGTCACCATTCTGGAACCGGCCATCGCTGAAGTTTTCCGGGGCATCTCAATCCGATTCTGTTGCAGCGGAGCGTTACCGCCTGATACAGCTAATTTGCTCACACAACAAACTTAGCCGAGTCGTCTGGGGTAGCTGGTGTCCAACGAGTGAGAGACCTACTCGTGACGAGCTAATGGGCTTTCACTCGGAGATGGTTTTGTGGAGAGCGAACTCCCCAGCAACTTTCACGCCTTGTCAGGGGCTTGATGCTATCGAGGCGGTGAATGCGATGGACGTAGAGTCTCTGACTATGCCACCGCCAGCTGCTCACTTCGGCTGCAGCGATACCGCTCTAAATATTGCGATGTACAACGCTTATCTAGGATGCGCTTTAGCTATGATTGCCACCACAGATGATGACACTGCGGCCATAGAGATGGACGCCTTCAAACTCGTCTACCAAAATCTTTGTATCGGCGCCGGTCTTCTTGAAGAACATAAAAGGTTTGAAGATCCTTACAAACCTTGCGACGCTGTCGATACGGGAATCACAATTTGGCTTCATCATGGGCTTCGACGTTGTTACTCACGGGCTTGGCAAGATTGGACAATCCAAGCACTCCGCGCTATAGGTCGTGAAGGCCTGGTCAATGGCTTCACCTCAGCAAACACCCTTGAAATCATGTGTCAGCTAGAAGACCGTGTGAATCCGCCACTATCGCTGAACTCCTACCTCGGACCAATCCGCGAGCGACTTATTCCACTGCTTATGCCGCGTGGGGATAGTGATCGCTTTTTGTCCTTCTATTTGAGATACGGCAGCGCAACGGACGCTGGCGATGAGCGAGTGATACAAGTCATAGCACGAGCAACATGGAGACAAGAAACTCATGGAGGTTTGGAAGATCTCCATATGGACATTTATGATCAGGAAATTGCGGGCGACTACTTTGCGCCAGACCGCCCTCAGGCATTGTTGTTGTTTTCGAGCTGGAGAGAGGAAGTCGAAAAGGGGTGGCATGGTTATCTTGCTTCGGAGATTCAGGAAGGATTTTTGCATAAACAGTACAGCGATTCCTCTATTCAGGCGTTCTAATTTTGGTTTTTTTCTAGTGGCGGAACTGCCTTGGTTGAAATGTTTGTCTTGGTTTGGAGTAAGGACTGGTTGAAGATACCGGATTCATCTGTCAACTGATCGAAATTTCTAGAATAAATTCAAAAATCTATATTCATAAATCATAAGGTACCTACTCCACGCTCAGAATATCTGATTTAAACTCTCACTAACTACTCTCTTTGATCATCTTCAGAAGCGCCTCACCGGTGCCCTCAGCACTCGCAGGATTCTGCCCAGTCACCAGCTTCTTCTTCTCACTCACCACCACAAGTGGATCCCAAGCCTTCTCAGCCTTCTTGTAACCTCCTTCACTGGCATTGTTCAGATATGTCTCGAGGTGAAATGGCATGTCCTTCTGTCTATCCACGGCGATCTCCTCCGCGTTACTGAATCCGGTGATGTTCTCTCCTTTGACGAGGAGTGTGCCATCAGAGAGTTTGGCGTTAAGAAGTGCCGCAGCTCCGTGACAGAGCGTCGCAACAATCTTGCCTGATTCGTGGAATTCTCTGATGAGGGATGTTGAGACCTCGTTGTCTACTAGATCGAACATGGCTGAGGGTTGTCAGTCAGACTTTGTCTGTTATTGTTTTAGGAAGTACTCACGTCCAAAACCTCCAATGTAAAAGATGGCGGCGAACTCCTTAGAGCGACCGGTATAGTCGGAGAGCTTTTTGGTCTCTAGCCATAACTTTGATTTAGTTGCAGCAAATTCCATACAGTACGCATCCTCTTTAAAAAGCTCGTAGGAGACTGGGTCTAGGACTGTGGCTCCACCATTGGGCGAGGCAATAACGAGATCGACGTGTGGCGAGAGGACTTTGTATGGATGTGCGAACTCGGGCTGTTGCAAATTGTTAGATCTTATCCAGATGAGGAAAGATTTGAGAGGCAAAAGGAGAGAAAATGACGAACCAAATACCAGCCCTGAGTGCTTGATGAAGCAACGAGAAGAACTTGAGGTCTGGACATCTTGATTGGTTGAGATGTTTGTTTATTGGCTGACAATTGGCTGATTGTGTTGATGTGAAAGAGATGATAGTCTTTGGTGTTGATGAGTGATTGATTAAAGCAGGACTTCTAGATATATTTATATTGAAAGTGCTGGTCTGCACAATTGTCCAGATCGTGCGTTCAATCAGCTTTTGCCAGGGAGTTGTTTCCAAGACTACGGCTCCATACTCTCGTTACAATCGTCTATCTGGATTTCTCTATCAAATTCTGCGAGCCTCAATATGCGATAGACCCTCATTTACGTATAATTGGACGTCTAGCACGGGACAAAACGGAACGAGACGTCGTGTTACAAAGCCGTTTATCCTTCGGGCCACTCAAATAGCTCGCAAAACCGCAGGTTTGTGGAAAACAAGTGCGGCCCCATTCTCTTGCTTTGCTCGTTACGAATGAGTGAAGTCTTGACCAGTTTTTCCGTCTGACATGGAGAACTGAAATGCACGTAAGCTTTTGTTAGGGTGGCTTCGTACTTTACTGTGGGTGCACCGACTTGTGATTGGTTCGCGTGGCTCGTTACGCTCGAAGCGAAATCTCCTGTTCTGGGGACCGCCCCCGAAGCTGACATAAACTACGTCTGTGTGGGGGTTCACCGTTCAATCTAGGCTTACTTATCGAAAGTGTAAGGATTCTTCGAAGTGACAAAAGGGTCTTGTGACTCATTTGGTATTCTGGAATTCTGTTCGGTTGCGTCCTGGCGAGGAGTAGAATATTTCCACTTCGAGTATCGAGTCCCGAGTTATTTTCTCTCTGTTCCCCTTTACACAAAGAGAAAGTCATCAACGAATCTCTCATATTTCGGAATATGAGAGATTCATTTAAAACAAAGTTCGATCTTGAGATTCCGCAATACAACTATCAACTGTCGTATTCATATTAGGCGACAAATCTTGAACTGAAAAGATGATCTAGTATTATAATTAAGCATCAAAATCAGCACCAATTTACCGATAAAGATGTTTAAGAGAGCTACTTTCAGTAATCGAAATTGACAACTATTTGTAGACTGTTTTAGAAACAGGAATAAAGAAATCTCAGTAATTCTCAACACTTTATATTCTACTTGTTGTTACCTGGTGTTTGAACTACGACTCTAGATGAGAAAGACTGTATTTGTCTGGAATCGTGCGGATTCTCATTTCCAACGCATCCAGCGGTTACTTTGCTCTCATTGTATACGTTCCGAGTATGATTTTTTCGAGATGCAAAGTTGCTATAGAAGCGATGAGAATCACGCATAGTCGATATCTCCTCACAAAGGGGCATTTCGCCCTTTCCACATCTCGTTCCGTGATAAGGATACTGTTGTTTACTAGAGTTTAACGAGACACTAAAACTTGAAGCCGCCGTACTTTGAGCTTGAAGTGTAGCAAATCCAACCCAGAAACAAGAGGGCATTGGGTAATTTCCTAACACTCTCATATACTAGTCGTCTCTCAAAAAATAGTATAATATTATTATCGCAGAATCATGGCAAATTGATATTTTCAGAGATTGAATAAATAATCGCAACTGTAATCGTAGCATTGTTGCTGTGAGACACTGTAGTAACGGTAACAGCAGCAGCGGAAATATGGAAATCAGTTGTGCTGATCCATGAAAAACCTTGAAATTTCTTGTCGAATCTAATGTTAAATAAGGTAAAGATTCCAGTTCACTGAACGATGACGGTAAACGCAGCAATTGTCTTTGGTTTAGAGCCTCAAAAGTGGGAGTATTCGCTTCGATTTGGGAAGATACCGAAAATTGGAGGTATTACTGCATCGTGGTATGTTATTTGGATGGTTCAGCTCACAGGAAATGTGGAACTTGTGATTTCTCCATTACTATAGCTCGCTCGGGAGAGGTAAAAGTACTTCTCAAATTCTACACCTGGAGTTGGTTGGAGTCATCAATTTGTTGGAGTTTCAGACGATAATTCAGTACCAAAACCTTTCAATGGTCTATTCGCAAATGAGTCGGTAGCTGATTATCCCAGTGCAACTGCAATAAATAGACAATACTGTATCACGATGGTCTCACACGCAGGGCACACGAATACGATGACGAATAGTGCTGTCGCAACCTCCATTATGAAGCATCAAGACTCATTCTCAGTGGTATCCTGGGTGACGAGCAAATATTAACAGCGAACTTCAATTCGATTGTGTCCGACTACTTGACAGATATTTTAAAGATCTAACCAGAATTGTCATTTTTTGAGAAAACAAACAGCAGAATCGCTAGCAGTATGACGAAAAAAAGCACACAAACAAGGCCTTTGAGGATGCTGATGGGATGTGGTAATGATTTTCAGAGTGTTAAAACTTTTGACAGAAATGATGGTCTTAATTAACTTTTTTGTGTTTCCCCATCACTTCCAAAATGAACAACCACGTCAGAGCAATTATACTTGTAGTCGGTGGTAATATTATATAAGTGGTAATTACTGTAAGTAAGCAGCATAATGAAACAGGTGAGACACGCCGTATATACCAAGATGAGTTTGAGGTGTTTCAAAACCTACGAGAAATTCTTTCTCATTCCAGAGACAGGTAGTCAGAGCATGTAGTTCATTTGATCAAGCATGTCAGATTATGGACTCAGCAACACTTGCAGGAGGGCCTCTGTCGGAGTTCCCTCCCGTCGTCTATCAACTCTAAACAGGAAAGCTTCATACTGGCTACGATGTGCGGATTTTGGCGGTTCTCGAGTCCTACTTGGGGCGATGCCAGTAAAGACAAATAAATGTCGATTTCAGAAATCACGCTAAGGCTGCTCCTATTACTTATGGTATGCTTCTAGGCTCAAAGAGTTGTTTTTTCCATTACTTGACAGTTACTGATAGGTTTTAGGATACAGCCGACCACTATCTGGCACACCTTCTGATCTCTCATGAATGTGTTAGAGCTTATTGGTATTGGTTTAGGGAGATGCATAAGTCAGTTTTGGAGAAATTTCGTTCTTTTGCATGAAGATCCGGAAGTCATGTTCTGTGTTATGGAAAAGTGTGATTTTGATTAGATCAAGATATCTAAACATGTGTTTTACCGCAACATCAACGAAAGACTTATCACTGTGAACGCGACCAAGAGAGAAGTATCTTTAGTTTTGTTGTTCAATACTATAATATATTCTTCAATAAATCGATGTAGCGAAAGGGATTGAATTAAATCCTTACGTAGCGATCTCGGACTTGGTCGTTAATCTAATATGGTATAGATTGCTTACGAAGAACGATCAGTGCCTTTTCTCATAGCTCTGTGAGCTAACAAAGTAGTGGTTTCCGATATACCTGATAATAATATCGCGGGGCTAAACTAATTTCATCAAATTATTAAGCACATTTATCCCTCGTCAATCTGATTTAATTTGAGCTACACTATAAATCTTTACCCAAACCTGGAAATTTTATAAGAGTCTAGGATAGTGGTTTTCGTGGTTTGAAATATCGATGAAGAATTAAGAAAAGTTTCGAGAAAAGATTATGAAAGAATCGGGAAAGAACTGGAAAATGTCGCGAAAGAGTCGAGGAAGGCTTTTCTATTTAGAGAACATGCGAGCTTAACTAACCGTCGAAGCTTTTGAAAATTAGACATTATTATTCTAAAGACCTACGTAGGTAACGAATTACTTTAAGAAGCTAATAGCAGTATTCACGTCTCTTACAGCATTTGACAAATGTACACTCTTCATTCATCTACTAAGCAACCTCTTAATGCTATCTATATTAATTACAAAGTCTAGGTTGCCGTGGCTTTTGGTAAACAAGAGCAAGCTGAGCTAACTCTGGAGACTATGTCACCACCACAAGCAGAGGCAGCATATGGCTTAATCAGGGTAATGTCGGTGACAATGTACTGAGTATAATAACTCGCGCAGAACTCTTGCGACTCGGCCAAACGACCTGACACGCTGGTAGAGCGGAGCGCACGAAGACAGTTGTCAGCGCTGCACCCTCTTGGATTTCTGTTTGAAAGGCTAGTAAGCAAGTGACCCATTGAAGCGGAGATGAAATCGCCAGAAATTTCGCAGAGTACTTACGGGCTTTCTTGAATTGCCTTCAACATTGCGAAGTATGCAGGCTTTGGCTTGTAATTCTCGTCCCAAACCAAGGCGGAACCTTCACCGATGAACACACCAGGAATCCTATAGAGATTAGTTTATGGCCTATCGGAATGTGTGCTTAACAAATAGATGAAGCAGGGGTGAAGGTGGTCTTTCTTTTACTCACCAGGAATACTTGTCGGTTATACCCTAATCAATCGGTCAGTCACAGTCGTTCAAGAGGTAGAGGAATCTGCCTACCCAAATTGTGATACCTTCACATTTCTCGACAGCCATGCAGGATCGAACAACACGAGCATATGCTTCTGCCTGGGCTGCCTGTTTTGCAGGTGTAACAGGGGTGTTCATCCGCACATCAAGTCTAGAAAATTGTCAAGTTAGCATCCACACACCTGAGAATCTCCAATGGCTGCGCCAACCACAGGAAACAATTATTAGAACGACTTACTCGGTGTATGCTACATTGACACCCTGAACAGTCATCTTCTTCAAAGCAGCCTCTAGAACGCCTTGGTCAGGGGTCACAGCGGCGGAAGTGGGCGTAGATTCGGAAGTGAGATGTGCCTGAAATCCAACACCTTGAATCTTGACACCATGAGACTTTACAAGCGCAACAATCCTGGCAGCCGCGTCGGTCTTAGCATTATTATACTCGAGGTTGTAGTCGTTATAGTATAATTTTGCATTGGGATCAATTTCGGATGCAAATTTGAATGCAAGTGGGATGAAGGACTCGCCAATTGTATCGTAGAAAACCGACGACCGATAAGTACCGTCCTCGTTCAGAGCTAGCGAGCATTGTCAGATTATGTAGCTCTCGAAAATAGCAAATATCATATGACTTACCCTCGTTGACGACGTCCCATCGAGTGCAAGAACCCTTGTATCTACCAGCAACAGCCTTGATGTGGTCGTACATAATAGAGATCAAGGTTGCATTGTCAAATTTTCCCTGGGATACCCAGAGTGGTAGCTGAGAATGCCAAACAAGATTATGGCAATGAATCTGCTTTTTCTGCGTCGCAGCATAGTCTCGAATGGCATCTGCGCCATCAAAGGTGAAGACCCCACGAGATGGCTCAGTAGATTCCCATTTCATGGCATTCTCAGGTGTGATTGATCCAAAATCAGCATAGTTGTCGACAATGGCTCTCTCTTGAGCATCCACCGGATTTCGGATTGTCAAAGCAGCTCCAAACCAGTTCTTTCCTTTGGCAATCATCTCGGTGTGAAGACCAGTTGCTCGCTTGTGCAGAGTGCTAACGCTGTATAAATATTCGTAAGCAAAGAAAAACGATTATATTTAGATAATACTTGCGTTGGTGATGCCGAAGCCATTGAGGCCAGGGCCAAAGTGGCGACTGCTTGAGCTGGGAAATGCATAATGATGAAGTGTAGATGATGAGCAACGAAGTCGAAGTTGAAAGTTAAATGACAGATATCAGCGTCTTATATATACTCCTTTGTCAAAAATGAATATGTCCGCTTCATCATGCAAGATGTTGGGTCGTATGCAGGCACATCTTGCAGAATCCCGCCTCTCAATCCCAGCATCGAAGCTCTTCGGGTGTAAATAATATAAAAGAGAGCTAAGAATTCTTCCGGTCAATACAACCGGCTTGGGTTGTCACGACAAGGACATTTCTTCGCGTACATGTTTCCCATACCTGTTATCCGAGCATGTCGTCGCTCTGGGCCCTGACCCAAGGACGCGGATGAGGGGAGAAACAATGTTCCAGCATCAAGCCGCCCATGTCACTATTCATGTGTCTGGAAGAAATTAAGTATAGCGATTGGATGGTTTTTACGGGTAAATACCATGTTCTGACTATTGAGATTCACGCAGCAGAACCTAGATAGTCCCCCGCGTTTGGCTCGGAAATCGCCGCCTAAATAGGATTTTGACCTGGAGTCAGGCTTAATCGATCCACCTATTTGAGGAGAATCTTATTCTACCCGAGCGGATCTCAAAGCTTCTCGTGAGCCTCCTTGAGCGTAAAGAGCAATTTACCCGAATCATAATTTATCCAGCTCGGGAACTAGGGCAACCCCATACCCCGCATACTCTTCCTTAGTCGCCACCCAGTACGACATGCGCCGGATGTGACGCGCCTACGCGTTAGAAAGCAAAACTGATGTTCTTACTATGAGAAATATAACATCAGTACTCTGCTAGGGTCGCAGACGTGCTGTGTATTTGCATTTCTCTAACTATGTTATGTCCTTCGCATTCTAAAGCTCACCGTAGCGCCTTGTACTATATTAATTATTCGACTTACTCGTAAGGGTAATAAAACGACTTAGTTGTTCCCTCAATAAAAGCTCTATGTCTTTGAATCTTTTTTTATAATATGACTGGTCGTAATGTCGGAACGGAGAAAGTATTTACCGCCAAAATTTTCACCTCATAAAGCTCATCACGTGTATCAACGCAAGCTAACCACTGTCAATGAATTAGTTTGTTCATCGGTAGGTCGCTACACCCCGTGAAGCGATTTGACCTTGCGGAACCTATTCATGAACAAGGTCAGCGCTTTGCGTAAAGCATTTCAGCCATGTATATCTCGATTTTTCCGCACCCTTTGGAAACTAAGCTTCAAGAGTGGACCATCACAGTCTCACAAGATAAATGCCACCTCAAATCTCTTTCTCTATACCTCTGGTAGATGGATGTAAGGAATTTGAAGTCCAACTGGAGTCTAATTTCTAACATTAATAGCTAATATTACCTAGTTATAATGAGTCTATGCGTCTCAAAGAACGAGTTTTACATTTCGACGTTGCTGAACTTAAAAAAGCTGCTGCAGCTACAGTCCACAAAGATGCAGCTGATGTTTCCAACTTCTCCAAAATTGCGGAGGGCGGATTCAACAGAGTCTTCGAATTGACCATCGATGGCATCCCAGTCTTGGCAAGACTTCCATATCCGGCGACATATCCAAAACACCTCACCATTGCCAGTGAGGTGGCTACTATCAATTTAGTCAGATCATATGGAGTACCAGCTCCTAAAATCCTCGGATACTCTACCACTAGCAACAATGCAGTGGGTTCTGAATATATTATCATGGAAAAGGTCCACGGTAGAGATCTCGGGGATATTTGGTACGAGCTTTCCGAAAAAGAACGTCTAAAAGTTCTCTCACAGGCCGGGAAATTAGAGTCCATTCTGTTCTCTATACCTCTGCCTGCATATGGGAGCGTGTACCACAAAAGCGACCTCGGAGTCGGAAGTGAAAGCGTCGATTTCAAAGGTGGGGATCTGGATGCCACGCAGTTCAGTATTGGACCAGATGTTGCACAAAAATGGTGGTACGACGGCCGGGATGACTTGCCATTTTCTCGTGGACCATGTAATTATGAGCGCCAAAACTTCTAAGTGTTAAATTCATGATAGCTGACTTCGAAGACAGTCACAAAGATCGACGATGTTTTCACGGCTGGGGCGGCAAAGGAGATAGCATGGCTCAAAACTCACGATCGGCCCCGCCTTCCCCACATACTCGCACACAGAGATCTTTACAATTATCAGAAGGTATCTCCAGCAGACCACTTAGCAAGCCTTGAAAAATATCTTCAAATTGCTCCATATATGTTCCTCGCGATGATTTCCTTTCGCGGCCCACCCTTCGCCATCCGATCTCAACCCTCATAACCTTTTCGTGTCTGAAGACTTCACGATAACGGGTGTAATCGACTGGCAACACTCATCTGTCCTGCCGCTCGTTCTCCAAGCCGGTATTCCTGCGACTTTCCAAAATTTTGGAGACGAGGTGTCGCGTAGCCTCAAGATGCCTCGGCTTCCAGAGTCATTTGAGACAATGGGAAAAGCAGATCAGCAAAAGGCGTTAGAGCAATACCACAAAAGAGAGCTTCATTACTACTACTTTATTGCTACATATAAGCATAATAAACCTCACTACGATGCCATGAAACCAGAAGCAACAATGCCCAAACAAAAGCTGGTAGAATACGCGAGCGCACCGTGGGAGAGCGATAATATTTCTCTCAAAGCAGAACTTATTCGAGCTATTCAGAACTGGTCAGTACTTGCTGCAAACAACGCCAATGGCTCGGTCCCCAAATGTCCGATAGACTTTTCAGACGATGAAGTAGCGGAATATCTAAGCTTACAGGATGAGCAATATCTCATTGATGTGAATATGGAGAAAATCCGTGATCGGATTGGAATCAGTACAGATGGATGGACTGCAAATGAGAGATATGAAGATGCTCTTGAGGAAAATGAACATGTAAAGACGGAGGCATTGGCAACACTTGATGATGATGCATCAAAGAAGGAGTTTCTTGAAAACTGGCCGTTGGATGATCACGACGAGAGCTGGGAGGTTGAGGGCTCGTGAAACAAAACATGTTGTATTGTACACGACACAACCACTGGCTTTGAGTCAATGGTTGAACTCATTGCTACATGAAGTATTTGGTGAAATTAGAGGAGACCTTGACGTTTGAATAAATTGCAGAAACAGCAATTGCCGCCTAATGGTCAAGTCAATGAATTGCTTCCCTCTCAATATTTCAACGTTTACGGAGAGAATTAACCACAGCCTGAACCAGAAATAGGTGGAGAGAAGCCTTAGGTGATCAAACCTAGGACGGACTTGACCGTGATATGTGAGCGTCCTGAATATGCTGAATTTAACGCTGAGACTCAGACTTGCAAAAAGCGTAAATCTACGTGATGATTAGTTCTACTGTATTACGTGGACCAAACATCTCGAAGATATGACATGACTGGGCTGAGTTCAAGAGGTATGGGTTTCTACTAGCGTTTATCTGATTATCAGAATGAAAGCTCCTTCTGCAGGACAAAATATTCAGAGGAAAGTTTACTAGTAAGAAAAAGTGACATATTCACAAAGGTTTCTGCCCATTCACCTCAAAGAAGAGATCGATCTGGTGAACCTCATCTTCAAAAACAATGCGTCATCGCATGCTGTTAACCTACCTAAGTAGAACATCAAAAGATGAGGCTTTCATCCTCTTAATAATTTTCGAACTCCCATCTACAACACCAGCCTTCGAATTTTCCTCAACATCAAGACAACAATCACGAATCTACACCAAACCACACACAAAATGTCATCCTCCTCACCACCCTCCGTCGAACCCTCATCTTCCCACCCATCCCCCTCATCACCAACCTCCCTCCCAAACAACCCCAAACAAATCATCCACTCCATCCTCAAAATCACCGATTCCTACAGTCAAAACTCTAAGTTCCGCAACAAACGCCTCCGCTACCATCATAAATGAGATTACCGCCGTCCCTCCCAGTCCTACGAACTCGAAGACGAAGATCTCACCGCCATCACAAATGCTCTCCGAGACTATCCTATGTTCGGAAATCATGGTGCTACTCAACGTTCAGGTTCTAATGTACATGGTGCTTCTGGTGCTGGGGACGGCTTTCTTGACGTTTTTCGTGGTCGTGATCGTACAGCTCGTCCGCGATATGAGAGAGGCGAGGGTGATGGAGAGCGGGATTTGGAGGTTGGTAGGGGTGGTGGTGATGGGGCTGGTGCTGGATATGGGGTGGGTGACGGTGTTGGGTTTGCTAAGAGAGAGATGAGAGGTGAAAAACTCGGGGATTGGTTTGGAACTGCGCGGGAGGAGGTGAAAGGGGAGACGGGCGAGAACTGGAAGTTTGGAGCAGCGCGGGAGGACGTGAAGTCGTTTTTCGAGGCGGTTAATGATATTAAGGCGTCTGAGTTGGATGGATTGGGCGTAAGTTTGGATTGTGCTAAGGATAAACATGGCTAATTTTATGCCAGATATTTTTGACGGACGAAAAGGCTGCTATGGCCCAGAAAACTCCTATCCGAGCTGCAAAGCCCAGCCGCACCGCCAGATCCGTGACGTTTGCAGAGAGTGCGGACGTCTATAAATATGACCCCGACTATGTGGGTTGCGCTATACACCTCGTAAGCAATTTCATATTAACAAAAATAGGTACGATCTATTTCTCCACCGCATGAACGTCAACGACTACAAAGCCATAATCTCCAAACCTGGTGCGCCCTCCCTGCGAAGCGTGAATCTCAGCCTGTAATGTTACGTCCACGAGCTTTCCCATTCCGCCAGACTGGTCAACCTGTCCCTCAAACAAAAGAAGAAGAAATGGTCTCATTCGCACAATGGCTAGCATACCAAGAAAGCCGTCGCTTCAAACGTCTCGCCAAACGTTCCGCTGCCAGAAAGCCAGGTTTAGCAGCAAGGATATGCGATCGTCGTAAGAATCCAATACTTTCGCTTGCTACGAAGCCAGATGGAGAGAGGGAGTGGGTAGATATCCCAGTCGACGAGACTGATTTCTCATCGCCGGGATGGAGATGGGGAAACAACGGGGAGCAACGAATTAATGCGTTGCTTAACCCAACTCAGCAGGCTCCGTCAACGCCCAAGGGATTTCGGGAGCCGGACAGTTATTTCTCTAACGCGGATGTTCCGATGTTATGGGGTTGTGGTGAGGATACGAGCAGTGTGATTGCCGAGGTGGGAAGTGCAATGTCGGACTTGCATATTACCGAGTGAGAAAAATAGTTTTCTCTTCCGATGTTGTGAGCAACGAGAGATACTTGATATGCAAGGAAGTGATATTGAATACGAAGTTCCGGAACAAGTTTTTGCCTCGACACGATATTGCATACATATATGTAGCATACCATTGAATATCATCGAGTAGACGAATAATATCCTTACCTGCGAGTGCATGCAGCTAGATATTAATAGTTTTTGGTTCTCGGGGATCATTAATATATTTCTAGTATCTGTTTAGCATGTACAGAGCGGACATAGAATAGGGATCGGCTTTAACAGGGCCGAGGGCCGATTCTTTTATCAATATTAAGCTATTGATATTGCACCCAACGACTTAAGTCTAAGAATCCTGAAAATCACTTAATTCCTCATCATTCCAACTACAACATCTGTTAGCATACATTCCATGAGGTTTAAATCACGAACTTACTTCCACAGCTTTCCACCCAACTCGTGCCCAGCACCCAGAGCCAATCTGGCCATTACATTCCCTGGCTGCTCAGGTCTCAACAACTTACCACTCTCATGCAATGTCTTGAACTTTTCCGCATCCTTTGCATCCATCACCGTGGAATGTCCTCGAACGACTTTCTGCATGTCAGTGTCTACGACACCTGGCCTAACTGAGATCGAAGTGATATCAGGTTCTTCAACATTCAGTGTCATGGTGAGATGATGTAAAGCTGCTTTGGAAGACCCGTAGGCACCCCAAGTTGAGTAAGCTCCAACAGCAGCTCCTGAGGAGGTGAAGATTATTCGCCCTTTGGTTTTGCGTAGGGAAGGTAGCGCGGCTTGAACCTGGATTATATTTGTAAGATTGGAAGTTCCAAATGAGATGGGCTCTTACGAAAGCGACAGCGCTGAAGACATTGGTATCATAGAGAGTCTTCCATTCTTCGGCGGTGCAGTCTGCAATCCGTTTCACAGGCGTAAGTGTGCCATGATTGATGATTATGCTATCAATTCGAGTGAACGATTTGAGACAGATGTCTACTGCTTTGGCGCCATTCTAAATTTGATTAGCTTGACTCATTTAAAACTCGGTAAACATGCTGCAATTCAGGTGGCTTTCTGCTATACCGAGCTGTCATATGCTTCCCTATTCGGATCATTACTTGCAAAGTGCGATGACAACATACGACCATTCTGGTACCACAGAGCAAGAAAAATTTAAAGTTAATCTTCCGCTTACCAAGAAATCATTAAGGTCGGCAGCCAGGTACTCAACTTGACCAGGATATTCCGCTTTCAACTTCTGCAATGGTTCTTCACTTCTTGCGACCAGCACCAGCTTGTGTGATGCCTTTAAAAGAAATTGCGCAATGGCAAGACCAATACCTCGGCTCGCCCCGGTGAGGAGAATAACTTTGTGATCAGTTGTAGACATCTTGGTTCCTTGATGAGGAGAGAAACCAAGGGAGTGGGATGTGGGAGGATGTTTAAGTGGGTCTGGAAATTTATACCCCTGTCGATCAGAAGACGTCACGATGTTGAGATTTGGGGATTGACCTCGACAACAACACCCACCATGTCACGAATCTCCTGCTACATTTGCATCTCGACTGCTCAATTAAGACTGCAAAATAAAGTTGCATCTGAATTTGGTATACTTATGAGGCGATGGGCTAGATTCGCGTTTCATGGCCCCCTGTGAGGCGGTTCTTGCTGTCTGCTTTTCATCCGCAGAATTCCTTACCAACAGATAACAGATATTCTAGAATGACCTCGACCTGGTTTGCTTTTACGAGTATTACTCGAATCCTGGATAATCTTGAACGGAATGCGCTCTCCTACAGTGGCCCAAGGACTATTCCTCAGTGACCGGTATGGAAAATGTCAAGAGGGGAAGGAACCTACAACGAATGGCACAGTGATCCTCCACAGTTCTTCTATTGACTTTACGAAACAGAGTCCGATCAGATTGGGTCATGGAAACTGAAGGTCTCAAATATGGTGTTTCTTGGACGGCACGCGCAGCAATTTTTTCCACCTTCGTCCGACCACCATTGCGTTTCTCCTTACAACAGCTAGACAATATCAGCATCTCACTGTTTGCACGATTCACGGCCTCAGATACTGAACATCAAACATCTGCCGGACCGGAAACGCTTACAACAACGCACTAGGTCCTAGAGATGGCATCACTCAAAGTCGGTGAGTGTCATGGTCAAAGCGGACCTGACGGCAGCTGCCCTCACTGCTCAAGTAGCAAATACCATTGAATTGACTTTGCATGCATATAGAAACATCACCTCAGCCCCATATCTGCTTATATATCTGCCGGCAAGGCGTTTACTCCGTGCCACACATCTAAGACATAAAGCGGTGGCTCGCCGGCTCGGCAGGGCGGCTGTATGCCCAGTCGGCGGGAAAGTTTGTTAGGAAAAGCAAACATGATATATATTAAAAAGGCATGGTTTATGACGTATCTCATGTATGTTTCGGATGTTAGGATTTGGTGCGAAACACTATTGATAGCCATGTTCGTGCTGAATGTGGCCGATGAGCATTGGCCTAGGTTGACATTCTATACTGAGTTGTCTTTCTTCTACATCCAAGAAACAATATGTTGTCGTCTTACATATTGAGATCGTAAGTATCACCACAGAACCACAGAACCATACGTCGGATACGAGCTAGTATGGTTTCAAACAGGGCCAAGTTAACCCCCACGAGGGAATCACGTTAATGTCACGTTTGAGTCACCTGATTGATACGCTTTGCGGGAGCATCTGGATCTGGAATCTGGTTGCCCGCCACTACGGATGCCCGTCAAACATCCCGCGAACCAATCACATTATTAAAAATGCTGCATTTCATGTGCGAAGGAAAAGGGAAACAAGGGAGCCACTTTATATCACCCAAGATTTCGTCTATTCTTTGAATTTTTCGGTATTTTCCACATCGAACTGACAGCCTGGAAAACTTGATGTAGGTTCATGTAATTTGCTCACATTGCAGCGTCTCAACCCTTCTTGAGTATTCTAGGGGGTATAGACATTGACTCGTAATACGCCGCTGAGCCGGACGGTGACTTTCCACCGAATGATGTGATGTTGTGGTCATCGAATCAACTTCAACATTTCACACATCCACGGCACATTATCAAGACTATACGAACCGCCTCGACTCTCGGGAGGCACTAGCGACACATCATCTCACCTCTTAGTTTGTCAAGACGGGCCAGCACGAAGCCATCGACTCAGTGGCACTGCGACGATGACCAGTCTGCGACGGTATTGGTTGACAAAGCAGTGTTTATTTCGGTTTCGGAACGCGCTCTCGACCGTTAGTGAGAAGCCTTTGGACTAGAAAAATGGTCGACATGATGGACCAGGTTAATGGCATACAACCAACGTGGTTAAATCACTTTGCCTGACGATCTTCGCCATGGAGTTCGTAACGCAGGTACATCAATGTTCTTAGGACCCGTCGGGACGAACCACGATTCCATCGTCGGATCGAGACTGCATGCCGCTGCAGATTTATATACTTGCCTACATCATCCCACGTCCGCTCCATACCTATACTTTTTTCATGCATTCTTGCTGCGAACCTTCATATATTAAGTCGATCCTGATTTCTAAACGATTTTTTGATTCACCCATTCATTGTTATTTCTGACACCCCGCAAAAATCTGATACCGGGAGCGTCCTGTATTATTCAAACTTTTACCTGTACCTTCCCCTTCCACGTCTATCTATATAATCCTAGTCTCGCTCCTTTTCCCTCCACCTGGGCCGCACAATCAGTTACGGCCAGCGTATATTAATACCCAGCACTGCCAGCTCCCATCTCCCACCTCCCACCTGCTGCTGCTCCTGCACGTTTCCTCGGTGTCGGCACTTCCAAGGTTGGCTTGCTTTTCCCAAAAACTCGTGACGAGACGTCAGAAAACGCAGGGCCGTCGCCCCAAAAAACCAACGTCCCCACCGCAGAAGGCCCGCCAGCTGGAGCTTCGCAACTCCCAAGGTGCATCCAAGGCCACCCCGACGGATCGCCCTCCGCGAGACTAGCAGCGCTCCTAATCACCTTCTGCACTCTTCTTTGGGCCCAAGCCGTGCATTGCATTGCGTCCAGGACCGGACGGAGCGTGCAGCGGTCTCCGAACATTTATTATTTTCTCCCATTATTTCTCTCGAAAATCAATGGTCCTGAAGGATCGCTCCCTACATGTCCAGCGGGCGCAAGACAAGTCGAATCATTTTTCGCGTACAGAGGGTGCGGGCTGCGAGTGGTGACGGACGCTGTCGTGTCGATCGGATTTGAGCGTGGGTGGAAGTCAGATTGGACGTTGGCCGCATCATCATCACGCAGCGCACGCAACTCTGGCAGGAAAGGAGGGACGGGAAGAAGAGTCTGGATTTTTTGAGACTGGAATTGAAAGACTTTGACGGCAATGTCAGGGAGGGCGAGGGCGTCGCAAAGGTTAGTGAGCTGGTGTAGTCTGGTCGCATTCATATCTCAATGATTATTGCACCTATGCTAACACGAATTGTCGGTCACAGGAGAGACTTTAACATTGTCGTACTCGGCGCTGGTGCGTGACTATTTGACATTCCCAAAATACACTCAGGAGATTCATCATTGCTGACAATCTCTGCATCTAGGCGGTGTTGGCAAGAGCTGCCTCACTGGTAAGGCACCCCAACTGGTGGTATTACCATCCATGTGGTTACATTATCTGACATCATATTACAGCGCAATTCGTCCAGAACATATGGATTGAAGCGTACGATCCTACGATCGAAGACTCCTACCGAAAGCAAATTGATGTTGATGTAAGCACCTCTCTTCTAGAGCATGGAAATTCCCGTTTCTGTTTATGCGTTTACAAACGGACTCTTTTGAAATCTGCCATACTTTTCTACCGTGGTCCCACTGACGTGTCTATCGTAGGGCCGCCAATGCATGCTTGAAATGTAGGGACACCCGATGTTACAGTACCTTGACCCACAACTCACAGTTATCTAGTTTGGACACGGCAGGGACAGAGCAATTTAGTGAGTTTACTTTGCATGAACTCCTTGGGTTGTCACATGATCACTTACTAACCTGTGACCAGCTGCGATGAGGTATATTCTATAATCTTTCGACCCACAGATGAGCATACTAACTCCATTAAAGAGAGCTGTACATGAAAACAGGCCAAGGATTCTTACTCGTCTTTTCAATAATCTCGCAAAGCAGTCTTCACGAACTCTCCGAGCTCCGAGAACAAATCATCAGAATCAAAGATGACGAAAACGTTCCCATCGTTATCGTTGGCAACAAATCCGATTTAGAAGAAGATCGAGTGATCAGCAGGTCGAAAGCTTTCAGCGTAAGCCAAAGTTGGGGGAATGCACCTTATTACGAGACGAGTGCTAGAAGACGTGGTGTGTAACGCTCTTTCTCTTCCTCGAAATATACATATCACTAGTACTAAGCCTACCACAGCAAACGTAGACGAAGTCTTCATCGACCTCTGCCGCCAAATCATCCGCAAAGACAACACCACCCACGCCCAACGCGAAGAAGACCCTTACGCGCAGTACCGCGATCCAGGTCGCGAGCGTCACGCCCACCGAAAACGCAAAACCCATCGTAGGAAGAGAGAGGGTGGTTGTATGATTTTATGATATGGGTTATGATATCTCTGGCGTTTTGAGTGGTGAAAATTGGCGTTTGGGAGGATATTTAAAAATGAATGTTAGAAGGTAGATTGAGGGGTTGGGAGGATGAGTAGATAGGGAGAGAATGTGGGTGTAGAAAATTCTTGGGTTGGACGTTTGAGCGTCAGATTCGGTATCTAAAAGTTGGAAAAATGGGAGAAGATGAACTGTGTGATGACTAGATTTGCTTTCTACTTGGTTCTAGATTAGACGGTTGGAAATCAAAAGACTCTTTCTTGGATGCATACATGGAGGTCTTAGTCGCTCTCACTTGAATCGTAAAACACAAACCTGGTCTTTCTGTTGCGTGCTTATTCTAAATTGCTGTACATCTTTGCGTACGAGTCTGAGAAGTACCAGACTACCAGTTTTGATAACATAATTTACACTTCTCATATCCGTATAACTTACCCAAATTGTTAGATCATTCCTTGGAACTAGGTATAGTTAGAGGATTTACTACTAATAAAATATTGTAGCATATAAAAGATGCTTACATAGTTTCCCTTTAAAATGAGCTCTTCACTTCTACGGTCTTTTATGGGATAAAGATGTGCACTATAGTCAAGCGGCATACTTTATGTTTTCAACAGCAGGTAGAAATCTCTAAAGCGCAATGGCATCTACGTTGTTTCTGTTTTTGAGATGTATTATTAACCTAATGCCAAAAGGCAATTATCCTTACACTAAAATGTTGAAAGCCCATCAGTTCAAACTATCAGCCCTAAATCGCTAATTATCCCCCAAACAAACCTAGCTCAAAAGTAACCTGAGCAAGAAAAGCAAGATCAGTTCTATCTCTTCCTCGGAATCACCGCCATTCCTCTGATTTACTCAGCTCCTTCTCACTCCTCCCTCTTTTCCGCATCAACCAATAATACACCTCCCCCTTAACACCCATAAACACTACCGTCACCAGAAAAAACCCCGTAATAAGAGCCACTAGAACCAACACTACCACAGAAAACCAAAACGAGGTACTCCCAAACACAGATGCCTTCTCCAAACTCTGCGCAGCAAGCACGACTTGCATCGCACTCAACACCACCGAAATAATCGCAAAAAGCGTGATCATCGGCGCGAGAAACGTCGCTATGTGGTCTCGCCATCGTGGCTGGAGATTGATATATCGCAGTTTATGGAGGAATATCCGACTCAGATGATTTAATTTTCCAAGTCTTAAATCCCCGTACGCGTATCTCGGCGCGACGTCTTTATCGTTAAGCTGTTCGAATTGCGCTATAAACCCCACAAACTCCTCATACGTAACCGGGCTTTGTCCTGTTTCTCGCGAGATCAAACACAACTCCGCACTCGTAGCTAACTTAAAATCGCGCTCATACTGGATCAAATAACAGTAACTACGCATAAACCCCGCAGCGGCGCGATATACCTCGCCATCTGCGTCGCGGATGTAGGTCCAGAAGGCGACGTCCAGGAGGTACGGTGGGATAGGCGTGATGAAGATTTTGTCGTGCGTCCAGACGAGATGGAGGCCTGGGTTTTCGGTTACGAGGATGGTGCGATTGCGGGTGGGATGCGTGTGGAGGGGATGGATGTGGCAACTGCTTGGTGTGACGATCTACGAATGTTAGTGGTGTGAGAGGGTACAATATGGGCTGGGGATGTTACGAATTTTAGGTACGGTGCTAGTCGGTCTAGGTCGGTTATGAGATGGGATTTTCGCAGATAGGAGTTGAATGAGGGACTTTGAAGCTGGATTCGAGCTTGGCCTGGGAGGTAACCTTTTCCGTTTGATCTAAGTAGGATTTTGATTCCATTGTCTTCTTGGACTTCTAAGTCGGAGCTTAAACCATGCTTCACCACGGTAGTATGGCTCATTCTCAAGTTTATGTTTAAAGTAAGGAATCACTAATTAATAATTCGGTCTCGGACAGTATGAGAATGTAAAGCAATCGCTCATCTTGACGAAGTTTACGACCATGCCTCAGCTTTGCTGCGCGTCGTCGGTAAGAGGCTGAGTGCCGGCCACAGCAGGAAGCTGGTTTACCCGAATACCGTAGGGTTGAAGATTTCTTTCTCCCTTACGAAATCGTTCAGGTAGTGCGAGATATTAATTCAACATTGGACTTTTTGTATAGCAAACGATATTTTGCGCTATCTTACCTATTCAATACACCAAACATCATCTGGTTCAATCGGTCCCTCCTTTCGAATATCGCCCTCTTCAGAAGTAGTCGGTCTTGACAATAGAAGAAAGCATTATATTCATTGATACTACTTACTTCCCGCTTCTAGAAATGCTAAGACATTAACCGTTTGATACTAGATAAATGAAAATAACGCCGTTCATTGTGGATAAGGGTTTCTTTGAGGCTTAACTCTTCAACAAGTGGTGTATCGCTAAAGTGAACTTTCCCCAACGAAGTCGGAACTGATACTACAATGAGACAGATCAATTTTTACCACTTATAACAATGTCCTTGCACAGAACTCGGTCATTTAATACGGGTCTAAGAACTCTTAAATGAGTGGGTTGTTCTTGTCGTGGCAAAAGCGCTTGAGGTATCCCCTCCACCAGCTAAATACACATCTACAACGTGCACGCAGGAATTGACAAACGGCGCAAAATCATAGATCATTCGTTTTGTAGTCATGGCAAAGGCCCACGATTATGTAAAAGTAACGAAAAGACAGTATTTATGGCACTGATTATTAGTACATCTTCGCAATATATGTTGTACTAAAGCGAAGAGGAACACCAACTAACTGTATTTAGCCTTCGGATGAGATGTACATTGTACAAGACTTTGCTCTCTCTCACCTCCTCAGACAACTCGAAATGCTTATTCTGCCCTTTGTTATTTGCCTGCTTTCTACTCTCATGTGACAATTACCCTATTCTACCACTAGATGTACTGTGTCTTCTCTGTCTTCTCTACTGCTCTTCAAAGTTAGTTGCAAATCTCGTGTGGAGGACTGGTAATTACAAATGATTTTCTCTTGCAAAAGTAATACTAGGTCTGACAATATTGGACTATGCATGTTTCTTTTGCTCCTGTGCGTCCAACTTATATCCCTATGTGTCTATATCGCTGCTGATTTCACACCCAGAACCTCATGCCTTTTCCATCTATATCTTTTCTACAGCAAAGAAGTCCAAGTTGCAACAGCCCTTAAAATAACAAGAAGCACAATCCCCAGAGCAACCATCTCCACCAATACAATCGTAGCCAATGAAAAGCGAATGGATGAAACAATAAAAGATGACCAGCTTTCTACTCCATCCAATCCCTGAGCTGTAAGTACAACTTGCATACAACTTAAGACTGTCGAAACAATCGCAAAGAGCGTAATCAAAGGCGTGACCAGACTCCTTAGGTAATCTCCCCACCGTGGGTGCAGATGAAAGTAACGATAGCTCATCCCGTGCATAGAGAGTCTCGTGAGATGATTCAGAGTGCCGAGTCTCAAAACACCGTAAGAAAACCTTGGAGAAACATCTTTATCATCAGGTTGCTGAAACTGAGCTATGAACTCGACAAACTCCTCGTAGGTGATAGGATGATCTCCCGGCTCTCTCGAGATCAGGACCACATCAGACCTAGTAGCCGAGCGGAAATCCGATTCGTACTGGATAAGATGGTAGTATGTCTTCATGAAGCCTGCCACCGCCTTGTAAACTTGCAGGTCAGCTTCCTGTATGTACTCCCAGAACGCAGCTTCTAAAAGGTATGGAGGTATTGGTTTAATTAGCATCTTATCATAGTACCAGACCAAGTGAAGACCCGGATCCTCCGTCAGAATCACGGTCCGACCTCTTGTTGCTTCCTCATGGAGTGGATGTATGTCAGAAATAGGCGGCGTAGTAGTCTAAACACAGTTAAAATATTTACGATTACATTTTCATGGGACTTACAAATTTCAAATAGGGTACCAGTGCATCTAGCTCGCCCACGAGATGCGATTTTCTTACATATGCCCCAGAACCTGGATCTTCGAGCCTTATTCTAGCTTGTCCTGGGAGAGTTCCTTTGCCGTCCGTCCTGAATAGAGTTTTCCTCCCATTATGTGCACGGATTTGCAATGTAGTGCTCAACCCTTTCTGGATGGGGAAATTGTTCATCTTTCATTTATAACATATCTTGCCTAAGAAGTTGGCATGAAAAAGCCAGAAATGGTAGTCCAGCCTCGTCTATGTATTGCAGCCTGACGAAGGTGCATGAACTCGGGGCTGAGCTCAGCCTTGAGGCGGTGCTGTAGCATCACGCTTTGGTCACGATTTTGACAGCTTGATTTCCATAAAGAAGAAAACGTGTGAGGGAAAAACTTACGAAATATCTAGAACACCCAGCATAGAGGTGGCTACATTGATGGCTGAAAAAGGCTGAAAAGGGCCGAAAGCTTCATAGTGGCTTTGTACCTCTATCTGAATAACCGAATAAGACCAATTGTGGAAATGGAAATAAGTGTTCCGTCTAAGCAAAAAAAATATTCTCGCTCTTCTGCACAGAGAGTTGCTTTTGATAGAATGAGCTCTGTAGTCGCTTTATCAATTCCTAGATCATCCCTTACTTCTCAGCGCAATCATCAAAATCGCAGAAAGAACCGACGCAACACCACCCATACGTAAAGCCCAACCCAGTGAGTACACGGCGTCCGCGTTCCCAATAATCCAGAACAGCAAACTACACAATGCACCAGCCAAAATCTGGGGTGCCGATATGGCAACATTGAATATACTCATCAAAGACCCCGTCTCGTCTTCTCCTTCAACTTCTCCCTCGCACCGTGATGCTTCACGCATACGCGCGATCTCGGCACTCATCATAGCTAAAGGAATCCATTGTGTGAGAGACCAGCTAAAACCACAAATTGCAATGATGAGAATTCCGGCAAAGGTGGTGGTTACAAAGATGGTACAGAACATTAGTAGCGCAAAGACTATTTGTGAAAGAAGCCAGAGTCGAGACAACGTTATATGGCTACGCCATTTCTTGTGTGGCTTTGATGAGTCTGATGTTGTTTCCGCTATGGACAACGTTGGTTTCAACAATGGTAAGAGGATCGAGCATAAGAAAGCAATGATGGCGAAGAATAAGTAAGCTTGAACGCCACTAGACTCCGGGTGGTTCTTCTCGCTTCGGGTGAGCTTCTTGTCTAAAGCAGAAATAAAGCTGCTATCATTAGCAATTATGCTTTGAGGGCGGGGTCAGAGAGACTCACGTGGTGTTGTAGTATAGAAATGGGAACCAGCCACACCACGAAGCAAACTGCACAGCACATATGTTTCTTACACCATGCGGCATCCGTCTCGCTGTTCTCATCAACCTCCTTGTTAGCCTAGCTGGTCTGAACGTCTGTTTGCTAGCTGTCTGTGGAGAAGCCATCCTCTCACTAGCAAACAGTAAACATGGAGCGTTCGTAAGAATCAAACTCAAGCTAGTGATTAAACATAGAACTTCGAACGCACGATGTGGATATTTTCGAATCATAAAGTCGTCAAGCAAATAAGTAGCGATGCCCCCGAGTCCAGTGAATCTACCTGCCCATGCACTTGCCGTACTTTGCTGATGGCTTGGGCAGCCGTCTATAACCATAGCTCGAAGACCGACCTGGAGAGGTTGCAAACTTAAGTTCAGGATGCAGATCCAAAAGATAACAAGAGTTCTAGCAATATTGCCCATCGCATGAGCGCTAATGTAGTCCCTTCCGAACCAGTTGTACACTTTCATTGCCGCAATTCGCATTATAGCCATGCTTAGCATCGAAAGTACTGCTCCAATAATGCCGCCTATTATGAAAGGTTTTCGTTTTCCCCATGTGCTTGTACTTTGATCGCTCATTGCTCCCATGAATGGTTGTACAAAGGTTCCGGTCAGAGGTCCTGCAATCCATATCAAAGCGGTCGTGGATCTGGAAAAGCCCAGAGATAGGAGATATGGCTAGATGTGCAAGTCAGTAAACATTTCGTATAGACTCGTGGCCAAGAAGACTTACCGTCCCATTTGCAAGGAGGAGAGACCACACATTCTGAAGCCTTGACGCTCAATGTCAGCGGGGGTTGCCCTGCAGAAAATGTCCCCGCATGCTTCTCACCCAAAGGTACCGCATGTCAACAGTATCATGTACTTCGTACTGACGGATTTCTCTCGGCCGTCGTTGCTTCCATCACTCCACGCAGATGAGTTGGTTGCTTCGCCGCTTTCGTGGCGGAGAGGCTCTTCGAGGAGGCTGATGGTATCGGTCGACCTACGGTCGCTGTCGGGAAGCAAATGTGCCGATGAAGGATCCGGTGCCATTTTGTGCAGTCGCAAGTTCTTGATTCCGGGGGCAATGCTCAAATCGCGAAGTCCGGTGCTGGAGTTGTTGTTGGCATCTCGTCCATACAACACTCTAATTGTTGTCGTTGACGTAGAACGAAGTTGGTGCGACTGTGCTACATTGCTACCAGGACCGGGTCATACCTGCGCAACTATGTTGCCGCGATAGGCAGCTCGCCTCCGACCATTTTATGTACAATACCGATTTTCGAAGAAGTCCGATTGCAAACGGATGTTTTGATTAGCCAGCTCGTTGGTAAGAGTAGCACCAGCAGGTAAGTGCATGAGTACGGCAGCCCGAAAAGACCATGAATGCTCTCGGCGGGGTAGCTATTTCCCTGCTGTCAAATTTAGACTATGGCAACGATCATGGCATCCCATAGAGGGGCATTGTTGTTGTGTTTAGAGACAGAGGCAATGTTCCTTGTTGGAGCTAGAACTGGGGAAATGATGAATCAAATCTCAATGATCAGGAAAAGATGTCGAGCACATTTGCGTTACACATCGGCAAGAACTCTTGTCATCTTCAGGAAATCTTCGACTGAATGGGGACAAGAATCAAATATTTCGAAGTTGGGCAAATATGAAGTGAATGAGATTGTGATTGACGACATGGGAAAAAGACAGAAGGAAGAAAGAGATGGTGGGCTAAAACGAGCCCCCGGTTCGGAAGGTTCGTAAAGAAGATTCTAGGAATGTTCTATGCCCGAACCGAGTTTCCAACAAACGTATTCGTTTCTGCGGATCTATTAGAAGAGAATCGGTACCCGGTAACGACTTTTGACAAAGATAGGTCATGAGGCTAAATCTATCTGATCGTGAGGTTTCTGCGTGCCTCGCTAAGGTTAAAGCCGGACAGCTGGCCAACCCAACATATAATTTTTGCCAACATGTTCGATGGAACCAAATATATCATGGAACTCGTCACTAGCATATACCATAAAGTCCCTTATTGGATCTTGCATATTTTGTGCCATAAATATGCGTCTCAGAATTGTATTTTTGGGCCAAGATATTCTGGAAACAGTGTTCGCTACCATTGTCAGAATAATATATTGCACACGTTCACCTTAATTGATTATTGTTACACTTCTGACGACCTTCGTACCTGCGTAAGCGCCGGGAAGGACGTACAGAAATAGACATGAGATTGTTGACGAATCTCGTGGTCAGAGGTGTGAAGAAATCGAAGGTTGGAATGCTCGTTTGTTGAGTGACCGGCTCAGTGGGAACTTCCCCTGTATCTCCTGGCTGCAACTTCAAGGCTTTACTAATGATAGAACAACCAACGAGTAGACGAGCTCATTTGGGATGTGTGGCATTAATTCGCTACGGGACGTACGGTGTAAGGAAAATTCTGCAGTAAATCTCGACAAGTAAGCGTGAAGCAACCAGGTCTGAAGAGTGAGGTTGAGGAAAGGTGCGGAAAGAGCGTTGTGATGATTGACGGCAGCCGAACGGGAACATGGATCTGCTAATTTTAGAATGAAAGCCCGGGGGGCTTGAAGGAGATCAAGGATTTGTTGGTGGTTTCGCTTAGAATTCTCCCCCCTTATTCGCTAACGTAAAGCTTAAGTGCATATCCCTGCACAGGAAGATTCAAAAATAAATCTTTGCAGCAGATCACAAGTTGCGCTGTTGCATCACCCTCCATACCAACAACGACTCCTAGCAAGATGCGGCGCTCTTTGGAAGTTTGGGAGAGCAGCTGCTCCAGGTTCAGGTGTATTATTACTACTCGGAAGATTGGCGACTGAAACGGGCTTGGTTTGTTCACCGAATCCGGATGTCGCCCGGAAGGGACGTGTCATCAGTGCCTATGTTGATAAATTTACCAAGTTATCATTGGCCTAGAGGAGGCAATGTGTGCTTAATTAGCATCATGACCGCTTTGGGTGCTTACTGGCTCCTGAAGAGAGCATGCTCTTCATGATCTGTAAATAGTGGCAACAGCTAGACTCGACATGCCGAACAAGTCTTGGTCTGATGGTCCTGAAGTAGAAAGACCTGGGGGCCACCCAGAAATCTACATTGCAAAAGTCACCTTTGCTCAGATCACCAACCCGGATCCATTACTTCAGCAATCACAATGGCAGAGTTTGCAATCAAGAGCACTTCGCAGGCAAGCCGTGATAAATCTATTCCTCGGACGCTTCAAAGAGTTGCTTCGAAGGATGGAAGCAGAAGCAGATCAGCGCATGGATGTTGGACTTGTCGATTGAGGAGAAAGAAGTAGGTTTCCTTGAAGATCGCTGCCTTCAATACTTACAAATACTCTAGATGTGATGAGAAGGGTCCAGAGTGTGTGACTTGTACAGACAGAGGTCTCAAGTGCTCCGGATTTGGTGCCATCAAACCGAGATGGATGGATGGCGGAGCACAGCAAGATGCTGTTCATCGAGAGATCAAAGCAACTGTTGCATCAGTAACACGCATGAAGAGAATGTTGAAACTCGTTCAAGCACGAGAGAAGGCATCGCCCGGTCGTAGAAGTGCATCTATTCCTGTAGATGCCTTTGACAACGCAAGCAAGTCTTTTTACCGTAATGGTAGCTTCAGTTCTGGTGTACTGAGTAGACCTGCTTCAGTTGGGCCTGGTTTACCGCAGAGCTTTTCCATGCCTGATCCGCAAGTTTGGGGACAGGAAATGCCATGTGACTGGAACTTTGGAGAAAATTTCAATATGGCCTCATTTGATGGTACAGACAACTTTTCCAGTTTTGCCCCCGAATTTTACAATTCTGCTCTTGAAGACGATATTGGCCCACACGTTCCAGCAATGTCCAACACAAACTTTTTCCTTCCTTCGCAAGCCAGCGAAGTCGGCCAATTCTATCAGTACACAACGCCGGAGCCAGAGAGCTACACCACTTCAACAGCTGCTGAAGAAAATTCGTCCAAATACAACATGTTTTCTCAGCTTTGCACCTTTCCTCCTTCTCCAGCACTGTCCATTACCGCACTCGATCGCCCAGACATCAGGACCCGGCAAGCCACACCCAGCCGTATGCAAGAAGTCTTCACTCACGAGGATCAGATGGTTGATGAGTCTCCGTCACAACAAAGCAATATCTCCAAACGAACGTCAGTCCCTTCCAGACAAGTACAGCTTTCGCCTGTCTGTGAAAATCACACCTCGCAATCTTCAAGCGTCAGCAAGTATCCTCCGCTACTCCCAAAGGCAGAGTGCCCGCAGCCATGCAATCAAGTCAACATCCAGTCTTTGGAACAGTCAGCTACACAGCAAGCTTGGATGCATCCATCTGTAGCTTCTGTAGCTGAAACCCGAGCACAATCATTGAGAGCAGCCTCCATGGAGTTGTCAATTCTCCAAAATCTGCTTCTTCAGAACGTTCAGCAGCATTTGAAGCAAGCAGTCGCTTGTGTTCTCAAAATTCGCGATGACTATCTTCTCGAATGCGAGTCGCTTGCTACACGCGTCCTGTCAGAGGTTGAATTGGAAGTCCTTGGCGCTTCGATCAGATTTGTCCTGTGGACAGATATCACTACCCGAACTTTTGAAGGACCTGAGGTTGAATCACCATTTCGTGGCCACATATCTCATCTACTCGAAGTCAATAAATCCTCGCAAACACCACTTTTGGGTCTGGCCGGACCAGTTGAGGATTGGATATTCACCGGAATTGAGAGCGTCACTCGTTTGGCACAAATGAGGTCCCAACTAGCAAACGAAGGTCTTTTCGACCTACGAGAATTTCAGCATCACGAAACGTCAGTGCTTTCGAATTTGGAATACAGACTGAATGCGGACGATCACTCTTCGCACGATAAGTTACCAAACACTAAGACTATGCTCCGGAGAAGCATTTTTTTACATGCCATTATGATCTATTTCTACGTGGTAGTGCAAGGTCCATTCTCCGACGCGTTCGACATTCGCAAGAATGTAGACATCGTTATTCGCGATCTTCTGGCACTGAACGACCCACACGCCTTAATGACCGAGTTTACCTGGCCTTTCCTGGTTGCGGCGTCAATGGCTGGGCCAGAGCATCACGTCGCTTTAATGGGAATGTTCAGCAGCCCACTGACCAATCCTACACCGAGATTCACAAGTGTCTTCCAAGTTGTGCAAGAGTGCTGGTTATTGAGAGCCCAGGGGGCGGCGGCTTCGGATTGGAGAAGTGCTCGATTAAGTTTAGAACAGCGCGGTTACTTTTTAGACACTGCATGTTGGTAGATGGGCGTTTGGGTTGTTTCAGCTTTTACCTCTTGTATATACTATATCCGGGTACATAATACTAGACTCCGTTGAGATCAGGCTTTATGCTGTATTTTGGTCTGAAATTATGAATTCCTGTGTCTGTTATCGTCCACAACCGGTATTTATTTTCAGTCCCCTCCCCTTCATTTTCCTGTCAGCTACAGAAGATTTAACACAAGTCAGAGCCTCATTACACAAGGTAAACGGAAATAGAGCGGAAACGAGCCTGACGCCCCTTGATGATGCGTGGGTTTACTTGTTGGTTACACCCGCGGTCGCTTGAGTCATGCCGTAGATTTAGGGAATGACAAACTATTTACTGTGCATGACTATCACTGCTCTATTAAGCTTCATGTGCGGTAATGACCTACTGCTGTATTAAAAGTCAATTATAATATCTCTCCCGCATATTTAAGGGGTTCCAACCTGGCACTTTCCTTCCTCGATATTAGCGAAGGAAACGCGTCTACTTCACAGTCTGCTCCCACCTCACGTGCCTGGAAATAACAAATATTGCCTCCGAGACATATCAAACACGACATTTGTCGTTCATTGAGAACATTTTGTGTCGTTATAACTATTCAGCGAAGCCGACTTTGCTCGAGTTCGGTTGAACAATTCGCTTGAAGCTTGCCAGGTCCTCGGGCCATCCCTCGTTCCTGATAGACTTCTGCTACTTGCACGGGAATTGAACGACCGTACAAGATTTCGTACCCTTTTCAAGGACTTCAATTAAATCCACTAAAACTTCCTGCTTTGCGGTCGTTCCAGTCCTCCAGGAGCCTAGCATCTGCCAGTTCCCACTCAGGGGGACGACAATAAAGATCTTAGTTCGCCGACTTTCTCTAAAATAAAGTCACTAAAATCGTCAGTTTCAAGATTTACTATGGACTCAATGCAACACTTAATCCTCTTGTGATTAGTTACCGAGCCTCAACTGATTCGTTTGAGCTGCGGATCATCTGTACATCCTTCAAAATTAAGCGAGACCCAAATGTGGCTCTGGTCCACTTCCATCACTCCTATTTATTAAGCGAACCTGTCGCGGTACTTATAGCAAAAGCTTAGCATTTTAAAAGTTCGGGCTTTACGATACACTCCTGGCATTTCGGTCAGTTCTGCCATCCTGAAGAGGAGTAGAGAATGGCATTGTGACCAGTATTCAAACACATACCCGACTGTGACATCACGTACCACCAAACAAGAGGATTGATAAGCGATACAGTCCACTTCAATATCACGCGCATCGTCTGCCAATGTACTAGGACGCAGGTACGGGTATTAGATAACACAGATGATCTCGTCTGAGGATGGTAACTCATGTGAAACTACGGTCAAGTGTAAAATCGCCCACAAAATGGTCCAAATGTACGTTATCTACCCACAACAGTCAGGAGTGGTGGAGTTTACGATTGCTATAAGACTGTTGGTTTATGCCCATTTGTGCCTTGAAATTATTTAACAAACACCTTCCTTTCCAAAACATTCTTCTTTCGTACAGACAATCTTTCGCTTTCCTAGCATATTTGTCTGTGACAATTTTCTTTCAAGATGCAATACAAATACCTCATTGCCCTGGCGGCACTGAACCACATCGCTTACTCGATACCAATTCTGTCAGATGCATCATCTACGACCACTTCAATCGAGAAACCTACTCCAGTTCCTGATATCGGCTATTCCCCACCTATCTTAGGCGATGAAATAAACACTGCTGTTTGCAAGGGAACCGTTGAAAATTGCAATCCGGAAGCTGCCAAGAACGACGATATTCAAGATAACACACTACCAAAACTTCCTGATAATTGTGACGGCTGTAAATACGGCGATCGCGACTGGAAGAATTACGAGTGGGCTAAAGGGGGAGCTCAGGCTAGGGCAGCTCCACCAAAACCTGTTACTGATGACAAACCACCACCGCCGCAAGTGAAGAAGCCGTTGGAGGAGAAACCGGACCCGGAGGTCAAGAAGGGGGATCCCGCAGAAAAGAAGAAGCCTACAGATGATGAAGAGGTTCCGGAGGACGAAGAAGCGGATCCCGAGGATGAGGACGAGGAGGAGGACACGGCGGATGACGACGAGGAAACACCACCAAAGAAGAAGCCTGCAAAGGGAGATGAGG